GGAATTCAAATTGGGCACACGTTTCCGTTCTAAAAGACGGGCGGCACATGATCTCTCTCTCTCTCTCTGTCTCTGTCTCTCTCTTCTCCTTTCACTTTCACTTCATTGTATACGTGTCATGAGGAGAGGGTACATTTGCACTTTACCCCCCTATTTTTGAATTGCTTTTTGGCGCGCGTTTTTGGCGCGCGCTGATTTTGAATTTGAATTTGAACTCGATAGGCCTAAAGTGGCGCGATCTTTTCGGTTTTTCAGCGTAAAACCGCATTGACATCAGGTTTTCTATGCGTTTTCTAGATTCTAGAGAATATATCCGTGATTTTAAGCCGAAGCGGGGGTCTAGTAGCATTGTTTTGAAATTAGTTATGATTTTTGAAAGATGACCCTAAAATCTGATCTACCGTATCGCCCTAAATTTAAAAGCGCACCACACATTTTTCGCCATATTTTACAGACGATAATCTTCATTTTAAGCCAAAGCAGGGGTCTGTAGCATTTTTCTGAAATTTGTTACGATTTTTCAAAGATTCGCGTTCGGATTTTAGGGCTAGTCACTCGCCCCGGAGCAAATATCGTGATCTACAGTATCGTCCTAAATTTAAAGGCGCATTACACATTTTTCTAATATTCTGCTGACAATTCCAGTCAATTTAAGCCAAAGCGGGGGTCTGTAGCATTTTTCTGAAATTTATTACGATTTTTCAAAGATTCGCGTTCGGATTTTAGGGCTAGTCAATCGCCCCAGAGCAAATATCGTGATCTACAGTATTGCCCTAAATTTAAAGGCGCACCACACATTTTTCTTAATATTCTGCTGACAATTCCAGTCAATTTAAGCGAAAGCGGGGGTCTGTAGCATTTTTCTGAAATTTGTTACGATTTTTCAAAGTTTCACAGTCGATTTGTTAGTGACATCATTTACAGTAACCCGTTTCGAGAACTTTCCCAGCGCCATCAACAGGTTGCGCAACTCGGAAAACGTGTTTACCGCTCTAAATGTGACCCATTTGTCGGTGTTTTCGTGTCAATTTTTTTTCACTTTTCTGTTTCACCGACACAATTAGTATGCGAAAATAGTCTGTGCTGGGCTTTCTCGGTTGATTGCACAAGTTTGCGGGGTTTCCATTAAATTCAAAATTAATATGCTGTTAACATTGAAAAGTCGGTTCGAAAACGTGATAAGTGCGTGTATCAGTTCTTGTATAAAAATGGAATGCAAGAGAGCATATTGATGCAGTAATCTCATCTATTGCCTTCTTCTCCCGTTTTCCTGTCAATTGAGCCCATTCTCTGACTCATCCGATATTGTGCATCTCCCAGTTGACCTTTATCTCTCTCTCTCTCTCTCTTCTACTTTCTCTCGCATAATCCTACAAAATCATGTCGTCCCGGCACGTGCATGCACTCGCAATGAGCCCATCGAAAGTGTGAAAGAAGCGCGCGTGTCGATTAGGTCGGTTGCGTAATCGGGAAACCCGATACACACCTGCACATTTGTTTATATGAACAGAATAGGGACACAGCTTCGAATTTATATATTTTCAATTTACTTCGCAAAAGTCTCAAGGACGGACTCGTGTCGTCGTCTCTAAACTGAAAACAAAACAATCGAGGGACCGGCGGCCTTTTTTGAATTTCTGGGGGGTGTGTGAGCTTCAAGGTCTTTTCTCGCAACCGAGACACTTTGCAACTGCACATCGGTTGCAAAGTGTCCTCAATCTGGACGTAGAGACTCTTTGCTTATTTTCGGAATAGAAACAAGGGGACTTAAACTTTGAAAAATCATAAAAAATTTCAAACAACTTCTACAGACTCCAGCTTTAGCTTAAAATGACGGACATCATCTGGAAAATATGGACAAAATAGTGTGATGCGCCTCTGAATTTTCTAATTTTCGTTTCCTAGTCCCCGGGCAGATACGAGACTTTTCCCTGTCAAGGTCGAATACAAATTCAATTTTTCGTTCCAAAATCGTCGAAGGACGGGTGTCAATTAGGACTATCACAACATTTCAAGGAGACCGACAATCTGAGGGAGGTGGCCCAAGGACCTTCGCGCCATTTTTTGAATTCTTCTTGTCCTTCACGCCTTTCTCGTCCTCTCACCTTTTGTATAATCATTTCAAAGCATGGCGGTCTTTGACACCACCCATTTCGCAACCAAACTTTGCCACGTGGCAGTTGAACACGTCTGCTTTCCATCAAGCTGAATAGAATTAGAAATAGGCGGTCTTACCGCAGGCACATAACATGCGTGAAACAGAAATCATTGCTGTGTGGTCCCACTAGTCCATCAGCTTTCGGTAGACGTTTTTCTAGCAGAAAAGTTTTGTGAGTAGTTTCTATTCTATCGTCAGTTGGAAAGAAATCCCCCTCAAGTATCAAAACATTTGTGTAACAGGTTATATTTCAATATCACTGATGAAACTGTCCTTAACTGATATCAATTCAGTGAAACCGGACATTGTCAGTTTCAAAATTTTCCCATCTGTGTTCCTTCAGCTCACTTGCGAATGTCTTTTGCTTTACCGAGTCAGAAAGGGATAATAACGCATCCAAGTGCCCCCTGTGACGTGTTAGGAAAGAGGGAGAGAACACAAGAACGGAGGACCCTATCCGTCGCGCAGACCTCATGGCTCTTTTCTCTTTTCTGACGGAGCCGCTCGGATTGCTAGTGGATCCAGTCAGTTCCGCAGTCTCAAGAAGCATTGAGAATGTACCTTCAATTCCTCACTTTTCGGTTTCACTAGTGGGAGATGTAACGAACGGTAAAAATGAGTCATTTTTAATGGAAGCAGCGTTACGAATCAAAACATTTTTGTTTGTATTTTACGGGTGCTACCCTCGAAATATGACTCATTCATTCAATATTCATTTCAGCGAAACGCTATCTATCACTGATGAAAGTGTCCCAAATTGATATAAATCTTGTGAAACCGGCCATTTTCTGTTTCAAAGTGTTCTGAACTATTCGTGTGCTGTTTCAGTAATTGATCGATACGATTATTTTTCTTTCTAAAACCATCCGAGTTTTGGAATGTTTATTACCGCTCACCAAGTGCCCCTATTACGTGTTAGCAAGTGGGGGGAAGAGACACGCGAACGGAGGACGGAGCATGGAGGTCGGCAGTGTATGGATGCACCAGAAAACGTTATAAACATATAACTATCGGACTTGAACGTAATCAATCCTTTAAAAAAACGAAATTTTTCGGTTTTAACTAGGCTAGATGTGTGCTTGTTGTGACGTTATTGGGCCTAAATTTTTATGATGAATCATTACACTTTCAACGAAAGTCCCCTACCGTTTCAAAACATTTGTGCAACAGTCAAAGTGATTCAATGACACGTTTTGTTTTTTTTTTTGACGGAAAGGCAGGTGGCTGTTTCGAAATGTTGTGAAAAGTATCGAGTTCGTGTGTTTTCTGCTTCTTTGCTTGTAGCACATTAAATCAAATCAATCAATGGTCTAGTTTGTCGAGTCAAAAAAAGGATAATAACGCCACCCCGCGGGTTTTTTTCGCGGGGTGCACGAATAACCAGGTGGTCCCGCGAAACGACATCTCGGCTACACGTTTCTAAGTAATTGCTCAACGTTTACGCATCTTTCTCACAATATTTTAAATGTCAAAACTTTCGCCACTTTTTTTCTCGGTTTCACAATGTTCAGATGAGTATCGATCGGTTTTCAAAGTCGTTTTCCAAGCCCATCTATCCGCAAATCGACATTCCTCCACCCGTACCGTATCCCTCTCTTTCTCTCCTCTTCTCCGCTTGTTTTGCTGGTTGGCCGCTCGACATTGCGCAGAAACCCCGCCCCCACGGGAGGATAGTCTCCCGCCGACACTTGTCACTCACTCTTTCTCTCGTTTACACAACAACACGCGTGCCCGCCGAGGTGCTAACTTTATTAAGTCTATAATAACTTTATTGGAAAGTGAAAAGGAAAACGAATTCGAGGTCAGTTAGTCTTCCTAGATGTTCGGGGTCTCACCACGAAGTTTTGTGTCTCTCTGTTCCCTGTTTCAAAGTCTATTTCTTCATTATCCTAGCATACAATAGTCGCATACTGTTGTTCAATTTGAAATTGACATCAAATTTAATTACTTTCTGAAACTGATTTCTTCCTCTGCTGTATTTTCCCTCACTAACACCTTGAAAGCCTGCAAATTAGTACATTTCCGTGAAACTTCGATACTTCTTCTAAAGTACCTAGACTTCGCGATTTCCCAACTCCTCGGACACTATGATATCAATTACCAGTCTCCCGCCGGACCGTCTGTTTTCGGCGACGCGCTGTGCATGTCTGGCCTCTCAACTTTCCGCGTTTACAACCTCCGCACCCATCTGTCAAACGACGACGGCTTCTAAATCTTTCGGCTTCTACAGTAGGCTCCATCTGTCTCCATCCATCTCATTTCACAAAAAAACAAAACGAAACAAATTGGAGAGGTCGGCGGCCTACCGGAAAAATGCAAATTGAGCGTCGCTCCCGACTCATCCGTCTTCTCACCAGCCCCCTATTCCCATTCATTTCAGTCGTTTCGTTCCGTTCTTTTGTTTCAAAAATGCGTGGAAAAGGGGTTCTCATGACATTTGTTCGCAATTCGCTCAAGGGCCCAAAACCCCGACATTTCTCTCTTCTGAATGTCCATTAGTCGCATTAGATATTATGAAATTCTGCACGCGACCGGACTACTGTACATGTTTGTTTTCCGTCGCCCGCTCCTTTCCCTTTCTTTCGTTTTATTGCCTCCCGAAAAACAGTGGCTCCCATCCACTCTCATCGTCAATTTCCTCTTTCTTTCGCAACTTGTAACGATTCTTCTTGCATAAAATGAAATCTCTATTTGACACCCTTTCTAAAGTGTTACCTTTTCAGTCGATCTGGTCAGCGAACGCTCGTCGCCGTCCGAATCTCACGTCGAGAGAGAGAAGGCAACTCAATCGGAGCAGACTGCGAACTGAGACTTCCTGGAGGAAAGCGAAAGGATCCGACAGATGAAGAAGGAGACGATCAGTGCGCTTCAGGAGCAGGTCAGAAAGCTGGAGGACGAGAAGAGACAGTTGCTAGCGGAAAATAAGATAGCGAATAAAGAAAAGAAGAAACACGATGATCTCAAGAAGCTGATGAGTGCGGAGCAGCGGGTCGGACAGGAGAATTGGATGGAGCGCAGAAAGCTGGAGGCCGCGAAGACGTCGTTGGAGGCAGAACTCGCAGACAAAGTAGCTGAAATCGAGAAGTTGAAGAAAGTGGCGGAGAAGGTCGGAGAGCTGGAGGCCGAGAAGACGTCGTTGGAGTCAGAAGTTGAGGAGAAACTGGTTGAAATCGAGAAGCTGAAGAGAGTGGTGGAGAAGGTCGGAGAGCTGGAAGCCGAGAAGACGTTGCTAGCGACACAGCTCGCGGAGAAGGAGGACAATATCGAGAAGCTGAAGAGAGTGGCGGAGCAGGTCGGAGAGCTGGAAGCCGAGAAGACGTCGTTGGAGTCAGAAGTTGCCGAGAAACTGGTTGAAATCGAGAAGCTGAAGAAAGTGGCGGAGAAGGTCGAAGAGCTGGAGGCCGAGAAGACGTCGTTGGCGACACAGCTCTCCGAGAAAGAGGACAATATCGAGAAGCTGAAGAAAGTGGCCGAGCAGGTCGGAGAGCTGGAAGCCGAGAAGACGTCGTTGGAGGCAGAACTCATGAAGAAAGAGGACAATATCGAGAAGCTGAAGAAAGTGGCCGAGCAGGTCGGAGAGCTGGAAGCCGCGAAGACGTCGTTGGAGTCAGAACTCATGAAGAAAGAAAAAGATCTAGAGAAGCTGAAGAGAGTGGCGGAGCAGGTCGGAGAGCTAGAGGCCGAGAAGACGTTGCTAGCGACGCAGCTCGTGGAGAAGGAGGACAATATCGAGAAGCTGAAGAAAGTGGCGGAGAAGGTCGGAGAGCTGGAAGCCGAGAAGACGTTGCTAGCGACACAGCTCGTGGAGAAAGAGAAATCGCTCGAGAAGCAGATGGAGACTGTGGAAGATCTTCAGCAAAAGATTCAAGCAAAGCAAAGAGAAGGCCAGAAGCACATCGGACAGCGCTTCAGAGAGAAGCTCAAAAAGCGGATCAGAGAGCAGGAGAACAAGAAGACAAAGTTGAGGAAGAAGTTGGAACAGAAGAAAGCTGACCAGGAAGCGCGCGACAAAGAAGTGTTCAGAAAAGGATTGGAAGTTTTTACGAGCAGCGTGGAGGCCGCAGAATTGCGAGCAAAAACCGCTGAGAACAATTTGAGGACAGCCGAGAACAGAATACGCGGTAAGCGAATTGGCCCTGACTTTCGACTCACTTTCAAGCCTTCTTTGACTCGGATTGAAGTTTGTTGGGACGGGCTTGAGACTTGGACCCAATAGACTTCAATCCAAGTCGAAGAAGTCTGCAAAGTTCAACTTCTGTACACACGATTTTGCAGATCTGGAAGTGATGATGGCAGAAAATTCGAAAGAGATGGACGGAGCCCTCGACATGGTTTTGGAGCTGGAAGACGAGGTCCAAGTATTGAACGTGCTTCTGAATGAAACGAAGAGGGATCGAGAAAAAGAGAGCCGTCCTGGTGAGGCACTCGATTCGCCTGCTGTACACACCAATCCGCAGCCGCAAGACGATCTGGCAGGTTTGGATGCTCAGTTGGAGCCACGCGAAGAGCCGGATGAAGACATCGGTAGTGGCGTCCAGATAGACGAAGACGACCAGAGCGAATCTGCGGAGCAGAATGAGGACGACGAGATGGTTGAAGATCAAGTTCAAGACCATGAGGACGACCGAAACGAATCTCCGGCTCCACCTCGACAAAAAGTACAAGGAAGACGAGGAAGAGGACGTGGAGAACGACAAATTGCACCTGTGCAGCCAAATAGCGACGACGAGATGGTTGAAGATCAAGTTCAAGACCATGAGGACGACCGAAGCGAATCTCCGGCTCCACGTCCACAAGAAGTACGAGGAAGAGGAGGAAGAGGAGGAAGAGGAGGAAGAGGAGGAAGACAAGGACTACGATCAAGAGGACAAATCGAAGCTGTGCAGCCGAACAGCGACGACGTGATGGATGAAGATCAAGCTCAAGACCATGAGGACCACCAAAGCGAATCGCCGGCTCCACGTCCACAAAGAGGACGAGGAAGAGGAGGAAGAGGAGGAAGAGGAGGAAGAGGAGGAAGAGGAGGAAGAGGACGGGGAGGACGACAAATTGCACCTATCGAGCCAGAGATGGTCGAAAATGACGCTGGAGACGGTGAATCTGCGGCTCCACGTCTACAAGGAAGACAAGGACTACGATCAAGAGGACAAATCGAAGCTGTGCAGCCGAACAGCGACGACGTGATGGATGAAGATCAAGGTCAAGACCATGAGGATCGAAGCGACCAAAGCGGATCTCCGGTTCCACGTCCACAAGGGGGACGAGGAAGACGAGGAAGAGGAGGAAGAGGACGGGGAGGACGACAAATTGCACCTGTGCAGCCAGAGACGGTCGAAAATGAAGCTGGAGATCTGGCAGGTTTGGATGCTCAGTTGGAGCCACGCGAAGAGCCGGATAGAGACATCGGTAGTGGCGTCCAGATAAACGAAGACGACCAGAGCGAATCTGCGGCTCCTTGTCGACGAGGAGGACGAGGAAGAGGACGCGGTGGACGAGGAGGCCGAGGAGGACGAGGAGGCCGACTGACACGACAAAGCGCACCTGCGGAGCAGAATACGGACGATGAGATGGTCGAAAATCAAGTTCAAGACCATGAGGACGACCGAAGCGAATCTGCGGCTCCACGTCGACAAGGAGTTGCCGAGGCAGTCTCCGATTCGTCCGACGACGTTGAGTTCACTCCGGAGAAACAAGAGAAGTGGAACGAAGCGGTCGCCCAGTCCGAGAAAGTCTTCGAGGAGCTCGGCAAACAGACTCTGCTAGGTACTCCTTTAAATTTACACTTTTTTTTCTTAAAACCACCACGTACTCTGTTTCAGTCTCGCCGCGTGTCCGCTTCCCGGCCTGTCTCTTCAACCCAAATGGCGTGCGTCAGATTCCACAGCCGGTTCGAAATGCGCCGAAGCCGCAAGCGCTGTTCGCATGGCACATGGCGGAGAATGACCGTCCACAAGGTACACCCTCAATCCACGGCTCTCCAGACACAGTTTCCATTGCAGAAAAGTGGTCGAACGCGTCGGAGGACGTGCAGAACGACTTCAAGAATCTCGTGAAGTTGTTGACAAAGAAAAGGGAGGTTCAGGAGAGCCTCGGATACACCATTCTCTACACGGTAATGCAGGAGAGGAAAAGAAGGGTGAGATTGAGCCGAGATCAGGTTGGAACATAATAGTTGGTCTTTCAGATGGCGGTCGATAATCACCGTGCTCCCAAGAGAGGCCGAGTGGACCAGGAGGAGCCGGTCGAGCAGGACCGTGAGGATCCTGAGGTTCGGGTCCAGGAGCTTTCGGTTGGGCGGAACCAAGAGGAGCCAGCCGAGCGGGACCATGAGGAGCCGGCCGAGCAGGACCACGAGGAGCCAGCCGAGCGGGACCATGAGGAGCCGGCCGAGCAGGACCATGAGGAGCCAGCCGAGCAGGACCAAGAGATGTGGGCCGAGCGGGACCAGGAGATGTCGGCCGAGCGGGACCTGGAGCTGTCGGTTGAGCGGGACCAGGAGATGTCGGCTGAACGGGACCACGAGGAGCCAGACGATCAGGACCACGAGGAGCCAGCCGAGCAGGACCACGAAGAGCCAGCCGAGCGGGACCATGAGGAGCCGGCCGAGCAGGACCACGAGGAGCCAGCCGAGCAGGACCACGAGGAGCCAGCCGAGCGGGACCATGAGGAGCCGGCCGAGCAGGACCAAGAGATGTGGGCCGAGCGGGACCAGGAGATGTCGGCCGAACGGGACCAGGAGATGTCGGCTGAACGGGACCTAGAGCTGTTGGCCGAGCGGGACCACGAGGAGCCAGCCGTGCGGGACCAGGAGATGTCGGCCGAACGGGACCGTGAAGATCCGGAGGTTGGGGCCCAGGAGCTTTCGGTTGAGCGGAACCACGAGGAGCCGGCCGAGCTGGACCAGGAGATGTCGGCTGAGCGGGACCAAGAGATGTGGGCCGAGCGGGACCAAGAGATGTCGGTTAAGCGGGACCAGGAGATGTCGGCCGAGCGGGACCCGGAGGAGCCGGCCGAGCAGTACCGTGAAGATTCGGAGGTTCGGGTCCAGGAGCTTTCGGTTGAGCGGAACCACGAGGAGCCGGCCGAGCAGGACCACGAGGAGCCGGCCGAGCAGGACCAAGAGGAGCCGGCCGAGCAGGACCAAGAGATGTGGGCCGAGCGGGACCTGGAGCTGTCGGTTGAGCGGGACCAGGAGATGTCGGCTGAGCGGGACCAAGAGATTTGTGCCGAGCGGGACCAAGAGATGTCGGTTGAGCGGGACCAGGAGATGTCGGCCGAGCGGGACCCGGAGGAGCCGGCCGAGCAGGACCGTGAAGATTCGGAGGTTCGGGTCCAGGAGCTTTCGGTTGAGCGGAACCACGAGGAGCCGGCCGAGCAGGACCAAGAGATGTGGGCCGAGCGGGACCAGGAGATGTCGGCCGAACGGGACCAGGATATGTCGGCCGAGCGGGACCACGAGGAGCCAGCCGAACGGGACCAGGAGATGTCGGCCGAGCGGGACCTGGAGCTTTCGGTTGAGCTCTAAGGAGCTCCAACCAGTTAATCTTAAGTTTTTATCAATCATTGTTTGCTTTCCTTCGGTTTTTTACTTTTACTTTGCACGTTTTCATTTTGTTCTGTTCTTTTTCCACTTTTCATCACAGTATTATCCATCCCCCCGTTCTCACATAAACCAATTCTTTTCACATCTCCTCCTGCTTCTCCGTCTTCTTTTTTGTTCATTTTCTCATTGGTTGCCTCAAACCATGCACAATATCTTTCACGTTTTCGTTTCATTTCTGTCGCTAATCCCAAATTACAGCATAATGCGTATGCAGAATCAAATGCCGAATCAAATGCAAAACCAAATGCAAGTGCGAAACCCGGCTGAAGGTACCATTCCCCTAAACCCTTTTTCTTTTTTAATATTTCCTTTTTCAGCTCGTCAACACCGTGCACCGAACCAGTTGGCCCATCCACCACTACCTTTTCCGGGTGAGTACAGAGCAGAAGGACAACAAGACTTTAAACGTTTTTTTTCAGGAGCACCCGGATACGGACAGTTCGGAGCCCCGATGCCGGCTCCGGGACAAGGTTACTACGTCTGTCATGGAGGTAAAAACATGCGTTCGCGTCTGCTCTTCAAATGCTCTTTTTTCCAGACGCCCGCCATGAGCAAATGATGAACGGGTTCGCGCAGGCGGCACCGATGTACGGACATCAGCAAGGCCGCCTCCAGACTCTCGCGGCCTTCCAGCCACGTCCCCAGCACCCTGGCTACCCTCCGCAAGGATTCAATGGCGGCGGACCGCTCGCCGCACCTCTTCCGGGACACGAAATGATCACGATGAGAGTGGAGGATTCGCACGCGTATCACGATTTGAGTGAGGACACACGAACAGTCGACTTTGAATGATTCTCGAGTTTCAGAGCAAAAGTTAGAGATGATGACGAAGGAGAGGGATGTTTTCATGCGGAAGGCTGCCGAGCTGGAAGCCCGTTTTACGGCGGCTTCTCCAGCATCTCCGTTGGACGGTTAGCGTTCTTTTAATCGTGATCCGTTCATCTCTACTCTTTGCAGAAACTATTTCGTCGCATCAGTCCGTGAGCCCGACTCCCACTCCGGTCACAGTGAAATTTGCTAAGAAAAACAAAGAGAAGCGCCGAATCCCACTGATCAAGATCGAAGGTCCAGATCTCCAGAGTCCGGAAGAGCGGATTTTGGATGTTCAGTTGGAGCCACGCGAAGAGCCGGATGAAGACATCGGTAGTGGCGTCCAGATAGACGAAGACGACCAGAGCGAATCTGCGGAGCAGAATGAGTTCGACGAGATGGTTGAAGATCAAGTTCAAGACCATGAGAACGACCGAAGCGAATCTCCGGCTCCACGTCGACAAGAAGTACAAGGAAGAGGAGGAAGAGGAGGAAGAGGAGGAAGAGGAGAAAGAGGAGGAAGAGGAGGAAGACAAGGACTACGATCAAGAGGACAAATCGCACCTGTGCAGCCGAACAGCGACCACGTGATGGATGAAGATCAAGCTCAAGACCATGAGGACCACCAAAGCGAATCTCCGGCTCCACGTTCACAAAGAGGACGAGGAAGAGGAGGAAGAGGACAGGGGAGGACGACAAATTGCACCTATCGAGCCAGAGATGGTCGAAAATGACGCTGGAGACGGTGAATCTGCGGCTCCACGTCTACAAGGAAGACAAGGACTACGATCAAGAGGACAGATCGAAGCTGTGCAGCCGAATAGCGACGACGTGATGGATGAAGATCAAGGTCAAGACCATGAGGACGACCGAAGCGAATCTCCGGTTCCACGTCGACAAGAAGTACAAGGAAGAGGAGGAAGAGGAGGAAGAGGAAGAGGAGGACGACAAATTGCACCTGTGCAGCCGAATAGCGACGACGTGATGGATGAAGATCAAGCTCAAGACCATGAGGATCGAAGCGACCGAAGCGGATCTCCGGCTCCACGTCCACAAGGGGGACGAGGAAGACGAGGAAGAGGAGGAAGAGGTCGGGGAGGACGACAAATTGCACCTGTGCAGTCAGAGACGGTCGAAAATGAAGCTGGAGATCTGGCAGGTTTGGATGCTCAGTTGGAGCCACGCGAAGAGCCGGATAGAGACATCGGTAGTGGCGTCCAGATAAACGAAGACGACCAGAGCGAATCTGCGGAGCAGAATGAGTTCGACGAGATGGTTGAAGATCAAGTTCAAGACCATGAGAACGACCGAAGCGAATCTCCGGCTCCACGTCGACAAGAAGTACAAGGAAGAGGAGGAAGAGGAGGAAGAGGAGGAAGAGGAGAAAGAGGAGGAAGAGGAGGAAGACAAGGACTACGATCAAGAGGACAAATCGCACCTGTGCAGCCGAACAGCGACCACGTGATGGATGAAGATCAAGCTCAAGACCATGAGGACCACCAAAGCGAATCTCCGGCTCCACGTTCACAAAGAGGACGAGGAAGAGGAGGAAGAGGACGGGGAGGACGACAAATTGCACCTATCGAGCCAGAGATGGTCGAAAATGACGCTGGAGACGGTGAATCTGCGGCTCCACGTCTACAAGGAAGACAAGGACTACGATCAAGAGGACAGATCGAAGCTGTGCAGCCGAATAGCGACGACGTGATGGATGAAGATCAAGGTCAAGACCATGAGGACGACCGAAGCGAATCTCCGGTTCCACGTCGACAAGAAGTACAAGGAAGAGGAGGAAGAGGAGGAAGAGGAAGAGGAGGACGACAAATTGCACCTGTGCAGCCGAATAGCGACGACGTGATGGATGAAGATCAAGCTCAAGACCATGAGGATCGAAGCGACCGAAGCGGATCTCCGGCTCCACGTCCACAAGGGGGACGAGGAAGACGAGGAAGAGGAGGAAGAGGTCGGGGAGGACGACAAATTGCACCTGTGCAGTCAGAGACGGTCGAAAAATGAAGCTGGAGATCTGGCAGGTTTGGATGCTCAGTTGGAGCCACGCGAAGAGCCGGATAGAGACATCGGTAGTGGCGTCCAGATAAACGAAGACGACCAGAGCGAATCTGCGGAGCAGAATGAGTTCGACGAGATGGTTGAAGATCAAGTTCAAGACCATGAGAACGACCGAAGCGAATCTCCGGCTCCACGTCGACAAGAAGTACAAGGAAGAGGAGGAAGAGGAGGAAGAGGAGGAAGAGGAGAAAGAGGAGGAAGAGGAGGAAGACAAGGACTACGATCAAGAGGACAAATCGCACCTGTGCAGCCGAACAGCGACCACGTGATGGATGAAGATCAAGCTCAAGACCATGAGGACCACCAAAGCGAATCTCCGGCTCCACGTTCACAAAGAGGACGAGGAAGAGGAGGAAGAGGACAGGGGAGGACGACAAATTGCACCTATCGAGCCAGAGATGGTCGAAAATGACGCTGGAGACGGTGAATCTGCGGCTCCACGTCTACAAGGAAGACAAGGACTACGATCAAGAGGACAGATCGAAGCTGTGCAGCCGAATAGCGACGACGTGATGGATGAAGATCAAGGTCAAGACCATGAGGACGACCGAAGCGAATCTCCGGTTCCACGTCGACAAGAAGTACAAGGAAGAGGAGGAAGAGGAGGAAGAGGAAGAGGAGGACGACAAATTGCACCTGTGCAGCCGAATAGCGACGACGTGATGGATGAAGATCAAGCTCAAGACCATGAGGATCGAAGCGACCGAAGCGGATCTCCGGCTCCACGTCCACAAGGGGGACGAGGAAGACGAGGAAGAGGAGGAAGAGGTCGGGGAGGACGACAAATTGCACCTGTGCAGTCAGAGACGGTCGAAAATGAAGCTGGAGATCTGGCAGGTTTGGATGCTCAGTTGGAGCCACGCGAAGAGCCGGATAGAGACATCGGTAGTGGCGTCCAGATAAACGAAGACGACCAGAGCAAATCTGCGGCTATTTGTCGACGAGGAGGACGAGGAAGAGGACGCGGTGGACGAGGAGGCCGAGGAGGACGAGGAGGCCGACTGACACGACAAAGCGCAACTGTACAGCCGAATACCGACGACGAGATGGTCGAAGATCAAGTTCAAGACCATGAGGACGACCGAAGCGAATCTGCGGCTCCACGTCGACGAGGAGTTGCCGAGGCAGTCTCCGATTCGTCCGACGACGTTGAGTTCACTCCGGAGAAACAAGAGAAGTGGAACGAAGCGGTCGCCCAGTCCGAGAAAGTCTTCGAGGAGCTCGGGAAACAGACTCTGCTAGGTACTCCTTTAAATTGACACTTTTTTTTTCCTTAAAACCAACACGTACTCTGTTTCAGTCTCGCCGCGTGTCCGCTTCCCGGCCTGTCTCTTCAACCCAAATGGCGTGCGTCAGATTCCACAGCCGGTTCGGAATGCGCCGAAGCCGCAAGCGCTGTTCGCATGGCACATGGCGGAGAATGACCGTCCACAAGGTACACCCTCAATCCACGGCTCTCCAGACACAGTTTCCATTGCAGAAAAGTGGTCGAACGCGTCGGAGGACGTGCAGAACGACTTCAAGAATCTCGTGAAGTTGTTGACAAAGAAAAGGGAGGTTCAGGAGAGCCTCGGATACACCATTCTCTACACGGTAATGCAGGAGAGGAAAAGAAGGGTGAGATTGAGCCGAGATCAGGTTGGAACATAATAGTTGGTCTTTCAGATGGCGGTCGATAATCACCGTGCTCCCAAGAGAGGCCGAGTGGACCAGGAGGAGCCGGTCGAGCAGGACCGTGAAGATCCGGAGGTTGGGGCCCAGGAGCTTTCGGTTGAGCGGAACCACGAGGAGCCGGCCGAGCAGGACCAAGAGATGTGGGCCGAGCGGGACCAGGAGATGTCAGCCGAACGGGACCTGGAGCTGTCGGCCGAGCGGGACCAGGAAATGTCGGCTGAGCGGGACCAAAAGATGTCGGCCGAGCGGGACCCGGAGGAGCTGGCCGAGCAGGACCGTGAAGATTCGGAGGTTCGGGTCCAGGAGCTTTCGGTTGAGCGGAACCACGAGGAGCCGGCCGAGCAGGACCAAGAGATGTGGGCCGAGCGGGACCAGGAGATGTCAGCCGAACGGGACCTGGAGCTGTCGGCCGAGCGGGACCACGAGGAGCCAGCCGAGCAGGACCAGGAGATGTCGGCCGAGCGGGACCAAGAGATGTCGGTTGAGCGGGACCGTGAAGATCCGGAAGTTCGGGTCCAGGAGCTTTCGGTTGAGCGAAACCACGAGGAGCCGGCCGAGCAGGACCAAGAGATGTGGGCCGAGCGGGACCAGGAGATGTCAGCCGAACGGGACCTGGAGCTGTCGGCCGAGCGGGACCACGAGGAGCCAGCCGAGCAGGACCAAGAGATGTGGGCCGAGCGGGACCAAGAGATGTCGGTTGAGCGGGACCGTGAAGATCCGGAAGTTCGGGTCCAGGAGCTTTCGGTTGAGCGAAACCACGAGGAGCCGGCCGAGCAGGACCAAGAGATGTGGGCCGAGCGGGACCAAGAGATGTCGGTTGAGCGGGACCGTGAAGATCCGGAAGTTCGGGTCCAGGAGCTTTCGGTTGAGCGGAACCACGAGGAGCCGGCCGAGCAGGACCAAGAGATGTGGGCCGAGCGGGACCAGGAGATGTCGGCCGAACGGGACCTGGAGCTGTCGGCCGAGCGCGACCTGGAGCTTTCGGTTGAGCTCTAAGGAGCTTCAACCAGTTAATCTTAAGTTTTTATCAATCATTGTTTGCTTTCCTTCCGTTTTTTACTTTTACTTTGCACGATTTCGCTTTGTTCTGTTCTTTTTCCATTTTTCATCACAGTATTATCCATCCCCCCGTTCTCACATAAACCAATTCTTTTCACATCTCCTCCTGCTTCTCCGTCTTCTTTTTTGTTCATTTTCTCATTGGTTGCCTCAAACCATGCACAATATCTTTCACGTTTTGTTTCATTTCTGTCGCTAATCCCAAATTACAGCATAATGCGCATGCAGAATCAAATGCCGAATCAAATGCAAAACCAAATGCAAGTGCGAAACCCGGCTGAAGGTACCATTTCCCTAAACACGTTTCTTTTTTTAAAATTTCCTTTTTCAGCTCGTCAACACCGTGCACCGAACCAGTTGGCCCATCCACCACTACCTTTTCCGGGTGAGTACAGAGCAGAAGGACAACAAGACTTTAAACGTTTTTTTTTCAGGAGCACCCGGATACGGACAGTTCGGAGCCCCGATGCCGGCTCCGGGACAAGGTTACTACGTCTGTCATGGAGGTAAAAACATGCGTTCGCGTCTGCTCTTCAAATGCTCTTTTTTCCAGACGCCCGCCATGAGCAAATGATGAACGGGTTCGCGCAGGCGGCACCGATGTACGGACATCAGCAAGGCCGCCTCCAGACTCTCGCGGCCTTCCAGCCACGTCCCCAGCACCCTGGCTACCCTCCGCAAGGATTCAATGGCGGCGGACCGCTCGCCGCACCTCTTCCGGGACACGAAATGATCACGATGAGAGTGGAGGATTCGCACGCGTATCACGATTTGAGTGGGGACACACGAACATAGTCGACTTTGAATGATTCTCGAGTTTCAGAGCAAAAGTTAGAGATGATGACGAAGGAGAGGGATGTTTTCATGCGGAAGGCTGCCGAGCTGGAAGCCCGTTTTACGGCGGCTTCTCCAGCATCTCCGTTGGACGGTTAGCGTTCTTTTAATCTTGATCCGTTCATCTTTACTCTTTGCAGAAACTCTTTCGTCGCATCAGTCCGTGAGCCCGACTCCCACTCCGGTCACAGTGAAATTTGCTAAGAAAAACAAAGAGAAGCGTCGAATCCCACTGATCAAGATCGAAGATCCAGATCTCCAGAGTCCGGAAGAGCGGATCTTTGTGGCTCCAATACATCCGGTCCGACTCGGGAACATGAAGATCGAAGAGCCAGACGAGGAGTCGAATCGTCAGGGTCCGGAAGTGCAGATGCTCCTGGCTCGAGTGGGTGAGCTGCAGGATCCAGAGGAGTCGAGACGTCAGAGTCTGGACCAGCAGATGCTCCTGGTTCCAGTGGGTGAGCTGGAGGATCCAGAGGAGTCGAGACGTCAGAGTCTGGACCAGCAGATGCTCCTGGTTCCAGTGGGTGAGCTGGAGGATCCAGAGGAGTCGAGACGTCAGGGTCTGGACCAGCAGATGCTCCTGGTTCCAGTGGGTGAGCTGCAGGATCCAGAGGAGGATTTGAGAATCACTGAGGAGTCGAGACGTCAGGGTCTGGACCAGCAGATGCTCCTGGCTCCAGTGGGTGAGCAAGAGGAGGAGATGAGCGCCTCTGAGTCGATTCTCAGTGACGATTCTGAAGAGCGAGAGGATTTGGCGACTCCGGAGTCGATTTCCATTCAAGATCAGGAAGAGCAGATGCTCCTGGCTCCAGTGGATGAGCCAGAGAAGGCCGAAGAGACGTTGGTGATCCCGGAGGTGTCGAATCTCAAGGATCCGGAAGCCCAGATCTTATTGGCTCCCGTGAATCAGCCAGAAGCGCCCATTGAGCAGTTGGTGAGCCCGCAAGTGCCGAATCTCAAGGAAATGCAGATTCACCTGGCTCCAATGTATGGTCTAGATCTTCAAGAATTTGGGATCACCGAGGAGGCGGCTCTCAGTCAATTCTCGGAAGAAGAGCTCTTGAATGAGCAGGAAAAGGCAGAAGAGGAGATGAGGACCACGGAGGCGGTGTTCAGTCATGACGACTCGGTAGAGCAGATTCTCTTCTTTCTGCTGGAAGAGCTGGACGATCCGGAGAAGAATTTGGGCATCGCGGAGCAGTCGAATCGTCAGGATCTGAAAGAACACGTGCTCCTGACTCCGGCGAATGAGCGGAAAGAGCCAGAGAAGGAGACGGCGACCCCGGAGTCGATTGTCAGTCAATTCCTGGAAGGCCAGCTTTGGAATGAGCCTGAAAAGACGATGAAGACCACAGAGGCTGTTCTCTTTGAAGATCCTGAGGAGCAGAACTTTCTGGCTCCAATTGAAGACCGAGAAGCAGCAGTTGAGAAGGAATATCCCAAAGGACCGGAAATGCAGATTCTCCTGGCTCCGATGTATGGTCTAGAAGCTCCAGCTCTTCTCGGTGAAGGCCCTGAAAAGCAGGCTTCAGTGGATAATTGTATCGCGGAGGCGAGTCCCATTAAATGCTCGGAAGTTCCGATGCGAGAAGAGCCAGAAGTGAAGACGGGGTTGTCGGAGTCGATTCCGGTGCTCCTGGCTCCAGTTGCTGAGCCAAAAGCGCCAGAAAAGAAGATAGACGGTAAGGGAAATGAAGTTTTCTTAAACTTACAGTCAAACATTTGCAGATCTTCCTCAATCACCCGTGCCCTCCATCATTGCTCCTTCTGTGACTCCGAGCAAGATATCTCGCCGTCTGGGACGCGGAAGAGGGACCGACGAGGAGAAAAAGAAGTGGGACGAGGCGGTCCAGTACTACATGCGAACGGACGGATACCGTCACGCCATGATCCGTAAGCTCGAGTCGATGGTCCCCTTGAGTTCGCCCATTCATTTCAGGTAAAGGCGGCGAAATTCGCTTCAAGTGCCTCTTCGACCCGTTTGTCAGAAAGCCTCAGATTCCTCAAACTGTTAAAGGTATTCCGAGCAAGATAGTGCTGATCGACTTGAGTCGGCCCAGAACTGACGCGTCAGACCGTACAAGTAAGTACATGGGAAGAAAGCAAGCCAAGTTTTGAATTGTCCAGGAAAGTACATGGAGGATACGACGGACGCGGAGCACGAGGATGCCGAGGTGCTACAGGAATATCTCGAAGAGGAGCAGAAGGTGCAGATAGACGCCGGATACATCAAGTTGGTGGAGAAGAATACGCGTGCCGACAGAGATGCGGCACCGGAGCCGAAGAAGAGCTCTGATGAAGAGAAGAAGAAGAAGAAGAAGAAGTGTGGAAGAAAGGCCGGACCGAAGAAGGCGGCGGCGCCGGATGATTCGGAGGAATCCGATGAAGAAGAGGAGAAGGATGAGCCGGCGAAGAAAACGCGAAAACGCGTGGCTCAGAGCAGCCAAGGACCGCAACCGAAGCGTAAGGTTAGTTGAGAACATGTTTTACTACATAGAACTTCAACTAGTTTCTGTTCCTACCGTCACGTCCTTTTTCAGTTCTCCAAGGAGCCATGGGAGCTTTAAGCGGCATAGATTACGATGCATAATTCCAGAATTCTCTCCCTCTCTCTTAATCTCGAAAGTTTCCTTGCTCGGTAAACCTCTGCAACTTTTCAGCACAACTTCAGCAAGTTGTGCTCAACTTATACCCCAAAGTTTGCTCAGAAATTGCAGAGGTTTGCAAGCATATCTACTTGATTTTCCCAATCTAACTAATCTCAACGCATTGATAATTCCTTCTTATTCCTCTTTTCTTTTAATTTTACTTACTATTACTCCGATGCCTTTATTCTTGGTTAAATTATTCATACTTTGACGTTTATATTTATCGATAATATCCCCATGTCTTATCCTGTCTCCTTGCTCGTATTTCATGTTCTTTTTGTTTGTTAACTATCATAAATCCGTTTTGGTATTCCTTCTTTTCCTTAATGTTTCTTTCATCTCATTGGTCCCTCTGAACCATTGTCATATCTCTATCTCTATCATTTTTTGTTGTTCCTATAATTCCATCATTGTAGTCAACAATGGAGAACCGCAATCAAAACGGTAACCTTTCAACACTTTTCCTCCGCCTAAATGTGTACTTTTACAGAAGGCTTCTCGTCGGGTCACCCGCAAGGACACCCTCAGAATCTGGTGCCCCCGGTTCATGCAGCTCATCAACAAAACCTCAGTCATGTGGTTCTGGGGATGCAGGCACTGAACAGAATGCTGTCCTCGCTGGAAGGCCAGATCCCGATGCTCGGAGCAGTGCCGCCAGGAGCCACCGAGAGGATCTGTGAGTTATTCGGCAGTGCCTGGCAGCGCCTTCTTCTTTTGTCTTACAGTGAGAGCGTATCAGTTGAATGTAGCGGAACTGGGAGCGGAACAGGCGAGGAACTATGGTTTGCATGCAATCCTTCATACAACGAGCACCAGTCTGAGAGCACAGAATGCCTGGATTAGGAATGTCGAACGGGAACTGGCGGAGAGAAGCGCGTCGGCTGACGAGCTTCGGGACCAATTGGAGAGGGCGTTGAGAGAGATTGAGAGGCTCAGAAATGAGCTGAAGAAGGAGAAGAATCAGAGGGAACTGCTCGAGATCCAAATGGGCATAGGTCGATCAGATCCTACCAGCAGCCAGGCGACGTTGGCCCTCAGCGACAGCGGATCCCCGGCGCCGACCTACCCGAACCTGGACCATCTCTTTTATGGCCGTCTTAGAGGTCAGTTAGTACTGAAATGTTTTGTAACTTTTCAGTTTCAGGCATTGCGGGAGAGCCAGAGGTTCAAGCAAATGAAGAAGCCGGAGAAAAGGAGAGAGATACCCAACCTTAACCTTCAAAATCGCTATTCTCTGTTAAAAAGGTTCCCGGTCGATGCACCATAAACGGGTTTCCAATGGGTCCCAGCTCACAACAAAGCCTCAAACTTGGGTAATTAAACCTTTATCTACGAGCGTTAACAATTAATAAATAAAGACGTGAGAAAAAGTAAAGAAAAGGTGACCGGCCCCCTGGGCGGTCACCTTTTCTTTACGTGCCATGCGGAGGCTTTTATACTGTTATTGTGTAACAGTAAAGAATGTGCGGAGGATGGGGGAATCCAATCATATTAATTGAATTCCTGCCGCCTCCACACAGTGCTCATCGAGCACACTTCGCATCATTTTTATATCTTCAGAATACGACTAAACGTCGCGGCTGTAAAGCCAAATGAATCATATTCAGCTTCTGTCCGACAATACTTCTCAATGATTCTTCTTTCCCCCTATTGCATGTTTCTGAGAACTCTCAAACGTTTCAAAGTTCTCGCCTAACTATTTTGATTCATTTTGATCAATAAATGGTATTGATGTTCGCTCGTTCTTGCCTCATTCCTTTTCCACTGGTCAGCAATGCCCATGTGATATCTCTCTTCATTTCATTTTTTCCATTTTTTTTTTGCTAACCACTTGCTGCAGAGCCCTCTCCTCAACACCTTGCACATCAAAATGAACGTCGTCTTGCCGAGCTACCTGTTCCCGCAAGGTACGCATAATTGCACACAGTTTTTTGTTGTTGTCTCAATTACAATCTTTTTCAGAGCCCCAAGATTGCTCGTCCTCCGCGCAGAGCACCGATTCGACTATCATCTCAAATTCAGGCGTTTCGCACGTCAATGGAGCCGGTAATCGATGAAATCAATGCTTTTTAGATGGATTTGAATGTGTTTTAGACGCTCCGCGCGGTCAAGGAGGCGCCAAACAAGCTGTGCAGCCGGCCGACTTTCAGAAGATCGTCGAGGAGCACGGTAAGATCGTGCATTTCAGAAATGACAACTTTTGTGCGAAATTTTGCTCCGACTCGTTGTTTCAGCGATGCTCTTCCGAAAAATGACAGAGCGATCCGACGAGATGCAGGAGAGGATCACGTTTCTGAAAGAGGGTACGTAGGAATCCACAAGTACTCGAACACATGCTTGAATGTTTTTAGAAGCCAACCGAAAGAGCGCCATAGCCCACGAGAACGCGATGAAGGTGTTGGACAAAGAAAAGCGAAAAAGACGCCTCAGCGATGACGAGGCTGAAAGCGAACTCTTAAAGAAAAGGAAGACGAGCTTGCATCAAGAAATGGCGCAGAAAGAGTCTCGTAGTGAGCTTGAGACGAAACAAATTCAAGCGATGATCGGAAATGAGACGGTCAAACTTGCCAGTAAGTAATCAGTTTTCGGATCGAAAATGCAATCCTCTGATACTTCAGGATTCCAGCAAATGCTCGGAATTTTCGCTCCTCCTCCACCTCCACCGGCTCCAAAACAACTCATTTTCCAGCAGCCGCCCCCGTACTTCCCGCACTTTGCCGCTCCGTTCGCATACCCACAGGTTAGTCAAGTTACTGTAGATCTTTTCGAGTTGAACGATTTTCAGCCTGAACATCATCCCAATCAGTGAGTGATTCGATATTCTTTCATTGTTAATAGTAATGTTCGGCTTTTCTTTCCGCTGTTATTCATTTTTTTTCGGTTCCATTCCCATTTTCACACTGATCCATTTCCTCTTTTCGATCGTTGTCTTTATAAAAATGTTGGTCAAGTCGCTGAGTTCCTCATTTTCCGTTACCGTTTCACATTGGTTTCATGAGACCATGATATATCTATCTTGCTAGTCATTGCTATTATCTAACACAAACTTCTAGGCCCAATGTCTCTTCCGTCGACTTCTCAAGCTGCTCCGAATGCTCAAGAGCTTCAAGATCCGGCGACATTCGTCATGCCGCGCATTAAACGTTTGTCATTCGAACAGTTTCGGTTTATAAATGTTTGATTTCAGGCGAGATCATTGACGCGGATAATGAGAAGCAACCGGAAAGAGAAGAAGAAGTTTCGCCGGTCGAGCTGGAGCCCCCAACGAGAGATCACGTTACGATCAAGAGTAAGTCTTTTGTCAAGTTCTCATACGGCCAACGATTTTCACTAGTGACTTTTCTGATGTACGCGAAAATTTATGAAAAACATGTCGCGGAAGATCAAATAAATGAGCCGTTTTGCAGAAGAGCCGATGACGCAAGAGGAGAGAGACGAAGAGCTCAAGGAGATGTTCTTGAGATCCTCCGAAAAAATGGGTTGGTACTTGAAGATTTGTCCTCGTCTCTCATGACTCATGACTGTACTTTTCAGCCGAGGTGTTCACGTCCAGGCAACAATTGATGAAGAAATGTGAAAATGATGCTCTGTTCGGTAAGTAGTCATTTTAACACGACTTCACAGGGTTCAATTTCAGCACAACATATGGATGATGAAAGAAGAGAAAGTGTGGAGGAGATTCTGGAAGAGGCGAATCGGCTGCGAATAGAGAACGCGCCGGAGAGAGAGATGGAGGAGAGGTTGGAGAGGGAACGGAAGGAGGTCGAAGAGTTGGAAACCCTCAATATGGAGCGGTCCGAAGCGATGCGGATCGAGAAGCAGCAGCTTCTCGCGCAGCTGTCTCGTCTGCAAAGTAAGTGATGAACGTTTCGTTACCTCATTTAGCTCGAACCCTTTCAGATCAGTCGAGCTACCTCGAGAGCATGTTGGCGCCGCCAGCTCTCGCTCCTCCGGCACTCCCGTCGCCGTCCGGAGAGGGGCAGGCCGCTTTGCGTGAGGCGGCGACGGCCCGCGCCCAAGTCTGCGCGCTCTACCGCAATCCGAACGCCGGTAACTTTTTTCCCCATCACAACATCCATGCGCCAATCGTTAATTTCAGTGAAGAATTGCCTGTTCAACCCGTCAAAAGGAGGCCCGCTGCCGCAGGAAGTGTGCGCACTTCCGAGAAGTTTCAGCATCTTCTCGTTTGTCGGAGGCCGCGGACCGTACACCGAGAGGGATCCCACAGTTTGGGATCCTCTGATCAGGCAGTGGTCCGACGAGGTGAACCTGGAACGGGAGTTCCAGAAGCAACACGGGTGGATCAAGATGAAGGCGTCACTGCGGGTACGTTAAGACAGTACTTGATTTAGAGCTTATAATTATATTTACAGCGTGGTCCGCACAGAAGAGGACCATACGAGGTCGACAATTGAATTAAATTAATTAAATTAAAGTTTATAAAAAAGTAGAACTCACTTCTTCTTCTAATCTCGACTCTTACATGGTTTCAAACCGTGCTCATATCTTTTCTTCTTCTTCTTCTTCTTCTCGTACACTTTTTTCTAGTTCAACTCATTACCAGATGAACATCAATACTCCAATGTCACCGAGTGAAGAAGAGATTCAAGTGGACAACCCGGTAGAAGAGGAGGAAGAGGATGATAATCAACTTCATGGTGAGTTATTTCACTTTAAGCCTAAAGTCATCGGATTTATTTGCAGAAGACGACGAAATGGAGGAAGAATGTGCTGGATGCCGGGCAAAGGACGAGATGATCGTCAGACAGGAGGCCGAGATAAATCAGCTCAAGATGAGATTGAGCCAACGTGAGTTTGGGCATATTTTGACGCGTTATCTCAGCCAGACTCCCCTTGGACGTCTCGAAACCAGAATTGTGACTCCTCACAGCCTATTTTCAAAACGTCTAGTTTCAAGACAAGTTCCCCATGGTTTCAGAAGTCACCCGACCGCCTCCACCACGTCTCGACGCTCGCGGCCTTCCGCCAAACTTTCCATACTTCCCGCCACGTTTCCACGATCGTTTCTTCGGAAATCAAAGCGATCAAGGTCGCCGCGAAGGTTAGTTTTACTCAATTTTAAAAGAAAACTTCATGCAGAGTGTCTTACAGAAAGTTCGTCGGCTCAACACGCACCAGTGCCGCATCGCCCTTGTAAGATAAAAAGTGTCAATGATTTTTGATTGGTACTACTACATTTCAGTGATCGAACAAGCACTGGAGGTCTTCCCCTACTTTCCATTGCTTCACGCGAGCCTCGTGCAGCAGTTCTACGCTAGACAAGGTTGCTCAAGACTACATATCTCAGCTGGCTGTCGAGATAACAAAATGTTGTCAACTAACAAAATGTTTGCAATGTTTTGATGAGTATTTTGTCAGTTGACAGCATGTTTCTATCTCTAAAGACAGCTGAGATACGTTGTCTTGAATGCAAATCAAATCCTCTCAGTTCAAATCCCCAAAATTCCAGAAGCTGCGGCTGCTCCCCCGGCCCAGCAGGCTCGAAACGATCCTCCACGCACTCCGAACCCATCGCCCGGACCCGCATCCCCTGCGGCCGACTGCGAGTTCAGCATTTAAGGTTTCCGTGTGATTGTGTGTACTGTAACCCGTCCCCACACATAAAAATTTCATTCGTCACCTATCCATCTATTGTGCTGTTAACCTGCCCCCCGAATGGTACGCGTCCATGTTTCATACCTTCACTTTTTTTCCCGCAAAACCACTTTTAAACTCACCGTTGCAGTTTGTGCGTTTATTGCACCGCTACTACCATCGTAAAAATCGTCAGTTTATAGCGAAAGGTACGGGTTTTTTGTGAGCGATGGTGCACCTCAAAACGGAACGTTTTAGAGCGGAAATGGACTACTCGACCCACAACTTTTACATCCCAACCACTTCGACTCGTCAGACGCCGTGCCCAATGGAACCGCAGTGTAGGCGCTGAGCGCATCGCATCGTACACACACTTTTACAGTCAAAGTGCCAACACTTCCCTCGTTGTTGCCCGCAGGATTTCAGTTCGGCGAATGCTTTCAGAACCGAGGAGGCGGACCGATTAGAAGTGCGTTTTTTCCTGGTTCCCAAATGTTTGAAAGTTTATTTTTTTACCAACTTTTAGGCCTGAAACGTATAAATTCAGAGTTACGTTGGTGTTATAGGAGAGCAGTGTGATTAACAAAATGCCCAGTAATGTAAACTTTTTGAAACAGAAGACACTATCGTCCGGCACCCGCCTCCGCCTCCACCTCAAATCGAACCGGAAGCAAGACAAGGTACCGTTTTTCGGGAAAACGACAATACTCGTTTGATTTGCAGATCCATCGCCGCCGAGCACGGACGACCTGAAAGCGGTGACGTTCGAAGAGCTCAGTGAGTTTTGTCACTCGCGAAATTTTTGTACTTGAACTGTCTGTTTTGAGAGATTATGTACATGAAATCAACGAACGACAACGAAGAATTGAGGGGTGAAATGGAGAATTTGAGTGGGAAAGAGAGGATTGTTGCTCGAACTGATTCTGGAATTTTTTCAGAGAGACAGCTTCAAGCGTCGAAGATTCAGGTGGACATGTGGCAGAAGAAGAACGGAAGAAAGGACGCGAGGGTTAGTCGATATCTCGAATCGCATGTTCCACTAACAAAAAACGGTCCCTCACAGATCCGCCAGCAACTCGGAATCATCGCAGACCTCGAGAAGACGCTGATGGAGAAGGCGCGTGAGAAGTGGGACGTTCTACACGGCCCACAGTTCCAGGCGATGACCACCACCAACCTGCCGGGACCATCGTCGAGTTCATAAGTGCACGTAGAAGTTAGAATGAAGTTGACAAAAAGGAAAGCAAAATTTTGATCTCGGGCGGGCTCGAACCGCCGGCCTTCTGTGTGTTAGACAGATGTGATAACCACTACACCACGAGATCGCTGGCGGCAGGCGCTCAACAGAGCATAGAGGAGGAGGGCGCGGCGGCAGGTTGACGGGTTGGAAAAATCAACAATCCGGGCTTGAAAATGATGAAATTTTAAAACTGATTCTCCCGGAATGTTGATTGCAATCTATTGATTAAAAAAAAACACACACACACGCAGCAGAAAAGTATAACACCCCGTTTCCTGCTTTCTTTTCCCAATTGATTATACACACTCACCTTTTTGTAATGTAAACATTGGACCCTCTCCATTTATACGTAAACATTGCACCTTCCTTCTTCTAGAACCGTTCAGAAGTTCGAACGCCTCACGTATTCTCAGTTTGCTCTTGATTTCCAGCATTGGATATAATTGAAGTTGAAAACAGTTCGAGATTGTTTTAGCTATGAGTCACTGTTTACAAATCATATAGATATTGTTGTTTCTGTTTGTTTTCATTGTCAGCCATCGGACTCCTTCATACTTCTCCTCGTTATTTTTTCCCCGTTTATCGTAATTTTTATTCATCCGCTCGTCCTTTTCCCCTCCTCGTTATTTCGACAATGTATCTATTTTACAGGTATCATGGACGCCAACGAGGCGAACAACCAACACGCGGATCCTGTCAACCGACCGCCCGCTTCTGTCCAACCGATGGGTTCGTGTTTCGCTAGTTTCACCACACTTTCATCGTTTTTCTTCAGAATTTCCGCCGAGAATGGGCGATTTTATGCCGGCTTCCGTGGCGACGACAGGTGGGTTCCAAGTTGAGCACGGGGTTCCAAACGCTACCTGGCCTATGAGAGCTGGCACCGTGCCAACCGCCATTTCCGTCGAACGCGTTGCGGCCAGTGTAGCGTGCGTAGCTTTTGAACCTCATTGCCATTTTGTACATGTAGAATGCGTTAAAAGTGAAATTGATAGTAAGTGTTAAAGTCGAGTCGCTGAAACAGAATTTTCGGTTTCAAAGAACTGACATGCGGTCACGCTTCAATCTTTGTTCCGAATCTGATAGTGAAACCGAGTCCACTACACTTCATTTACATGTGATGTTCAGACAGACACCAAATCCACAATCAGTTCCATTATCCCCACGCGCCACCACCGCCGGTCCAAGCACATAATTGGTCCAACTCGGCACCAATGGACCGAAGACCGGCAACGGCCGCCCCGAACGGTGAGAGACGTTTGCAAGTTTTCTAGTTTAGCTCCATGTTTTCGTTTTCAGGCCGACCTCCGCAATCGCCCGCGCCGGATTCACTAATGATGCAACATCAAGGTAGGGTATTTGACACATTCAGGGCGTTCACGTACGTATTTCTGTTTAGGACACATGCACGGAGCGCAGTTTGGCGGTTCTTTCCAACCGGGACCGTTTGGACGGTTCCCACAGCCTTTTCCGTCGCCGGTCATGGCTCCGGGTCCGGCTCCGGTCGAAATGCTCAACCGCGCACCGGCTTCAGTTCAAGTTCCACGTGAGTTCATTTTCTCAAGGTTTCAGAGACTTAAATAAAGGCTCACCGTTTCAAAATTAGTCCACTTGTGGAACACAATCTCAATCAAACTTTTAGCTAACCACCAGTTCCACTTTGCCGGTCCTTTCAATCCGGGCCCATTCGGCCAGCTCGGCATGGACAAACGTCCGGCCTCCGTCGCTCCAAATGGTGAGCGAAGTGTTTGCAAGTTCTAATTTAGTTTTATTTGCGTTTTCAGGCCATCACCAGCCTAATCCGTACCAACAACCTCTTCCGTCGCCGGCTCCGGCTCCGCCCGCAATGCTCGACCGTCCGCCGGCCACCGTTCACGGTTGGTTATTCAGTGAAACTATCTCTAGGGACCGCAACGGGTTTCGCAAAACTCCGAATTTCCATAAAATTTTTAATGGAATGTGTTCCCCTACTCTATATGAGTACGCTCCTAACTTTTTTCTCGAAAATTTTCGGTACATCCCGAGTTATACTCCTTCAAAGTTGCCCTCTTTTCTCCCCGATCGGTGGCCGAGGAGGGGGCGGAGTCTCGCTAGCAAGTTTGCCGCACGCGTTTTTTCTCCTTATCTGGTGGACCAAACCAAAGAGTCAACATTTTAAATGAACAGAAATGATGTTCTAAAAAAGCAAAGCAACTTTTGAGGTCAAAAGTTTCGAACCCGACACCTCAAAATAGCCGAGCGAGCACTCTGCCACTGCGCCAACCGGGCGGAGGCGCGCTCACCGCCAATCGCGTTGAAAAGCTCGGTGTGCGCGGCCCCTTACAGGGGTGAAGTTAGTGAATTTTCGCGCTGAAATTCGATAGTCTATATCCAAGACACCGTTGTGATTGTTCAGCCAACCACAAGTTCGCTCATCCTCCGGCCTCTCCAGCACCAAACTTTGGCGGTCCCGGACAGTTCGCACCGCCCGGAATGGACATTCGTCCCGCATCTGTCGCTCCAAATGGTCAGTGAAGTGTTTGCAAGTTCTAATTTAGTTTCATACGAGTTTTCAGGCCACCCTCCGCCCTCTCCCGCGCAGGCCCCACAAAATCTTCAACGCCACGGTTTGTTTTCTAGATGATTAGCCTTTCATGTACATTTTTCTGTTCAGGACACATGCCCGGACCGTACTTTGGCGGTCCCTTATATCCGGGACCACTTGGACCAGCCGGAATGGACCACCGTCCGGCCTCTGTCGCTCCACATGGTGAATGACGTTTTGGAAACCGAAAAAAAAATCATTTTTATTCATACACCGTCTTTTTTCAGGCCACCGCCACACGTCTGCTCAGTTCGGACCCGGAATGACGCACTTCCGTGGTCCCATGCCTCCCGGTCCGTTCGGATCACAGGGAATGGATCAAAGACCCGCGTCAGTGGCTCCGAATAGTGAGTAACGTACAAGTTCTAGGCATACGCAATACAACGAATTGTGGCTAGTGATGAAATGATCTTACTGAAACCGTGTTGTTTGTTTTATGTGACTTTTTCAGGCCACCGCCACCCACATCCGTTCCAAACTTCGGTTCAAGCTCCAGGTTAGTCTTTCAGTTTTCCCAAAACTTTCAGACATTGTATTGTTTAGGCCCGCGAGGTCATCAGCATGGTCCCCCAGAGTTTACGAGACCGGACATCGATAGAAAACCCTTCGGTAGACAATAGTTTCACGTTTGAATTTGATTAAGATGCTTCTTACATTCCAGATGAGTTGTTTGCAAAACCAGCCGATCCGGCTCCGATTCCATGTGCTCACGGTAATCTGATAGTGAAACTTTGAGCCGTTTCAACTGTAACTCTCTAATTTCAGAGGCCCAAATCGAGCAGTTGAAGAAGAAGGTGGAAACGCTTGAAAGAGAGCAGGAGTTGGCTCAGCAGAAAGCGCACGAAGCGGAAAAAAGTGAGCGACGATTCCCAGCCACAATTGCTTTGAGTTTTCAGGCCGATGCGACAAGCTAATTGAATATGAGATCAGGAAAATGAATAGGGAGTCGGACGAAATGATGGCGATGAGAAGAAGATGCGAAGAATTGGAGGCGGAGAACGGAAACTTGATGAGAATGTTGGTGCAGAAGGAGACGGGTACGTGTTCGATCCGTTCTTGATTCTGTGACACTGGGAACACGAACAAAACTAGGCCATTTTTAGCGACTTCTTATCGTCCTCTTCGTGAATAAATTTCATGTAATCACGGCGACCCCAAAAGTGTAGAAAGGGGACTTTTCTGAAAATTGCCGCAATTCCAGCACTTTTGCGATATTTTTGTGTTTGATGTCGATGAAAGAAGAGCACATTAAAGAGAGAAAACATTGAAATTTTCGTGAAAACACCGCGTTTGAGACGTTTTTGGCGCATTTCGCAATACGCCCTCCGCGGCCAATCGCCGCCGCAATTTCGGAATTTTCATACCGGCCGATCTGGATAGTTTTGAGACGAAGTGAGTGTCGGAAGTGATTAAGCACTTTAATACAGGTATTTTAAGCGTTCAAACGGCAAAAAGTATCGGCGAATGACTGAAATTCGCGCATTTTCAGCACAAAACTGGAAAATCGCATCAATTGATTCATTTCTGAATGAAAACTGCTCGTTTTAAGCTCAAAAAGTTTAATAAAGTTATTATGCAATTACATCGTTGATATCGTACAAAATTTGGGTAATTTTTGTTACGAAAAACATGAAAAATGGGGTTAAATTTCGAATTTCGCGCCAAAATGGTGATATATGTATAACTAGTGCAGAGTTGATCAACATGATCTCTTCTTACAAACTTGGCGAAACAGTCTTTCCCTCGTTTCAGTCACCTCGGAGACCCAAACGGAAGGCTCCTATCCGCCACACTTCGTGCTCCTCCCGTCACCGTCCGAGCTGGAGCAGCAACAACATTCCGTGTATGTGCTCCCTCCGATCGAAGAGCCGGCGGCTCTGGAGAGAGCGCGTGGAGAGCCGGTCCCGCAAGAGTTTGTGATCGAGGAACCGGTTGAGGAGGAGGAGGAGGAGGAGGAGGAGGAGATGGATATGAAGATGCCGCCACTCGTGCAATTCTTCAACGGACTCTCGCCTCTGATGCGTCCGCCGATCGTGCAGCCAGTGTCCGGTCCGATCGTCCTGTCTCCAGCTCCTCGACTCGAGAGCTCATCTGGTAACGATGATCCGATGCGTGAGCAGTTCCAGATGACTTTGGCGATGTGGGAGAGAAGAAAGGAGGAGTTCAAAATGCGCAATTTCAAAGGTGAGCGGTGAGCACAGCGAGAGCTCAACGAATCGCGACCGCTTTCCAGACATGACCACCTACTTCTTCGACCCGAAAGGCCGAAAAGTCGTGCCTCAGGTCGTCGGCCGCCTCACCAACTCCTACACGCTCTTCCAACAGTACTACCGGTACAAGGAACGAGACGATTCGCTTCGTAAGTCGCCTTGTCTCAACTATTCCTTGATCAGAACCTAGCCGTTTCACGTTTCTCTTCACGGATCCGTAAAACCGCTAAAGTTAGAACTCATTTAGATAGCTAGAAAGTTTTCAGCAAACATGTGGAAGAATCTGAGCAAGATGGCCAAGAACGGATGGTCGGATGAGTGGAAGACCGCGCGGAAGATCCAGTCGATTCAGTTGGCCGAGAAATGGATCCGTCTGAAAGAACCGGACGAGCCGAAGTCGGTGCAGAACGGACCGACCAAACCAAAGGTCAAGTACAGCTACAGAAAGAATAGGAAGACCTAATTCCGCTTTTTGACGCAAAATTTTTCAAACATTTTCTAACTGCTTATTAACTAATAATATAGTCTCATCGTTTTATGAACCCGTGATTTTGTGCTTTTTGTTATTATGAACTCGTGTGTCCTTTTTCTCGATGCCATGGTTGTAATGATTGAGATTTATATTGTACTTTTCGCTTTTTCTGATCATAAACTTGCTTGTAGACTTGAATTCTTCATTTCTCAACGAAAAATGTCATTTATGGCTAAAAATGTACATTTAATTTCAAAATTGACGTCAAAACCGCCGAAAGCTTGAAAACAATGTACTTTGACACCTCCTCAATCACCAAATCCCCCCGGAGACGTCTGTTGACGTCTTCGAGTCGATTTCGAAGAAATGAGACTGACTCATTTGGAGCGCCAATCAGAATACTACATTCCCACTCTTTTTTTGGTTCGATCAGACCGGTCGGATCGAGTGTATTTAGTGTATGTGAATGCACTTTGAGCACAAAGTGCAAAAAGGGCTGGCTCTTTTGCTCCGATTCTCTTTCAATATCACATTTTCTAAAAATCCTATTCAGATGGATCCGCCTGCCATCCCTTCGTTCTTTATCGAACGTCTTCTTGCCCCAACGCCAACTAGCAATTTCAAGGAAGTGAGTTTAAAAAAAGCAAAAAAGTTTGACCCCCGGTTGGGATCGAACCAGCGCCGAGCAATTGAAAAGCAAAAGCGTAACCACCGCGCCACTCGCGACACTTTTGCCATCCCCGCCCAGATGCAAAGATGTTCTCGGTGTTAGGATCTACAAAATTGTAATTTAAAAAGTGCCCTTTAAACTTCACGGATCCGTACCAGACTTTAAGGACATAATCTCACCAACCTAGAGGGACCACCTTTCAAGTTTCGTCGCAATCGGTTGCCTAGGAGAGGAGCAACAGCAACAGTTGAAACGCAATGAACAACAGTTTTGCGCGTTCTTTCAAATTCAAAAAGTCTTTGAAACACAAAAGTTTCCAAAAAGTGATCCAGTGTCAAATTTGGTCCCGATCGGTTTAGTCCTATTCATTTTCAGCCGTATCCAGTGCTCCAGCCTTATTTTCAGCCAAACCTCAACTTTCAAGGACCGTCAGCCTCTATGTACACACCAGAAGTACCGGTTTTTCATTTGTTATGAATATAGAGCCCATCAAAACCATTTCCAGTTGATCAACGCGTGTTTGGAGTTCAAACGAGCCGATCTGCAGGAGCAACAAGCCGAATTGTATCTGAACTTTGAGGCCGGCTTCGGAGCACTTTCCGGGTTCTTTCCGCCGGTCCTGCCGGATTGCGATCCGATCACCAGGGAACAGATTTTCAAGAGATATACTGTAAGTAGCCGTACCACCGCTAAATACCATACATTCAAGTTCAAATCAATGTATCTCAGCTGCCGTAAGAGATATCAAAACGTTTTCAACTGATAAAATGTTTAAAAAGTCATTATGCACATTTTATTAGTTGACAGTCTTTTGATATCTCTACCCACAGCTGAGATATATCCGAAAACGTTCAGACCGCCGGAAATCCGTTGTTGAAGGAAGTGGAGGAAAAGTATGGCGGCTCGACACCGTTGAACGAGTTGTTCGGATGGGACGGAAACGGAATCCTAGACACCAGACAGAAGGTATTGAAGTTTAAAAGAAACTGCTCGAAAACCGGCGACTATTACAGCTTCCCCCTCAATTTCCGTTCACTTCTCACGTACTGATGAGCTACGGAATGGTCAAACTCGCCAAAAGTCACCGATTGGTCACTCGTAAGCTCATCGAACCCTCTAGAACACTCAAAATTCCCTTATTTTTCAGAAGTTGGTCTTCAAAGTCTGTCTCCGGACGATCGAGAAGTCTACCTGGCCCAGAGAAAGTGGCTCAACGGTAATTACGAACAGGCGTTTCACAAATTACACCTTTTCTTTAGAAACTTGGCCAAAAATGTCGGAAAACGAGAAAAACGAGTACAAGACGTTGTACTTGAACGGATTGAATCAAGTTCAACAGGAGGAAGAGTGCAGGAGAGCATGGTGAGCAATAGATATTGTCCAATTCTAAATATTGCATTGTAGGAGAGCCCAACGTATCAGCAGAAAGAATGCCGAACTACGCGCCCACTATTTATCGTCGAATTGAATTGATCCGACGCCTCGTATATAAAATGACTTGTTTACACACAATAAAGCGAACGTTCGGCCAAAACAACACGACACTCGCGGCGAAAAGCAGAACAAGCATCGGTGGTTCAGTGGTAGAATGCTCGCCTGCCACGCGGGCGGCCCGGGTTCGATTCCCGGCCGATGCATTTTGTTTTCGCCTCGTTTTTCCTTCCTCATCGTTATTTCCTTATCATTTTTCCTCAGCCTTTCGCCTCATACGAGAGAGAGAGAGAGAGAGAGAGTGAACAGAAAAAGAGAGGGCGCCGACGACGATAACCAGCGCGTGTTGGTTTTTTCGAAATTGTTCGTTTTCCTCAGGTTGTTGGCGTATAAAATGGGAAAGAGAAATGCGAAATTTCAGCACTTTTCACTTTCTAACTATGATTGATCCAGCTTTTCAACTTCAATTTCCAACGGAATACTTCGCGTCGAATGACTCGGAATTGTCGGAAAACGAGCCATCCGACACGGAAAACAAAGAGGAGCCGGAGCAGAGTTTGGAGAAAATTCGGATGGAAGTCGACGAGCTCACGGAGCAACTGACGGAGCATTTCGATCGGGTTCAGATGGAAATCGACGCGTTGAAAGCCGTTTTTCAAGATAATGAACATGTCTAGGAAGTTTCTCGGAAAAAAAAACGGTTTCAAAAGCGCCTCAATTATTCTGTGTTCACTCGGTTTCATTGATACCTGGTAATTTATTGATAAACACTTCGATATCCATTCAAAACGGTCTTTTTTCGAAAACACGCACACACACACGTGTCTCCGACACTCTTTGTGTACTCTCTCTCTCATTTTTTCCGTGGCATTGGAAAATAGGGAAAAATAAGTGAATTTCGAGCATTTGAGCCAATCGATACAAAAGGAGCAAACAAAGGAAACCATAATAGATGTTTCGATGGTTCGCAATGGATAAAATGAGAATGTTGAAACAGAAAGCGTCGATTTGAATTTTATTCTCATGTCTTTTCCTAGTTTCATTCTCAAAACGTGACATTGATCGTGACTTCGTGTTTTCTCAACGCCAAGGGCACCAGCAACGCTTTCGGCTTCTTTTCATAGTTGAAAAACAGCATTATACACCTGAAACCAGCATTTTTTTTTTGCACTTTTCCTTCAATCTAACTTTCAAACTGACCCGTCAGCGACATGAACGAACAGATTGGAAAAGATGGTGAACACAAACTGCCATACAATATCCGAACTCCACGCGTAGACGTACATGCTATTAAGGGTGTCAATCAGGTAGATCCAGTCCTGGAAGCACGACTGAAGAAAGAGACGTCGCGAAGTTCGGCGCCGACGTTTTGTGGCCACCGAATCGAGGTGTTGTTTGGTCTGAATTACCTCGGGTTACTGTAGCGACCACAAGAATCGTTTTACCGCAGAAACGACCAATTTAATAGCGACGACCAGGTTGAACGTGTTGGAAATGACGGCTAACACGCCGATCCAGTACATGACGAGTTGGGCGAGCACGTCGACGCACGGATCCAAGTTGTCCCAGGTGAGAATGTCGAAGTTGTAGATGTTCGTGCAGTTTTCTAAATGTACAATATCCATTGGGACGCTTTTCACAGCGAAACGTACCCGGAATACCGGCAATAGTGACTAGGAATGAGATGAACCAGCAAATCGAGAGAGCGACAATAGTTGCACTTTGTCCGTTTTTCCGTTTTGCCAGCGAAACAAAGTAAATCACCAGAAATCGATTAAATGATATACACACTTGGGTCATTGGACCTAAAACTTTCAAGTTTCGGCTGAAAGTACTATTTTATTCACCTTGAATATAGATTCCATAGGCGGCGATTTGATTGAGTATCATATTCAGAAAGTCCGGACCGTAATATAATCGTCTAGAAATTTATTAATTGAGAAATTACCGCTTCTTAAAAACTTGCATCACAGAAACGGGGCCGTTGAAACTGAGATAGCTGAAGAGGACGATCGAGTTGGAGACGGTTTTCGAGGAGCACATTATGTAGAAACTCGGCATGTTTTTGGCGACGAAACGACTCAGAACGAGCATGTTTATGAAGATTCCGAACGTCGACGTCTGCAAGGATAACCGATTGGGACCATATTTAGAAGGTAAACCCGGGAAATCACCGGGAATGTCTTAGCCCTGAGCGCTATACCTCAGTGACATGCGCGTGGCGCAGTGGTTGCATTTTTGCATTTCGTTTCAAACAAACGGCTTGGGTTCGATCCCAATTGGGGTCAAATTTCTTTTGTGCTCAGTAATATCTGGAAAGTGGGAAAAGTGTGGTTCTTTCGGGTTCATAATTTGTCAACTGGCTGAAACAGTGATAATATTCCGGTTTTTCGCTGAAAAGTACGCAAAAAGTGTACTCTTTTCGAACTTTGGCACCTGGTTGATTGGAAAGAAGGTGAAAAGATTAGCAAATCGTGTACTAGGCTATTTTGGGAATAACAACAAAAAGTTTTGCGAGAAACACGAAATTCGCTCCGAAATCTCGCGGAATTCTACTCAGTTTCAAAAACGTTTGAAAAAAGAACAAAATCTATGTACTCGACTCACGGCGATCATAAAAATGCCTGCCGAAATGGTCATCCACGGCTCGGCGACGTCGTCCGGTCGGGTGTCCTCAATCCAAATCTGCTCAAGCGTCTCATTCGAGAGTGACATATCAGGTGACGGAGCTGGAAAAAAAAGTCAAAAGACTGCGCGTGGTCGCCAATTACACCCCCGAAAATAATGGAAATTATCGGCGCTCACCAGACACGCGTAATCCCATTCAATTCCACGTTTCGGCGGGCTTGAAACGAATAATCGACAAAACGGAAGTATTTTGGGGGAAGCGGGACTGCAAAGTTGGCTGAAAATGCAATCAAATCACGAGAACGCTGATTTCATTGCATTGTTGTTCACGTTTTCGAACACCGCGACGAACACAGACAGAGCAATTCCACTGTCGTTCAACTTGAACCGATTGGGACCAAACTTGGAAGATGGTCCCTCTAGGCAGCCGGGATCATGTCCCTGAAGTTTGGTACGGATTGGTAAAGTTTGAACGGTACTTTACGAGCACCGATTTAAGAGCTCCTGACACCGAGAATATCATCGGCCTGAGAGCATTAGATCTAAGTGACACAGTAGCACAGTGATAGTGTTTTTGCGTTTCGTTCCGAATTCTAGGTACAGGTTCGATCCCCACTGGGGTCTAATTCCTTTGGCTTTTTTTCTGGTCTCTTACATCCAATAAACTCGATAATTGTCCAATATTCATAGTCTTCCTCCTTCATTTCAAGCAAACAGATGGAAAAAACTGATGCTGAACGTGTTGGTTTCGTCATTTTGTGTGTGGCATTAAAAAACCAATATTCTCCAAATATCAAAGATCAAAAAAGGCGTTTATTGACACGAGAACAGAATCAAGCACATTTTCTAGTGAAAACAGTTATGCTTTTCCTTTTTTCATCGATTTTCCGATAGTTGAACATCAACATTATGCACCCGTCGACCACGTGGATCATTATATTGGAGAGAATGACATTGACAAACTTGAAAAGTTTGAGATTATCAAACCAGTTACCATAGCCGCTATTCACAGTGTCCAACACGTAAATCCAGTCTTGAATGCAGTTTTGAACGAAAAACCGACGGTTTTTACGGTTTCGCATTTTTGCCGTTTCAGACACCACTCGATTGGACTTCTGCAATGAGTTCTTCTGGTTCATATATAATTTTTCTCTTTGTTCAATTAAGTACCTTCAATATCAACATCTTGACAATGATTATCAGATTGAAGAAATTCGAGACTACTGCCAGAACGGTGATGCCTTGCAGTTGAACGTCGGCGTCCGGTTGAACGCACGGGTCCCACTCGTACCAGGTCATCATTTCCACGTAGTAGAACGTGACACATTCTCCTGAAAAGTAGCCTTCAAAGTGTAGAGTATTTGAAACGAAGCGCCAAAGCTCTACCACTGAATAAGTGCCGTGGAATTTATTCGGACCTAGTTGCCTAATCACTCGATGCGCCAAGGAACTCTTTGTCACTCTTGACCGATAATGGCTCAAAAAACCGATTTCCAGTTGACTTGACTGTCAGGGCTGAAATTACGGTAGGGCATAGGCTGTCGTATACTTAAAAATACTAGTATTAATTCGGACCCAGCTGCCTAATCACTCGATGCGCCAAGGAACTTTTTGATGGCCCCTTCGTGGTCCCTTACTCACTGATAACCGGAGAAACAGTCGCGTAGACTCCAATCGTCCAACATCCGCCCAATCCAATCAATGTCGCGCACTTTTCATGCCATTTATGCGACGAAAACGGACAGAAAACCGCGAGGAATCGATTGAAAGTGATGAGCATTTGAGTCAAAGGACCCAGCAGATAGATACTGTAGGCGGCCATTTGATTGGAAACAAAGTTGAGTGTAGAAGGGCCGGTGAATGTGCGCACGTCGAACCTTTAACGGATTTCGATTATTAAAGACTTTTTACATGGATCTTACATCACAGAAACTGGGCCGTTGTAGAGGAAATAACACAGGAGAACTATAATATTTGAAACGGTTTTCGAAGTGCAAAGGATGTAGAAAGTGGGCATATTTCGGGAGATGAACCTCCAGAACACTATGCCATTTATTGCGATTCCGATAAAAGAGAACAAAATCATGGTCCAACCGGTCAACAATATCATCCAGGGCTCGGCGAGCCCTTCGTCGAGCACATAACCGTTTCGTAACCATTCTTGAGTTGTGTTCGAGTATTTCAACCATTTCTCGGACATTTCTTGACGGGAATGTGAAGTGAGTTTATGAGAATTGGTAGGAAAGGTGAATAACAAGTTTATTTGTGGGAAGACGGAAAACAAGGTGGTCAGGTGGGTACATTGCCTAGAACCTTTAAAAAAAAACAAAGTGTACAACAGAATCAAGCACATTTTCTAGAAATTACATTCAAATTAGTGATGCTCTTCCTCTTTCCATTGATTTTCCGATAGTTGAACATCAACATTATGCATCCATCAACCACATGGACCATAATACTGGATAAAATGGTATTGGCAAACTTGAAAAGTATGAGATTGTCAAACCAATGGACAAAGCTGCTATTCACAGTGTCCAACACGTAAATCCAGTCTTGAAAGCAGTTTTGAACAAACAGCCGACGGTTTTTACGGTTCCGCACTTTTACCACTTCAGACACCAATTTATTGGACTTCTGAATCGGTTTCCAAGTTGAATTGGTCACAAAATGACTATCAGCGTGTTACCGTTAATATCAAAATCTTGGCAGCTATTATCACATTGAAGACATTCGAGACTATTGCCAGTACGGCGATGCCTTCCAGTTGAAGATCGGCGTCCGGTTGAACGCACGCGCCCCACTCGTACCAGGTGATCGTTTCCACGTAGTAAAACGCCATGCATCCTCCTGAAAAATGGAATTCTGACTTGGAAAGTAGCCTTCAAAGTGGACCGCCCTGTACCAAACTTCAGGACGTACTAATGGGTTCATCTTCCAACTTCCGTCCCAATTGGTTTACTGGGAAATGAGAAAAATTGAAAGTTTCAAACAATACGTCGAAAAAAGGATTTTGTCGTTTGCTAACACGTTTTTGATGAACAGAAACATTGAATGATTAGTATAGAATTTCAAATTAGAAAGAAAATTTGCGTGTTCAACTTTGAAAAAGGTCTCCTCAGTCAGTTTTCAATGAAACTAGTACTAGGCCTAACCCACAGACTGAAGTAATCAGAAATTCAGTTGTTGTTCACAGTTAATTTTGAGTTTTGTGCGTGCAGCTTTTCTAGGAGAACAGATCAGTTAAAGAGCATTCTGAAAATTGTCACTCTTGACCGATAATGGCTCAAAAAACCGATTTCCAGTTGACTTGACTGTCACGGCTTAAATTACGGTAGGGCATAGGCTGTCGTATACTTAAAAATACTAGTATTAATTCGGACCCAGTTGCCTAATCACTCGATGCGCCAAGGAACTTTTTGATGGCCCCTTCGTGTTCCCTTACTCACTGATAACCGGAGAAACAGTCGCGTAGACTCCAATCGTCCAACATCCGCCCAAACCAATCAATGTCGCGCACTTTTCATGCCATTTATGCGACGAAAACGGACAGAAAACCGCGAGGAATCGATTGAAAGTGATGAGCATTTGAGTCAAAGGACCCAGCAGATAGATACTGTAGGCGGCCATTTGATTGGAAACAAAGTTGAGTGTAGAAGGGCCGGTGAATGTGCGCACGTCGAACCTTTAACGGATTTCGATAATTAAAGACTTTTTACATGGATCTTACATCACAGAAACTGGGCCGTTGTAGAGGAAATAACATAGGAGAACTATAATATTTGAAACGGTTTTCGAAGTGCAAAGGATATAGAAGGTGGGCATATTTCGGGAGATGAACCTCCAGAACACTATGCCATTTATTGCGATTCCGATAAAAGAGAACAAGATCATGATCCAACCGGTCAACAATATCATCCAGGGCTCGGCGAGTCCTTCGTCGGACACCAGCTCGTTTCGCAGCCATTCTTGAGTTAAATTCGAGTACTTCAACCATTTCTCGCTCATTTCTTGACGGGAATGTGAAGTGAGTTTATGTGGAATTGGTCGGCACAGGTGCAAGACGAATAACAAGTTTATTAGTGGAAAGAGGGAAAACAAAAGCATTTCAGGAGGACAATAACACTTGCCACGTGTCAATATATAATCTTCACTCAAAACCGGGATGCCTGAGAGACGGTAATACTTTTCACGGCCAACACTTTCAACCGTTCCGCTTTGTTCTCGTACGTGAAAATTAGCATAATGCACCTGAAAAACAATCAGCATTTGCTATGTGTCTACTAGGTTCGAAATTATGCATACCCATCAATGACGTGCGTCATCAGATTTGAGAATAAGTTGAACGTGAAACGGAACAACACATTCTCGTACATTTCGGCAAAGAAAAAGCTGTTGAGGGTGTCCGTGACAAAGAGACAATCTTGAATGCAGTTCTGGATGAACAGGTTGCGAGACTTCTGCCGCCGAATGCGACTCGACTCTGCGTCCATTACTCCAGTGTTCTGAACGTTGACGCCTCCAGAGCTGCTGACAATGGGCGCGCAAGTGCGCCCCGCCCAATAGAGCGATGCGTTGGCGCGAAATTCAAATTTTAACAGCAAAAATTTGTGTTTTTCGCCAGATTAGCCACGAAAAACCGATAATTTCTCATTTGTCTCTCGATAGACCGATTCTATAGGCTATTACGAATTTTTTAAGCGAAAGAGCGTTAAATTTGGTCAAGTCGTAAATCAAATTTATCCGTTTGAAGGTTTTTGGCTAAAAATGCGTGAATTTCAGTTGCTTTTCGGTAGTTTTCGCGGTTCGAGCGCTCAAAATGCTTATATTTACGTGATTTATCATTCTCAAAACCAATTCTGTCTGAAAACGGTCAAAAAAGCGCAAAATGAGAAGGCGAAAAAGCAAAGTCCGCGAAAAATGCGCCAAAACGTCATTAATTCTGAGAATTAGTGTGTTTTCCTTGTCGAACAATCATTTTTCATCGCCGTTGACCGCAAAAATCAGAGAAAACGTGCTCAATTCATGAAAACGCCATTTGGCCGCCGGGGCCACGCCCATATTGTCAGCTCTGGAGACCGTGCGCCATGATGAATTTTGTTGCGAAACGTCGAAAACACTTGCCGTGCTAGAAATCAATTTGAAGACCACAAAAAGGTTGCAGACAATCGAAAAGGCTCCGCAGAAAAGGACGAAACTCGTGACGCCCTTCGCCATGACGTCATCACATCCGTTACTCCACCAATTCAACAGATCCGGCACGTAAACTATATTGCAGGCGTCTGAAAAGCGAGAATTTTACTAATCAATGGGCTTGGGACTATGTACCGCCGGTCCCTAGGCCCGTGATCGTTAGGGAAACGATCCAGAAGACTCCCAAACTGGTCAGAGTGATTTTTTGGTTATTTTGAGTGGAGGACTGTTTCACAAAGAACATTACTAGAAGCCGGTTAATGGAGAGGAGGAGTTGAACGCCGGGGCCTAAAAAAATACTGAAACTTGTGGAAAAGTATAATATTCGATCGGAACGTACCAAGAAGATAAATACCATAGGTAACACTCTGATTGACCAACATGTTTAGAAAAGTTGGACCGTTGAAGATGTGGCTACAATGAAAATCGGATATTTTTGCATGTCAAGTACCGTAAAACCTACAATATAGTGATTGGAGCGTTGTAGAAGAGATATCCGATGATAATTAGGACGTTTGAAATCGTTTTCGAAGAGCACATTATCAGAAAACTCGACATTTTCTGATGGGTGTAACTGTAGAGGACTTGTAGATTGACAATGATTCCGAGTATTGAGGCCTGTACAAGATCATAGGATATTTGCAGTTTCATATGCTCAATTTGAAACTGATTTGTTTGTAATTTATCACTGTGCGAGTTTCACTTTGTAAGAATTGATTGCACAATCAGTGATGCGCCTTTAAACTTAAAACTACGGTAGGGGTTGTGTATAATCATCTTCGTAGAGCAATATTAAAATTATTTTCAGTTTCATAGCGATGACTTGAAACACAACTCTCCATTTTTGTATTTTGGCGCGCCAGAGATTAACTGTATTTCTTCATCTTCATTCAACTCACCACAAACATTATCGATCCGAAAGTGATCAACATCCATGGTTGTGCCAGTTCACTCGGACTTATCAGCTTGTTTTGAAGAAGAAGAGCGGTGAAGTTGGACAATTCCATTCTAAAGTTACACAATATCAATGGAAAAATGAGTGAGTAAGCGGAAAATGAAAGAAAAAGAAAGCAATTCAATTTTCTGGGAACAAAGGCGATTTATTGGGTAGAAATTGAATGAAAAACAAGGTAATGGAAAGGAACAGAGAAGTGAGAAGCCGTCGTTCCGCTCTTTTTCATCGAAGTTCTACTTTATGTAATCGACCATGCTGAATCCAATGAACAACTCCATTTCACGTGAAAACGTACCGTTCTCTTGAAAAAACGCGAAAACGAAAATGGACGTCAGTCTGAGAGCCTGTGTGGCCAAGTTTATCGCTACACGCGCCTACTTTTAACTGTTTCCGACAGTTTAAGGGAGGGGGGAATCCGTTTTTGACAGGCCAACTTTGAAGGGGTCTAACTCGGGATGTACGGAAAATTTTCGAGAAAAAAGTTGAGAGCGTACTCATATAGAGTAGGGGAACACATTCCAACAAGAATTTTGTGGAAATTCGGAGTTTTGCGAAACCCGTTGCGGTACCTAATTATACGTCAAGCGTTTCCACACACAGAACAAAAAAGATGAAGAACTCACGAGAGACACGAGCACTCCGAAACAGGGAATCGTTCGAACGTCGGCAATCTCTCTCGCCTCCACTTTTCCATTTGCCAGCAGCTTTAGAGAATATATAAATCTTCTAAAATCTCACTTCACTTTTTCTCACTTTTTCTCACTTTCACTTTTTCTCACTTTTTTCTCACTTTTTTCGTCTCCCCTAAAGGAGATTTTTCAAAATTAAAGATGACGCTAAATTGGTTTAGGTCATGAAAAGTTTCGCACCTCAAAACTTGGGTAATTAAACCAAATCGAACGGCGCGCGTCTCCAGAAATATTTTGTGGGCAGCCGACGTGTCCGAGGGACCGCGAGTGTCTACTCTCACGACATATCGACCAGCACACTGTAAGAGGTTGTGCGTGGTTTCGTGGACCCATTTTTCGTTTTCTCGGCCGCGTATTTCTGCGCTCGCTGTGAGGCCATTGTGGGCGCACAATGGCCGCGCGTACATAGGTACCGCAACGGGTTTCGCAAAACTCCGAATTTCCATAAAATTCTTGTTGGAATGTGTTCCCCTACTATATATAATTACACTTCCAATTTTTTTCTATAGATAATTTCACGCTGAATCCGATTCCGTGGAGAAAAGCCGCGTGTTGGCTGTTTCCGACCTTCAAATTATCGAAAAACAAGAAATTCGGCCGAATGAGGTCTACTCAATCGAACACAAAAATGCTCCTAGCGGGTCTAGAGCTCTGAAATTTTATATTTGGGTTCTCTGAGAGTCTATCTATGCATTCCAAACAGAAAAAAATTTTCGCTAACTTTTTGCGCACTTTGACACGGTCTGAAAAACAATGTTTGCCGGAACGAAATTCGAATTTTATTTCAAAAACGGATTCCCGATCCCTTAAACTGTCAGAATCACTTCTCAGAAGCCGCGTGTTGCACAAACTCCTGCCACAATGGCTCTCAGACTAACTTCCATTTTCGTTTTCGCCTTTTTTTGAGAAAACTGTGGGTTTTCATGGAAAACGGAGCTGTTCATTCGATTCAGCGTGGCCGATTACATGGAATGAAACATATTTAGTATGGTACATGGTTTGGGGACCTTGGTACAGGCCCTCAAACATCGCGACCGGGGAGAAAATTCGTCAGGCCACGCCCCCTACGTATACAATTCCTATGACCACATTTTGACGCAAGAAAGGTCAAGTCTGCCACGTGTTGATAAGAGAAAGGGACAAAATGAAAGAAAAGTGAGTTTATTCCTCGATCGGACCGTCACTAACTTCTACTTTTACTAACTAACCAGTGAGTGGCACATAAGCATTTCTCTCAAATGTTTTTGCTGTCAGAATGGCCAACAACTCTCTGGCTTCTGCCTCCTCCTCCGACTCTGGCTACTCTTCCGCTTCCGATGAACCCGTCTCGCCGCCCGTAACCATTCGAAGACCCCTTGATCCGCCGATGCTCCATAACAACGCATTGGCTGTGGTGCCCGTGAGCCCGGCTCCCGATCTTGCGGGACCGTTGGGCAGTCCGTATCATATTGCGACGCCCGTCATCATCACTCCGGTCGATCGGAGGTCCACCCGCGAGCTGGTCCACATCGGCCGCATCCGGCGGGTCCGTCATCGCCGCGCCTCCCACGCAATTCTCAACAGCATCCGCCGTCGGCTCTCTTTGGCGACCGCCGGAGAGCACAGAGCCCATCTCGAGCAGATCGCCACGCCCGTTCCCACGCCCAGGACCAGACAGTAGGGGTACTTGTAGCGTAAAAATATATAAACGTTGTGTTTCGAATCGACAAAACGAGCACGGCAATCGAGTTGGAGGCCGTCGACGAGTTCCAGACGATTCTCAGCGCCGCCCTGGATACTCTGGAGCCAGTTTTCGCGCCTCCGAGCACCACGATTCCGTCCGAATCGACGACTGGCGCCCGACTCCGCGAGCACAACCGTCTCGAAGCGCTCGAAGTTTCCAGAGACGTTCTGGAACGAGACGAAGCATCGATGGCCGAAATCCAGAATGCTTTGGCCCTTTTGGAAGGGAGCATGGGCCAAATGAGCGCCGAAACTGATATTGTGAGCTTTAAAAGGAGGGGAGAAGTTAAAGTTTTTCGAATTTCGCTTCAGATTGAACAATATCTCGATGAGTTTGAGGCGGAGAAACGCGAGAAGCTGACGAGATGGGCGAGAATTGAGGAGATTATGAAGCTGATTAGAGAGGGCTGAAATAAATTACGTTTTTCCTCTCTTTTCTCTTTTCTCGAACGAAATGGTGTCTGATCCACAGTCCGAATAGTACCTCTTCCCGTTTTCTACCGTAATCCGAACCCAATGTTCCTTGAAATTCACTTGTTATCCAGACCAAAGCGGAGACTGATATTGTGAGCCTTAAAAAGGCTTCAAGATGTTCAAGACAACCCCTTTTCTTTGTCTTTCTGTTTTTATCATGTTGAGTCCGTCAGCAAAAGAGAATCGAGTTATGCGTGCCCCCGACAGCTTGCCTTTTTTCTGTCTTTCCCCGAACAAAATGGTGCCTGACGACTCGCTGATCACCAGAATCGATGGATGCGTCCTGATTCTAGTACCCTCTTCCCGTTTTCTACCCTAATCCGAGCCAATCTCATTCAGATGTCTTCTCTCGGACTCTTTTTCAACGTCTCCTCCCTTTTCCACTTTTTATCCGTCGAACGATCCAGTTTCTACATTATGTGCACATCAAAAACCATCTCAAACTCGATTATTCTGTCCGTCTATTTGCTCTACAACGGTCCTTCGGCACTATTGTAACCTCAGCTCAAATCACAATAGTCCTAATGCACTTTTAGCTACACTATTATCGGTCCGGACATTATGAATCACTACCTGAACCAAGCCGTCACTTACGGAATTTTTCTTCTCGGACCATTTGTCCAATCGCTAATCACAATCAACCGGCTCCTCGTGGTTTGGACGTCTCCGGCGGCGACACCGCGCTACAGTAATCAGGTTACGGTAGCCGTGTTGGCAGTCTGTTGGCTCATCGGAGTGTACATTACGACAATGTACGGGTTTACAGGTATAAAAGAGATCTATGTGGTTTCAAAAAAAAAAAGTAAGTAACTCTCACACCCAGAGACGTGTTTGATCAAACTGGTATTCGAACCATTGGAGTGGTCGAGAGAAGAGTGCACCGACAAGCGGGTCTATAAGTTTATGGACAATATCGTCTACTTGCTCGGCGGTCTGGCGATCGGCTCGAATCTGATCAATGTGCTAGTCGTCATCAAACTCATTCTTTTGTCCTCGGTGAGTCTGTGGCACTTTTCCAGACAAAAAAATGTGAATCGGAAGCCGAATGGCCGAGTTTTGGCAAAAATAGCGGCCTTCTCGGCTTCAAACCTGAGTATTTCGGGACCAGATGATCCGATCGATCTGAAACGTGAACCCAATATACTTCAACCCAAGCCCAAAAAGCCTGAAAAGTTTGGGCCGGCCTATCACCCGTCTCCTTCAGAACTCGAGCCTTTCCAACGAGAACAGTCGACGAAGGCATCGAACAATGGTCCGATCGTTCGTTCAAAGTTGTTTCCAAGACTGGATCTACGTTTTTGACGCCACGAACAGCATGTACATTAGAGAATCGGTCGAGAATGAGATACTCGTGTTTGTGACTACACTCTTCTCGAATGTAATGGCTCATGTGGCTGATGGGTCAGTTTACCGCTCATTCAAATCGATTTATCACAGCCGCCGGTGGAGATATCAAAAAGTTGTCAACTGGTAAAGTGTTCAATAAGAAATTGTGTACATTTTACTAGTTGACACCTTTTTGATACCTCTACCGACAGCCGAGATAAAAGCTTTTCAGGTTCTTGATGTACATGTTCAACTGTCGGGGCGCCGGTAGCCGAACAGTTACGCTTACAGCGGCAAATGCCAACAGAATATGACGCGTTATTGGATAATTTTGATTGAATAGCTAATATTTGAGTGAGTATAACATTTTTTTAGCATAATCTACAAGTCTACTACTTCATTTTTCCAGTTGACAACTTGTTTGTACCACCACTCGGAAGCCTACTGTATCTTGTTGAACTTCAATGAAAAAATGAAGTACTAGACAGTGTCTGGGCCCAAAACACAAACGAAAAAGCATGAGTAAATGCTCACAGGTCTACAACTTATGGAATTAGACACCTGGACGGAAAAAAAAACCAATCTTAATCCAATTTGCCCCCGTTTTCAGTTCCGTCACGACAGAAATGAAAATGTATGAGTGTGGAAATAAATGGTCGTGGTGGAGCCGATAACCGCACTCTACGCCGGCATTTTCATGATTCTGGTGGGTACCGTAATCCTTTACACCCGCCCGTTAACTGAAGATTTTCCAGATGGGTCTAATCGGCCTCTTTTTCAATGTTTCCGTCTTTATTCACTTTTTGGCCTGGGAAAAAACGAGTTTCTACCTAATTTGTACCTCAAAATCCGTCTCCAACTCGATCATTCTTCTCGTTTACGTCTTCTACAACGGTCCCTCGGCGCTCATGTAAGTGGTCCCCTACCGTAATCCTCGAATCTCTCTCTTTTTATTTCAGGTACACAATGATCGGGTCCCAGTTGCTCAACCGGTACCTAAACCAGGCCATCTCATACGGAGTCTATCTGCAAGGTCCGATGACCCAAGTACTGATCACTGTCAACCGGTTCCTGGTAGTTTGGGCCTCGCCCACGAAGACGTCGGAGTACAGTAATCGGATTACTGTAGGCGCGCTGGCAATCTGTTGGCTCATCTCTTTCTACTTTATTTTCATGCCCGGAGCCCTGGTCACATGTTTGCTCAGGTTTAATGTACAGGAATTGTACTGGCTGGCCGACGAGTGCGTCGGCTTTCCGGATTTCATTCTCGGATCCCATTTTCTTTACGTCGTCCTTCCGCTGGGACTCTTCTCGAATTGTGTCAATGTTCTTGTGGGTGTCAAACTTTTTCTACTCAATGTAACTCGATTTTACTGGAAATTTCAACTCAAAAAAAATCAAGGCAATTTTAGCGCACTCAAGCCCAACGGATGTCGTCGAAAGCGAATGCAAGTCGGCGGAAAACTACAATTCGATTATTTGTCCAGGCATGTTTTCAAGATTGGATTTATGTGCTCGACACGGTGAACAGCCTATTCGTCTATGAACTGATGCCCGAAGGATTCTGGACTTTCTTTGTGACTTTGGGATCGAATGTGTTGACTCATGTGGCTGATGGGTGAGTTCACTGTTTATTCAAATTGATATATCTCGGCTGTCGGTAAAGATAGCAAAAAGTTGTCAACTAACAAATTGTTCATTAAGAAATTTTGTAAATTTCATTAGTTAACCTCTTTTTGATATCTCCACCGACAGCCGAGATACATCGCTGCTCATTTTCAGAGTGATCATGTACATTTCCAACAAACATTTCGCAAAAACCGGGAGCAATGCGAAGAAAGTCAGTGTGTCACAAGTACGATCATCGGATTTCAAGAGGACCGGACTTTCAAAACGTTCTGTGGTTGTTGTCCAAACTGGAAAATGTTAATTACGATGAAATTGTCTTACCTTTTATTGTCGATTCCCGTTTTCCAATTGTCATGTGAACCAATTGGGACCAACAGGTGGGCTTTTTGGGGTTTTAGTGGTAAGGTACACGAAATAGGTATGAATTGGTAAAGTTTTAGTGGTCCTACGGTATTAAAGGCACAGATCCAACGTGAAAAAGTGGCATTCTTCCTCCTGACCATCCGGCTCACCAAAACAACAACTTCTCCGATCCGAATCCACTTTAATGTCGCTGTATTCATGCAGTTACTGAAAATCGTAACGGAAGGACGTCTGGAAGAGAGAATGCATCCCAAACAGGTCCAAATGGCTTGGCTGGCTTCAAATTACAAACACTGAACCCAATTGCCCAAAAATCGGATGACTCTACCGACGGGGACCTTGTTTCTTTCATTCCCGGCACACTGGCACTCGATCTAGATTGTCCAATGGTTCCCAGCGATGACATGACAGATGGCCTTCTGTCTGCCACGTCACACCCCGTCATTCTCATTGCACAGGCACGCTACCTGCCTGGGACGCCTTCCGACACACACTGTCCGGCCAAGCCGACCCCACGTGGATTTGTACAGTGGATCCGTAACCTCTTTAGCCGTGTTTCCCGAGCCGTTAGCGATTGGCAAGAAGATTGTGAGGGCTCAGGTTCCAGTAGTTTTATGCCGCGTCCAATGTCTCGGGAAAATCGTAAAAACCGCAGATTTTTCAGTGTGTTTTCAAAAATTTTCAAAATTTCAAAATTATAAATTATAATTACATTACAAAATTATAATTACAAAATTTTCAAATTCAAAATTTTCAAAAATTTTCAAAAAATACCGTAGTTTTAGGCGTACGGTTACATTCATTGAGCTGTGCGCACCCCCGTTTTTCACGCAAATTTCGGCCGACTTTGGACAGAAAAACCTGCGGTTTTTACGGTTTTTCCGAGACATTGGACGCGGCATTAGAAAAAGCAACGATTTCAGTGAAAACGTGCGTGTATATCCCCGTCCGATTCCGTTGTTTCGATTTCTTACTCTTCCCCCTCTTGGGTCCATGCACGAATGAAAGGTGTACTTAAATTGTAAACTGTTCTTCTATCACTTTCACACAACACAATCACTGAACAGTTTCAATGAAATGTGAAATGGCCCCCGGCGTCACATGACCGTCTGGCTGTGTACACAACTCGGAAAAGTACTGATAAGTCTTTGATAAGATAGGGGCGTGGAAAAGTAAAAGCGAATGAGTGTTTGTTACGAAATTGTATTTCCATGCTCTTCTGACTTCAAAAAGATTCTACCAAATTGCTTTTCGGTGTATTGTAGCCTAGATTTCTTAAAATTCTCAGGCATTCTGTTGTTCCTCTATTCACGAAATGATTTCGCTCATTTTTTAAGCAAAAACTGGACTTTTCTTATGATTTTTCAAAGTCAGGCAAACATTTTTCGGTTTCAGAGATGTCATAAGGTCTCACGAACTTGAGGTTCATCAACATTTTGCAAGTATTATACATTTCCAGACGACACGAGAGGGTCACGCGCTCGCATGCTCTTACTCTCTCTCTCTCTCTCTCTCTCTCTTGCTCTCTCGCGCTCCTCAATTCCTCGTTTCTTTGGCCATCAGCTGGCGGTCAGCTGCTCTGCTCTCTTCTCTCCGCCTCGCCGGTCACCCATTTCTCGCGCACAACTCATCGATCGCGTTCGTTCTTCTGTTTGACGCGGTATGCGGGGGGTCCTGGGGTCATTCGCTAGAGGTAGAGGCTCTTTCCCTTTTTCTCAACATGATTTCGTTCATAGAACGTTTTCTTTTTTTTTTTTAGTTGGTTACGATTTTCTTTTCAAAGTCAGGCATAACTTTTTCGGTTTCAGCGATGTCATAAGGCTGTACATCATTCAATTCGTGTAGTTCCTATTGTAGATGTCTTCATAGCGAGTCCTGGTCTTTCAAGTTTTGTAGACGGTCCGCCAAGGTTCATCTGCTTGCCCTGCTCCTACCTTTTACTACTATTGTCCAATTCCAAGTCCACAATTCCTATTTTTGCAGGTGGAACCATGACTGATACCACTTCAAACATTGAGAACTCTTTCGATCTTCTAGAAGACTCGAAGGTTGGTCCAGCTCTTTCTGTATTTGTACATATACAATATATTTGCAGACTCTCTCGACTCCCCAGCTGCCCGAGCAACAAGAGCTCAAACTAAACGCGCTGGAATCGGAATGCGAGTCGCTTCGTGCTCAACTCAAAGTGCACGAAGAATCGACGCTCTACACAGTTGGATTTCAAAACGGATACAAGCAGGGAAAGAGGGACCTGGCGCAGGAGTTAAACTTGGAGTTGGAGGAGGAAAAGGAGGAGGAAGAAGAGGAAGAAGAGGAGGAGAAGAAGAAGAAGAAGAAGGAGGAGGAAGATGAAGAGGAAGAGGATGATGGGTACAACTTGACGGACGATGAAAACTATCAATATAGACATCCGATCGAGGGGCATCTCTTCTTCTTCTTGCTCTTCGGACTCATCATGACCTTCATCGAGATCATCTCGTCCCGCGGGGAGCTTCCGACCGTCGTCCGCATCTTCAAAATGGTCTACGGCGGATTCCGCGAGTGTCTGTGTCCGGAAAAGGTCGAGGAGATCTACGACGATACGCTCTGATTGACTTTTGTGTATATTTGTGTATAAATGAATGAAGGGATGTGATTGAGCTTGAGAAAATTCGTGCTTTCTCGTCTTGCCGTTTTCTAATCAACTTTCCTGCTTCGTTCGATATTTGTCATTTTCGGAGAGAAGACAAAGACTGTTGCTGCCGAGGGCCACTCTAGATGACCCGATCGCATCAAGACCTCCCAGAAGTGACCCGACCACGAGAGAGCGCGTATTTGGAGAGATTCAGACGGTACTTGCCAATGTACTACACAGCCCCACTGATTCGTCTCTTTTTCCTCTGTTTCAACGACTTGTTTTGAATCATTCTACAGAAAATTGATGATACTGGTCGAAACCGATTTAGAATATCACCACTTTTCGCTGGAGCACACTCCTAAGGACTGGGAATGACTGGTAGAAAATGGTGAGTTCTATTTTCGAAACTACGCGCGGAACGACTTTGATTTTAACAGTATCTGGAGCTCAAAACGTCGCAAACAAGTGCTCTGCATGAATTTTGAAGCGCTACAAAACGACAACGACATTCTGAAAAAAGAAAGGGACACGTACAGAAAATATGTCGAAAGTTCAAAGGTGGTAAGATGATTTTGAATTGAGAAATGTGCAAGAGTGTTTTTCAGCGAAATCCTACGTTCGGATGGATCCTGGCGTGCGGACTTTTGCTCGCCAGCACCGTAATCCTCATCATCGAGAAGTGCCAGAGAAACGGATACTAAATTGTTGATATTTGCAATAAAGACATTGTCAGTTTCAGTGCATTGATATTAAAAGTCCAGTTTCGAGCAATTTCAATCATCATTCTTGGTTGAAAACACGATTCGTATGCTAATTCCGCTGTTTTTTCACAAGATTTAGACCGAATTTTGTCGTAATCATGTATTGTTCATCTTCCGAACATTTCCGGTTTCAGCTATTGTTTATAATGCGCTTTCTTTCAATTTCCAACCAATTGGTGTGTTATCAACGCGCATTTCAACTTTCCGCCCACAAAAGTACATACTTTTCAACTTATTGGCACGATTTTAGTGACCAATAACCTTACCCTTAAAAGCGTTTCATCACAACCGCTATTGTCCATCTATTCCATTCAGCAAATGGGGAAAAGAGAGATAGAGAGAGAAAGATTGCATCATTTCTCTCTTCATCTTCCACTCTCTGTTCCTCTCCCGCTTCCTCTCCGTTCTTTTTCGAATTCTCAATGCCAACACTTGTTTTCTTTGCAAAATTCCCGATTTCAAAGTGTTCTTATTATGTTTCGTTGACTTGCGATTATCCGTTTAAGTTTTTCCACGTTAATTTCCGCCATTTCAAACACTTTTGTACGTTCGTTGACAGTTTTTTTCCAAAAAGAGCACTATTGCGCCAATTTCGTGTGTCGAAAGAATGTTTTCGGTTTCATTAGGTCAATTTGAACACTCTTCCACTGGCTACCCTTTATTCACACTCCTATAACACAATATATTCAAATTTAACTGCATAAGCAAGAAGAGCCCAGCGTTTTTCATGTTACGACCGAAATTTTATCGCCCCTCGTTGATGCAGAAAACATAAATTTCCGAACTTTCGGACACGCGTTCTAAAATCGTCTCGTTTGAAGCGCAAAAAGTGTGCAATCATTCATAACACAACTTTATGCAAACACATCAGAGTTGAGCGGAATTCCGTCTTCCGTCTTCCGGCAAAAATTTTTTCTTCCGTCTGCCGTCTTCCGGGATTTTTCTTCTCACCGTAAAAGAGTAATAGCTTTTCAGAAGTCATTTACTAGCCCCGAAGAACACGAATTTCCACGGGCAGTGACCCGGATCCAAAATTTGTGTTGCTTTAGTTATTTTTTTCAAAAAAAAAACCGGAAAAAAAGATTCTGGTAATGACGATTTTTTGTTCCGTGTTCCGTAAGAAAAATTTTCTTCCGTCTTCCGTTTTCCGCGTTCCGTAAAAAACATTTTCTTCCGTCTACCGTCTGCCGTCTTCCGGATTTCAAAATTCCATTTCCGCTCAACTCTGAAACACATTGCGCCATTTTTTACGAGAAAACATTTAAAAAATTGGGTCAAAAACCAAAGAAAGACACTCCAGCACATTATTACAGTTTCGGACGGTCCCCATGGTTTTTCATTTTCTCAAATGTCCGGCTTCGTATCCACTCTAATAATGTGTCCGTTTCTGACACTTTTTCGCCTCAAAATCCGCTTGTTCCTCCCAATTTTCAGCCATAATTCCCGCTAAACTTGGATTCAATGGCCACCTATGCAGTCGACCGATTCTCCGAGGCGAATTTTAAGAGATTCCAGAACAAATGTGTAGAGGAGGTAGGATAGACTCAAAATCCGATAATGAAACCGTTAATATTTGCTGGCAGATCAAAAATTTGCACACAGAAATCGGACGTTTGAAAGTGGAGAATGAGGAATTGAAAAAGGAGGCCGAGAACTCGCCGTCTTCCAATAAAATTGTCAGTTTTTTTTTTAATTTTTAGCTGAACCTTCCTAGAGAAACCCTTCTTTTTTGTCCAGATCTCGAATCTCCGTGCTGAAATTCGTCGTCTGAAACGGGAGAGGGCGGCTCTTCAAGGACGACTCAATATCGCGCGCATGTACACGAAAATGAGTGAGGAGGAGCGAAGAATGCAGAGAAACGAGGTGGATCATCTGGAATCGGAGCTCAAAGATCTGAAACAAGCGGAGACGGATCTGGTGGCTCGGCAAAGTGCGCAAATTGCAGAGCTTTTGAGGAGTACGGTATCGGTTCGGGAGCACGAACAGATTGTGAGTTGGAAATAGTTGGTACAGGTGTTTATCAACATTTTAGCACTTTATCAAATGCTTTCATGACCGCTTGAAACTGAAATTCATTTTAGTTTCTCACTAACTTCTTTTTGCTATAGTTGTCACGGACCACGCACGGAAAGAATTGAGATAATTGAGGCAAATTTTCGATTCCAAAAGGAAAAAAATTCTGTAATTTTCACATAAAACGTTTCGAAATTGCTGACGAAGCAGTTAACATTTCATTTTTTATTCATTTCTAATCATTATCATAAGATTTGACACTGATTGGTTCTGAAAAGATGGGCATAATGCAAAAAAAGGGAAAATTTAAATGAGAAACTCTACAACGACGCTCCGGAATTACGCGTTACGCGCCTTGTTTAGCGCACTTGAATTGCGCCAAGGGAATTTTTTATTGGAAGGCTGGGGTTCCGTGCCTAGAAAACCGTTCCAAATGTTTCCTCATTTTTCGGTTTCATCTTCAGTTTCAACTAACCTAGTCGATTAGAATAAAATCTCACGGTCCGATTCCAGGTATCCGAACTCAGGGACCGGATCACTGAACACTCGGTGCTCCGAACTCAAATCCACGTGGCACAACAACAACTCGGCCTGGAGCCGCATGAACCGGAAATGGAGAAAACGACGAATGCGAAGAGTGGAATCGAGAACGAATGTAACGAAATGAGACAGAAAGTGGACAAGTGGAAGCGTCGATTCGGATGCACACTTCTTTTCTCTGTGGCTCTTGGAACATGTGCTCATTTCGGATCGAATGTTTCTTGGTATTGCGACTAAAACAGTGGCAAATTCAAAAGTAGGCGCCGGGTTTCTTTTCTGTTTCACTCCTGCTTCATTTCTCGTAATGCACTTGGACTGGATTCAAATTCAACCTCTGTTTTTTGAATATTTGGTATCAACTTGTAAACGATCGTTCCAACATCTGATTAATGCTAATAAAGTTGTTTTGAGATCGGTCTCCAAATGTCTGCATTTAAACCAGTTACAATTCTGGACATGTACCTGATTTCCGTTCACCCTTCCTTCCCCACCATTCACATTCATTCAGATGTCCTCGAGCACTTGTGACGTGGATTCGACGAATGCGCTTTTGAACGAATCATCGCTTCTCGTCGAAATCACCAGAGAAAACGCGGAGGAGTATGAGAAGAATGTGAAGAATGAGGTACCACGGAAGAGATTTTCTTCTGGTTAACCGCTTTTACCTTCAGATTAACAAACTGCGTACCGAATTTCAACTTCTTGAATGGGAAAATGAACATTTGCGACGAGAGGATCAGGGAACGGGCAGACGAGAACGGCAGAACAGCATTGTGGTGGGTAAGCTTCGAATGCACTTACATTTAATAGGCAATGTCTGAGAAGTTCAAAAACTGCAGGTGTCACTAAAAAATTCAGAATGCTTCAATTTGTCCCATATTATACCCAATGGGTACTTACATAACAGTGATACATCAGACAAGTTTTGGTCCGGCTCCGTGGTCCCTAGTCCGATCGCAGTACCAAAATAGGTCAAAACTGTAACTAATTTCAAAAAAATGATAGCGACTCAGACTCAACGCCATTCGATTTCTCGCATCTTTTTGAGTATATTTCACGTTGGGACCAAAAATTAAGCACCCCTCCTTCATGGAGAAAAAAGTTGGTTTGTGACATTTTTCAGAAAATTTTTCAGTTTTCTGCTCGTCCTGAAAAATTTTCACACTACATAGCCATGATTTTATTGCTGATTCTGAATCTAGACATTATTGTGCTTCTGCAAAAAAAAATTAACCCCGATCCCGATTGACATCAAGCGGTTTTTAGGCCGAAATTCACAAAATTTAGAGTACTTTTGCATGGAAAAATGTTCGCGAACTTGAGAAAAGTGCGTTTTCTCAATTTTCAAAGGGGTCTGATTGCGATTTTTGTTGTTTTCGTATACTTTTAGGCATTTTCGATTTTTTGGAAGCATTTTGAAAATTAAAAACAATTAGACCAAGTCGTCGACCCGGTCATGATGATGACAAAATTTTCGAGAAAAAATTAATTTTCGAAATGCTTCAAAAACATCGACAAACCAATTTTTTTCTCCATGAAGGAGAGGTGCTTAATTTTTGGTCCCAACGTGAAATATACTCAAAAAGATGCGAGAAATCGAATGGCGTTGAGTCTGAGTCGCTATCATTTTTTTGAAATTAGTTACAGTTTTGACCTATTTTGGTACTGCGATCGGACTAGGGACCACGGAGCCGGACCAAAACTTGTCTGATGTATCACTGTTATGTAAGTACCCATTGGGTATAATATGGGACAAATTGAAGCATTCTGAATTTTTTAGTGACCTCGTGTAATTAGCGGATTTCGAGGTTCTCAGTCCTTGCTTTTTTCAATTAATTCAGTAATGCACTTATTAAATGCACTTATGACCCCGATGAAACAGAAACTTTCAGATATTCGACCTAGAAGCAGACGTTCGCTACTGGGAATATCACAAAAACGAGATTTATGAAAAAGTGGTGAAGGCAGAAGCAGTTGGAGAAGAAAGAAGGAATGCGGAGAAGGAGCTGAATGAGTTGGAGGCGAAAATCGAAAGTGTGCAGAATGGAATGCTCCTTCTCGGCTCTGAGCACACCAAGGAAGTGGACAATATCCGGAGCAACACTTTGCCGTTGACGGAGCACAATCACATTGTGAGTCAGAACATTTTTGAGTGAAAATCTCAACCCGATGAAACCGAAATCCTACCGGTTTTCAGGTCTTCGAACTCGAAGACGTCATTAGGAATAGCAGAGCAAGCATTGAGCACTTGCAATTGAAGCGTCAAATCGACGAATTCAACGGAAACGTTCTGGAACCCTTCAAGAAGCACGTCGAGATGGAAAACGGGGAGAAGGAACGGCTTCAGACGGAACTGAGAGGCTTGAAAGCGGAAAAAAGTGCATTCAAAGTGTTGACAATTGGCACAGTTGTTCTCCTCATTGCATTTCTGCTCAAAAGTGTTGTGGACATGACAATTATCTAACTTTTGAGCTGTTTTGTCAAGGAAATCGATAAAATCTTCAACTCGACTCTGAAATTATCAAACTTAAAGGACCAGGGAACCCAAAAATTTTTTGATTAATTTGTGAAATCTTTTTGTGACTGTTTGAATTGTCTCTTATTGCCTCATACACTCGTGAAATGCTGCCTCTCAAAAATGCCAATGAACGAAACGGCATGCAGTTGAAGTTGTGGCCGTGGCCTAGCGCCAATGGCCGAAAAATATATAAAAATAAATGCGCTTCTCGGCCATTTTATTTTTTCCGCTTTTTTACAGGTTTTTTTCTAAAAATTCACTGTTTCTCCCATTTTGGCACTTCATATCGACTGAATGAAAAAAATATTTTAGCAGTGAAAAAATAAGTAAGTGCCGAACAAATGTCAATCAACTGAAAAATGGGAGAAACCGTGAATTTTTGGAAAAAAACCTGTGAAAAAGCGGAAAAAATAAAATGGCCGAGAAGCGCATATATTTTTATATATTTTTCGGCCATTGGCGCTAGGCCACGGCCACAACTTCAACTGCATGCCGTTGCGTTCATTGGCATTTTTGAGTGGCAGCATTTCACGAGTGTATGAGGCAATAAGAGACAATTCAAACAGTCACAAAAACATTTCACAAAAAAATCAAAAAATTTTTGGGTTCCCTGGTCCTTTAAGTGGTAATAAAATAATAACAGACACTGGCGCCTGGAGTCCTGAACTTTTGGTTTCTTTTTGAAAATGTGTTCATTTCACTTACAACTCTACTGCTTCCAAGTCTAAAGAGCTCCTTGACAGTGCTTCTTGTACTGTGTAGAAATGACGATACAGATGGGAAAATGAAGTATTGTGGCTTACTGCAGAAACGCGCGGTTCGTAGGACATTATTGTCAAGCGCCATTGCCTGAAATCTTCGGAATATTGAGGACTAGGGGTTTGGGGACTCACGCATCATCTAGGCTCATTTCCTTTTTTTTTTGAAGGTAAGAAACTGGACTGGTAAGGCAATGATAATAATGATTAGAGAGAAGTGTGAAACGGAGAACAAATAAATTTGAAGCAAGCATCCGACATCCTTCAAGTATATACTGTATACTGTTTCTCGAATTAGTCAGTACATTGCATACCTTAAATGCTCCAAAATGCAGAACTACGATTCATTTCAAAAAGTCCGTTCTCAATGTGAGCAATGATTATGAGAACAGAGCTCTCAGGAGACGGAGAGGCGAAACTTTGTTTTCGGAACTTTCGCAACATTATTCTAAATCTGTATCGGTATTCATTACAAGTACAGGCGCCCTGTAAACAAGATTATTGCTATCTCTTTCGTTCATTTTTTCGGTTAAACACATTCTGTTGCGTGTCTCTGTCTAGGCAAGCAATTGATGGGACCGCGCAAGACGGTACGGGTTGACCTAGGAGGGCTAGTGTTCTCTAGACACATACACATATGCATACATATGCACATTCCTTGCCCACAGCCTTGTGCATTGATTCAGAGATGAGCCATGCTGTTGAGATGGTTCAGACTGAAGAAGTCTCTGAGACTGGTGAAGAAACTATAAACGAGAAGGATGCGGAGGACCTCCATGTCTCGTCTTGCAATGATGAAAAACTATCCAAAACGTTGGCCGAGTCGTACCCGTCGATCAACTCGTTCGTCGACACGAATCGCCTCCATTGAGTCCGTTCTTTGCTCGCCTCTTTCTCCACTCACTTCAAGTACTACTCGGTCAACGAGGGCACAATCAAATCGCAAGCGAGATTTGTTCGGTTCGCACTGTCCGAAGCCACCGAACAACTCGGAAAGCGCACTTCGTGTCCCATTTCCCACGTGGACAGAGTGACGACGGTGGAGAACAATCGGTTGGTCACAGTGCTCGGCAATGCGGTCCGCATCGAGCGTCGCATTCGGGACGGACGACTCATAATCGAGTGGGAAGCGGACGGCGTCAAAGAATATCAATACTACGAAAGATGTACGAAAACCGAGGAAGCTACCGCAGCTTTGTACGTTTTCGCAATCACGATTCTGTTCTTGTATGTGCTCAACACCGTTCCCGTTGTGCTCTTCAATTTCTTATTCAGAATTCAATAAACTTGATTTATGATTGACGCACTGTTCACAGACACGGGCACAGAGTCCTCAAATCTGACATTGTTTTCTCTATCGCCTATTTTCAGACTTACCACTCTACTGGTTCCAAGTCTCAAGAGCCCCTTGACAGTACTTGTGTACTGTGGAGAAATGACGATACAGATTGGAAGGTGAAATATCCAGTTCGACGTATTGTACAAACCCGAATTGTCGCCGCACAGAGATTGAGCCACGTAGAGAACGCCCAGTGGCATTTCGCCGATCATGAACGAAATGGTCAGACTGCTTCTGAACTCTCTTAATCAAGGGGACAATGAATTCTGTTTGCTAGAAAATAGTCGGTCTCGATTCTCGGCCACTTTCCAAAGTTGTCTGATAAGAACGATTGTGAGGATCGGAAGCATTATGGTTGGAATGATTTGTGACACGACACCATCGATGAACAAATGGTCGTCGGTTTGCGACAAATCCGATGCAGTCATACCGTAATCCGGTTGGGTATAGTTCTCCGGAAAGATTGCTAAACATCTGAAGCGTTCAACGTTTTCATTAGATCGATTGTGAAATAATACTCCTCAGTATACGGCTCCCAGTCAGGAGAGCTGATTGTCGATCGAAAGTGCAAGTAGCCAACGGAAAGCACGGAGCAGAGTTGAGCGGAAGAACTCAACGGAAGAAAACGGAAGAATTTTTATCTTTTTTAGAAAATTTTTTCATGAAATGTGATCAACTGACGAAATGTATAGCAAAGTGAACTCTGCTCACAAAAAAATAATTGTAAATTTAACTTTTCATACAAAAAAGTTATTCGAGTTGTTCCGTGAAAATGTCCTTCCGTCTTCCGTTGTCCTTCCGTTAGCCCTTTTTTCACGGAACAACTCGAATAACTTTTTTGTATGAAAAGCTAAATTTACAATTATTTTTTTATCAACAGAGTTCTCTTTGCTATACATTTCGTCAGTTGATCACATTTCATGAAAAAATTTTCTGAAAAAGATAAAAATTCTTCCGTTTTCTTCCGTTGAGTTCTTCCGCTCAACTCTGGCACGGAGCGAGCTGGAAATGAACGCCCACGCGCAGGTCTTCCAGCCGAATTCTGCTGACGTCATGGAAGATCTGGAAAGCTCGGAGTGAAATGAATGAGCTGATATTGTTCACGTATATTTTAGAAGAACTCGGATAGCTGATCACAATTGCTCGGATCAAAGCCATTGCAAGTCCTAAGAAGCAGGAGACCGTTCTGACGTCATCGCGGAACGAGGAAGCGATCCAGTAGATGAGAGCGTAGAGATACGAGTCAGGAAACCAGCTGACACTGAAATGAAGTACAGAATTGTCGTTTTCAGTTAGCTACCAGGCATTCAGGTTCTTTATGGCTGTTCTCGTCACAATAACAACTGCATACGCCATCGAGTACAGATCTATCCCAATCATGACCACATTCGTCGAAGAGTTTCTCATCGACTTTTGAGATAAAACTATCAAATGAATCAGATTTGAGACGAAGCTCACTGCGGAAATGTGTGATTATTGTGAAGAGCCATTGTCTGAAATGTAAAAAAAAAAGAAAATTGCATTTGGAGCGCCGAGGTAATTTTCTGAAAAGAGCACGGAGCTTAGAGATCTGAGCAAAAGCGAAAAGCAATCCATTTTGATCAAATTCTGACGGTTTCCATTTGAGATTTGTTTTGACTGTCTCTCGTAAACAACCAATTCCGGTTGCAAAGTGTCGTGGATCCGAAATTCGCCGTCTTCCCACCGTCTTCCCATTATGCATCCAACTGGGAAACTACGCCCATCTCATGGAAGAGGGTCCGCTCGATAATAGCAAAACTGTCCCCCTCATTCACCTCATTCATTCCACCATTTTTTCTCTTTCTGCTTGGTCGGTAATGTCGTCGCCTTCTGTTCCTCATACTTCTATCGATCTGAGTCATCTGGTTGACAAAGTGAGCACTCTTCGCGAGAGCATTCAGACGCGAAAAGATGCGATTGTTCGAAAATCACCAGAGTCCACCAAATCGTTAGTCCGAATTCCGATCGAATTTGAGATCAATGGAACGTGGAAGCTGGTCTCCGCGCACAACCAGGACGACTACTTCGATCAGAGGGGGTTCGGAGCGTTCACCCGTTTCTGCACGAGTGTCTTCCTGACCGATGTTCAGTTCGACGTCAACGAGCACGGAGTGAGCACTCCGCTCCGCCTGCTCGAATTCGAGTTTGCCGACGAACGGAAGCGATTCGGGACGGAATACGCGGACGGAGGACAGACGGTCGTGTGGAGTCTTCAGGATTACCGGCTGATTACCAAATGGAAGAGCGGCGATGTCGTGGAGACGGCCGAAAGAGAGATCCAGGACGGGCGGCTGGTCATGACGAATGAGATCAACGGAGTGAAGAGTGTCCGGGTTTTCGAGAGGGAAACTGCGGTGGAGCGATTCTGCGACTTTGTCTTCTCTGCTGCAGTCCTTGCTGGAATCATTGTGTTGCTGATGAAGTTTTTCAATCTGTAAATGTTGTTGTTTGTTTCCAGAATAAAGGTTCTATCGATCGATATTGCTCTTTTGCTCGACAAGTGTCCCGCGAACACTGTATTGATTATTTCTACCACCCCTCCTGTCCTCTTGTACTCACATTAATCCCGTTTGTCTCCAGAATGGGCAACCTGCCGTCGCTATCCAATTCCGTCGCGGAAAACGTGAAATTTCTCGAAAAAGAGTCATGGATCTCGAGAATTATTGTGAAACTCCGTCAACTTCGACAAGCGATTCGCCTCAAAATCGCCGAAATCTTTGAAAAACCGACTGTGGAGCCGATGTCGCCGCCGCCGCCGGATAATCTGATCGTGATGGCTCGCGACGAATTCGAAGTGTACCAGGAGAACATCCGAAACTATATTGATCGGGAAACAAGAATGGTATATTTGATTTGTGTTGTAAACATTATTTTGGCTTGTATCATTTGTAAACTTTTGCTGTGCTGATAAACTTTTCTGTGAGAAAATGTTAATGTTAGAAAGGGGTGCGGGTAAGACAAACTGTTGGGGTGAATAAAATGAGAAGAATTAGTCCGAGTTCAAAATATACCAATCGGGGATGCGAATCTCTTCTATCACGCGCTCCATCATCGTCCCTTGCTCCGTCTGCTTCGTCTTCATCTCGTTCATCTCCGCTCGTATCGATCGAATCTCGTCGAGTGCTTCCTGATTGATCTTATTCTGATCAGTGATTTCCGCACGGATCGCCTCGTTCATCTGTTTCTGAATCAGCTGCTCCGCCTTGAAATCTGCCATTTCTTTACGAAAAGCACGCAGTTCGTTGAGAATTTCGTTGACAGCAGACATACGGAGATCTGTGCTCGGAGCCTTCTGAAAATTGAAATACAACATGTTCACGAGTAAGACAGTCTACCGGAAGGAGGGCTTGTCTCATCGAATTCGCTCCCAATACGCGCTTCTTGAACTCGGCGAGAAAATTCTTCGAATTCTCGTTTGACGTCATCACTGCAAATAACTTCAAAACTGACAGTTTGGAAAAGGTTCAAAGTATGATAGATGATCATAGACGGAATAAACAAGAAAATGTAGAGATTCGGAGTAAAATGCTTTTATAACAACTACAACAAAAACAAATAACGAGAATTTAACAGGAAACTCTTTCGCAGATGTCCACGTATTGCACATTACCCACCGGGAAGACGATGTGCAGCTTCTCGTCCTCGACGTAGTGCTCGACTCGCACACTTCCGTTCAAACGCGACGGATAGACGGTGTTGAAGCGATTGTTCTCGATGGAATACTTGTCCGTATCGCGGAGATTGACGGCGAACTCGAGCGATACCTTTCCGCTGAACGTGTTCTCCAGTTTCAGCGTGTTTCCGTCTCGCGAGAACGTTATCAGTCCGTCCATGCTCACGCGGCGCCTGTCCCAATACTTGTTGTATTTCGTGTGTTTGTCGCGTTCCTCGCCGGCAATCGACTTCCACGTTCCGAGAATTTCTCGCAAGATTGAGCAGTTCTCCTGAAAATGCTTCTATTTCGGGGATGAATTCTGGAAATCTGAAACCCACCTCTTTTCGCTTAACTTCCATCGCATTTTTAATCATTTCGTATTCCTGACAAATGTTTTCATTCCTAGTAGTTAGGGCAAGAATGCGACCGAGTTTCTGGGCAACTCGTTTGTTGGATTCCCTTTCGATTCTCTGCACTGACGGGAAGGCGTTCAACATCTTCATTCGTGCCTTCATCATCTTCACTTTCACTTGCTTATTTTTAATTTCTTCGTTCATTTCCTTTCTGATCTTGCTCAAAATCCTGCAATTGTGTTTCCATTCTTCACGAAGCTCGACGAGTTTCTCCACATTGGTCTGCTTCTGAACGGATGGCTTCTCGTTGAACTTTTCCATTTCGTGAGCCTTCTGTAAAGTTTAAAATCGTCAACTGAAGGAAAGCCAATAGTTTTTTGTTGAAGAAGTTCAAAGGTATGATGGGTGATGAAAACATTATGAAAATGGAACAACTAGAGTCAGATTTTAAATTTTTATATTCAACAAAAATAATTCGACAGTCCATTTAGACTCTTTCACAGATACCAATGTGTCGCAAACCGTCTATCGAGTAGACAATGTGCAGCATTCCATTTTCGATGTATATCTCGACATCCTCAATTCTGGGCCCGTCCAGCACTGTTTCGTACGTCTTGATTCGATTGTTCTCGATGGAATAGCTCTCCTTGTCATTCAAATCAAAAACGACTTCGTTAAACGAAATATACTTGCTTAGAATCGAACATTTCAGCTTTTCCGCGTACCAATAGTATCTTATTTCACCGTAAGCCCCATCTCGTTCTTCCGAATCCCATTTCTGGATGAATCCGTGATCATTTTTCCATGAAATCGGACTCCACGATCCGACGATTTCTTGCAAAATTGAGGTGGGCTCCTTCAAGAAACCAGCACGGATCGCACGGATCTCTTCGAGCAGTTGCTTGTTCGTTTCCTCCTGAATCTTCTGCTTCTCGCGAAAATGTTGCAGCTCTTTCTGGAGGTTTTCCTCAAACTTTCTTCGCTTTTCGTCGTTGAGCCTGACTTCTTCCATTTGCTTGCGAAGAGCACGCAGTTCTTTGAGCACTTCCCCGGATGATGACATTTGGGTATCGTCGTTTGAATTTTGAAAAATGTGGTTTTTTTTTAGATATTTCTGTGCATTTTGACAACCTTACCATGGCCACAGAATCTTCCGCGGAAGCAAATTCCCTTGATTTCGTTTGAACACGGAGAGCTGAAAACATTCATATTAAACTTATTTGTTTTAGAGAGGTAAAGCGCTCGCATGGCGGCGTTTGCAGCAGACTTGCCAAATCCCGGCCCGGCCCGGTTTTGGCCCGCCCCGGCCCGGGCCAGCAAATCGTCGGCCCGGCTCCGCCCACCCTTGAGAAATTTTTCGTAATTTTTGTGAAAATTTTGCGACTTTAAACAGCAATTTCTATTTTTTAACAGATTTTTATGCTATAACATTGCCTTTTTGAGTCTATAAAATTTTAAGTCTATAAAATTATGTTCGTTTCGAAGTTCTAGTTCGCTTTGAATTTTTAGGTGCATCCTCCCGGGCCGGGCCGGAAAATTTCCAATTTTGGCCCGGCCCGGCCCGTTGCAAGTCTGGTTTGCAGTATTTCTCAGCTTAAATTACAGTAGATTTTGTTAGATACTGCAAACACCGCCACGTCAAAAAGCACAAGAGACAAAGAGTCGCAGTTTTAGCGAAATTCTTCACAAATACCTGGATTTGGAGCCTTCTGAAAAGTTGAAACTTGAGAAAGGCAAGGTTTAAAGGTATAACAGGAGATCAAAAACAGGAAAAAATGAACAAAGTAAATTCAGATTCAAGGTTTTATAGCAACAAGAACAGAGAAAATGAAAAAAAAGAGCACGTTAACAGTTCATTTAGGCTCGAAACTTGGAAGGGGAACAAAACGAACAAGTTATTAGTCGACTCTCTCGCAGATACGAGTATAGCGCAAACCTTCCTTCGAGTAAATAACGTGCAGTATTCCGTCTTCGATGTAACGCTCGGCGTCCTCAGTTCCGGGTCCGTCAAGCACTTCATGCGTCGTCTTGATTCGATTGTTCTCGATAAAATAGCTCGTATGGTCATTCACATCAAGGACGACTCCGACCACGACATCATCGGACACATTTTCTACTTTCAGCTTGTCCGCATCCCAATAGTATTCGAGCCGACCGGATGTCCACATGTTTTTTTTCTCCGGATGCCACTTCCCAATGTATTCGTCTTTGTTTTCCCATGCAAAGGGTCTCCACGCTCCGACGATTTCTTGCAAAATCGTGGTATTGTTCTTCTCTTGATTGCCGGCTTCCAGAACTTCCTGAATATTTTCGTCATTCTCTTTCAATAACCCATCACGAACCGCACGGATCTCTGCCAATTGATCGTTTTCCTCGTTCACTCGCTCCGCATTCTCCTTTTGATCGTCGGCTTCCACAGCTTTCTGATCTTCCGCATTCTGCACACTGATGTTATCTTCATGGTTCTCTTTCAAGAATGCAGCACGGATCGCACGGATCTCTTCAAGCAGTTGCTGGTTCGTTTCCTCCTGAATCTTCTGTTTCTCGCGCAAAGCTTGCAGTTCTTTCTGGAAGTTTTCCTCCAATTCTCTCTGCTTCTCGCCGTTCAGCCGCTTTTCCTCTTCCCTGGCGTCTTCTATTTGCCTGCGAAGAGCCCGCAGCTCTTTGAGCACTTCAACGGAGGATGACATTTGGGAATCATCGTATGAATTCTGCAAATTTTTAATTTTACAAATATTTCTGTGTATTTTGACAAAATCACCATGGCCACTGGATCTTCCCACGGAAGCAAATTCTCTTGATTTTGTTTGCACACGGAGTTCGAAAACTGAAAAGTTCTTATAAAAATAACTTGTTTTAGAGAGGTTGCGGGTCAGAAAATGAGCGCTCTCACGGCGGCGTTTGCAGCATTTCTCAGCTTAAATTACGGTAGATTTTGTTTGATTCTGCAAGCACCGCCACGCCAAAATGCAAAGAAAACACGGAACCGTCTCGGACAGCTTCCGCTCCCGTACAGCAAAATCTGCGAAACTGGGTGAATACCGTTTTTTGCGTGTAATTGTTCATTTTCGCTAGTTCGACACGTTTCTTTGAAGAGACTTGAGACTTGAGAGTTGATTAATTGTTTTAATAGTGAACAGGTGCTGAAATTAATTTTAAAAAAACAGTGGAAAAGGAGAAATAAGCTGGAAAAATGACAAATTTCAAGGAGAAAACGGGCAGATCAAGAAATGTGCAGTAGAGCGAATTTGCTGACCGCCAGATAATTCAGCCAAATTGTCAGAAAATTGACTGAAATTGGCAAGAAAATTGATGTTTCGCAAATGAAAAAGAGAATAAAACAATTTTTAGGATACAAAATATGTTATTTCCATCAACACACAGCAAGAAATAAGATTTTCAGCCAAAATATCGAGGGCAAACCGGCAAACATTTCAGAAATCATGAACACTTTATTCAGAAGTAAATCAACACTCGTCCAATGCTTTGTATTCTGAAAAGATTCTGAACATCAACGGATTTCACAACATGGTCTCACTGGTTGCAGAATTTAGTCCATCCGTGGATGCGTCTGGAAACTTTCCCGTCTTCAGTCATTTCTTAACTCCAACCCTGCATAAATTCATGTTTCTCACAGTTTTGGCTTCTTTCTCAGTTCCGATCGGTGTTTCTTTTGCAGGTCTTTCTTTTCAGAGCGATACACATTACATGGAACGCTTCCTGCCTTGTATCGATTGATTGACCGAATGATATGATGGTTATTATCTGACCGTGTTCCCATTCACTTACCCTTCATTAGCAAACGGATCTTTCACAGACACTTACCACCCCCTCCACTTCCGCCCAACGCCTCCGAACTGGTACTGGCGGTCATTACACGTCGTCAGTCGTCGTCAGTACATTGTGCATATCAGATTAACTAACGGGTGCATCGAGAGTGTTTGCTTCTCGCGGAGAGTTCCGACAGCGCAGACCTTCCGCCCGGATTACACATTTTCGCGTATTTTGTCCCGTTCATTAATGCGCCGCTCGTTTCGCTCTTAGTTTTACTTTTCTTTTCCAGAATGTCCTACTCTGAATCTGAATCTGAATCTGAATCGAGCTTCGTGTTAGTGGAAGTAGTCGAGGTTGAGGAGAGCTTTGATGAAGATTCGTATGAGCTCGATGATGTTGAGACTGAGAATGAGCAAGAAGTTTCGGGTGAATCGGAAACCGAAGAAGATGCGGAAGAAGACGAAAAGCCAGAAGAGCTTCAACAATCAGAGGTTTGTTATTGACACCTTTTTCTCATTGTACCCTTATTTCTTCAGCAGACGGCTCAAGAAACGGAAAATGAAAGCGAAAGTAGGCCTTCAAGACCTATGATTCAACCCGAAACGCTCCAAGAGACAGCAAAGGCTCAGGAAGAGGTAACCTTTAGTTTTCGAGAACTTTTTTTAAAAGAAATTCTATTTGCAGACGGTCACTTCTCAAATAAGCGGAGAGTGGAGACTTGTGGAGGCGAGGAACCTCCAACACTATCTCGAACGAATCGGAGCCAATGCGGAGGTCCAATCTCGTTGGAGGCTCGGACACATTCACTTTCAATTCGAAGCCGGCGAGATGACCGCATTCACAACGCACGAAGATCAAGTTTACCACGAAACCGTAGCCACTCTTCGAGCCCCGAAGAGATCCGTCAGATCCGTTTGTACGCATTTCGTGAAGGACAATCGTCTGATGACATGCAAGTCTAACCTCGAAACCGGAGAAGAGTATCTGACAACGGAACGGTTCGTAATTGACGGACTTCTTCATATCACGAACACGCGAAACGGAGTCACTTGTCAAAGGATTTATAGAAAAGTTTTGGTGTAAAATGTATTCCTTTCACACGGTCTCCAAAGCTGACAATGGGCGCAAGTGCGCCCGGCCCAATAGAGCGATACATTGGCGCGAAATTTGTGTTTTTTGCCAGATTAGCCACGAAAAACCGATAATTTCTGATTTGTCTCTCGATAAACCGATTGTATAGGCTATTACGAATTTTTTAAGCGCAAGAGCGTTAAATTTGGTCAAGTCGCAAATCACATTTATCCGTTTGAAGGTTTTTTGCTAAAACTGCGTGAATTTCAGTTGCTTTTCGGTAGTTTTAACGGTTCGAGCGCTCAAAATGCTTGTATTTACGTGATTTATCATTCTCAAAACCAATTCTGTCTGAAAACGGTAAAAAAAAGCGCAAAATGAGAAGTGCGGTTTAGGCGGCGAAGGCGAAAACGCAAAGTCCGCGAAAAATGCGCCAAAACGTCACGAATTCTGAGAGATTAGTGTGTTTTCATGTCGAACAATCATTTTTCATCGCCGTTGACCACAAAAATCGGAGAAAACCTGCTCAATTCATGAAAACGCCATTTGGCCGAGGCCACGCCCATATTTTCAGCTCAGGGATCTAGGCTATCAAGCCATGGCTTACTGACCAAAAGTTGGGAAAAAATTTTTTTTCAAGTAACTGACCAAAAGAAATTGTTGTCGCCGTGATATTTTTTCTTTCTTTTGAAAGGTGTATAATCTGTTTATTTCGTATTAAACTTTTTGCGGAATGCTACCTCTAATTTAGTGACGTCAAAGGTTTCATCGTACAAGTGGGACCGTCTCTTGGGGTAATGAATTCACTCACAGCATCAAGTGGAATGAATTGAGCATGTTTTGGCAATCATTTTGATATTATAACTTGCCAAGTTTTGTCGATTCGTCAGTGAACTACACTCACTGAAGTACTATTGACAGTGCATAAACGTTTGCAGCCGTGTCAGGGCAGCCGTGATATGTACCTCATCAGCAGCAAGTGCGCTGGATAGAGCAATCCAAGAGGATCATTTTTATACCATAACTTGCCCATTTTTCACTATTTTTCGCTTAGCTGGACTTGCTGACTTTACATCAATTCGTTCACATTTTAGTACGAAAAGCAGCAAGTCTAGCGCCGTAGCCATGACATATACATACCCAGCAGCAAGTGCGCTGTGTAGAACAATCCTAGAGGATCATTTTGATACCCTTACTTGCCCACTTTTGACTATTTTTCGCTGAGTTAGACTTGCTGACAAAATCTACCAGTTGCAACTGGTAATTTTTTGGAACGACCAGTTGCAACTGGTAGATTTAGTCAGGAAGTCTAACTCAGCGGAGAATAGATGAAATCATGCAAGTAAGGGTATCAAAATGATCCTCTAGGATTGTTCTACACAGCGCACTTGCTGCTGGGCATGTATGTGTCATGGCTACGGCGTTAGACTTGCTGCTTTTCGTACTAAAATGTGAACGAATTGATGTAAAGTCAGCAAGTCCAGATAAGCGAAAAATAGTGAAAAATGGGCAAGTTATGGTATGAAAATGATCCTCTTGGATTGCTTTATCCAGCGCACTTGCTGCTGCTAGAATATTTTCAACATCCAGAGTGCTGCTCGCGGAGCCAAAGTTGGAAAATCAACTTTTTCAGTGTTTTCAGAAACATCCAGAATTGTGCGCGCTAAGGATTTTTTGGGTCGATGAACACGTTCCCATAAAAGCAAGTGAAATTAATCAGTATTCATCCGACGGCACGCATCTGAACTCAGATAATTTTCAGCAAGGGTGGGGCGCGCGAGCGGCAAGTGAACAGCAAGTTGCTACGGTAGCATAGGATGAGCATGTCAGCAGGAAAAAGTCGGATGGGAAGGAAGCAAGGTTTTTGAGCGGCATAGAAGCAGCAACGGTAGCAGGGTTCAGCGCATAGCATGCACGGATCGGCACCCTTACAGCAATTTACCGCAGAAAACGGCACGGATGCCGCTTCTAGTCGGCACCCATGAGGATTCTTGCGGCCGCGCTTCTTGGCTGTTCTGAGACTTTAGATGCGTGCCGTCGGACGAATACAATCAGTATTTCACTTGCTTTTTTGGAAACGAGTTCATTATAATGTAAACTAACTAGGGTTGGCAGCGGGGCGCCCCTCGCCCCCGACCGGTTTTTCCAAAATCGAGCAGGAATTTTTTTTGAAAAATTTTCTCAACGCACATCGATAGTGAATAAACTCATCAATCTACTAAATTTTTTCAGAATTTTAATTACACTTTAAAGGGCCGGGGGCGAACGAGGGCGTGTGGGACGCGGGGGCGCCCCGTTGCTAACCCTAAAACTAACAAAATGACACAAAAAAGCACGCACGGAAGAGCCATATTTCGAAAAAAGCTAAATTAATAAATGCTAGGTCAAAATTCATTTAAAAAAAGACCCTGCTTAGAGAGGCACTTGCTGACCAGCCGGACCTCGCTCACTGACCAGCAGGTGCTTCAGACCATGGGACTTACTGACCACGGACCCCCCCGGGAGTTGGTCCTAGATCCCTGTTTTCAGCTCTGGAGACCGTGTATTTCATAATATCGAGCTTTATTTGTATGTGTTTGCGTGCTCCCCTGTGCTTCGATAAATTCCTTATTCCCTAATTGTTGTTGGTCCGAATGCGTCCAGGCTAATCTAATATCTAATCCCAATCCACTCAAAGGGCTTCGGGACCTGAGGCTCTAGAGTGTGTGAGTAGCGAGAGAACCAGACATAGCCGGCAGATGTTTCTCCGATGGTGGTCCGTTATTATTCATCTGTCGGGCGACCTCGCTCGCATGTCGTATTGTGGACCCGAACGGACGGAGAGGGGCCGACCTGACCCGCCCACAACGCGAAGGGCACACACCCCGCGCGCATTAATGTTCCCATCGGCTGGTCCCGTTCAGTTTCTCGTTTCTTCTCTATTTGCGTCCGTTCCCCTTTACCTCAGACTTTTCAGAAATGTCCGGGCGTGTTCGTGCCGCCAGCGAATCGAGCTTTGAGATTGTCAAAGACGATTTCGAAGGGGCCGAATTCCCGTCGACAGAGGAAGACGTCTTGGAGGAATCGGAAGTGGAGATGGTGTCCGATGACTCGGAGTCCGTTCTCCAGTCGGTCACGGAGACTGATGATGAGAATGAGGAAGAGCTCCAGGAGGTGGCCGCAACGTCAGAGGTGGAGTCAGAGCCAGAGCCAACCGCCGAGGCATCTGAGGTCCAGGAGCTCTCAGGGATTCTTGAAGAGGCCAAGCTCCAAAGGACGGAAATCCTTGAGGAGCTCCGAAACATGCGCAAAGCTGTGGAGGAAGTGAGGCAGAAACAGGTGGAGCAGGAGGCCATCGTCGCCGAGATCAAAGAGGAGCAACAGAAAGTGGAGCAGAAGGAGAGGGTAAGCCGCGTAATGAGCATGTTCGAGGGAGAGTGGCGTCTGTTGAGCCACGACGGTCTGGACGAGTCGCTCGGGACCGGACAGGTCTCCCTGACGTCGAAGGTCAAACGCCTTCTCTCGAACGTGTGCTATCAATACGATGGCAACACGCTCAAATCCTTCAATCGTCTGCTGTGCCATACGTTCAACGAGGTCATCACTGCGATCGGAGCGGCAGCGCATGGTATGAGCACTTTTTTGGACGGCGAGAACTTGGTGACCGAATGGAAGATGCATGGAGTCGTGTACGCGAGAAGAGAGCGGTCTGTGGATTTTGGAAAACTGACAGTTACGATCACGGAGACGGGAAAACCGACGGTCGTCAGGATCTACGAAAGGGCCAACAAGACGACTGTGAGTTTGTGGACCTTTTAACCTTTTCAGCGTATGAAATTTCTTTTTTTCAGGACATCTTCTTTTCGCTCTGGAGGGTCGGCCGCTTCTACGCTTCTCGTCGCGAAATCTGATGTGTATTTGTAACCGAAGTGTTCTTTTTAGCTCTCCGATCTGTTTCTGTATATATTTTGTACGAGTTTGTTTGAAAATGGAATAAACGCAATGCAAACGCGCTCCATCGCACTTCTTAATTCGGCGCCAAAATGGCCAACTCAAATGCTCTTCACAATCATTCTTTACAATTTCTGCGGTTTCTCATCTGAACTCTTGCAATTTCTCAGCAATGGCTTCGAGTTCCACCGCGTATCACCTAAAAGACGCCGGGTTCCACATCCGAAATGTGCCGAAAGAGTGGAATGACTGGAATCTGTTCCACGTCTTCCAAAAGTTCGGAAGAGTCGGATACTGCCGTGTCGCAGCCACTTCTCAAGACGCGAGCTTTCAATTGGGGTGAGTTTTCGGGCTCTGGAAATTTGAAAAATTCCGAATTTTCGTAAAGATTCGTCAATATGCTCGCGGTGAGCGATGCCGACGAGGTGCGCAAGAATCTGCACGACGGAACACTCGCCGGGCAGAGTTTTTCGTTAAGAGTTTGTTTTTTCCAGCTGAAAATCGTCAATACTTGCTTGTTTCTAGGTCTCCGATCTAAAAACGAACGCCATGCAGCCGGTGCTGACTCCGACGCACAAACTTCTTTCATCTCCGCCGCCGAAAAACGTCCCGACTCTGCTGCCGTCCGCCTGGCTTCCGCTCAACAAAGACATCGAAGTGAGCAACGATTACCATCAAATTCCACTGAAATTGTTGCATTTCAGGTCGAAGTCGTCGACTACCTCCCTTCTTCGTCGGTCGCCGACGATCTCTTCGCGGTGACCGTCATCCAGATAAACGACCCAATCATCGAAGAGAAATACGCGTTGCTGCACGAGAAGCTCAACGCCTACGCGCAGCTCAGTCCTTTTGATTCCGAACTTGAAGTACTCGGGAAAATCTCTATTTTTCAAATGAATTTTGTGTTAATTTTAGATCGGCTACGACGGCGTCTACCGCGAGAATGCGCGCTCTCTTCACAGAGTCCGCCGAATCTCAGCCAACAAGTTGTACTTGGTGGATGCCGGAAAAGTCGTCGCCTACGACAAATCAAAGGTCTTCCAGCTCCCGAAGGTGTTCTCGTCGACGCCAACAAAGGTTTCGCTGTGCGGTATCGATGGTCTCAAGTGGTTCCCAGCTGCGATTCCGTCGTTCGACAAGATCCGCGACGTCGTGAAGCAGTGGGGACGCATGGAGAACTCGGTCCTCCACGCCATCGCTTGCGGCTTCCAAGGCTCCATCAATATGATCAGCCTGAACTGCGGAAACTGTAAGGCGCTCGTAATCCCTTAGAACAATCGGTAATTCTCCGTTTTCAGCGATTCTCGCGGAACGCCTCAATCGCAAAGGAGCCTGCCTGTACGTGCCGCGCAACATGCAGCCGCGTTACGCATACTCCCGCGACCTCCTGCTCGAGCGCAACAACCAATCCACGACGGCCACGATCTCCAACGACGCGGACGTCGTCTCCGATCTTTTAAAAAAGATCGAAGGCGTGAAGTCTATGCTCCGCGATCTGGAACTTTCGCCCTAATTCTTCACGTTTCCCTTTTCACACTGTCCCTTCTTTTTTCGTGTGTTTGATACGTTTTCCTGATGATAATTCATTGCTGTTCAAAAAGTACAAGTTCAATTGTTACTCGAACATTCCTCTTCCTCCCGATCATTCTGGTTCGAACAGTTTCTGACCACCTGCTCGCGCATCTCTTCCAGTTTCGTGGAAGCATCTAGAATCTGCGCTCCAATCTTCGAGATCGCACCTTCGCTGAGGGTCTGAGAACGAAAATGATTGTATGACCTCTTTTAATCTCTTACTTTTGCGTTGACTGTCAACACCAAACTGTCGAGGATGATTCCGATGCCTGCCAAGCTGTGCATGGCTCCTTTCACGCAAGAGAGACGGGCCAAAAAAGAAGCCATGCATCGGAGGCCGATGCCGTAAGCTCCGACAGTAGTGTTCAGAACGTCCGTGTCTTCCGTTTCGCTTCGGAAGCTCCTGTTCGCCTGCTCGATCGCGTTCAAGAGTTCTTCACTCGAATTGCGCAGATTCTCGAACAGAATCCCATCTGTCACCAACATTTTCTTCACAGTCGTGATCTTCTTCTTGAATACCACCATCTTGACGAGTCCCGTTCCCGCATTTGCGAGTCCAGCGACTGCTCCGACAATCAATCCGACGATGGCGACGGGCTGAAGGAGAACGAGCCCGCCGATCACGGCGAATCCAGAAGCGACGCCCACGGAAGAGCCGACCGTCGTCGAGATTGCACATCGCTTCTCCCAATTGTTGAGCTGAAACGAGAAGGCAACCGCGCTCTACCGCAACGTGGCCGTGGTCACGTGGTGAGCGGTAAAGCGCGATCACATTGAAAAGGGCGTCTGAGTAGCTACGCAACCAAAACGACGAAGGATTTTCGACTCGATCCGCGCCACACGGTTGTGCGGAGAGCAGTAGAGCGCGGTTTCTACCTCCTTCACAATGGAATGCATCTCTCCGATCATGCGAACCCTGTTGAAATTCCACTTGTCCAGATCACTTTCTGTCCTCAATTCGTTTTCTGTCAAGGTTCTGTTGAGCGAGTCGGGAATCTGAATTTCGGCATTTGTTTTTATTCAGAATCACGAACTTTACTGTGAGAAGACATTCCTGTGAACTGTAAATGGGAACTCTTACGCGATTACATGTTACCACACGCATCTCCATCGGATTCACTTGAAAATGGGACAAAAAAATAAGTTTGACAGTCAAAACGACAGAGAGATGAGCAATAAAAACAAGCTGACTGTCCATTCCTTCCGCTAAGGCGGAGCATGATAAGAAAACGAAAAACAATGTCTCCAGTCGACCCATTTCATACTTCGAACGGTACACAAATACAATAGCAACATTTGACAGGTGAAAATTCGAAAAAATTGGGTATCAGTGGGTGTTATGTACATTCTGCTCGGTTTCGCGAGCATATAATCATCAATAGTTTTCGTGCTCCGAAAGTCTTTGCGGCTGGAGGGAAGGCTGCGGGGAGACGAGTTCGACCGATCCGACGTCCGAAAGCTGATCGTCGTCGGCGTCCCAGACATCTTGGTTCAAGAAGTGCTTCACCACCTTCTGACGCATCATTTCCATCTTTCCGGACGCGTCGAAAATCTGCGCGCCGAGCTCCGAGCACGCGCCGTTTTCGAGAGTCTGAAAACGAATCGTTAGGATGTGAGGAACAGAATCGGGTTACCTTGACGCTCATCGCGAGAGTGACCGCGTCGAGAATGATGCCGATGGCAGCGACACTGTGAAGGACTCCCTTGACGAGCGAGGAGGAGAGGCGGCCCATCGAGCTGACTGCAAAACGAACGCCGAATGCCGAGATGCCCGTCACCGACGCGCCAAACACATTCTTCAGCTTGTTCTCCACATCGTCGTCGTTCTTGAAGTGCTTGTAAGACTCCTCGTCCTCCAAAATCTTTCTGATCACGTCCATCAGCTCCTCTCTCGCTCTCAACAGCTCTTCAAAGAGCTCCGAGTCCTTGGCAATTAGCTCCGTCACCTCCTTGTGCTGCTGCTTCGACACCATGAGCTTTGTGAGTCCCGTCGCGAGATTGGCCACTCCGGCCGCCGTTCCGACGATCAGTCCGGCGATGGCGACGGGCGGGAGGACGATGAGACCGCCGATCACCGCGAATCCAGAGAAGACGCCCACGGAAGAGCCGACTGTCGTCGAGATCGCACATCCTTTCTCCCAGTTGTCGAGCTGAACCGAGATTCTCAGACAATATCCGGTAAAATACGATTATTATTTCGAGCTTCTTCCAATTACTTTTCAATAAATATTTCTGCCGCAAACATCTAGAAATCACGGTCTACCGAAAAGCTCCAGAAATACAGCAAAATCTGTTCAATTTTTAACATGTTTTGTAAAAATTGTCAATTTTTCCTGATTATCAAGTGAATTTCTCTGGAAAAATGAAAAATTGAGCAATTTTTCAATTCAGCGCATCTCTCTTTTATGTTTGAAGAGAAAATGTAGCCAATTGTTTCGAAATTTTTGTGATTGAGAGAATTTCGCAAGCAATTTCTTCAAAGTGCTCTCCCACTTTTTCTCGTTTTCTGATGAATACCTTCTCGGCGATGCCCTCCATTTTGCGGACCATGCTCCTCCGATTGTGGCTCCATCTGTCGAGCAGCTCCTGCGTTTTCAGCGCCTTTTCGCTGAGCTCTCTCGACATTGACGGCGGAATCTGCAATCCTGAATACTCTTTGCTACGTTCAAATCTTTTCTTACAAAGAGCAAGCTCTCCAATGAGCTGTAGATGGGCACTCCGTTGTCTTCGGACTGGACCACCGACTCCTCGTTCTCCTCGTTCTTTATTTGCATTCTTCTGAACGTGCGACATTTCAGAAGGTTTATTTGTTCTATCCCAAAAATATGAAGAAGAGGACGTCACCAAAGAACAGTTACCGACGGGGGGAGAGAATAATAGAATAATTAAGTTCATACAATAAACTGACTGGAATCATAGCTCAAGAAGAGTAAATAAGCGAAAAAAACGTGTGGAAAATCGATAAATGTGGTAGGCGAATGGGGGAAATCACATGTTTACTCCGTCTGTCCGTCCATCCCATGACAAAGCGAGAGAAGACACGTCTCTCCCGTTTGACCCTCCTCTCGAGGCGGCAAACCGCGAGACAGCAGAGAGACGGCGAGAACGGTCAGAGCGATTTCGATCCACGTGGATTTTTTTCCAAAAAAAGAATCTATCGGGGGTGCTGACTAAATTATGATGATGATGATGAGGAGGAGGAAGGGGAAAAGGCAAATACACACAGGAAAACGAACAATCGAGTTATCACACACACACACAAAAACAGTCAGAAGATGGAAAGAAAAAACATGGTTCCCAAGTGTAATGATAAGAAGAAAACCGCGGAAGATAATGTTACGAAAAAGATGAGGAAGCCGTCGATTATTGATTGATGGTGACGTGGCTTAGCGATCCTGAAATGAAACGAATGATGATTTCGTAATATTATTTTCTCACAGGGACCCAGACAGATAGAGTGAGAAAAGAAAGGACAGAGAACGACGACGAGGAGGCGGAAATGATATTGTCAACATGTCTTTTGGTCAACGTTTTTTCTCTCCGTGCTCATTTTGTTTGTTTATTTGTGCTTTTCTCGAACGAATAGACTGTGTACTGACCAGCTGACTGAGATCACGATTTGAAATTTTGGGCCTAAATGGATCATCTAAAGGCCAAGGATAGACATTTGTGCACAACATCAATAAACTGAGAAGCGTTTCGCAAGAAAGAACCCAAAAATTCCCAGAAAAATAGGAAATTGAAGAACGATGAAACTGAGCACATTCCACTTAAAACTTGCCTTTCCAATTATGTCTTCTCTCCATTGGCTGGAGGGGCACGCTAAATTCGATTTTTGAGTAATTTAAAACAAAAATTCTGCGGAAAAACCCGGGTTTTGTGGTACTTACCGACATGTAAGAGGCAAAAGAGTTGGAAAGAGTCGACCACTTTTCAGCGACTTTCGACGCGCCCGCACGGAATGAATCTTTCAATTCTGACATGTCTGGCACCTGAAATAAGCGGATTTCCAGGAATTCTCTTTAAAAAAAAGTACCTGACTGTTCTGTCTTTGCTGACTTCCGTTGCCCCACAAATCCTCGGATCCCAACGATGTTTGTCCTTCGAATTTCGACAATGCGCTCTTCGTTTCAAACTGAAAAAAAGGAAAGATTTGGGAGAAAAAGAAAGAATCGTACATCAATATCATTGTTTCCAAAGTACATTTCACTCGAGATCGCCTTCGCATTTCCAAACTTTTTCTGAATATCCACGTCGGAAGCGGGCGTCGATCCGGCGGTTAAACGAGTCGTCGGCGCCTTCGAAGCGCTCGTATTCGAAGAAATCGCCGAGTAACGGGATTTCTGAGCAGGTTGGCTTTCAAAAGTATCGAAGAAGTCGTCCTCTTTGACCGTGTTCTTCGTGTAGTCCTTTGTGAAGAAGTCGTCCTCGTTGCTCGTACCCTTCTTTCCGTACTTGTCATCAATCACCTCCCAATCGTCCTCGTCTTTGGCCGGCGACGGCGTCTTCTTGAAAGTGAGCACGTCGTCCTGCTTGATCGAACGGATGCCGCCGGCGACCGAGTGAACCGCCCGGGATCTGCCAGCGCCACCGCCCATTCCGAGTCGATCCACAGAAGCCGCTTTCGTCGGATCTTTCGCCACTTTCGCCTCTATCTGCTTCCTCTGCGCGTCAATGTCCTGAACAGCGAACTTGGCGCTGAGCTTCGCCATCTCCGCCGCATCGGACGCCTTCTTTTTGTCGTCCGCTTCTACCTGATAGGCGAGTTTATTCGCGGCGATCTCCGCCTCCGCTTGTCGCTCTTTTTCGGCCGCGCGCTGTTCGATTTCATCGAAGTTAATGCGCACTTTCTGTGCTCCAAGCGCGTTTTTCTTGGCGCCAAGGGTCGCCTTCTTGATGGGTTTTTTAAGGATGACAGAGACGGGCGCCGCAGTGGGAACGGCCACGGAATCGATGTGTTCGACAGAAGGACCGTGGGCGGTGGTGGTGTCGGCCTTGTGGTCGGCAATATAAGCATCGGAGCTCAGAGAAGTGGCCGAGGCTGAAGAATGCCCGAAATCCTGGGCGAAGAAGTCTTCCTCTTCCTGCTTCTCCTCGGCGTGCGTCACCGTGTCGATGAGCAGCTGCATTCCGTACTTTCGCTGCGCCTCCTGGCACAGAGCCGCCAGCTTATCCCTGTACAGCGAGGCCGCTCGACTCTTGTACTTTTGCTGCGCTTCCGTCGTGTTACACCCGTGCTGCTTGAACCATTGCGTCTGGAAAATGAATTGTAACAAATATGCCGGTTTTGTCCGGCAAAACCACTCACCGCATTGCCATTTCCTCCGAGTTGCATGGCTCTGAGCTGGAGCCACGTCCAATTGGTGTCTAAATTAGTCGAACGGACAAAAGTGAGATGGACGCCGAGATTTCGATGAACCGCCGAGCAGTCGATGCACAGAAACACGCCTGGAACACATTTTTTGCTAAAAATCGAGAGAAAGTGCTTACCATAGGTCACAGTGCACCAGGTCGGATTTCTGGCTCCACAATCGAAACAGATCTGTAATATTCTAGGTGTCAGGCATTTTGTTTTTTACAAAAAATTACCTTGTTGGCCGGTAAAGCTCTCATTTTGCGCATCGCGGTCTGCAAATCCGTTTTCGACGGTCCATTTTCGTCGGACATTTCGGCGGCTGAAAAATCGATGAAATTATGGGGAAACGGAAGAAGTTGACAGGGAGGAAAAGCCCGACAAAACAGCCACTTCGGCAGCGATCAATAGGAAAACCGGTTTGCGAACGGCGGAAGTGAAAAGGAAGCGGTCTGCCGATTTCTGGCGTTTATCAGTGTGTTCGCTTTGAAAAACTTGATGCGATCAGCGCCAATTTATCTATTTTTTTTGGTTTTCAGCGTGGATTTGCAGTCTTTTATCGAGGGCTTCGCATTAATGTCGGCAGTTACACGTGCCGAAGTGTGTAAACACCGCTGCGGACTTGGCACCGGAACTGACGCGCATTTCGAGGAAAGTTGCCGGAAATCGAGAAAAATTGCTGAAATTCAGGAGATAATAAGATTTTCAGTTGTGAAATGTGTGTAAAATATGAAAGATGTGCCGAGAAAAAATAAAACGACGTAAAACGCGTGAAGACCTTGTAACAGCCACATAATACAACATTCAAACCACAAAAAACAAAAAATTAGTTTCCAAATGGGCTACCCCAAAGCGCTTCCAAGTCACATATCGCCGAAAAAGGTGGAGCTGGTGGACGAGTCGGAGACCGAGAAAAAGCAGCGGGAGCGGCAGAAGAAGGTCGAAACGGCATCGCAACGGGCGAGTCGGATCAAGTCCGAAGGCGAGTTTGCGCAGGAGAACGGTCGTAGTCTGCTGGAGAACGGTCTGACTCGACGTCCCGGGTCTACGGTCGTCGAGGCCGAGTGCCACGTCCGAATCCGTCTCCGCTCCTACAGCATTTTCCTGATTTTCCTCGCTTTTTTCATCTACGAGTACTCCAAATTGTAAGCATTTCTTTGCAAAATTTCCTGGAAAACTTGGGTTTTTTTTTCAGTTTCTGCCGTCCGGACACGTATGACGTCTCGTCGGAAGTGACGTACATGAAGGCGATGTTCAACAAGTACGAGACTCCCGACTATTGTCCGAACTATCAAAAATCGTTCAGAACTGTAATCAGCAGCTGAAAAAAGAAAAAAATGGAAAGATTTTCAGGTTCTGGTGTCCTTTTTTACGTTTTACGCGCTGAAAACCTATCACAAACCGTGGTTGCTCTTCTTTTTCGGCTGTCTTTTGGCGGTTTTTGGGTACGAGGTGCGGAATGTGAAATTGGAGTTTGCGAAGAGATATTCTTGTAAGCATGGGTCTCGCCACGAAAATGATAAAGAAAAATCGATATTTCAGTTGTGAGCGAACATGAAAAGCGGAAGTACGCGATCGAGATGGCGTTGGTATACGTTCAGCACTTTCTCGTCTTGCCCTTCTACTTTGGAACATTCTTTTTGATCAGGTCCGTCCAACCCCGTGGCCGTGGCCTAGAAAATCCCTTTTCCAGACACGTTCACCGGAAAAGCTCGAAGTCGGCGATTGAAATGCGAGAAGAAGAGCAAGAACGGAACATGGATCGGCTGAAAGTGATGCTCGCAAAAGAAGATGATTACGCGTATTACGTGGCGCTGGAGCGAAAGTGCAAAGAGGACAAAAAGAAGAACGACGTCGAGGAGGAGAAGGAACAGAAGGAGAAGTTCGAGACTCGGGAGAGGAAGGTGGAGGAGCAGCAGTTGAGGTTGAAAGAGAACGAGCAGAAAAAGAAGGAGGAGGAGAAGAAAGAGAGGGACATTGAACGGAGAAGGAGACGGAGGGCGAGGAGGATGCGCGAGAAGCAGGACCGGCTCAGGGCGGAAGGTTTCTAGAAGCACGGAAGAGTGCACGGAAGAGTGTTTTCTGTGTGTTCCACCCAATTTTCCAATATTATTCGTTCATTCATTCGCATGTCTATGTGATAAAGCTTTCTTTTATACTTCTCGTAATCACTGTTTCATGTTGATCACAAAGTGCGCAAGTCTGAATCGTTCAATGTTTGGATGTTTCGATACGAAGAAGTCAGTGCAGTACTGAATTGATGGAACCGTTATTTAGTACCTTCGCCGAGATCTTCGGATCCAATAAATATCTTAAAGAATCAGTGTTTTGTTCAATAGAGCGCACTTGCAGACACACGCTTTGTTGAGTTCTTGAAACTGAACAATTTTCGAGTTCATTGATGTTTTCAGAAGAGATTATCATTGTTTGAGCCTAAAACAGTTCTATGGCATCTGAAGCCGAGCAACTAGTAGCTGCGCCTCGATACAATCGGGTTCTTGAGCATCATCGACGACGAGGCGGGCGTCGAGTTGATCCGTTTCAACGTCTTCCTTCCGTAGATTTTCAAGCGGATCGCATCACGGATCGACTCGTTTATCAGCACCATTACTAGTCTGGAAAAGGGTCAATCAAGCGATTGCAGAGAAATACCCGCATAAAACAAGTAATACATACCCTTCCAACGCTTTTGCGAGAATCCTCGAGTAGGCGCCGACGAGGAACTGGAACCAAACGGCCGGATAGAAGGACCACGCGTAGGTGGTGTTGAATGTGTCCACCGCGATTATAAAGTCTTGACAGCAGCTTTGGAAGAGCATTCGACGATTGCGACGCCGTCGATTCAAGTGCTCCATCGACGAGATTTTGATCTTTTTCTGAATCACTCTATGGGTCGTTTTGAAATTACGGCAACAGACTCACCGCATCGGTGACCAATTTCAAGAAGACGATCACGTTGAAAGTGTTCGAAATGAAGGACATTGAGAAGGCGGAGTAGGTGAAAAAGGCGCTGAGTCTCGAGGAACAGACGGTCGAATCGGGGGTCCAGCTGATCGTTTCCAGCATGAAAATGAAGCTGCACCCTTCTGGAAACATCAAAAACTTGTGAGTCTACAATAGTTCTTTGCAGTCTCCGCTACGAACCAAAGAATCCAGGAACCGAAACGAGGCACGAAACAGCAAAGACAATGGTGAGGAAGAGCTGAAAGACAGTACGCCGTTTCACGGGGACCATTCAAATTCAAAGAGACCCGTACGCGATTGGGTGAAAACCTGTACTTTGCGTGATATTCGTGTGGAAAGTAGACCGCCACCAATCGATTCCCAGCCAAAAGGATTTGAGTAGTCGGACCTGAAAAACGGCAAGTTCGATCGATTATTCACAGTTCGAGATTGGCAGACTGTACGCCCAGGCGAACCAGCCGATTATCTGTCCGGCGAGCACGTTGTACGATTGTGGCAGGTAGTAGAAGTTTCTGAAGGCCAACGTTAATCAATCAAGGGAGAAATGGTCGCCTACAGATAGGTGATCGGAACGGGCCAGACGAGAAAACCAATGCAAATGATGTTGTTGGCGATGCTTTTCACCATACAAATCGTCAGAAATCCACTATTCAGTTTGAATCTCGCGAACAGCGAACTGGTTATCAGGACGTTGAGGACAAAGCCGAGGAGAGCGGTCTGCAAGTTACGCTCGGGAATTGTGGCTCCGACCGCTCAAGACCACCAAATGTTCAGTACCGTTTCTTCAACTTTACAAAGTTTTGCCATCATTTCCCTCTACCGTTGGATTTATCCGCTTCGGACACTCACCAAAAGCATGCTAGTCGCGGCCACAATGCGTAGTCGCGTCGACGGTCCCAAAGTCTCGTCCATACGGGCGCAATTTGTGTTTATCGGCTGGGAATGATCGGTTGCCGGCCGCACGAATCACTCTCACATTTGAGCCGCTTTTTTTCCTGGAAACAAAAAAAGTTGGGGGGGCGGTGATAAAAGTTGCAGTTGCAGAGAATGGAGAAATGATTTTGCAAACTCTTATGACTCATTTGAAAAAGTAAACATTTTACGTTTCAGACAGGTTTCATAGAGGATCATGTTGCCGAAAATGTACTGCTTTGACACGTTATATGACAGGGGCTTCTCACACGAATTTCTAGGCGGCAAAGTAATTTTCAACTCAAAACGTGGCCGCTCAATTTGCACTGCAAAAAAAGCGCCATTTCTGTGCGGTATCTCTGTAATATCTATAATATCTCGGTTGCCGGTGGAGATGTCAAAAAGTGACCAACTGATAAAATGTACACGATTGTTTAATGAACAATTGATTAGTTGACAACTTTTTGATATCTCTACTGACAGCTGAGATACATGTCTTTGAATTAACGGTTTTTCGGTACTTGCTCGCCACTGATTTACTGGTAATAATGAGAGCAGTGAGCCGCACAGAGCTGAAAGAAAACAATTGGAAACCGTGATTCGCACTACAGTATTCATTACAAGTGTGGAGCATTATCGAAATGAGGATTCCGACTGTGTTATTAAAATTTTGCTGAAACTGTGGTCCCAACAAATTTGTGAGTTGCAATTAAATCATAAAACGAATGTTTGCATTCAAGAACATTTCTTCCCTGTTTCAAATGTGCGTCAAAATTTAAGGAATGTTGGACGTGTGGTTTTCGAGAGTGGATTTCAATTGAGATCAAATTATCAAAAGGCATTCAGACGTTTTTTGAAGAAAAGTAGTAGGAAAGCGTGAGGGCTGAAAGTGATCAAAGAAAGGGGGAAAGGTAATAAAGATTTGTTGTCCGCGAATGGGAATTCTCATTGTTTTGCGCCAAAAAAATCATATGCTCACGTATACTTTTTGTGTTCGGCAGCGTTTATTCACAAAAACAAAATGGGGTGTTCTATATTTACACAAAAACTGGGTGTTGCATTGAGATCTGATCGAAAAATGACTCGTTTTAGTATTAGTGCTTCTTCTTGCTCACATAATCCTCGGCCAACTCCATGAACAAGTTCGGGCACGTACCTGAATATCGATTTTTTGAATGGAAAAAGTTGAAATGCTCGAACTGACCGTCATACTGAATCTGTGGTTGCGCGGTCATTCCATGCTGCTTGCAAATGGTCGAAAAGATGCGTCTCGAGATCATTTTGCACGACGGACAATCGCCGTCGTAGCAGTGCACGTTGCAGCGGGTGGCCACGCAAGTCAGCACTTTCGAGACGTCCTCCGTCAGACACTCGAACACGCACGTCTCCAGTTTCGGGCACAGACCGGCTGAAATGAAGGATATTTCAGGATATATATTTATGCATGACTGTTGGGTTTTATCTAGTAAGCTTTCGTACACTCGCACGGCCTTCAGAGCTGACAATATGGGCGTGGCCTCGGCGGCCAAATAGCGTTTTCATGAATTGAGCAGGTTTTTTTCAGATTTTTCTGGTCAAAGGCGATGAAAAATGATTGTTCGACAAGGAAAACACACTAATTCTCAGAATTAATGACGTTTTGGCGCATTTTTCGCGGACTTTGCGTTTTCGCCTTCGCCGCCTCAAAACCGCACTTCTCATTTTGCGCTTTCTTGACCGTTTTCATACAGAATTGGTTTTAAGACTGACAAATCACGTAAATACAAGCATTTTGAGCGCTCGAACCGCGAAAATTACCGAAAAACAACTGAAATTCACGCAGTTTTAGCCAAAAACATTCAAACGGATAAATTTGATTTGCGACTTGACCAAATTTATCGCTCTTTCGCTTAAAAAATTTGTGATAGCCTATAGAATCGGTCTATCGAGAGACAAATGAGAAATTATCGATTTTTCGTGGCTAATCTGGCAAAAAAAAAACAAATTTTTCTGCATAAATTTGAATTTCGCGCCAATGTATCGCTCCATTGGGCGGGGCGCACTTGTGCTCATTGTCAGCTCTGGAGACCGTGCACTCGTTGAAACTGTGATCTTCAAAATGAACTGATGAAACCGTAAATCGTTCTATTAGGCCCTCAAAAAGGTCGAAATCCCGCTCCACTGGAAACTTCGGCCATGTCATCATCTTCCGAGGCGGAAAATAATGTGATGTTTGCTATGCCGCGTCCAAAGTCTCGGAAAAACCGTAAAAGCCGCAGGTTTTTGTGTCCAAAGTCGGCCGAAATTTGCGTGAAAAACGGGGGTGCGCACAGCTCAATGAATGTAACCGTACCCCTAAAACTACGGTATTTTTTGAAAATTTGTTAATTTCTTGAGGATATTTGAAAATATTCGAATTTCTTGCGCAAATTTTTTCAAAAAATACTGGTGTTAGATGGAGCAAAGTTGGCTTCTATCTAGTAAACGTTCATTGACTCGTTGAAACGGTGAACTTCAAAATGAACGGAAAACGTGTGAAAGCAGCCCGGTCGGCCTTGGTTTTAGTACTTACATTTCAAATTTCCTAAATTTCTACCAAAATCGTGCCTCTTTGTAATTTTCCGTTCGCATCATACGTAGTTCTGTGTGCACTAGCTAATTTCAATTAAGTAATTTTCCGAGGAAAAGTTCTAAAATTTTTCAGATCGATGGGCGATGGGCGAATCGTAATGAAAATGAAAAACAATGACTTATTGTCAATAAGAAACCGTAAATTTTGCAAAAATTAATTACTGTTCCAACACCTTTTTATCTTAACAAAATTAACTGCTGTACTGCTGGCTACAAATGGTTTCGTTTTTAATTTTTCCAAAGACATGTCAAGTTGAATCCCAAGTGCTTTAGGGCTATAAATTTGTGAAGTAATTGAAGCGCAAAGTCACAATTTAAAACTCCATTCAACGAAAAATCGTCCGAGCAAAACCAAATCAATCGAAATCACCTTACTTAAATAGGATCTTTGAAACTGTGAAAACCGGGGATCTTATAGGATTTCTAGCAAAGGTGTCAGCGTTTTTACACTGGAACACTATGTGCATGTGTATAACCCTTATTTTGATGGCTTAATGAAACAGAAACTCACAAGTCTTCTCTCCCTGAGCGAGAGCACTCATTTGCTCCAGAGCATAATGGCAATGTTTGCACTGAGCGCACTCATTTCCACATTTGGCCGCAATGCAGACCATGTCGAACTTCTCCACAAGATTGCCGAATACTTGGTCTCTCGGCGACTCGCTCACAATCTTTCGCACCATTTCTTCAAGAAAAACAATGATTTCATGGGTTTCGATGAATGGATAGATAGACGAAACCTACCTTTATCCAGACACTTTTCGACTGCACAACTCGTCATTAACGAGCACGAAGCGCTCGATTTCGAGGTCGACGAATGGGTGGAGACGACCAGAAAACCAAGAGAAACGGTCAACAATCGCGAGAAAGCGTTCATTTTTGTCTGTCAGAGAGTCGATTTTCAGCCGGTAAACAAATGGGTTCGTTCTCATTTTATAGTGGTTTGCTTGCGGCGGGGCCGCCCGTTTCGCTCGCCTCCTCCCAACACACGCGCCGAACAATGGCTTTTTGTGAAAACGAGAAAAAGGGACGGTGTCGGCGTGTCTCGAATCGCGCCCATCTTTCTCGTCGCGTACACGAAACTGTTTCTTTTCGGGCTTCACTGACCCCTTCCTCTCCCTCTCTCTCTCTCTCTTTCAAGGTGACCTTACACACACATGGCCGAGAACGATGCGATTCTATCGGTGTGACAATGGAAATGAGAGGAAAAACCGATTGGGTTCTTCTTGTTCTTCGCCGAAAGCTTACACTCTTTCAGAGTTTTATGATCTCTCGACGAGACGTCGATTGGTGTAAATTTGTGTTCTTTTTTTCATGTTTTTGAAACGGATATCGCTGGAGTGTGAGCAAACGCGCTCTACTGGACTCAATGCCAATTGAAACTGTGAGCTGAAAATTGAGGGTGGCACGAGGATGTCAGCCTGGAAAGGCATCTCGGCGAGGAGGAGGACAACAACGACTAAATTTGTTTTCTGTTCAGAACTTTCGCAAAGAGGCTACCCAGCATGTGCTCATAATTGACTTTGTTTTTACCGGTTTATTGAGTGTAAAATCATCGCAATATGTACCGGAAATTGGCGAAACTCCGTCGGCTTGTCCTTCTTCTGTGCTCTTTTCCCTGTTTTCCCTGTCTCTGCTCGACCGAATGCTCACTCCTCCTCCTCCTCGTCACCCTTTGAAAACAGTGTTCGTCTGGCCTCCGGAAGTTTTCTGAAATGTATCAAATTGAAATGACTAGGTCCGTCAGAACTTACCTTCTATTCAAACTGCGTCGGACGAGCGGCGAGTACGGATCCTCTTCGTCGTCAGAATCCTCCAATTTCAGCTTCTTCGGAAACGGCGTCGATTTCGAATCCTTCTTAACAGAGGTCTTCTTCGGTGTTTGCGGCGTGCTGAAAAAGGTTGGTTTGAAACTGAAGTGAACACCTTCAAACTGACATTCGCGGAGGCGTAATCATTCCGAGAGTGGGCGTCGTCGGCTTTTCCTCATCTTCCTTCTTGTTTTCGGCGTCCGCGAGTCGTTTCTAGAAAAATATAGCGATGAAATTGAGAAGAAAGTGAGAATGAAACTAACCATTTCGGCGGTTTTCACGTATTCCTCCCGTCCTTCCAATCGTTTCTTGATTCCGGGAAACTCGAACAGCTGCTGAGTCGTCGGGCGCATCTCTGGAACTATGCTCAGCATCCGTCTCGTCAACTCCTTCAGCTCTTCGGTTCTTGAATGGAAGAAACGGTCGGGAATGCGCCAGTTCCGGATGTCGTCCCATCCATCGCCGTTTCCTGGGAGCACAAGATCCGTCGCAATCTCGAGAATAGTCATTCCGGCGGAGAAAACATCGGAAGACATTGTCGGCTTGCCGTTGAGCACCTCCTTTGCCAGGTACCGCGAATCTCCCTCTTCTGCGCTCTCCATTTCTTGCGGCTGAAAAATACAAGAAGTGTTTTAGAGGGGAAAAAGAAGAACACAAACTAACCTTGTCGAGTCGGGTGGCCAATCCAAAGTCGGCGAGCTTGCAGATGCTCCCTTTCGTCACCAGGATGTTCTCCGTTTTGATGTCGCAGTGGATCATTCGATGCGCGTGCAGATGATCCACCGCACGGAGAATATCGATGGCGAAGTGCCACACTTGGTCTTCCGAGACGCCAGCCGAGCAAAAGGCGAGCAAACTCTGCTCGGCGAGCTCCGTCTGAATGTAGAGACGGCCCACGTCCTCCCACGCCTGGACGAATCCAAGAATGTTCGGATGCCTCGGCAGAACCATGTGGTTGACTGCCTCTCTATACTTCAGAGGGCTCGTTTGCCGGAGCTCTCGCGAGCTCATTTTGACGGCATAGAGCCCACCGTCTTCCAGGGACCGCACGGAGAACACCTCTCCGAACGAGCCCCTTCCGATGGTCTTTTGGTCTCGGAAGACCTGATCAAGGAACGCCGAGTTCTTTGATCCCGTGTAGTGGTCCGAGACCAACGGCAATGTGGATCCTACAATTAAAACAATGAGAAAGGGCGTTTATATTGAGCACTTTTTACTTCTAGCAGAATCCTCAAAAAGTAGTTTTGAAACGCAAAAACTTTTACAAGAGTTACGGCTTCTCTTTTTTAATATAAAAAATAACTAACCGTCTTGGACGATCCTCTTCGCGTCCTCCATGCCTTTTCGGAGCGCCCCCCTCGAGCGGCGCACGTTGATGAGTTGGGGGGGCCGCACCGAGCCCATCATCTTCTCCGCCCACTCCCGCTTCGTCATAAGCGGCGAGTCGTGGATCGGGGCGGCGGCGATGATCTGGTGGGCGGGCATCCTTGGTGGAGGTGTTTAGTCTGGAATGAAATGGTCGTTAGAGGGAATAATACATAGTGGGAGGAATGAGATTGTGGACGGAAAGGCAAAGGGGGAGAAGGCAAGGACTTCCATTATTGGGGCACCGAACAGAAATGGCGCTCTGTTGAGAAACTCTTTTTGCAGTGCAAATTGAGCGACCTCGGGGCCGAGTTTGAAGAGTTAGGCCACATTTTCAGTGGAAAATTACTTCGCGGCCTAGAAATTCGGCCAGATTGCGAACAGCGCGCCCTTTCTGTCCGGTGCCCCTATAATAACTAGAATCGACAGATCGCGAAAATGGTCAGAGGGCAATGAATGAAAATGGTCCAGCGTATCCCTCCTTGTCCATAAAAGGGCGGAGCCTATTAGAAGAGCGAGAGAGAGAAAGAGAGAGAGGTCCTCTACTACTCTTTTCGAAATGGTAAAGATGCGACTGTCTTATCTGCTTTTGTGTGAACTGGCAAGAACTTGTGAGAAAAGAATGGACCTCTTTTCAAAGTAACGGGAATCCGACTAGTGAGGACCAGGGGGATAAGATAGGATACTCTTAAGAGACAGAACTTGTGTGCTCGAAAATGATGAGCAGGAATCAGAAGAAAAGTAGAGCCTAAGGTGAGTCAAGGGTTTGGACTAGAAAATGAAGAGGAAAGGCTCGGAAAGGAGAATGGAACGATTCTGAAGACGACCTAGGATGGTATGAGTTGTGGCACGCAAACGACCACTGACCAGACCGTGCTCTTTTTATGTGAAAGGGCGTGGCCCTATGGAAGAGGAGGATGCTCCTCCTCTTGACGTGAAGATGTGGCGGGTTAGGAGTATGAGAGAAACAAACAGCGACTGATATGATAAAAAACTGAAGAAAACTCGTTGGGAAAGTTGAAAATTCGAGAATGGCGCGAAAAATTGGGTATTGGAGAGCTGGTGAGAGAGCTTTTTACATTGTCAGCCTTAGATTGGAATGTTTATATTATAAGTGTTGAACATTTCATCCTGAACCGACTATTTGGCCTAGAGATATGTTGATTTGTATATACTTTCCTTCCAGAACTCCTGCGGCTGGGAGTCGAGAAATGAAGCTAACTAGATTTTGACATCTTGTCTTGAGTTGAACTTTTTTCCACTGAGATGGCGTTGGAGGTGACTGAAGAGACGGTAGTCAGAGGGGGCCAGGTCTGGGCTGTACGGTGGGTGAGACAAGATTGGCCAGCCGTATCCAGCGAGTTCAGCTTTGGCCTTTCTGTCTACATGGGGATGAGCATTATCATGCTGCAAGTAAGCTTTCGCATTTTCCCCCAATAGAGATCCACATGGAGTCTGAGTTTTCTCAGCTGACCATTGTAGACATCGGCCGTAACAGTGACGCCGTCATCAAGAAGCTCCCAATATTCAACTCCACGGACAGACCATCATATTGATAACATTGCCTTTTTTCGTGTATTTCATGTTTTGGCCCGTCAGCTGGCTGAGCTTCTTTGGCAACCCACTCGGCACGTCGCTCACTGTTATCATACATAACCCATTTCTCGTCTCCCGTAATGATTTGATCCGACCATCCATGTGTGCGATGCAGGGTGAGAAGATTCAAGCAGGTATCCACACGTGTATCCAAGTTGTGTTGAGTCAAAACATGGGGAACATATCTTCCGAGTTTTTTGACTTTGCCAATTGCTTCGAGTCCATGACTAATTGATGATAGGCTCGCCCCAAGTGTCATTGATAGTTCACGAACGGATTGAAAAGGATCCCTCTCAATCTCGCTTTTCAATGCTTCCAAGTCTAACGATATCGGTCTTCCTGAACGTGGATGATCATCCATCGAAAATTCCCCTTTTTCGAATCGATGAAGCCAAGTGCTAATGGTAGTTCGAGTGGGTCCATCTTTGTTGTAAACCTCCGTGAAACGGCGATCAATGCCGGCATTTTCAGGTCAGATAGAAATAGAAATAAGATTACATTTCGGAAATGTACGTTGTTAGGGACGAAAACGTTCGGCATATCTCACTACTCGGGAACAGGAGAATGATGTCCGTTGCTGTGTTGACACTTCAACACCTGACCAATATACTGATAAAACGACAACTAACTCGCTTGCTTCCTGATAGAAAAAACAATCTTCAAAAACATACTATGAAAAATGACTGGAACTTTCCGAACAACCTAATATGTTGATTTGAATCGTGACAAGCTAAAACCAGAATCCTAAAAGTATGGGCAAAGGCGAAAGGTACCATGAGAGAGCAGGAAACAAATGGTCTCGAACTCTTGGGACCACCCCGTCGACAGCTTATAGGGTTCCTCAAGTTTGGATCCGATCGAGCAATTCCAACTGGAAATGAAATGTGCTAGTAGCATAAGACAATGCAATCCTATCTTTAACTTGAGGAGAATGGCCAGATAAGAAAGAGTGCTCTTTTTGAGTGGGAGGTGAGGGAGGCAATCGGATAATATTAGATAGTCGGATTGAAGAGCGATAGACGGCTGCAAATATGGCCTAAAAAGAGATAATTAAGAATCTAGGCCCACTTGCAATCATCCGATTGGACCCTAACTTGAGACAACTATCAGTCTTTCATTGTACGCTCTATTTTGGACGTTTCCGCCCAATCTGATCATTCGGTCTAAAATGATTATCTGCTCAGAAGAGATGATCGAATCGAGCTGAAACTTTGAAGGTACATGCTCTAATCCAAGACTGATAATCGTGAAAAGTTTTGGTCCCAGTGGACGATCCAAGCCCGGTCCGCTACGATTGGGGATTAGAGAGGTGTAGAAAGAAGTGGCGAACATGTGCCCACCTGCGTGCCAACGTGTAAACCCAAAGGCGCATATGTATCCGCAAAGGACCGCGCTCTCCGCAAAGCACATTTGTTTGTCGGACACGTGCCAATAATGAGTCTTCTTCTCACCTCTGTGTGAACTTTTAAAAGTATACATTGAAGAGCTTTATTAAATGCGAATATTAAATGCGCATTGATACAATTACACATAAAAGCGAGTGGAACGGGCCCTTCGGAACCGGCCCATAATATGAGAGCACAATGGACAAATGTGCACGAAATCACTAAAAGAGCCCAGGAAACAGGGAAGCGGCGAGCACGGCCAAAGGAAGAGAACGGCGAAGAGGAAGCAGGAGAGGAAGGCGAAAAGGCCGGTCTCGCGGTGCACGTCCGACTCCACAATGTTCTGAAAATATGGGCGGCGAATTGTTTGTCACTACAAACTCCAAATTACAAACTTGACGCTTTTTGTTTCACTTTACTGTAGTGCGTGGGGGGTTACTGTAGTGCTTTACCCTTTATCAGCCAGCCAACGGCCATACGAGACTTCGATGAAACTGAGGAAGATTCCGAGTGCGACTCCAGATGAGACCAGTATGTCCTGAAAAGTGAGGATTTATGATTCTGTTACTCTTACTGTTTCACAATGAACATTAGTTCTAAGAGCAGTAAATCCGTGAGTAAGTCAATTAAAATCGGTTCGGCCCCCAAGTTGCCTACTTATGATGAGGGGTAGTGGGTCCAATACAAGAAAACACAAGAAACAACGCGAAAGATAATCAAACAAAGGTTTATTGCTTGAGGAGCAACGAAAGACACGAATCAACGAAGAAAACACAGAAAGAACACCAAAAAGAGTTTCTCTCACATGTACACGTAGAAAAGCTTTATTTTAACCAGAACTAAAAACTCAGTCTTAAAAATGCCACGCAGCTCAAAGTTCGCGCGTGTCCGATAGAGCGTCTTTGCACCCGTTTGTGCGACTTCCTGGAAAGGGTTTGAGGGAACTGCCTTTGGCAACTGGGGACTCTGAAAAGAACGTTGTTCTGTTGTGCAATAAAGCGTCTGATTTTTGAAACTAGATTCATGAAACTGTAAACTTTCAGTTGCGCAACCCGTCGGCCAACTTGGTGAATATGAAAGTGAGTTTTGAGACAAACAATTTCCGTCACTTTGGAACCTGATAAATTCATTGCCGACTGTTTTCAAAAACTAATGTTCATTGTGAAACAGTAAGAGTAACAGAATCATAAATCCTCACTTTTGAGGACATATTCATACTGGTCTCATCTGGAGTCGCACTCGGAATCTTCCTCAGTTTCATCGAGGTCTCGTATGGCCGTTGGCTGGCTGATAAAGGGTAAAGCACTACAGTAACCCCCCACGCACTACAGTAACCCATCCCCTAATTTCCAGCCGTCGTCGCATAATCGTCATTCGTTACTTTCAAAAGTGGCACGACGTGTCCCTTGGCCCGAAACGACGGGCCTACCGGTTGAAGTACAATTTGGAGCGGCCGATCGTCCGGCGAGGATTCTCGGGCATCGAGCGGTGCTCTTTCGCGGAGATGCGCGAACGGAGACGCGTCAGGGGACTCGCCACGTCACGCATCGATCAGTACTGTTTCTGGCCCGATTTGGACTTTAAGGACAAGCCCCTCGTGCTTTTTTGTCCGAGATGCAGAGTCAGTTTGTGTTGTCTTTTGAACGGGCTCTTTTTGTGAGCAAAGAGGGAGAGCGCGCCAACTAGCACGTCAATTTCAAAAGTAGAGAATGTGAAACACTTTTACACTAGAAATCTTCTATTTTTTTGTTGGCCGATTCAAATGTGGGTGCTGCTTTGAAAGGGAACAGAAACAGAAAACTTATGAGCTTGTTCAGTAGGGTAAAAAACTGGAAAAGGGGGGGGGGGGCGTGAGCAGTTTCCAAACTGTTTTCTACATAGTTTCATCTTCAAATGTGTAACTTTTCGAGTTGGGCGAACAGGTTTTCAGTGTTCTGCTGTTTTGTAAACAAGAGAAAGTGAAACAAAAAGCGTCAAGTTTTTAATCTGGTGTTTGTAGTGACAAACAATTCGCCGCCCATATTTTCAGAACATTGTGGAGTCGGACGTGCACCGCGAGACCGGCCTTTTCGCCTTCCTCTCCTGCTTCCTCTTCGCCGTTCTCTTCCTTTGGCCGTGCTCGCCGCTTCCCTGTTTCCTGGGCTCTTTTAGTGATTTCGTGCACATTTGTCCATTGTGCTCTCATATTATGGGCCGGTTCCGAAGGGCCCGTTCCACTCGCTTTTATGTGTAATTGTATCAATGCATTTAAATTTAATAAAGCTCTTCAATGTATACTTTTAAAAGTTCACACAGAGGTGAGAAGAAGACTCATTATTGGCACGTGTCCGACAAACAAATGTGCTTTGCGGAGAGCGCGGTCCTTTGCGGATACATATGCGCCTTTGGGTTTACACGTTGGCACGCAGGTGGGCACATGTTCGCCACTTCTTTCTACACCTCTCTAATCCCCAATCGTAGCGGACCGGGCTTGGATCGTCCACTGGGACCAAAACTTTTCACGATTATCAGTCTTGGATTGGAGCATGTACCTTCAAAGTTTCAGCTCGATTGGATCATCTCTTCTCAGCAGATAATCATTTTAGACCAAATGATCCGATTGGGCGGAAACGTCCAAAATAGAGCGTACAATGAAAGACTGATAGTTGTCTCAAGTTAGGGTCCAATCGGATGATTGCAAGTGGGCCCAGAGTGAGCTCTCGAGACCAAATCAACAAAATTGGCGAGACTCTCGGTAATCGAGAAGCCTCGGTACCGAAGACTTCTCGCCACCGAGAAATCCGAGAAAATACGAGAAGTCTATGTTGAAGGGCTTTTCAGCCGGAAACAGCCTGAAATCAGGCTGAAACCTCTTTTTTTGTGGAAATAAATGTTTTTATTTAATTAAAAAATTAAACAACAAATTAAAATGAAAAGAAATTTTTTTTAAGAAATAAAATTAATTAAAAATACATTTCAAGTTGTTTTTTAATTTTTTAATGTTTTAATTTTAAAAAAACATTTTGTTCCACAAAAAAAGCGGTTTCAGCCCTTCAACACAGACGTCTCGTAATTTCTCGGTGGCGAGAAGTCTTCAGACTACCGAGAAGTCTCGGTACCGAAGACTTCTCGGTACCGACGCTTCTCGGGAAGTTCTCCCATTACTTTTCCCGGCAATTCCCGGGACTTCAGTCTCGTCAGCTCACCCTGAATGGACCTAGATTCTTAATTATCTCTTTTTAGGCCATATTTGCAGCCGTCTATCGCTCTTCAATCCGACTATCTAATATTATCCGATTGCCTCCCTCACCTCCCAGTCAAAAAGAGCACTCTTTCTTATCTGGCCATTCTCCTCAAGTTAAAGATAGGATTGCATTGTCTTATGCTACTAGCACATTTCATTTCCAGTTGGAATTGCTCGATCGGATCCAAACTTGAGGAACCCTATAAGCTGTTGACGGGGTGGTCCCAAGAGTTCGAGACCATTTGTTTCCTGCTCTCTCATGGTACCTTTCGCCTTCGCCCATACTTTTAGGATTCTGGTTTTAGCTTGTCACGATTCAAATCAACATATCTCTAGGCCAAATAGTCGGTTCAGGATGAAATGTTCAACACTTATAATATAAACATTCCAATCTAAGGCTGACAATGTAAAAAGCTCTCTCACCAGCTCTCCAATACCCAATTTTTCGCGCCATTCTCGAATTTTCAACTTTCCCAACGAGTTTTCTTCAGTTTTTTATCATATCAGTCGCTGATTCTTTCTCTCATACTCCTAACCCTCCACATCTTCACGTCAAGAGGAGGAGCATCCTCCTCTTCCATAGGGCCACGCCCTTTTACAGAAAAAGAGCACGGTCTGGTCAGTGGTCGTTTGCGTGCCACAACTCATACCATCCTAGGTCCTCTTCAGAATCGTTCCATTCTCCTTTCCGAGCCTTTCCTCTTCATTTTCTAGTCCAAACCCTTGACTCTATTTTCTTTTGGCCAGCTGACCAGGCTTTCCTAACATGTGAGTAGAAGCTTTAAAAAAAGCTCTACTTTTCTTCTGATTCCTGTTCATCATTTTCGAGCGCACAAGTTCTGTCTCCCAAGAGTAGCCTATCTTATCCCCCCGATCCTCACTTGTCGGATTCCCGTTACTTTGAAAAGAGGTCCTTTCTTTTCTCACAAGTTCTTGCCAGTTCACACAAAGGCAGATAAGACAGTCGCATCTTTACCATTTCGAAAAGAGTAGTAGGGGACCTCTCTCTCTCTCTCTCTCTTTCTCACTCTCTCTCTCTTCTAATAGGCTCCGCCCTTTTACGGAAAAGGGGTATACACTGGACCATTTTCATTCATTGCCCTCCGACCATTTTCGCGATCTGTCGATTCTAGTTATTATAGGGGCACCGGACAGAAAGGGCGCGCTGTTCGCAATCTAGCCGAATTTCCGGGCCGCGAAGTAATTTTCCACTGAAAATGTGGCCTAACTCTTCAAACTCGGCCCCGAGGTCGCTCAATTTGCACTGCAAAAAGAGTTTCTCAGCAGAGCGCCATTTCTGTTCGGTGCCCCTATAATAGAAGTCCTTCCCTTCCCTTCTCCCCCTTTGCCTTTCCGTCCACAATCTCATTCCTCCCACAATGCAAAATTCCCTCTAACCACCATCTCATTCCAGACTAAACACCTCCACCAAGGATGCCCGCCCACCAGATCATCGCCGCCGCCCCGATCCACGACTCGCCGCTTATGACGAAGCGGGAGTGGGCGGAAAAGATGATGGGCTCGGTGCGGCCCCCCCAACTGGCCAACGTGCGCCGCTCGAGGGGGGCGCTGCGGAAAGGCATGGAGGACGCGAAGAGGATCGTCGAAGACGGTTAGTTCTTTTTTATATTAAAAAAGAGAAGCCGTAACTCATGCACGGTCTCCAGTGCTGACAATATGGGCGTGGCCTCGGCCAAATGGCGTTTTCATGAATTGAGCAGGTTTTCTTCAGATTTTTCTGGTCAAAGGCGATGAAAAATGATTGTTCGACTTGAAACACACACTAATTCTCAGAATTAATGACGTTTTGGCGCATTTTTCGCGGACTTTGCTTTTTCGCCTTCGCCGCCTAAACCGCACTTCTCATTTTGCGCTTTCTTGACCGTTTTCATACAGAATTGGTTTTGAGAATGATAAATCACGTAAATACAAGCATTTTGAGCGCATTACCGAAAAGCAACTGAAATTCACGCAGTTTTAGCCAAAAACCTTCAAACTTGACCAAATTTAACGCTCTTGCGCTTAAAAAATTCGTAATAGCCTATACAATTGGTCTATTGAAAGACAAATGTGAAATTATAGGTTTTTCATGGCTACTCTGCCAAAAAACACAAATTTTGCGGTTAAAATTTGAATTTCGCACCAATGTATCGCTCTATTGGGCGGGGCGCACTTTCGCTCATTGTAAGCTCTGGAGACCGTGTCATGTAAAAGTTTTTGCGTTTCAAAACTACTTTTTGAAGATTCAGCTAGAAGTAAGAAGTGCTCAAAATTGAAACCATAAACTCCCTTTCTCATTGTTTTAATTGTAGGATCCACGTCGCCGTTGGTCTCGGACCACTACACGGGATCAAAGAGCTCCGCGTTCCTTGATCAGGTCTTCCGAGACCAAAAGACCATCGGAAGGGGCTCGTTCGGAGAGGTGTTCTCCGTGCGGTCCCTGGAAGACGGTGGGCTCTATGCCGTCAAAATGAGCTCGCGAGAGCTCCGGCAAACGAGCCCTCTGAAGTATAGAGAGGCAGTCAACCACATGGTTCTGCCGAGGCATCCGAACATTCTTGGATTCGTCCAGGCGTGGGAGGACGTGGGCCGTCTCTACATTCAGACGGAGCTCGCCGAGCAGAGTTTGCTCGCCTTTTGCTCGGCTGGCGTCTCGGAAGACCAAGTGTGGCACTTCGCCATCGATATTCTCCGTGCGGTGGATCATCTGCACGCGCATCGAATGATCCACTGCGACATCAAAACGGAGAACATCCTGGTGACGAAAGGGAGCATCTGCAAGCTCGCCGACTTTGGATTGGCCACCCGACTCGACAAGGTTAGTTTGTGTTCTTCTTCTTGTTCCCCTCTAAAACACTTGTTGTATCTTTCAGCCGCAAGAAATGGAGAGCGCAGAAGAGGGAGATTCGCGGTACCTGGCAAAGGAGGTGCTCAACGGCAAGCCGACAATGTCTTCCGATGTTTTCTCCGCCGGAATGACTATTCTCGAGATTGCGACGGATCTTGTGCTCCCTGGAAACGGCGATGGATGGGACGACATCCGGAACTGGCGCATTCCCGACCGTTTCTTCCATTCAAGAAGCGAAGAGCTGAAGGAGTTGACGAGACGGATGCTGAGCATAGTTCCAGAGATGCGCCCGACGACTCAGCAGCTGTTCGAGTTTCCCGGAATCAAGAAACGATTGGAAGGACGGGAGGAATACGTGAAAACCGCCGAAATGGTTCGTTTGATTCACTCACTTTCTTCTCAATTTCATCGCTATATTTTTCTAGAAACGACTCGCGGACGCCGAAAACAAGAAGGAAGATGAGGAAAAGCCGACGACGACGCCCACTCTCGGAATGATTACGCCTCCGCGAATGTCAGTTTGAAGGTGTTCACTTCAGTTTCGAACCAACCTTTTTTTTCAGCACGCCGCAAACACCGAAGAAGACCTCTGTCAAGAAGGATTCCAAATCGACGCCGTTTCCGAAGAAGCTGAAATTGGAGGATTCTGACGACGAAGAGGATCCGTACTCGCCGCTCGTCCGACGCAGTTTGAATAGAAGGTAAGTTCTGACGGACCTAGTCATTTCAATTTGATACATTTCAGAAAACTTCCGGAAGCCAGACGAACACTGTTTTCAAAGGGTGACGAGGAGGAGGAGGAGTGAGCATTCGGTCGAGCAGAGATAGGGAAAACAGGGAAAAGAGCACAGAAGAAGGACAAGCCCACGGAGTTTTGCCAATTTCCGGTACATATTTCGATGATTTTACACTCAATAAACCGGTAAAAAGTCAATTATGAGCACATGCTGAGTAGCCTCTTTGCGAAAGTTCTGAACAGAAAACAAATTTAGTCGTCGTTGTCCTCCTCCTCGCCGAGATGCCTTTCCAGGCTGACATCCTCGTGCCTTCCTCAACTTTCAGCTCACAGTTTCAATTGTCACGGGTTTTTCGTGGCGGAGAAGACTTGTGAGTTTCTGCTTCATTAAGCCATCAAAATAAGGGTTATACATATGCACATTAGTGTGTCTACGGGGAGAGGTGGTAAGAGAGATAAAATGACTTAGATGGGGGAAGTATGAGGCACCGGTAATTAGACGATAGAGGAGTGTTAACTGAGATTTGAGGCGGCGATGACGGATGGAAGACAAGTTAAGGATGGCAAGACGGTGGTACCCTTGACCGTCAAGGGATCCTGCCAATTTTAAAAAAATGCCGATCGAGCAATTCCAACAGGAAATGAAATGTGCTAGTAGCATAAGACAATGCAATCCTATCTTTAACTTGAGGAGAATGGCCAGATAAGAAAGAGTGCTCTTTTTGACTGGGAGGTGAGGGAGGCAATCGGATAATATTAGATAGTCGGATTGAAGAGCGATAGACGGCTGGAAATATGGCCTAAAAAGAGATAATTAAGAATCTAGGCCCACTTGCAATCATCCGATTCGACCCTAACTTGAGACAACTATCAGTCTTTCATTGTACGCTCTATTTTGGACGTTTCCGCCCAATCTGATCATTCGGTCTAAAATGATTATCTGCTCAGAAGAGATGATCCAATCGAGCTGAAACTTTGAAGGTACATGCTCTAATCCAAGACTGATAATCGTGAAAAGTTTTGGTCCCAGTGGACGATCCAAGCCCGGTCCGCTACGATTGGGGATTAGAGAGGTGTAGAAAGAAGTGGCGAACATGTGCCCACCTGCGTGCCAACGTGTAAACCCAAAGGCGCATATGTATCCGCAAAGGACCGCGCTCTCCGCAAAGCACATTTGTTTGTCGGACACGTGCCAATAATGAGTCTTCTTCTCACCTCTGTGTGAACTTTTAAAAGTATACATTGAAGAGCTTTATTAAATGCGAATATTAAATGCGCATTGATACAATTACACATAAAAGCGAGTGGAACGGGCCCTTCGGAACCGGCCCATAATATGAGAGCACAATGGACAAATGTGCACGAAATCACTAAAAGAGCCCAGGAAACAGGGAAGCGGCGAGCACGGCCAAAGGAAGAGAACGGCGAAGAGGAAGCAGGAGAGGAAGGCGAAAAGGCCGGTCTCGCGGTGCACGTCCGACTCCACAATGTTCTGAAAATATGGGCGGGCGAATTGTTTGTCACTACAAACACCAGATTACAAACTTGACGCTTGTTTTCACTTTCTCTTGTTTACAAAACAGCAGAACACTGAAAACCTGTTCGCCCAACTCGAAAAGTTACACATTTGAAGATGAAACTATGTAGAAAACAGTTTGGAAACTGCTCACGCCCCCCCCCCCTTTCCAGTTTTTTACCCTACTGAACAAGCTCATAAGTTTTCTGTTTCTGTTCCCTTTCAAATCAGCACCTATATTAGAATCGGCCAAAAAAAAAGAAGATTTCGAGTGTAAAAGTGTTTCACATTCTCTACTTTTGAAATTGACGTGCTAGTTGGCGCGCTCTCCCTCTTTGCTCACAAAAAGAGCCCGTTCAAAAGACAACACAAACTGACTCTGCATCTCGGACAAAAAAGCACGAGGGGCTTGTCCTTAAAGTCCAAATCGGGCCAGAAACAGTACTGATCGATGCGTGACGTGGCGAGTCCCCTGACGCGTCTCCGTTCGCGCATCTCCGCGAAAGAGCACCGCTCGATGCCCGAGAATCCTCGCCGGACGATCGGCCGCTCCAAATTGTACTTCAACCGGTAGGCCCGTCGTTTCGGGCCAAGGGACACGTCGTGCCACTTTTGAAAGTAACGAATGACGATTATGCGACGACGGCTGGAAATTAGGGGATGGGTTACTGTAGTGCGTGGGGGGTTACTGTAGTGCTTTACCCTTTATCAGCCAGCCAACGGCCATACGAGACCTCGATGAAACTGAGGAAGATTCCGAGTGCGACTCCAGATGAGACCAGTATGAATATGTCCTCAAAAGTGAGGATTTGTGATTCTGTTACTGTTACTGTTTCACAATGAACATTAGTTTTTGAAAACAGTCGGCAATGAGTTTATTAAATTCCAAAGTGACGGAAATTGTTTGTCTAAAAACTCACTTTCATATTCACCAATCCGAGTCGGGCCGGCGACTTGTGTGCCTCGACGACACAATTCGGACCGCCTCGATCAATCCACTTTTGATCTAAATTCTCCATTACCCCGCCTGCAAATAACTCTAATTTTCAAGATTCTCGAGCACAGACAAACTCTCCGACATCCTCAAAATGGCGGAAGTGATGTGGGGCGTCCAGGGACTGTTCTTCTGCAGTCCGATACCGTAGGCACTCCGGCCGAACAGCGAGCCACGTGTCCGCAGTTCGCAGTGACGTGCGGCCTCGAATTCCAAACGGGTCGAGTCCCAAATGAAGGCGTCCAGAGAGCCGTTTAGCAGGGAATGGACCGCCTGAATCGGGGGGGATCGGGGAGCTGGCAATTAAATCATCGGGGAGCACGAACCTCGGAAGCACGGTGCACATTGTGCGGTTCCATTTTTCGGAACATTGACGAGAGTTCCACGTGGCGTTTGAAGTACTGATAGACGTTCGAATTGAGGACCGTGCCGAAAGAGAAGTTGGCCGACGGGTTGCGCAACTCAAAGTTTACAGTTTCATGAATCTAGTTTCAAAAATCAGACGCTTGATTGCAAAATAGATTAGTTCTAGCACACAAATCACAAACGATTACTGAAATACCACTGTTTCAATAGTAACATTTCAAAAGTATCAGACTATTATCGTTAATGCCGACTAACCCTCGGATCGGTCACTCCAGTCAATCCCTTTTCGGGCTGATCCAACACGAGAAACGCGGCGAGGTTGGCAGTGTAGGAGGCGACCATAATCATGCAGAAACCGCACCAGACAATGCCGAGAACACGCGCCGAACAGCTTCTCGGCGTTTCTGAAATCAATCGTCTCCTCTCGTTTTTGTGCTGGAAACCAGTAAACTTGCTCACTTTCCGAGACTCCACTATTGAGGAGGACGCCCCAGACGAACCACATGGCCTCGCCAAAGTTGACGTTGTCGTCCTCGTCCTTGCCGACCCACAACTCGAACTCCTTCTTCAGGTCGTGCTCCATTTCCTTGTCCGCCTGATAGAATCGCTCGAACGGCGACTTGAAGTCGAGGCAGTAAATGGCGAGTCCGACGAGCAGGACCGACACGAAAAGGGCGGTCCAGAGGGAGGATTGAAGCGGTTGGAGAAACGATTGCATCGGGGAGTCGCGGGGAATCTGGGGACGGACACTTACTCCATTAGAACTTGTTGGAAAAATGCTACAATTTGTGGCAGGTTGTACGGATCTAGAACTTTGTTTCAAAATTCCGCCCAATCCCACTCACATTTTTCTCCAAAATCCTGATTCCATGGTACAACCACGGCTCGGAGAAGTCGACAATCCTCTCGCGTTCCGGATTAATCGTCAGTCCGCCGATGGCCATGTCGGCCGTGTCCCCGTCCAATTCGCCGATCACTCCGCCAATCGTCACTCCTGTCTGAAACAGTGTCCTTTTTCAGATTTTATCATTTTCTAGGTTTGTACCGTCTCAGCCGCCTGGACGACTCCATACGACTCGTTGAGATGAAGCGAGAAGGTGAAACTGGTGTCGATCGAGTTGTTGGCCTAAAAATTGAGATGGTGAAGCGGAAAAAGTGAAGGAAAACCTCGGGAAGCGATAAGTTGGAGAGGAGATCGATGGCGAGGCCGGCACAACAAAAGTATTCGGTCGTGTTGGCTGATGTCAGCGGACAAGAGTACCACGGTCCCGGCTGAAATTCGAATGCTCATTCTACAGTTTCATGAATCCCAGATAGAAGTGAATTATGGGATGTGAGTAGTATTTTAACACCCCGCAAAAATCTTGTCTGTTCTAGTCTTTGAAACTAATCAGCAACCTCATTCAACAATGCCTTTTCACGCGGGGGGGATTGCGATAGAGGACAGTTTCGAAATTTTGACGTTCAACTCCAATTGCGGGTCGGTCACTCACCACGACAATCTTATCGAAGACGGACCACTCGACGACGGTGCTTCCGAGTTCGACGCACTGCGACGGCGATCCGACTGGAGTGGTGTACACGAACGGAGGATCCGCGACGGTGACCACTCGGAGGTGCTTCGGCAGCGAGATTTCCAGGGGCTTCGTGCCGCCCGCCCACTCGATCAGGTCTTCGTCCAGACGGAGAAGGTCGCCGACCTGGAAAACTTCATGTGAAATGGGATTTTCGCGTTCTTCTCGCTTTCCCATTCGATTTGTCGACAAGGAGCGTGAAAAATACGAGCGTTTTTGATGAAATTTCAAACTGAAACGTGTAGAAGTCGAACCGGCACAAATCTGTTACTTTTCGCGGTCTCCAGAGCTGACAATGGGCGCAAGTGCGCCCCGCCCAGTAGAGCGATACATTGGCGCGAAATTCAAATTTTAACAGCAAAATTTGTGTTTTTTGCCAGATTAGCCATAAAAAACCTATAATTTCACATTTGTCTCTCGATAGACCGATTGTATAGGCTATTACGAATTTTTTAAGCGCTAGAGCGTTAAATTTGGTCAAGTCGCAAATTAAATTTATCCGTTTGAATGTTTTTGGCTAAAACTGCGTGAATTTCAGTTGCTTTTCGGTAGTTTTCGCGGTTCGAGCGCTCAAAATGCTTGTATTTACGTGATTTATCATTCTCAAAACCAATTCTGTCTGAAAACGGCCAAGAAAGCGCAAAATGAGAAGTGCGGTTTTTAGGCGGCCATCGGCGGCGAAGGCGAAAACGCAAAGTCCGCGAAAAATGCGGCAAAACGTCATAAATTCTGAGAATTAGTGTGTTTTCATGTCGAACAATCATTTTTCATCGCCTTTGACCACAAAAATCAGAGAAAGCGTGCTCAATTCATGAAAACGCCATTTGGCCGCCGAGGCCACGCCCATATTGTCAGCTCTGGAGACCGTGGCTTTTTCTATAACAAACATCAATAAAAAGGCGCTTACCATATTGCCGACGTGTCGCCTTTCCATATGAAAGTTGATCACATCGTATTCCACTCCGATCCGCTCGCAATTGTCGTTGAAATGCACTCGACTCGTCGAAATGCCGCAAATTTCTCTCAAAAGCGCGGGCGCCTGAACGCCATTCCACTCGGCATCGACACTGTCGCGATCGCACTCGACCGGAGGCAGAATGTCCATTTGCGACTCGCGAAACACCGTCTCCATCGCCGATTTGAGAATGAGCAACGAGTCGCGGAGCACCGAGAACGGAGTTTGGCCGAGTCGGCAGCCGAGCGAGCCGTTCGGCACGTTGTGCGCTTCTCCCGCACTTTCACTCACTATCCACACTTTTCCTTTTCCGGTCAGGTCTCCCGCGTTGTCGAAGATTCGGACCGCGTCTTCTTTTCTTGAAAAACAATGGAATTTTGATGTGAAATTGAGCTACAGACTGTACATATAAAAAGTGTGTGAAACGGTAAAGTTTCGACAAGTTTTACAGTTTCATTTCGTCAACTTATTCTGTTTTCTTTACACCCGTTTCAATTCCACGAATAATTCAATCGAATAAGCTCTTCAACAGGCCGGAGCCGGACAAGGTCACTTAAAGCGTTTCACTGAAAAACATTGAAATTCTCGAATTCCCTGGCAAGCCCGTTTCACACGTCGGTGAGAAGAAGTCGACATCGCCACGTGGCGGTGCCGTCTTTTGAGCACCTCCGCCTCGTGCGGTCCCTTGTCGATATGCGCCTTTGCGTTTACTTTGACGGACACGTGTCCGTCTGTTTGACAGTTTCTTTCTACACATCTCACCGTGTGCACGGACCAAAGGCAAAGACTTGTCATGATCCGGCGGGACCATAATTTGGATTAAACGCATCCCGAAACCGTTGAAATACATCAGCAGCTCCCGGGGACCCGAAAATTCCAGAGATCTATTGGAGCACGTGTCATGAACTCAAAAATACACAGTTCCATGACTATAAGTATCTTGAAACTAGTCAGTGCATAGTTTGACAAAGCCAATTAGGAAAAAAACCAGTTTCAATTACTTTTAAACTACCTGAGTTTGTATTTCATCAGCTTTGTCGAAAAATATAACTTCTCAACTCACTTTGCAAAAAGGACGATAATATTGGAGGTGACCTCTTCGAAACTTTCCGCCAAAGTATCGTTCAGGTTCTCATTCAACTCCACTTCGATGTATCTTTGAACCTGGAAACAAAGTGCTGTAAGTCAAAACGGTATATCTCAGCTATCCGATGAGATATCAAAAAGTTGTCAACTAACAAAATACTGATCAAGAAATTCTGTGCATTTTATCGGTTGACCACTTTTTGATATCTCTACTGGCAGCTGAGATACACGGCTTTGAGTGAACGGTATTGACTCACAATAATCTTAAACTCGACTCTTCTTTGCTCGAATTCCGCCACAAATTGATCGGCATTCGTGTCCCGTTTCACACTTAACACAACAACCTGAACAGTGCTGAACATTCGATTTTCGTGTCGAGACCCGTTTACCTGTCGGTATTGTAGCCTCAAAAGCATATGCAAAAAGACGTAGGCCTCGTCGGAAAGCGGCGCTGTTGGACGGACAAATGTCGGGTAAATGTTCTAGAAATTAGGGCGGTCAATTGTAAAATGAACGTTTTTGGTACTTTTTTGCTAAACTCTGCATCTCGGACCATCACTCCGACGACGGGTAACTTGTAAAACGAAAGAGTGTAGGCGGAAGTGATGACTAGATCCAGGAATTTGGCAGAAGACGTCAAAGAAGCCGAGAAAATGACGGAAGCGAGAGAGGAATTGAGCATTTGACTGCACACAATGTCCTGCGTCAGCTCCAGACGGTTCTGACCACTGAAACTTGAAAGGTAGTGAACTATTTTCACTTTTATGAACTTTCTGACAATTCAGAAGTGAACCGACCTCTCCGCATCCACGAACGCCGCCTGAATCGTGTCATTTCCCAGACGGTACGTCGTAGATCCGAACACTTCCACGAATGCCGTCTGTCAATGAGAAAACGTTTGAAGCATTGTGGTTAACCGGCCAGAAAACAACTTGTAGCTACATTGTGAAACAGTAAAGGTGTTCAATAGAGACATGACACTTAATTATTGAAACTATTGTCATCTGGCAAACATTCCCCTTTCAAAACCAATCATTTTCCAGCCTGGGACAGTTCATTTTCACAATTACACTTTTCAGCTTATTACTGTCCAAAACACGAATAACGCGCAGAAGGGGCGAAGATGAAACGGGAAAAGTTGCAGTTTCGACATCTACATATGTTTGTATTGAAAAACGTTTACAACAATCTCTAGTATGAAATAAATGGAATTATTTATTGGTGAGAGAGATGATCTCGCACACAAGTAATCGTTTCGATGGATTTTTTGAGAAGAAAAGAAACACGTATGGCATTGACACCGCAACTTATACTAAACTCACCGTGACAGAAACCTTCAACTCCTCAAAAGTATCGTGTGGTTCGGCGAAAATGAGCACGGACAGTTTGTAGTCCAACGCGTGCATCTGCGTGGAATACAGTAGGATGGCCAGTATTCGGAACATCTTTTCCGCCACAAAAGTCGTTTTCGTTTTCAAAACAGACGAAAAAGATGGACGAGTGGTGCTCCAAAACGCATTTTACCTTCCGAAAAAGAGGGAAGATGGCAGAGAAGATGATTTGGTGGAAAAGAGAAGGGAAAGACGGAAAAGGGGGGCACGAAATTGAGTGGTTTCGAGTGAGAGCAGTCGGTTTTAAACGAAAAGGAAGCGAGCGAAGGGGGGTGAGGGCGGTAATGAACTGAACCGGACTGCCGAAGAAAGATGCACTCTTGCAGAAAGATTTGCGGTTTCAGAAGATTCCCTAATCGCAATCGAGCATCGGCTTCGTTTATATAGTTTAGAAAAGTTAAATCAGTTATGAAACAGAAAGTATCATAATTTATAGAAATCGAATCCGAGGCTTCCTCTGCTCTTTATCACTTTATCAGAGTTTAGTGAAACTGTAAAACAAGAGGGACGTCTCCTGAAGGACCACTACAAAGACGAGCTCTTAAATGAAAGAATATAATTTAATAAATGTGACATCATCCAGTGAGTACTAAAAACCAAGTCCAAATGTTCTATAGGCCAGTTGTTGAAACCGAAGTTTCCCAGTTTCACCAACTATGGATTCATTGTAAGAATCATTAGTTTAGTAATGATAGCAACGTAAGCCATAATTCAATTCACAGTTTCATAACCCTCATATTCATGTTCCTCACTTTTTAAAAGAATTTCAAACTTCCCCATTCTTAAAATATACTTCAAAATCCCATTATTTCTCTCTTTCGATGAATCAGACATAAGTATGTAATATCCGCGTGTGTGTGCGGGCGTGTCTGATCATCACAAAAAGCACTTAACGTCGTACACAACGGGGGCGGGGCTTCGGGAATGCTCCGCGAGCCGAGCCGAGCCGCGAGCGCCCTCACTTTCCACATTTTCCGCTGAAAATGGTTGCCGCAAAAGTTGGAGCCATCCCAATCGAGGAGCTCATCAAGAAGCACGCCGACGTGGATCCGTTTCTCATCAAGAAATGGGAGAGGATCTTTTCGCTCTTTTTCGGTTCGTTTTTTTGTGAGAAAATTTCGAACGAATGAGGGAATTTTGCAGATCGAAATGCGTCTCATCAAGTGGATTGGGGAGATTTCTACCTGGTTGTCAAGGTTTGTCTGTTTCATTGACCTTTTCAAACTGTGCATCATAACGCTTTCTATTATGGCTACGGGAAAGACAATTTTTCAACAAGATAACGAATTGAGGATATCCATTTTTTGTATAGAAGTTAAAGTGGTGAAACCGAAAAGTTTAGAGCCAAAAGGATCATTGATTGTTTGCAGAAAGTGCGTGACATCTACGGCGCCGAGTCGGTCCAGACCGATTTCGCGAAAAAATCCCTGGCCGCTCTCTGGGAGGGTCTTTGCTCGATCGCCGATTCGGACAAAGATCAGCTGATTTCGATTGACGAGTGGATCGGATTGCTCAAAAAGACGAACGCTCAAAGCGAGCCGAAATGGTTCAAGGACTATCAGAACTTTATGTTCAAACTCTTCGACGTCTCCTGCGACGGCGTCATGGATCTGGCCGAGTACACCGACGGAATGAACACCTACGGATTCGATAAGTTCGAGTGTGATGCCGCGTTCAAAAAGTTTTCTGTGGTTAGTCAGTTTTGGGTTGAAACTGAAACAGATATCATCGTTTTCTAGGACAAGAAGGGTCAGTACGTGGCGCAAATGAAGCCGGACACGTGGAATACGTACTTTCATCAACTCTTCTACTCGACCAACAAATCCGACCTCGGAAATCATCTGTTCGGCATCGTTGACTTCTAAATTACTGCTCCGCATTCACATAATCTTACTTTATTTCACTTTGCCGCCAGATGTTCGAAAGACTGAATAAAAATGATATAAAAGTTTGTCGGCCGGGTTTTTTGGAATGACAAATGGGTACGCGGCCAGATGTGCAGGGATCAATTGAAAGACGAAAATTGATACTGCGAATCTGAAGAAATAGTTATCACAGATGTGAAACAGAACATTACCGTTTCAGCCTTTTGATAATCTATTCCTTCCACCAAAGTGCCTACTTTATTGTCTCTCACTGCTGGTCAATTTTGTGATTCGAGATCGATAATCCCGAAATCAGGTCTGCCTTTTTTGTAGCAATTTTGTTCATGACGTGTGATCGACTGACGAAAATTCATAGAAAAACGAGTGCAGGCTCAATTGTTTGTGTAAAATTGTTTCCTATAAAAACGGAAGTTCTCGTACAAATTGTCAAATATCCAAAGTTTCAGAAACAGTAATCAATGTGCAGTTTCACCTTCAAGACAAGGCCGTTTTCTCGAATCATTTCACTCGATACGTTTGAAATAAAAGCTATTCACTGTGAATCCTGTCTAGTTTTGCTTGCTACGACGAGATCTGTCATTCCGAGCCAAAACTAGAGCCCTCAGCGTCTTAGAGTCCTATAGGAATGCTAAAACTCACGTAATCGCGAGGAATAGTGTGGATCATCAAATGAACATTTTGAAACCGCGAAAGGTCAAGGTTCGAAAGTCATTCTATTTCTATCGCCTAACCCACTCACTCTGACCTATTTGTGAAACAGAAAACAACAAACATTACATTTGCTTTTTTTTTGTTTTCTGATTGTGACATTGCGTGGGAAAAGAAGACCATCAGATGTTGGGGGACCAGCTGACAAAGAGAGAGAGAGAGAGAAAGGGAGAAGGACCAGTGATCAGAGTGTCTCGTGGCGGACCACAACAAGCGGGTCCTGAGATCAGTGCTATGTTTACGAGTGGTTGTCCTGCGCCTTTAAATTTGAGACGAATACTGCATTTTTCCCAAATTTTCAAGCCAAGAAATCCATTTCCGAAGGATTCCTGTTACAAGAAATCGATTAAAACCGGATTGGATACAAATTGTTCATTAAAAATACGGCTCAATTCGACTTTTTTGCTAGAAAAATGTATTCTTCTCAAATTTAAAGGCACAGAGCGCTTTATAGAAACTGCTGCTCCAAGTTTGTGACAAAATTGTGAGAAATTGATGAGAAAACACTTCTGTCTGCTCAGTAAGTTTGAAAGTCAAGCGGGTCGCAGCGATTCGGCAAAATAGATGGATGCGCCTTTAAATTTGAGACGGATTCGGTAGTTTTCCAATTTTTTTAACTAAAACGCCAATTTAGAAAGATTTCTGCTACAAATGTTTGAGAAATCGACCAAAAACAGCTTTTATTCCATTGAGATAGATGGAAAACTCGATAGAAAACTACCAAAAATAGAAAACCACCGTATTGTCCTCGAATTTAAAGGCGCAGAGCGCATCATGGAAACTGTATGGAACAAAAAATGTTGGCTGTTTCAAGTTCATGGCAAAAAAGAACAATTGTAGAGAAACTATCACGTTCTGTGTTGTCGTTGATTTTTTTCTAACAAAAAAATCGATATCAGACGGATTTCTTTTACAATTTTTTGAAAGAAAAGATTGAAAACGGATTTTACACAATTTTTCCAAATACAAAATGCTCTTGAAATAGCTACTTTTCCCATCGGAAAAATGCGGAAAATGTCAATCTCAATTCCGAATCTGCCTAAAATTTAAAAGCACAGAGAGGTTTATGGAAACTGCAGTTACAAGATCATGGGAAAAATGTGGAAAAAAATTGAGCTCCTGTTGTTTCTTATTCACACGGTATTTCACACTCCTGTTGTTTCTTATTTACATTCAATCGGTCATATCGAGTAGGTCAAACGGGTCTCGCAGCGATCCGACCAAATGTTTCGATGCGCCTTTAAATCGAGTACGCGCGCGAGATCATTGGGGAAGGCCCTCTGGGAGGGCCGAGGAGAAAAAAAAGAGAATGGTCCGCTGGAAAGATTGGCCAGAAAGGAGGGATGTTGACAGCCGACTGCAGAGATGTCCCAGGAGGGAACCACTTTTATGACCCGGACACTGACCGTTCACTTGTCACTAGGTGCCAACGACTGTTTGAGTGACTGATTGTCCCATTAAAGAGACCACAAACACACTTGTCTGTAGTCTGGTGTGCGTTGTGGTCCCCGGACCGTCCATTCGGATTACCATCTTTTATCTCTTTCCCCCAGCCGTTGGCCAATTCTCGCACAGCAACGCATCTCAGGGGACCACTTTTTTTGTCCAATCGATGTTGGTTCGCAAACGTCTTCCTGTTTGTCTTTTTTTCTCATTTTCGAGCCCTTTCACCTTCTATTCTCCCTTTTTTTGAGTGTTTCTTCGCTTTTTAAACCGTAACCGTCTAAAAATTTTTGTTGAAAACAAAATTTTTTAAATGTTGTATTTTTGCAAATTTTGCAGACTTTCAGTGTTTGTGAGTGCTTTTTGTTGTAGATCGGCCTTGCATGGCTTTGACCAGCTAGTTTTCATTAGAAAATCCGAATTGTGCAATTGTTGAGTGAGTATTTTCAACAAACCACATTTTGTTCATCATCGACTTGATTTGTAGGGACGGCAGAAACGGAATTTTTAGGTTTCAAACGAAAAGTTCAGTTTTTGAGCAAGTTTCGCCTCAATTTCTACAGACAATTTATATTCGGTTTCAAGTGGTTTATGCAACAAATTTCAAAAATGCGACTATAATTTATAGTGCTTAAGACATTTTGTATAAAGATTTTCGGCAAAATAAATTCGAACAAATCACTGTTGCACACACTTGTCATCTTCAGTTCTCACATCTAGACATACTTATCTTCAATATTGTTGTAAATTGTAGTGTCCGTCGTGATCATTGGAACCTTACCGCCCAAAAGAAAGAAGAAAACGAAAGAAAAAAGCGGGTTTGTAGTCTAGAAAGTGTGATAAAATGATGTGTTTTGTGTACACCCTCTTCTAAAACAAGGTCATTTTCCCGCCGCCGTGGACAGTTTGTCGAATCGCTAAGGATCGTCACACGTTTTGCAGACGAATCTGGTGACGTGGCAACAACAGCAACAACAACGACAACTACGAGTATTTTGTGACTTGGAGAGGGCGGGGTTGTAGCGAAGGGCACCCCAGTGCCGTTCATTCAAAGTCATGTATCTCAACTGTCTGCAAAGATATCAGAAATGTGTCAACTGATGAAATGTACACAATTTCTTTGTGAACAATTCATCAGTTGACAACTTTTTGATATCTCTACCGTCTGTTAAGATATACCGTCACGAAAGAACAGTATTTGGGTGCCCTTCTATTACTGTTTTTACAGTAATTGAAGACCTTTCACTAGTCCTTATTTTATGACTACTGTAGCCTAAACCGTACTTTTATTCGTTTCCGCTCACTTTTCCGACCACTCCCTCTTTTTATCCTTCAAAAGGACGGTGATATCATCTCTTTGTCTAGACGGGGGTCCTTTCGTCGGAAATAAAGTTATTCTGTACAAATACAAGAAGATTGGTCGGATAATACCAGTTTTCTGCATATTATCCATGTCCGAATCTCCAAATCCCCTCTAGGCTTCTTGTTTTTCTCTAATTGGTCACTTTCGACATTTGAAGATCTACAAAACGAAGAAATTCAGCGGATTGTAGTGAAATAGACAATATGAAACACAAAAAGTATGCCATACGAACTGGAATTAGAAACTTTTGCAGTAGAAGTGTCATTTTGAAGAACTCTAACTTCAATTGCCTTTTGGCTTACCCCAAACATTTTGTTTCATTCAGTGCTGTGAACATGAACCGGTTGAAACTGTAAACTAATCCAGTTTCACACAACTTTCTTCTCCTCTCCCTTCAATTGTCATTTCGATAGCTGTTCTCTTCTAATTCTCTCGAAAACGTGAACTTTTCCACATTGTTTCCATGTTTCTATTCGATTCTCATTACTCTTTCCAATTGCCCTCCATCCCGTTCATTTCGCTGACCTCCTCCGTCCTCATCAAAGTGGTAGACACCCCCATCATCATCATCATCATCATCTTCTTCTTGTTCTTCTTCTTCTTCTTCTTGTTCACTTGTGTTTTGTTCTTCTTTTCGCATAAATGCTCTACAGTGCGTTTCATAAGTATAGGGCCACCACTAAAATTGAATATATTGTCATTCCCGAACAAAATACCACTCCAAGACCTTGAAAATCGAAATCAGCATCACAAACAACCCCCGGAAAACAATTTTGAGAGCAGTGTATAGGATAGATGGGGAATGGTGCTGAAGAATCGTATCATAAGTATAGGGCCACCCCTGAAAACACTCTGGAAGCCTCTTAAACTGATAAACATGATCTTGAATGGGGTTCTTTGCACCTTTAGGATGTCCAAAAAAGCCTTTTTGAAATCATGTGCAATGACCCCGGGGCCACTCTCCCAGGTTTAGCCTCATGTTCTGTGTGAAGCTCGGGAGTGGAGCCGGGGGACTCCGATGATCTGAAATGAGCCAAATCTTGTTTGAAACAAGTTTTTTGAGCATTTTCAAGTCAGATTGGTTTAAGCCTCTCGATTCGCTAGCACCTGATATCAGATTTTTGGCCAAAATGAAGCCAGGCCCAACAAGGATCAGACTGGCTTGAGCGTCAAACTCCAGGCCAACAGTGCACACTTTCGGGACTTCATAAGGAAGGTTTGAAACATGACATGTTTGAGTTTGGTGTCAATCGGATCAGTTTCAACCGAGTTATGAGCTCCCGATTGTTGAAGTGAACAAAATCAACATTTTTCAGTACATTCTTCAGTACATTTCGGTCGGTTCCCCAACTATCCTATACACTGCTCTTAAAATCACGTTTTCCGGGTGTTATTTGTGATGCTGATTTCGATTTTCAAGGTCCTGGCTTCGTATTTTGTTTGGGAAAGACGATATATTCAATTTTAGGGGTGGCCCTATACTTATAAAACGGATTGTATCTTTCGATTGATTATTGAAACGGCCCAGAAACGTTTCAGGCAAATCTGAAACGGAAAAGTTTGAAAATCACTGTTTCAAGGTCTTCATTTCAATGAAATTAGGTCACAGAAAGGGAATAAGAAAAGTGGTACTTATGAATAATCTGTCCTGAAGAATCGTTCCAAGACCGAAACCCTGACTTTTTGGCTTTTATTTTCAATAATTGCTTACAATCCATTCGAACTAAATTGCGCGATAGGAAACAGTAAAAATGTAATACATCGAATAGAATAACCGTCCATTAAATCGACGTATCTCACTTGTCTGTAGAGATATCAAAAAGTGATCAACTAGCGAAATGTAAAGAGTTTTTTAACGAGCAATTTGTCAGTTGACAACTTTTTCATATCTTCACCGGCAACTGAGATATGTTGGTTTGATCACCACTACAGCATTGGTTTCACCGTTCTTGATCATTAGGAACAATGATGAAACTGTGAACGTTAGATAATGATTCCTTCTCATAAAACTGCGGTAATTCGAATCTCCGAGACCCACATTCAAAGTTTTCAGTTTCTTAAACGCCTAAACTTGCGATTCATTGCCAATCTCAACTTTTGACTTTTCGCGTGTTCACTGTTTCACAAACAACATATCAACTTTCAAAAAAGCGAACGTTTTACTCACTCGTGTTTCTTCAAAAACGTTCAAAGTGCATCTCTCGTTTATTCACCCCAATCACGTCTCATTTCCCGTTTCTCTCACTTTCTTTCTTTCTTATCATCCCCCCACCCAAATGCACTTTGTCAGTCCCTTTTGTACGGTCAATTCGATCCTTGCCCCTCGTCTCGATGGAATTCACGTCATCGCCTCAAAGTACGGCGAAGACCTTTTAAAGTGTGGAAATATTGTGCTGTTTCATGTTGGACCCAAGTTTTCATCACTTTTCTTCTACATTACTGAGCTGGCAGCAAAGAATTAAAAATCTATCTTGTGCTGTTTCACATTTCTCATAACTTGTGCTCACCCCAAAGTCGACGTTAATAATGACGAATAACACAACTCGAAAAAGACACTTTGATCCGTTCCGATCCATTTCAAATCCCTCCCCACACTTGTGTACAAACACATCTGTTCGCCCGTCCTTTTCCTTTTCGTTTTCCCTCTTCCGTTGCTTGCCTAACCGGTTCCATTTCACCTACTTTGACCCCTTTTGTTGCAATCCGTCCGTTCATCGCCACTCTAATTATTCATTCGTTTCTCACGCTGTTTTATTGAGAGTGGAAGTTAGAGTGGAAGCACCAGCACCGGATCGGCAACTACTTTTTGTAAAAGTTCATAGCGATTCTGTGAAACTGACAAATTGTGTACATGGAGTGGTTCTGTCCAACTCTTTTTTCAAGACCTTCTCAGCTGAATTATTCATGATCAGAGTCCGAAACGTCATCCGACAATATCACAACTTTCTGAAACTGCAACCCTACGAATCAAGAACAAAGGTGTCGTCGAGTACACTTCAATCATTTCGATCTTCTCGTTCTTTTCGTGACCTACCGCCCGGAGTCGTCGCCTTTTTCGGTGTAGCCTACACCATTTCTCGTGATTTTCGTCGCCGCTCCCCCGAAAGGCACTTTCAGTTTCAGCCACGCCATTTTACTCGTTGACGATTTTGCTTCTCTTCAATTACACGTCTTGCAAACATCCTCGCGCGCAAAAACCCCATGTTCGCAAGTGTTCGCGCCGTTCTATTTCTAGGAATTTTAAGAGATTTTCTGCTTCAGCAACATCTTTTTGATCGGTCGAGTTGGATAGAAGTCGTTTCAGTAATATTATTATTGTTATTATTACTATTTATTTATTTACGTTTTTAACGTGCAAAATTATTAGAGAAGAGAGAGAGAGAGATAACGCAATTGAATGTATTTTTGTTTTTGCATTCCAAACAAACACTTCTCAGTTCAGAAGACGTCCGAATCTGTGTTGTGGAACCGCTTTGTTCGACTGTTTTTGCCAACAACCACAAAAAATGGGCTAACTCCTCAATTCCACTTCAGTTTGTGAACTTTTTGATGTTAAATGAGCTCTATACCGAGCATTTTCGGGTTTTTTGCTCAAAAATTGACAGTACCAATCAGAAAATTGATCAAATCACGGCTTTGAAGCGTGGAAATCGGTTGCGATAGAGCGCTGTAGCAACTTACGGAAATGCAACAAACCATTTTTTCCAGACACTGTATCTCAGCTGGCGGTGGAGATATCTAAAAAGTGTCAACTAACAAGTTGTCAATTAAGAAATTCTGCACATTTTATTAGTTGACCATTTTCGGATATCTCTACTGGCAGCTGAGATACATGACTTTGAACGAATGGTATCCCCTCTACATTACTGTGTGTTTCTTCTCCCACACTTCCAGAACTTTTTGGATAAAAACAGTTGAATTTCCTATTTCATAGACATCTTTTTTGACGTACATATTTTCCCGATTCTATAGTACCTTCATGGTTGTTTTTGACCGTTTCTCTACCAAACTACACTTCCAATACCAATTTTTTCCCAGTTCAAACCTCATTTCCTTTCCTTTCTCTCTTTCTTTTTCTTCCTTTTCCAATCCGATATCATCTCTTTCTCTCTCTCTCTTCCAGATGGCGCCGACGCCCCCTCCTTCCCCAAGCCCCGCCCCTTTTTCGTCGTCGGACACTTCGACACCACTCGCCCTGTTCCCGTCGTTCCACGTGGAAAACTGCGCACAACTGCTCGTCACAATGCTCATCGCCATTCCGATCGCCTATTTGGCATATCGGCTGTACAGGTGCGGGTCCCGTTAGAGTTTCTCTAACACAAATTTCCCATTCCAGAACATTCTTCGCCTTCCTGAAAGCCGTGTTCATCTACACAATCGCTCCGATCTTCTACAAACCGAACCTGCAACAGTACTCGCATCGATGGACCGTCGTTTCGGGCGGCACCGACGGTATCGGAAAGGCGTACACGATGGAATTGGCGAAACGAGGACTCCGCAAATTTGTGCTCATCGGAAGGAATCCCAAAAAGTTGGACGCGGTCAAATCGGAGATTGGTGAGTGGGTTAAGGTTCTCAACAGAGCGCGTTTGCTTTGAAATGTCCGCGAGTGTACCTTACTGTTTCTGCAAGTCTATGTGCACTATTATCATTCCTGTCTGACAGTGTACCTCCTGGTGGGAAATTCCTTGAAAACATAAAAGTGTTGTCGGTTTCGGTTTCATCAAAGTCCCCCTCACAGCAGCAATACGACGATGATCGTTATTTTCCAGAAGAAAAGCACTCGGACGCGCAAATCAAGACGTTCGTGTTCGACTTTGGCACCGCCGACTTTTCGCCCCTTCGCGATTACATCAGCGACATCGATGTCGGATTTGTCGGTGAGGATCCGCTGCGGATGTAGGCCAGATCCCACTGGTCGATTACCTTTTTGAGGGGGGGGCGCAAACATGGAAATGAAATCGAGAAATGACTTTGGGGAGTTGTTATTGAAGAGTTGATCATTCTCTAAGCGAACTGCAGTTTTGTTTATCACAATTGCGTTTAGTGAAAATTGAAAATTCGCATTATTTCGTTTGTCCGTCTCCTCCTAATTGCTTTCCATTTCATCGTATTTATGTGCGTAACCTACGAGACCCCGTGTAGCCTATAATCATCCAGACGGGTACACAACGTGCGGGAATCGGATGATGATAGCAGCATTTTTGCAGTGAACAGCGTGGGAACGGGCCGCGAGAACCTCGAGCGATACGGCGACAATCCGGACGAGGACTCGCAGATCCTCAAGGTGAACGGGCTCGGCGCCGCCGAATTCCTGTCGTGCGTGCTGCCGGCGATGGAGAAATCGGGCGGCGGACAAATCGTCGTGCTCTCCTCGTCGCAAGGCGTCCGTCCGATTCCGATGCTCGCCGCCTACTGTGCCACGAAGGCGCTGCTCACGTTCCTCTGCGAATCGATCGATCGCGAGTACAAAACGATCAGTGTGCAGTGTCTGATTCCGGCCTTGGTCGCCACTAAAATGACCTATTACACTGTGAGTTTTATGGGAATCTTTTTTTTTTACAAATTTCGTTGCAGGAAGGCTCCACATTCGTCGTGACGCCCGAAAACTTCTGTCACCAGGCGGTCGGCTCGATCGGATTGACCAAAAAGACGGCCGGATGTCTGAACCACGAGCTTCAGATGCTCGGATTCCACTTTTTCCCGTGGACCATCCTCAAATACATTATTATGCCGATTTATTATCACCAGCGGAAGCGAGTCTCCGAACTGCACCAGGCTCAGCCGGTCCCACTCACCAACCCGGACGACGTGACGGCAAAAAAGATGATTTCTCGTGACTCCGCCACTGCGTAAATCCTCGTCATCTATTTTTTCCCGTTTTACCTCTGAAAATCTGATTTCTCGTTCAATTTTCAGCTTTACACGTAATAATTCACTTTTAAAAGTACCTTTAACACATTTTCCAATTATTTTGTACTATTTTTCAATGTTTTTTCGCCCAAAAACAATAAATATTCAATGAAAAGAAGCGACTAGCGGGTTTCAAATTTGAACTCCCACCGCCGGATTACTGTAACGCCTGCACATCAAACTTTCACTTTCTGAAAGCGCTAAAAATTTTGAATTTGAATTTTAGCCAATTTTCATAGTTTTTCAACGATTCTTAATGCTTTCTCTCAATTTTTATCGCTGAAAAATTGGAAATCAAATGCTTGTCTCAGAAAATGCAAAAATTTCTATAATTTTAGAGTGAAAATACGTATTTCCCAGCATTTAAATAGGAAAAATCCCAAAAAGTACAAAATATGATTTTGCTTTCCATTTTTTTTAATGTTGCAGGTTTTTCGACTTTTGGGCATCATGTCGCCGCCACCGCGGAACCACGCCGTCCACCAGGATCAGGGCCAGCAGCAAGCGCAGAATCAGTCGCCGCAGACTGTTCCGTTCTCTCCGGTGCCGCCGTCGTCCGGTCCGAACACTCCGATACCTCTCTACCCGACAGGCGCGGCCGCCATCATACCGGCTCCACCCACCTACGAGCTGATACCTAATCGAATTTTTGTCGGGGGGTTCCCAACTTCCGTGAGTTTTCCTACTGATTTTGACTCATTTTTTTTAGTTTGTAGTGTTTTCAGACCACAGAATCCGATCTACGAGAGCATTTCGAGAAGTTCTTCCCGGTGAAAGATGTGAAAATGGTCAAATCGCTAGACGGAGTCTCCAAGGGCTACGGATTCATCACTTTTGAGTCGGAGGATCAAGCAGAAGCCATCCGCCATCTGAATCCGAAGCAACTAGAGTTCCGCAATCGGAAACTCAACTTGGGGCCAGCCATTCGCAAAATAAACGCAAACGCGTTCCATCCCAGTAAGTTCTCCGCACATCAGGTTTGTAATCTTCCCAATTTTCGATTTCCCAGGCTATGCGATTGCGACGACTCCATCGCAAATAGTTCCCGCTTCTCCAGGAGCGTTCGGCTATGCCATTCCGGCTTCTCCAAGCCCGTACGGAGCATTTTCGTTGTCTGCGACTCCGCAGATGTTCGTCTATCCTCCAATTGCCAATCAGGATGCGAACAGAGCTCCGTCTGATCAACAGACGAGCCCGCAGAACAGCCCATCGCAGCAACAACAGCAAGTGTTCTTTGGAGGAGAGCACGAGCCGGTCAGATCGTACGCGAATGCAGTGACTGGTGGGTTCTCAGAGCTATTCTAGGCGAAATGCAGCAGTACAGTTGCAGGAACCGAAAAGAATGATCAATCGTCTGACGAGAAATCGGGACAGCAGCCGTTGGGAACCAATAACAACGCGCTGAACACGCAATATCAGGGACCGCAATGGAATGGAAACGATCAGCAGTCCATGGATCCAAACAACAACAACGGTCCGTACTACAACGAAAACTACGCGCACGGAGGATATCCGCAACCATATCCACAGTACGGATACATGAACGAGAAAAATGGATCTATGCCGACGGTTCCGGTAAAACCAGCTTCCGGCAGAATATCTGGAATCAATTCCAATTCCGTTTCAGTTGCAGGTCTACATGAACAGCAACGGAATCTACACGCCCGCCTACCCGTACATGAACCAGGCGAGCCAGTATCCGCCGCTGATGCCGCCCTACTGGCCGCAACACCATCCGCAGATGAAGAGTCCGTACTACAATCCGGGATGGATGGGACCGGCCGGCGATATGCACTATCAGCACGCACAGCAGCAGCAACAACAACAAGTCCAGTGCTATTCAGGGTATTATGGAGGTCATCAGGCGTACGGAAACGACGAAAACTCGTTCCCGAGACCGTTGCAGCCACCGCGCACCGGAAAGAAGAACCGGAAGCCGTCGGAGAGTCAGGAGAAGAAGAACAAGAGCCCGTCGAAGGGTGAGTAGAAGCCATAGCTCAAAATTATTGTAATTTCTATATTTCAGGATTCCGTGGTGACAAGAACTCCGGCTCGCCGACCAACTCTTCTCCGGAAGCGAAAAGCCAGAAGGGACGCGCGAATTTGGCTATTTCGCCGCTCTCGACCTCCCTCCAGTCACTAGCCATCTCCTCGCCCACTAAGCAATAAGAACACCCCCGATTTCTCATTCCCTACCACAAAAAGACACGTATTTTGTATCCTATACGCGCCTGTACTTTCCCTTTTGTCCCCGAAACACCCATCCATGCACAGATATCCAACATTGTTCCATTTTGTTATGCTTCTGAAGCGATTGCTCTAGATTTCCGTGCAGACTTCTAGCTGTAGGTTTCCCCGCCCATCTGAATTATATTGTATGCCCCCCCTGACAGTTCCCCCGCACCACCTCCCAAACAGTAAGATAGAATCACAATACTCTAAATCAGTTGCCTTAGACTCTTATATAATGCTATCAAATCACAAAGTTTGTCTCCGATTGCCTCCCCCCCCGCAACGAAATGCGTCGAATCTTCATTCTGGAATCGACAATTTCTCTCATATATCATCGTAGACCCCCGTATTCTCCGTAGTAAAAGTGTGTAAACTTGTGAGATTTAATAAAAATCTTTAAAAAGTGGAAAGTCATAAAAATTTGTGACTATTTTTTTCCGCTGGGGATTATGATCGTAATCCATCCGAACTAGCGATTCTTGTTCCGATAATTGCAGGATTTGTGTGTTTGATAATTGCTGGAAGAATGGGTCGAGGTCGAAAAGAAGAACATTCGAGAAGTCATTCTCAAAGGAGTCACTTGCTCCGGCCATTATCTCTTCTTCTTTTCTCTCTTCTCGCACCGGAAATCCCTGCCGATCATCGCCCATTTCTCTCTCTCCAAACACTTTGCTGATAACCTTTTCATCTCCTTCCTTTTTTCCCTCTTTCTCAGCCCCAACGATCGGATCGCAGTGATTTATCACTGAAAAGAAACACTTTTCTGTTGAAAAAAAACGAAAAGAAAACTACCTTTCCCCACCGTTTTTACCCACCTTTTCTGTAAATTCTTTGTGGACCGGATACGTGACGAAACACCGCCGGTTATCGCGGTGTTAGTTTAGCGAATGCATCGATCAAATCGGCAGGAAACAAATAAAGTGTCATACTTATTAGGTCAAAGGTGTTGTTAACAATGACGAACTTGATTTGAATTGATCTGAATGCGATTTCGGTTTCAGCTCATTCACAATTGATTTGCGATGCGGTTTTCTACTAATGTATTAATCTCGAACTTGGGAACAAATTTGCAGAATTTAAAAAATTTAAAAAAATTGTTTAAAAAAATTAAAAATTTTTAAAAAAAATTTTTAAATTTTTAAATTTTTTTAATTTTAATTTGAAATTTGAAATTTGAAATTTTTAAAAAATTTTTTTAAAAAAATTAAAAAAATTTTTTTAAATTTTTTTAAAAAAATTATAATAAGTTTCGAGCCGGTTGGACTATCCGAAAAGAAAAGCTACATTAAATTCGATTAAACAGTAATGCTTTTTCCCCTCGCGTCGGGTCTCGCAACGAACAGGGCTTCCACACAGGAAAAAAAAAGATGTTTTCCTCATTTCAATTGGGTTTTTTTCCCGACTGAATAGGTCCATAAATGAATAGGAAGTGAACAACGTACAGAAACGAGAAAGCACTTCTTAAAAATGAGCGTAAGGTTTCTGTTGAAAGTTAGAGCTTCACAATTTTCAGTCCCCCGTAGAATTTGTCGAAAAGTCGGTTTCATCTCGGCTATAAATAATGAGTCAAGCACTGGCGTTCAGTGATTCTGATTGGATTTAAGTTCAACTTATTATTAGGCAGAGTACTAGAAATTGTGAACCTTTTCAAGAAAACAGTGTACAATTCAGTTTCAGAGAGTTTTGAAAAAGACGCTCCGCGCTATTCTTCGCTGTCTCTTCTCATATTGAATCTCAAGTAATTGCTGTTTCGATAGTTCTCAAAAAAGTCATTTTTCAGTACATGTCGCAAATTATGCACATAGAAATTGTGCACAAAGAAGATATCACTTTCAAACTGTTCCATTCGAACTGCCACATCATTTCTTGCCGTGTTCGTTCCCCCGTTACGTCACAGAAAGGGGTCGCCGAAAAGCGAAAAGGGAGGAAGGCGATTCTCTGTGTGGGTGTGGTTATCACTCACAATCAGATCACAGCAAATGGAACGAAAAGAGAGAAAAAGAGAGAGAGAGAGAGAGAAAGGAGAGGGCCCAAAAAACGACTGACAGTGAGTCACTGGGAGGAACAGAACACAACAACACCCAAGTTTAGGTTCCTTGTCCCTTTTTTATTTAACACATTTAATTTGCACTAACGATTCCGGTGTGTACTCTTGAAAACACACAAAAAATGAATATCACTCGCATTTCTGCTAAACACAAGCAATTACTTCAATTCGAATCAGATCGTTTTAAGCTTTAAGCTTACGTTTTAAGCTCGTTTTAAGTTTTAAGCTTTTTAAGCTTTAAGCTTTAAGCTTTCTGTTCATAATTCGAACGCCTTCAAGCTCATTTGCAAATAGCTCACTTGACGTATTTAGTCTGAACCGGAAAAGGGAACTGATTGAACCCAATCATGATGTATCTTTGATCCCTGGCGAATGAATGAAATGGAAGCTGAAGAAAACAATCGGTTCCCTATTAATAGTGATATTGTAGCATTCTCCTCATCTTAAGCTCTGAATGAAACCGAAAGCCCAGAGCTTCTGCGTCTCGCTCCCTTCTTTCTCTCTCTCTTTTTCACCACTTCCCGTCCATTTACGATGTTCGTCCCCCTTCCTCCCCAGCCAGAAGTGGAAATGCACACTCGATGACCATTTGTGACCCTCGAGCGTCCGTCTGCGTCTCCTCCCCCTCTCTCTCTTCTCGTTCGCAATTAGAATACATAGAGATGCTGGTGCCCTTTGGCCGATGGCTTTCCAAACGTTCGCCGCTGCTTCTGCGTCTCCGCACCCACTCCTCGTGTCTCCGACTGATTCGAGATATCGATTGATTGCCGTTTCCGGTCTTTTGCCGCCTGTATTAGTGTTTATCACTCTTCTCTTTCTCTGTCTAGGTGGACACAAAAACACGAGACGCCGCCTCACTTTCAAACACTTTTCTTCGCTTTTTTTTTCGGAAAGTTAGGCGTCTTTATAAGATTTTTAAAATGCTCAACGGTTTAGGCCTGGCATCAACTTTTCCGGTAGCGTTCGGGTGTGAAAAATCCAAACTCAAACTAACTATAAATTTCGGTTTCAATTCGTTGCCAAGTGTCGCCAAATGGCTACTAGACGCTACTCACGGTCTCCAGAGCTGACAATATGGGCGTGGCCTCGGCGGCCAAATGGCGTTTTCATGAATTGAGCACGTTTTCTCTGATTTTTGTGGTCAAAGGCGATGAAAAATGATTGTTCGACATGAAAACACACTAATTCTCAGAATTAATGACGTTTTGGCGCATTTTTCGCGGACTTTGCGTTTTCGCCTTCGCCGCCGAAACCGCACTTCTCATTTTGCGCTTTCTTGACCGTTTTCAGACAGAATTGGTTTTGAGAATGATAAATGACGTAAATACAAGCATTTTGAGCGCTCGAACCGCGCAAACTACCGAAAAGAAACTGAAATTCACGCAGTTTTAGCCAAAAACATTCAAACGGATAAATTTAATTTGCAACTTGACCAAATTTAACGCTCTTGCGCTTAAAAAATTCTTAATAACCTATACAATCGGTCTATCGAGAGACAAATGAGAAATTATCGGTTTTTCGTGGCTTATCTGGCAAAAAACACAAATTTCGCTGTTAAAATTTGAATTTCGCGCCAATGTATCGCTCTATTGGGCGGGGCGCCCTTTGTCAGCTCTGGAGACCGTGCTACTCTTTTTCTTCAGTTCAGTTTATCAATTTTTCCAGACCTTAAAGGGGCCGGAGCCAAAAGCTTTCAAAAGTCACTGTTAGCAACTTTACAACACACGTTCGAATTTCCATTCAAAAAAGTGAATCATCCATCCTCAACAGCGGTTTCAAAAAGTTGCTAAATAATCGTGGTCCCATCTTGCAAAATGTTTACATGTAACGTCTGATTTCATGACACCCATTGATAGCCCATACATCATGCGATGTTACACCTCGTTCCCATGCTTGTCATTCCACCACCTAATCCTCTCATTTCGGGTTCAAGAGTAGAAGGGTTTTTCGAGTGGTCGGACACAAAAAGACACTCGAAAAAGTGGTGGACAGTCCGCTACCTCTAACCTAACATTCCTCCTAAAAAGTACTAAGGGGGTACTGTAGAAGTGTGAACACACCTTTTCTTATCAGTTATCAGTACTACTAGCACATGTTATTGTCAGTAAGAAGAGCAAATAATCGCCCCCCTCTCACTTATGATTGCGAGGGGTGTAAACATGAATTGCGAAGAGCCCGCGAAGAAGATGAATGCATTAATGAATTGAAACGGACAGAAGCTCGAGAGAGCGAGAGCGGGGGAGGAAGGATTCGAACAAAGGATGCTCCCGGACAGCCCGTGTTCCGGATGGACACTTTCAATTAGTTTGCACAAATCGAAAAGGGTTTCCTTTTGTTGTCTCAATGACGAAGAGTACTCTACAACAGCGTAAAGTCGCCGCAAAACTGTAACTGTAAGTGAATAGACCCATTATTTCGCACATTTTGCAAGTGCGCTCTATCGAACTTTGGCGGGAAATTCTAAATTTCACGTTTTGGGAAACGGCTCGAAAATATTCATTACAACCCACTTTGCTCTGAAAATTCTCTAATTTCATCTATTTTTGCTGCTCCAGCTTTGTTTTTTTATTTGAAAAACCGCTTGCGAAGCTTTTCGGCGCCGTTGCTGAAGAAATGAACAGCAAAATCAGCGAAAATTGCTGTTAATTTCGATTTTTCGACGAAATTGGAATACGCTAAAATGCGACTTCTTTTTAAAGCGTTTCAATTATATTTCCAACGTTCCCGTTCGGTTTTCGCCCCCTGTCGGTCAGCCATGTTTGCACGCCCTTCGCCCCAAGGGAAATGGAATCAGTTGCCAGTCAAAAGTGGTCGAAATGTGTACTAACCCGTCCGCGTCGCGCGTCTTTCTAATTCGCGGCTCCATAATTCGGTTGCATCGGAATCAGAAAGTAGCCGGCCGTGTCCGGAACGAAAACGACCGACCGGGCGGGCATGTTTCTGTTGGTCGTTCGGATTATTCGATTACTCGCTTGCTTGTGTCGCTTCTCATCTTTTCCGCCATTTTGCATGAAAACGAGGAGAGTACCGTGTTTCTTCTGATTTTTCTGCACTTTTAGCGGAAATTTGCGAAATTTTCTTTTTCATGTTCGTAACCACCAGTTTCACTGCCATTACCCCCTCATTTCCTGTGCGGGACACATTCGAAACGACCTCTGCGTGCAGCCGGTCAGTGTCACCGGATAGTCTCTCGTGTCGCGGTTTGTCAAAAAGACAGATGTTCCTGACCATCCTCTCTTCGGGGACCTTCTCCCTCTCCGTCTTTCACTAGTCATTTTCTATCCAACACCCGTCTGTTCATCCCTCTCTCTCTTTTTCTCTTTCTGTCTTCGGAGCACATCTGTTCATTCTATGAGCTCGTCACTTTGCACTTTCTAACTTGTCACCTCCTTCCCCTTCTTCTTCTCCATCTTTTTCGCCGCGTAGAAGTGAAATGAAGTGCGTGCCGAAACGACGACGACCACTTTTTCACACTGACTCGAGTGGGCCCGAGCGCCTGTTGGTCCCCAACGGTTAGGGAGCGAAGGGAAAGAGAAAAAGAAGAGCAAGTCTTAAAAGATGAAAAATGAAATGATCGTCGACGAATTCAATCACCCGCTCCGCTCGTTTCGTTCCCTTCCGCCGATCGTTTCTGCCGCTGATCAAATTGGGCGACTAATTAGACCCTTTTCCGCTCGCGCCCGTGTCCGTTTTTCGTCCGCCAGACCCCCCTTTCACTCACGTATCATTGTCTCGTCACATTACTTACTTTACCTGACCGAAAATCCAGAAGAGCGTACCGGTTCTGCGCGGGGGGTCATCACCGGAAATTGCAAAAGTAGATATATGGGAAAGAAGGCAAGTCAGGCGCCTTTTTTTCGATATTGTTTTTTTGCCTATTAGTGGTTTTCTCATTTTTACTGTTCAAAAACCTCTGTCTCTTTCTCTCTCTCTCTCTCTCTCTCTCGTTTTCTGTTTCACTCCAGGACACTTTCCCGATCGAATCAATTTCAATTTGATTCCATTCAACCCGGTCATCGTTCTCTCTTTCGTCTCTCTTCTTTCCCCTTTTCAAATAAACAAACTTGATCACCTGTTGGCTGCAGTAGCAGTAATTTCAGACCCCCCGCCAACCGGACTGTTTCAATACAACACCATTCTTTCCTTTTTCGGTCTTTTTTATTGTGACGCGTATAGGTGCATAGTACACGGATCAGCTGAAAACTGTCGGGTTACGCCATTTCCGATATCTGATGACTTGGAACTGGTTCTCATCGTTTTCTTCCGATTGTTCAGTTAGAAGTTAGAAAAGCATCGAGATTTCTTTAAAGATTCACTCCTAATTGTTTTTCTAGACGTTTTCTAAGAAGAATCTTATGATTATTGGCTGAAATTCAGCTGAAAAACAAGCAAATATTTGCAAAAACTTGAAATGGCCTAGAAATCCGGCGCCGTGCGGCCACGGCCTCGAAGAGACTTTCTTCAGTTTCTTATTTTGCGGGTGTTTATCGGTGATAAAATGTGAAATCGCTTCCCTCGCTTTCTCTTTTCTCTCCTCCTCCTCGTCAGTTGGTCAGCTCACCGGAGCCAGGTCCCCAGGGGTCATCATCATCTTCTTTCTCGCCCTCTCCCTCCTCTCCGCGCTCTTTTTCTCTTTTCTCCCGCTACAACCAAAGACGTTCGGTTCCGTCGCATGAATGACTCATTTTGCAGTGACAAAAAGCGGGGAAGAAGCACAAACAAACACGTTTTCTCTGCGTCTCACCTTCCCGGACCATAGAGCCATGGACTTTTGAATTTGACGCGAACCGTCTCGGAAAATGCGAATAAATAAATGGATGTGGTGGACGAGCGTCATTCTGCTCTTCCTCAGGAATTGGCCCACCGCAGAAGCCTTCAATTTGTGAGTTTTCGCCGCGGTTCGAATGCTTAAAAAAATCGTCCAAATAGCTTCAGATCGAGTGAAGAACAAGATTCGTCCGAAAATACAGATTCATTCAACTCCTCGAAAGTCATCGAAGTGGGAAAGCCGAAAACTGCCGAAGAGCTTGGTAATTCTTCTGTCTTCCTACCGAATGTTTCGAAATTCTACATTCAGGCGTCCATTCTTGCGATTCAAATCAGGATTGCGTTCACGGCGGAACGTGCCAGAAAGGAAAAGATGGGCGGGGAATCTGCATGTGCCCGAGAAGCTGTCCAGCCAGTTAGTAACGCTTTTTTGGACTGAAAATCAAGAAAGCATGGAGATGCAAAAGCTTACATTAAATTCAAAGAGATTGTGAACGAATTTGCGGAAAAGTGTCACGATTTGGGAAATTTTGCATTTTTAGCCCATTCAACCGAATCTACTGGCATCGGGAACGATTTTTAGACCCATTTCTGAGAGGATTCTGCGTCCATTTCTTTTTTTAAACTTCTCTCTGATATTAGATAAAGTTTCGTGTTTCAGCAATCCCGGCACGATGCGGCTACCGATTCAACAAACCGTCGGCGTGTCTCGTCATGGATTCCGAATACCGCGCCAAGTACGACGTGAAAGAGCCGACGTGCCATCAGGTAAAAGAAGCGAAAGATTGTTCTCTGTTCGATACGTGCCAATTCACTACTCCGGGTGGTCTCTTTCGCTTTCCGCCGCTTGCCACGATTCCAACTCAGAATGATGCTAATCGCAAGCGACGTGGCGCCTCTGTCTAATTCGATTCCATCGACAAACTGTCTGATGACGTGGCAGCGAAGAGAGAACAAAAGTTGACCAAAAATAAGGGATCTAAGTGCTTGAACTTCCAGAACGAATGCGTCTGTCCTCCGCAATTTGACACCGTCCACGTAACCGCCAACGAAAAGCCGCTCCGCCTCAACTCGACACTTTTGCCCACAAAATGTGACAAAAGTGAGCCAATTCCTTCGATCCTCGCTATTTTCACCGAAAAACGTCTTCAGGAGACCTCGCCGTCGTCGGCAGAGCCTTTCCGTCGCTGTCTGTGTACAAGGGCGTCGACGTGACGCTCTTCTGCTGCGTGAACGTGGATCCGGAAGGATTCATCGACGTGGCCAGCGTATTTTTCATTCAAAACACCACGATCATGCGCGAACCGACGTCGCATCCGTTCGCTACGCAAAATGTCAGTACTTCTCGAGCTGATTCTAATTATCAAACGTTTTGCAGGGATTCGCGCGTCGAGTGCACGAAAAACAGTCTTGCTGGGAGCTGGAGCTGAAAAACACGCAGCCATCCGACTCGGGCAGCTACATGTGCCGTGTGTCGGCCAGCCAACCCGATCTCAACGTCAACGACACCATGTACTTTGAGGTTAAAGGTGAATTCTTTTTTCTTCTTTTATCGTATTGAAAAGCCACTGACAAGAATCGCAATGTTAAAAATGCGTCTAGAACACGGCCGCCGCACGCATTCATACTGGTACAAACGCCCGAAAAAAGTGATGATAGAATCGGGTGAAAATGAGGTCGCCGGGTCTAGTGAGTTTAGGCATGATCATCCTGTGAAATTGAGAAAGTGCATGAACATCTTGAAAATAGGCAACTATTCTAACTGTTCGTTGTGAGTGATTTGACCCAGTTCGTTTGAATATTGAACATTCTTAACGTTCTATACAAATTTTGAATAAATTTCAGCGCCGCGAATGATTCAGAAGCTCAGCGTGAATGCGTCTGAACGAGAAGCGATCGTAACGTGGGAATCGGAAGGCGCCGAAATGGCCATCGACTTGAGGTAATCCTTCGAAACGATAGAAATCCTCAGAAGCCTAATAAAGTCACCAGCTTCTAATAATCCATTAGCACTAAACAATATTTCCCGTTCCCTCCTAACAGAACTTCGAAACGACGACATCTGAGAGTGGATTCAGATGACGAAAAGGCGAACAAGTAAGAAAAGAGAATGAGATGATTGGAGCGTGCTTTCCTGTGTTCACTCACACTTTGCACTAAAAACGATTCCACACGTGTCGTGCTTTTCCTTTTCCTAATTTCTCCTTCAAGGCTCCCTTCCTGAGTTGACTTTCTTTTGTTTCTGTTCAGTTTTCGACTTCCCGCCCACGCCGTCACATTTGCAGACTGGTCCGACGTACGGACAGCCGCGGACATGTCGTCTACAGCAAGGACAACGTGACGTCGCCGGTGCACGTGAAGGATTTGCGCGCCGCCACACCGTACACGCTCTTCGTGTCCGGCAAGGACGGAATGGTGCCGTTCGAGTTCACCGAACACTTTTCCACCAAACAGAAGCGTGAGTTGGTGCAAGGGATGGGATTTTTGGGAGTTGGGATGATGTTTGGGTAGAGTTAAGGACGAGCACTTTTATGGTGCCTTCTTCAGATCAGAACGCTCTGTTAAGGACCATAACTGACTTTAAACTCATGTTTTCAGGTCCATTTCCTCCGAAAGAAGAAGACGTCCGCGTGCTCAACTCGGGCTCCTCGCTCAGCTGCGAAGTCGAATGGAAGACGCCGGCGGAGACGAACGGCCGGATCACCAAGTACTTTGTTTCGGTGCGCGGCGCGATGCGGAAGCCTCGGCCAGACGGTGCCCTCACTCCGGACGACTTTCCGACGGCCGAAGAGGTCGACAAACGGTGCGCGAACTGGGATGAGGACGAGGGAAAGACGGCGCAGACGGGCATCAACCCCATCGACTTTTCCAACGACTTCTACTCGTGCAAATTCGGTCCGCTCAAGGTTTTATTGAAATTTTAGAGAACATCTCTGGATAATGATGATTTTTCAGCCGAATCGAAAATATTCGGTGAGTGTGTGGGCGGAAAACTCGGCAGGTCGATCCCAGGCGGCGCTGTTCAAGAAACACTGCCTGACCAACTACGCGCAGCCCGACGTCGTGGATCCTCCGCGGACAGTGCACTCGAGGAACCAGTCGACGTTCTTGCTCAACTTTCCGCATCAGCCGGACGACACGAACGGACCGATCAGCTGCTATTACATCGCCATCGTGCCGCTCCCGACCAACGTCTCCCTCGATCTGCTGCCACGCTCCGACGAGATTGTGATGGACTCGTTCTCGAAAGTGTTCACCAACAACCTCCAGCCGTCTGCGGCCGAGAAGAAGCGATTCTTTGCCTACGTGGCCGAGTCGTACAGCGAGTTCCCGGAGACGACGACGATCGGTGACGGCATCGGAGTGGAGGGACTGAAGGCGTGCAATGTGCAGTACTTGAGTCGGTACTCATCGGAAGATCTCGCGTTAAGGACCGGGCTGAAGTACACGGGATTTCTGATTGTACGCGTGGATAAGGAGGATGACTTCAAGGACGGAAGACCCATGCAACAGCTGAGAAACTTGTAAGCTTAAAATCCTTCCGAAAAATAGTCTAACAATGTTCGTAGCCTTTTCAGACTGGACAAAAGCACGTCTCCATCTTCCCGCCGTCACCGCCAACTCCATTTGAGCGGTCCTGCCTACGGATACTCGGACTACTTCAAACCGATCCTTCTGGATACCGACGTGCCGAGCGACACGCTCACCACCGGCATAAAAGTTTTTCTTCCCATTTTCCTCTTCCTCGCAATGGCCACCGCCGTCGGAGTGTTCATAATTCGTCGGCGACGCGGAGAGAAGGACAAAATATGGACGTGGTGCCCGTTCTTCTCGAAAATGATCTCGAAAGATGCGTCGGAACGGAAGCAGCTGAAGCAGTCGTTCGGAGCGGTTGCGGTCGACGATTTGCCTACAGAATACGTCATTCGACACAGAGACTCTGACTTTGTGTTCGTGCAGGAGTTCGAGTCACTTCCCATCTACCAGCTCGCGGCGTCGGCCAGCAGTCAGGAGGAGAACGTGATCAAGAACCGATACAATGACATCCGAGCATTCGACAGCACGCGAGTGAAACTGAAAAAGGTGAACGGAGACGAACACTCGGACTACATCAACGCGAATTTCATCAAAAGTTGGAAGAAAAAGAAGCTCTTTATCGCCGCCCAGGCGCCGCTCGAAGCGACGATTGACGATTTCTGGCGCATGATTTGGGAGCAAGAAGTGTATTTGGTCGTGATGGTCGCCAATTTGATGGAAAAGAACAGACAACAGTGCGCCAGGTACTGGCCGGAAGACGAGATCACTCGGTACGGCGACATAATCGTCGAGCCGCTCGGAGAATCGTTTTATTCCGACTACGCGGTTCGGCAGTTCGACATTGCGCACATCTCGGAATGCGGTGAGGAAGTTGCGCCCAACGCGAGCGGAGTCGAATACGCGAACGTGCCGATGGTCAATGGAGAACAATTTTCCAACAATTGTATTGAATTTGAACTTTTCTTCTCAACTTTACCTCTTTTTCCAGCCCGACGCATCCTCCAGTACCACTTCACCAATTGGAACGACTACAAAGCGCCCGAGTGCTCAACAGGAATGCTCCGATTCATGTACATCCTTCGCGAGCTTCCCCAGTTCAATGAGTCGCCCGTCGTCATCCATTGCAGGTAAGCGAATCTGCGGAAGAAGACTAAAACTCATGATTTTAGTGCGGGAGTCGGTCGGACCGGCACGTTCATTACCATCGACTCGATGTTCGATCAGTGTCTGGCCGAAGGGAAAGCGAACGTTTTCGATTTCGTGGGCAATCTCCGTCGCCAGCGCAACCTGATGGTCCAATCCGTCGAGCAGTACGTGTTCATCTACAAAGCGCTGGCCGAGTGGCACATGTACGGCTACACGGACCTCGACTACCAGCAGTTCGAGCAACACTACGCACGGATCAGCGAGACTGGATCTGTGCGGGATCGGGCGGTCAGCTTCAACCAGGGATCCTCCAGCGGATCGATTTCTCCGCGAGTCACAATCGTTTCGTCGCGGGAATCCGTGTTGGAAACCGGATTGGAAGAGGAGTTCAAGAAATTGGAACGTAATCTGTCCGGACCGCTCTCGATGTCATTCGCGGCGAAAGACGAGAATCTGCTCAAGAACCGGTTCGAAGCGGCCGTTCCGTACGACAAGTACCGAGTGGTTCTGCCGCCGACGATCGGAAACGCCGACTCGACGTACATCAACGCGTCGCACATCCGCGGCTACTTCTACGATTACATCGCCGCTCAAGACCCAGTGTCACAAGCAACCGCATTCGATTTCTGGAGAATGGTGTACGACCAGAAAGTGACGACGATTGTGATGCTGTCGAACGAGGAGGATTGGAGCGAATCGGAGAAGTACTGGCCGCATGAGATCGGCGCTCAGAGTCACTTCGAAGCCGGCAGGAACAGCGCCGAAGTCTCGTATCTCTCGGAAGACCAACATCCGGACTTTACGGTTCGGACGCTCGCCTACACGATGAAGGAGAACGAGCGGGCGGCGCCGAGCAAAGAAGTCGTGCTGTACTCGTACACGGCGTGGCCTTCGGACTCCCTCGTCCCCCAATCGGCGTCTTCCCTCATGAACCTGATCAGTTTGGTTCTCCAACGACAGAGCAACATGCAAGACACCCAGAGACCGATTGCCGTCCACTGCAGGTTAGTCAATGCACGTCTTCTCTCATAAAATGTTGAAATGATTGCAGAAATGGCTCCTCCGAGACGGGCATCTTCATCTGCATCTCGTTGCTCCTGCTGCGGCTCAAGGCGGAGCAGCGGATTGACATTTTCCAAACGGTCAAAGGGCTTCAGTCGCATCGACCGATGATGTTCACGAAGATCGAACAGTACGCCTTCTGCTACAAGTCGCTCGCCGATTACGTCTCGAAGGCGTACCGACAATAAGCTCCGCCCCTTTTTCTAGTCCCATTTTTAGTATTTCCCAGTTCAATTTTCCTAGCTATCAATGACACAAAACACCAAGAAAGCATACGATAAGTGCGGGTCTCCTCTGCTGCTCTCTCACCAATTCTCTATCCATAGTTTTATTCATATTTGTTGTCTCTAATCCAAGTATTTCCTCATATTATTTATTTATTCCTTCTTCTTGTCAACACTAGTCATCTGATCTTTATATTCTCGACTCTGTTCAGAACAATTCCCCCTCCCTCATGAACCGACACGAAACACGAGTATTCCGTTGCGGACTGTTTTTCTCACAAGCTTCCATGTTGTTGCCCTCTATTTTGGTTATTTTCCGTGTAAATATATGGTGGAATTGATGAAATCAATAATTAGTTTATTATTTTCCGTTTGCAAACTTTGAAGAATTTCAGATTTACCCTATTTGTTTGCTTTGGACAATTATAATCATTTGCCACGCATAATTGTGGTAAACCCGCAACGTGGCCAGTGACTGCGTGGGATTTCTGGTTTTTACTCTCCCAAGATGTTGTCGTCGTGAGTTTTTCAATGAAGTACAAGTCCCCGATCAGTTCTTGTTAAGTGGTGTCTCCTTAAACTAGGCACACACACATTAGTTTCGTTTATAGAGCCTCTCGATCAGCCAAAAGGCGAAAATAGCCGAGATTCGCTGTAAAGAGAAAATTGCGGACGTCGATCTCGACTACAGCCCCGACGGCTTCATCTTCGACACAGTTCTTTGATCATCTTCGGAATCACGTGACTCACAATTTGTGATGTGGAAGATGACGATAATTTTGTATTTATTTGATCGAATAAACGTGGTTATTTTAACTAATGTTACGGATTCTTGCTAGCTCTATTCCGAGACAAGTTTTATTTCTTTGCAAAGCTTTGCGAAGCCGTATCTCGAAATGTGACTTTGTCAGTGTGCAAACACTACAGCGCAAAGTTGCGTACTTTGCACCACATTTTACGACACTCATTTTTCAATTTTCTTCCGCACATTTTCAGTGCTTGTTTCTCTATTTTTCAGCCCACATGAATTCATTATAATTCTCTCACCTAATTCTAAAAAAATGTAATTTTTATCATCGATTTCTTGAATTTTCGCATTTCCTTAGCATTTTTTTCACAAAAGTATTTAAAATTTGCAGCTTCCGCCCATTTATGAGCCGATTTGTGTGCTGGAAATGCGCAAATTAGTGATTCCAAAGTACTACGGACGTCCATCGATCGGATTAGCCCTTTTCGGCTGCACAAATCGACCGTTCTACCACGTTTGCGTCTTCCCGGACCGCGCATTGGGTCGCCGTTACGAGAGTAACATTCTCGAGCAGGTGAGGCTCCGAAAACGGAGAAACGCGTCGATGTAGACATATAAAATATAGTACGAATCGTAAAAACGCGAAAAAAGTTCATAACACTTGAGAAAAATGGAGATCAGTGCCAAAAGGCTTGTATTTTCGTATTTTTGCAGGTGGGCACATTTGACCCGCTTCCAAATCAGAAGAACGAAAAGTTGGTGGCTCTCAACTTTGGCCGCCTCAAATACTGGATCGGCGAACGAAACGCGCACATTTCGGTGCCAGTTCTTGAACTTCTCGGTTAGTTTTCAATGATATCGCTCCACAATTCTCTAAATTATAGGTCTCTCCGGTCTGTTCCCGATCCATCCGAAGTCGTTCATCCGAGCCAAAGACAACAGAGCTCTGATAGCCGATCAGCAGCTGAAAGCAGTTGCGGTGGCTGCGGAAGCCGAAAAGGCAGTCGAGGAACAGGTTGGAAACGAACTTATTTTCTGCGAAAATCTGTGAAAATCCAGTATCTCGGGTGCAAAATTCGCTTGTACAACACACAAACAGATCGTTTTCACTTTTTCACTCCGAAAAGTCAACATATTAGGTTCGGATTCCAGTGTTTGCCGACGGATATTCACTTTTCACTTTCCGTCTCGCCGTTTTTCTCGGCAATTGTTAAAATCTCTAATTTTTCTTCAAATTTCAGGCGTCGAGCAGTGCGCAGCCGTCCTCTTCCGCACAGTAATCACTCCCTCACCTCTTCTAGAATCTCCTTTTCTGTTCTCTCCCTGTTTTCCGCTCTTTTCTCGTTCCTTCTCCTGTTGCTAGCTTAGTCTTCTCTGAAATTCACAAATTCTGATGATAATAATAGTATAAAATGAGCACTTTGCCGCACCATTCTCAATCTTTCACCCGCCTGCACGGTCCGATTCTTTTCCTGTACTTGCACTCGTTTCTTCTTTTTTTCCTCGTCCCCACCACTTCTTCCGTTGCCCTCTCGGCCGAATACGTACTGCGGAATGTCTTCCAACACAAAGATCAGTGCTACAAAGACTCTTTCGTGTATATTCCGGCTGTCTCCACCCAAAAATCCCCGTTTCACACGTTCTCGACCACGAAAGAGTGCGCCCAGCGGCTCAGAGAAGAAGGTGAGCGTTAGATGGACCTTGTCAATCAGTTTCTGAACGTCAAGCTTCAGATCTGCCAGCCAAACTGCCAAATTGTCCGCCGGGACTTCTGGATCTGCAGTTGAGGCCGGTCTACGTGGCAAAATCGCAAATCAGGTGGGTCACAACCTGTCAGAGACTGTCTCTGCACATTTCCGCTCTTCCAGCTACCCGTACGCGAACCTCAACATCTCGGTGACCGCACACGCATCCGTCGAGACCGTCGCCTTCCGTCTCCAATGCCTCTCCACGTCCGACGGCTCCGACGTCTACTGCTCCAACTCGAAAGCGATGTTCATCGACGGCGTCAAAGAGTGGCCGTGCCGGGCGATCCGACTGTCTCCAGAAGTCCAGTACCCTGTCCGATTCTCGTATTCCTGCTTCCGACTCACTTCGCACTCGATCTACGCGATAAACGCAACGGTTCTGCCGCAAAAGTGCCGCGCTTCCGTCATTGTGACTGCTCCTAACTTTGAGGACCTCTTCCCGCAAGCGCTGGTGGATCCGGCTGACGAAAAGGACGTGCACACCGATCCGTTCTGGGCTCCGATGCTCTCCGTTGACTTGTCCGACGAGCACGGCGTCTGGATTCGGCTCGGCAAAGCGGAGCATGCAAAGTGCGACCGAATGGCTGTGAACGTCTACAAGGAGTATTCGAACGACTCGCAGAAGGTGTCATTTCTCGAGACGTTGGAGATGAAATGCCCGACGGACAGCGTGAAACTGGAGAATCTGGCGGCCGGCCGTTACCTGCTCACCGCCTACGTGCCCATCCGCGGCTGCAAGTTCATCTGTGAACCGGCGGATCGGACGTGCCGTCAGTGCCTTCGCACACACCTCAACCTCGAGATTCCCGAGAATCGAGCATCGATCGGCTGGCTCGCGGTGCAAAAGATGAAGGATCTGAGCTTCGAGATCTTCGTCGCCTCGCTGCTCATACTGTTCCTCCTCGTGACGGTCATGATCGGAGGTCTTCTGGTAGCCATCTATCGTCGGAGGAGGGACTCAAAACGAGTGCGCGAGATTCAGCTGAGCACGTACGTCAAAACGATGATCGTGTACGTGGACGACAACGAGGAACACACAAATTGCGTGCGAGTGATGGTCGACTGTCTCCGACACTGTGCCACGTGCGAACCCGTTTTCGATTTAGAGAAGCTGATCACAGCAGAACGTTAGCCGAAACTTGGGCGCTGAAACTGACAAATGTATTTTCAGAACTGGTCCCCTCGCGTTGGCTCGTCGATCAGATGTCCTCTCTGCCCAAATTCGTGATCGTCATCTCTCCGTGCGCCGAGAAGATCCTCGACACGCGGGCCGCCGAAACGCACCGTCTCGTGCAGACCCGCCCGTTCCCCGACCTCTTCGGACCCGCCATCGAGATGATCATTCGCGTCTGTCGCGCTCTTTATGCATACATTGTTCGAATAAGTCACTGTTTCCAGGACGTCACCCTCCATTCACCGGAAGCGCGCCAAAAGTACGTGATCGTCCGCTTCTCGTACTCTCCGCCCGTCCCTCCGAATCTCGCCGTTCTCAATTTGCCCGTCTACAACCGTAATAATATCTCCCATTTTCCCTTCCGCCACACTCATCTGTGCCCTTTTCAGTTCCCGAACAATTTGGCCACCTTACCGCTTTCCTACACGATCTAGAAGACGTCGAACAGATGAATATCAGTCAGAATGTGAGGAGAATCGATGGATTTCATAAATATTTATAATTTCAGTTATCACGAGGACGTCTGAACGACTGGGAAACGGCGGTCCGACAGCAGGTGCTCTTCTGCGAGCAACATCCGAATTGGCTCGAAACCCGCTGGAGGCCGAAAGACGTCAGTTTATTGGCCACTTTTAGAGTACACGTTTTGATTTTTAGGACCAGCAGGCGGAAATTCAGTTTAGCGAGCAATCGCCGACGTTCCGCGCGATCCAGACGCATCAGGATCGTCTGGAAGCCGCCCGAAAGTTCAATATCGAGCCGCCGAGAGAAGATTCGGATGATGAGGTGAGAAAAGAGAAGAAGCACGGAACAGAAGAGACCTGGTCCTTTTTCAGCCCGCCGAACAGCATCAATTTGTTCTCTACCCACCTGGAATGGCGGATTCCGATGTGGAAGACGATGACGACGAGGACGGAGACGACGGGACGGATCGGAACTGTTCCGACGAGACGGACGACGATGCGCCCGACGAATTGCCGCGACGGATGCTGATCCGCAAGAGCAAGAGTGGAAAATAATTGGAAATTTCATTTTTGTGTTGAAGACTGGTCATTTTGTGTTTGCATCATCAGAAATTGTTTGTGCTTTCTCTCTTCCTATCATCTCATTCGCAGTGTGGCCATTTTAGTGAAGAATTCTATAATTGTATGAATAGAACTGTTCACCTCATTTTTCTCGGTTCCCAACCGATCGTTGTATCTTTTTCCCTATTTTTCCCCCTACCAACTGAAAGTTCAGATGAGTTCCCCCACCGATTGCTATTCCACCTCTTCCTCGTCGGAAGAGGAAGAAGAGTGCCGAGAACGTGGGAAACGTAAAAAGAAAGAGATAAAAATGCATGCGTGAGTGGGGAAAGTTGAACGGAAATTGGATTTATCGAGAAATTTGCAGATGTCCGTCGTGTAATAAGGAGTTCCGATGGCCGAACTTACTCCGTCAGCACATCGAAACGCATAAAGGTGATTTAGACTCAAAAAAATAATATAAATTTGAAAATATCGAGTATTTCAACTGTTTGAGCACTCAAAATCTCCCGTTTTTCAAATTTTCCTCTTCAGACAATCGATATCGGTGTCCGGAATGTCCCAACCTCTCGTTCAACCACTATCTCCAACTGCGAGCCCATAAAAAAGAGCGTCATTCGCAGGCGATTCACAAGTGCTCATTGTGCCCGTTCGCCGGCCGAAAGCCCGACTTTCGCCGGCATTTCCAGAAGAATCATATCGACGGAGTGCCGTGCACAGTCGCCGGATGCACGATTCGAGTGGCCAAGAATCGGCTGAAGAGACACTTGAAAGAGCTGCACCAGATGGACGGCGAACCGTCTCCAGTTCTGGTCAGGGCACAGTTGAAATGGGAAAAGTGTCCGAAGTGCGAATACCGGCCGACTATTGACGATTTAGACATGCGATATGAGGATCTGATGATCCATTTCAAGACGGTCCACGAGAACGGAGGCAGCATCAAGTGCACGTCGGGTTGTGGAGGCACTTTCGCGGCGGACGACTTTCTGAGTCACTTGGAAAAGTGCTCCTCCTCCTCCTCCTCTTGTCCATCCTCGGCCGTCGGCGCGTCTTCAGAATGCAACGATACGAACACGATGACGTCGGAGACAACGGACCATCTGAGGGCGTTTTCGGAAGAAGAGGAGATGCCAAAAGATGAAGCGCCGCCGAAGAAAAAGATGAAGACAGTGCCCAGAAAGAAGGACTTCAAATGCGACCGCCCGTCCTGCGAGAAGGCGTTCCGAACGGAGCAAGCGTTGAACGACCACTTCAACGTGCACGACGGTAAGAATCCCTCCAGCCACTGCCGTCATCCGTTCCTTTCCTTGCCAGACGTGAAGCCGTACGCGTGTCGCACGTGCGATCAACGCTTCCACGGACGGGACCGCTTCGCAGTCCATCTCTCGAAATACCATCGGACGAGCATCAAGGATCTCAACACGAGGGACATGCTCGCCGGCGTCTCGAAGGCCAAACCAACGCCAGATTCATAAATAACATTTTCTAGTTCTAATATATTTGCACCGTGTGCTTTTTCCTGTTATCCCCCATTTGTTTGCTTTATTGTTACCCATACGTATGAGTCTCATTCAAATAGCCTTAAGCGAAAGTAGTAAAACCCGATCTCATTAAAGATTCGTTTATTTAGATACGATTAGAATCTTTAGCAGAACGAGGACTCATTGGAGAGGCGTGGACGACGGACGGGAGGAAAGTGAGTTCATTTTAGTCCCGGTTATCTCATCGGTTCCGTAACATTTCAGTTGCTTGAGGACGAATTCTGTCAAGATTCTCATCGCATCCAGAGAGTGAACTTTTTATTGAATTACGTGCAAATGCAAAATGTACAGTGACAATATTTATAGTAAGCGAAATTTTGGGAAGTTTTCGGTTGGCATTGATTTGATGATGTTGCGGAATGGACGGCAAAGAGATCACTGGCCTTTGATGATGTTCACGAATTCTGAAATGTACATTTTTCCGATTTTTTACTAAAGGTTACCCTGAATTACCCTGAAAATCGATCATTCCGTCGTGATCCAAATCGCCCTGCTTGATCATTTCCTTGGCTTCCGATTCGGTCAGCTTCTCGCCGAGTTGACACATTACAAAAATGAGATCGTCGATCGAAATCATTCCGTCGCCGTTCTTGTCGAACACCTGAGAGAGCTAAGTGAATTTCAAATCGATTTATCTCCGCTTTGCGCTTAGATATCAAAAAGTGTTCAACTGGTAAAATGTTCATTAAGACTTGCTGAACATTTTATTAGTTGACAACTTTTCTATATCTCTTGAGGCAGCTGAGATATATCGTCTCGAAATACTCACATTGAACACATCCCTCAGCTCTCTTTCCTCTTTCGGATCGCAAATTTGTCGCCGAAGAACATTGAGAAACTCGTCAATGTCAATGCAGCCGTTGCCTGCAAAATAGATATTTTAACATCAGAAATTGTTGATCCCCCGAGTCAATGAATTTTCGATGAGATCAACGAATAAATTACTCGCCCGGCGCTCATTCATATTCATTCGCTCACTCGTGAGAGCACGCAGGTAGGTGTTGGGTACAAAACAGGAAATAGTGGGCGAGAAGTGAAGCGGAAGGGAAAGTGAGACGGGCATGGAAATAGACCGGTCAAAGGAGTCGGAACTTTTGATCTAGCTACAATATTCTGTTAGGATTCAAATTTTGCACAGGTCTCAGACTTGGACTGAAGTATTTTGGGTCCAAGTTTCAGATTTTTCGGAGAAAATTGCGATTTCTCGGGTCCAGAAAACTTCAATCCAAATCCAAAAAGTACTCGATGAATAAGAAAATTGCCTGTATTTCATAAGGTTGTGAAGCAGAACAAATTCCGTTTCAGCGATTTGTGATAAAGTTTAATGTTGTTCATGAGACTCACCGTCCAAATCAGCCTGTTCGATCATTGCCTCAATCTTCGAATTGGACGCCTTTTCGCCGAGTTGCAACAGAGCCACCTGCAAGCCGTTTTTTTTTGAAAGACGGACAATATTTGGTGCAGTTTTTCTCGCAATTGTTCTCGAATCTCTGAAAAACGTCCCAGAACAAATCAAACCTCGAGCTCATGTCTCGTAATGCGTCCGTCGCCGTTCTTGTCCAACTCGCGGAAGACTTCACGAATTTCGGCCTCTTTCAGCGAATCCATTTCTTCTGGAAATTCAATATTCAGAGGAGAGAGAGAAAGGCGGAGGGAAGGGATGTGCAGTGCTCGTCAAAAATATGAATGAATGAGTGGAAATGACACGACGAAATTTATGCGGAAATTGGAGCTTCTAAACCGAAAGCACCTGAACTTTGAGCACTTGAGCCGGCGGCGGCGGAATGACGTGGCAAAATGATGAGGGGAAAAGGCAAACAAACGAGGAGGAGGGGCGGAATGATCGCGTTCTCCGTGCGAATCGAATCGAAATGCGTGGGAGCATCGGAGCACGTGATTGAAATAAACAGAAACAAAAACATAAATAAATAAATGTGAAACAATGAATAGATGGGCTTGAAACAGTGAAGTTTGACGAAACATGTCCCTTGGTTGCTAAACGTCCAGCAGTTGCAAAGCGTCAACTTGTTATGAGAACGTAACAAATGTCACTTTTGAAACGGTACATTAGCATAGGGTTTTCGCGGTAAAAGTGTCGGTGAACACAAAAAAAACGGTCGTTTGGCACTTGTACAGTCAAATATTTCACTTTTCCGGTTTCAGTAAGCTCAGAAGTGAGTTTCATTTTTTCTTTTTACTAATTAGTACCCTCGTGCGGAATGTTGAAACCGAAAACTAGTTGAAAATTTGCTGAAAACCCAGTTATTGTCGTCGTTGCCAGCAAAAGCGAGCAAAATAAAGCGGCGTGTGTGTGTGTGTGTGTGTATAACTAAATTTTGCATAGAAAACGCGAAAAGAACATTTGCTCCTTTTGTCCCACTCACACACGAAACACGATAATTAGGCCGATTCCCCCCCGTCCCGCACCGGGGCCCAGTTGCGAGCAAAACCGGAAAAACGAGAGGCGAAGAAAATGGAGAATATCAGAGGCGAAATCTCGTGATTTCTCAATGGGAAGGAGAATGGGGAAATGAGGAAAAAAGAGAACGAAATGAAAAAAGAATGTTCCAGTGGTCGTATGATGGGGGCGCGGATGAGTAAATATGATCCGGATGGGCGCAAAAATACACTTATCCTCATCGACGAGAGTGTCGGTCACTTGGCGACCATTTGAAACTGTAAATGAGAATGGAAATTGACGGAAACTGTGAAATACAAAACGAAACTGACTGCTGAGCTTACTGAAACCGGACAACTGAAATATTTGACTGTACAAGTGCCAAACGGGCCGTTTTTTAAAACCCTATACAAATGTACCGTTACAAAAGTGACATTCCAGTCTCGTTCGATTTTCTGAAAGCTGTTAATTTTCAAAGCTGACATTTCAGTCCCGATCTGTTTCGATAACTTGTCCTCTTGTAAATCGACTTGAAAAATGAAATTGGCATGTCGAATTCAATGAAGAGGAAGGAATGAAACGAGGAAATGCCCATATGCTCGTAAAATGAAATCGCTCGCTTTTCTGCCTTCCTTCATTTCCAAGAAGTGGGCGGGCGAAGGAAGAAAGAAATTTGAAAGGCGGGGGGAAGGGATTTGCCACGTCACTCACATCGAATGGGATGGAGTACTTTGAAAAGAATGGCCGTTCCGGATGAATGCACCAGAATGATGAGGGAAAATGGGTTAGTCAGGCAGCATTTAGTGTAGTTGCTCATTGAAAGATATCATCGATTTCAAATAGTAATGATATTTCTAAAAACAAAGAAAACACATTGATGCAATGATAATAACAAATCGATAATGATGTCTTTGAAACAGTACTTGACTAGAACTGGTAAAAACCGAATCAGTTCGCGCTCAGTTTTGTGCCAAATGTTCCTTTGAGTCATTTCTATGCTCTCTTACCGATTGTGAGTCAGATCTTTATAAATACCCAGTATATTGGATAGAACAGGACCGGCAGTTATATTATAGCGCACAAAGTGAGGGTGAAATTAAGACAGTTTGAACAATTTGTATGACATTCTATGACTAGACAGCTGCCATTTGAAACAGTACAATTTGTATCCGGCATCAACGAAGTATAATTTGGGTGCCGAATTGTTGAGTTTTCCCCTTGCAGACAAACAAAGTTCAATAAAACAGAAAAGTTGTCCGAAAACAGCTTCTTTGCAGTTTCAGACGGACAATAGTTGTGTGCATTTTCAGCCAATGCATATAGATCACTCTCATTTTCCAGGAAACGAACAAAAACAACAACGAGGCCGTTTGGAGCATGATTCGCGAGAGGGACTTCCAGTGAAAACTAGAAGAAAGTGCACAAGGTTTCAATTAGCTCCTTTTAAAGAAGCAAACCTAAACACTTATCGTCGAAACTGGAAAAGAATGGCACCCGAGTACCCTTTATTCAAAACGATGTATCTCAGCTGTCCGTAGAGATATCAAAACGTTGTCAACTAGTAAAATGTTCATTAAGAAACGCGGTACATTTTATTAGTTCAACACTTTTCGATATCTCCACAAACTGCTGAGAAACATCGTTTTCAATGTAAGGGTTTTGCGCTCTTTGTCGAGTTAGTTAGTGATTTAAGGAAGCCTCGCGGAGGCTTCAAAATCAGCCAATAGTCCAAATTTTTCAAAAAATTTAAAACTTTTACAGTTTCACTTTGATCATTTGGGAATCTTCAATTGATCTATTAGAGTTGCATTACACGAAATAATAAACTCACTTTTTCTCGAAGCCCGAAATCCTAACCCATGCTCTACCAGACACGGGCAATACTTCCGTTCAGAAGTACCTTCCGCCCACTTCAAAAAAACTTCAAACTTCATATTTCTCCTCGCCTCCCACCAAAAACGGATATATATATATGTATTTCGCATGTGAAGGGACGCAAGCCGTCGAAAAACTTTGTCATTCGCGCAACGAAAAAGGACTAAAATATTCGGAAAAGACCAGAAATAAATTCGATTTCCCAATTCTCCAATTTTCGAATCGGTCAATGATCATGAACTTTCAAACTTTTGATTTGAGTCCTTTCGGGCACCGAAAACGAGGGACGAAAAGAAGGAAAACAAAGGACGTAATTGGGTTGACAAGTGACGGAAAACAGGAGCGAAAAGGGACAAGGGGACAAAGATTAGCGGCGGATTTCCGAGAAGGACCCATTTTGGTCCCGTGGCTCTTTAGGACAGTCATGGACTGGAACGTTTTCACTAAAAAACTTAAATGTTTTTTAAACAAAATTATGAATTTTTGAAATGCTCTGTTTGAAACGGTAAAATCAACGGTTTAGGACCGAAACTGCACGATCTCTAGTTAGTTTCTTTCAGCATTCAAATATATTCTGCAAATGTTTTATCACATTCATTGACACACACATTACTGTTTCGGACGTGTGACTTTACCGACTTCTGCTAACAGTAATGTTTTTTGCAAGAAGGATATTCACTTACTAGGGAATGGCCCGCACTTTCCTTGGGCTTTTGGAATGGGACCGCCGAAGATGAACTTGCTAGAAAATGTGGCAGAAGCAGGCAGATTTTCTCGCCAACCAGTGCTCTTTAGCAAAAATGGAGAGCAGATTCGGATTCTCCGTGAAATTCTCTTTCGAATCATATCGGTCCCATTCCAAAAGCCCAAGGTAAGTGCGGGCCATTCCCTAGTTAAAGTACCAACGCGTCAATTAAGGAAAAGAATCGCTTTACTTCATAAAATTCCGTGTTCTGCGATTAACAATTAGTCATCCAAATAATCGAGATGAAAAGTAGCTGAAACGGTGATCTTTTCCCTTTTTCTGCCCCCCTTATGCTCAAAAACAAGAGAATAACAAGTTTCCGGAGACCAAAAAGCGCTCACCGGAAGGTGGCAAAGTCATTGAGTCACGTGGATGTGCTTCTGCAGAGGGTACGTGCATTCGCAAGTGGGCGGAAAAGGATTAGATGGCACCAGGATAGGTTTGATTGTGACAAATGGACGGGAAACGAGGGATTACATGTTCGATGGGGTATTAGCACGCAAAAAGAGTGTGGGAATTCGAAAGCTATGCAAGTGCGCTCTACTGCACCCTTGGCGCGAAATGCTTTAAATCTGCTCAATTTGAGTCTGGAATTCTGGTCATTTTCGCTGTTCCAGAGCTCGCAAGTTTTGTGAGAACAAACAGTATCAGTGCAAAAGCTCGGAAGCAGTGAGAGCTCATTGAGCTCCGAAAACATAAAAACGATGAAAGCACTTCTTCTTCTTCTTCTCCCTCTTTCCTTCGAAAACTAACGACGTCATCATTTTGGGCCCAAAAAAATCGGGACTTTTTTATTGCGAAATGTCAAAAACAAGGTTCCCGCTGAATTTTTCAAATTGCCGCCCAGGGAATACGTGGTGTTCCAGAAGATATCAAGTTTATGAAACCGGAAAAGTACAAAAAGGCAGCGAAGAGGCCGGCCGCTTGGGAATACGATCAGATGTATGCTAATTGCACGGCTTCAAGAATTGATAAATCACTTTTTGCGTCTGCCAAATGACCTACTGCGAAGCGAAACGACAATAAGATTTATTGGACGCCTTTGCGGGGAACTTGAAGACGCTGGTGAAGCTTATGACACCGCGCAGTGTATTCAAATTGATATATCTCAGTTGCCGGTAGAGATATCAAAAAGTTGTCAACTAACAAAATGTTCATTAAGACATTCTGAACATTTGATCAGTTGATAACTGTTTGATATCTCTACATACAACCGAGATACATCAATTTGAATAGACGATATGTGCCTTGAATACCAATCTATGACGTCTCTCCCCCACGTCATCGGCCCGCAAAATCTTCTTTTCGGTTTTCCATCTGATTTGTCATCAAGTAGGTCGGGGCCGGTGGATAGAAAAGGAGAAATTGAGAAATTGAGAGGCTACACATGATAGTGATTTGTGGTCTTTATTGGGAAAACACGTGAACCTGAAGAATACTGTTTCGTCGAGTACATAACTGGAAAATCATAAGTGAATTATGTTTTTTACTCGCGAGATATTTCGTAGTTGTTTTTTTGAAGCTATCAAAAGTAGAAAAGTACCCGTTTCTGCTTCTTTTTTTAAAAGTAAGATCACAATTCCAAGATATTGAGATGAAAATGTTTTGAGACATCAAGTGTTGAGCGAATCCAATTTCCATTCGTTGATCGATTGGAGTTCAATGAGAAACATACCGTTCAACGGTCTCATTCAAAAATGATTGTGTTTCAAGTCCATTTTTCTGTGTTATAACTTATATGAAACATTCGAGAACATCTCGTTCCAGTTTGACACTTTTCGTGGATATTCTCTTTTGGCATACATAAAACTACTGAAATCGAAATTTGACCGAACCGCGCAGTCACCAAAGTTCCATTCAATATTTGCTTGAAACCGTCACATGAACCGTTATCTAACTGGTCATTCATTCCGTAGCCTACAGTACCTTCAAAAGTCTCGTATTTATCATTTCTATCCCTTGTTTCCACCCATCACGAATGTCTATATAAACATGATGAGAAGACGGGAAAGTCTGGTGTAAACATGAACTTCAATCACTTTTTCCTTCTTTTCCTGGCCCTTTTCGTCGCGGTCGAGGCGAGGTGAGCAATAAGTCAACTGGAGATTTTGAATGCTTAAAGTTGTAAACATTCAGTGTTGTGAACCGAGTGAAACGGCAATGGGGATTCGGATATCCGTTGTTCGGAGGCATCGGAAACTCGTGGGAAGTGCGCAGCAATCATCCTACCTACTGGGGACACAATGCGTGGGCCGGAAAGTAAAAACGGTTATTCCTATATCAATGAACTTTGTTCCTTTTTCTCCAATGTTCTGCGGCCATAATTGTTGACTTGTTGCCTGCAAAGTTCTTCTTCACATTTTGCATGTTTCATAATTTCTAAAAGAAACTGCTTCGTTTACTACATGAATGCCTCCAACTCTCCGCGGCCTAGAAAGGGACAATTCATCATGAATTCGGGTTTCACAAAGATCGTATATACAGATTGTCGAGAGCACTCCAAACGTTTTCTGAAATCTGACCAACCGAATTACTATCCCATTCCTTTTAACGTATTCCGTCTGTAGAAATGGAAGCGTTGAAACCGCAAATGGTCTGCCAAACCCACTTGAAACCAGCCGCGTTTTCAATTGAGATTTGAGGGGCTAATAGTAAGCATTGTGAACTGAATCATTTGAGTAATGTAATACCGAAATCGTGTGCCGTCAGAGCCGCTTGAATGATCCAAAAACGCTGTTTTTTTGGACGAAATTCTCAAAGTTGTTATGTCTCGTCAAAAAAGATTGTCTTTTTTGTCAGTAATGATATCATTGTAGTTGCGACCATCAGGTCAGTGGAATACATTGAGTGAACACATACTACCGGGCGCATTTCATGGTGAATCTTTAATTCTGAAAAAAATCTCAAAAATATCAAAAATTCTGAATAGCACGTTCAAATTTTTTCAGAATTTGGCCGAATTTTTTGGATTTTCTAGAACGCGCCAAAGTGCTTTTGAAGTGCTTATTTGACCATATTTGAATTTTCTTCTGCTTATCCGAAACTTGCTGAAAAAGTGCAAAAAGCCAAAAAACTCGGTCAAATTCCGAAAAAAATTGAGCGTGCTATTCAGAATTTTTCTGATTTTTGAGAATTTTTTCGTTTTTTTACATCGCTTTTTTGACGTAAAAAAACGAAAAATAAACGGAAAAGAATCATTTTTTTCACAGCCTGAATAACCCAATTAAAAGCTTTGACCTTCCGCCTGATCTTCGTCAATTAAGAACAAAAAACGTTCGTCGAACTTATTTTACTTTGAAATGTTCCCGATAGCATTTATCGGTTGACGGAGACGGCGGAGCACTTTCTGTTTTCAGGCTCAAATTGATGATGTTCGTGAAACTGAAAGTTCGAAAAGACACCACATAACCAACACGACTAATAAGTAATAACTCTTCATGTGACTCATCATATTTTTGAAACTGTTAAGTTCAACTTTTAGTGTGTGTGTGTGTTTCACTATTAGCATTTATATGTGAATCATCTAGTCTCAACGACTTTATTCCAATTCAAAAACGAAATTATCCATTAAAAAGAGATCCACTAGCTCAGACTACCGTCCCCAGAATCCGTTGTTGAAGCTGCTGTATCCGCCGGCCCGGTAGCTCGAGTACGTTCCCCACGAACTGCTACCGTAGTTGCCGCCGCCGTATCCACCGTATCCTCCACCGTATCCTCCACCGTATCCTCCCGGATATCCGCCGCCGTAGAATCCGCCCGGATAGCCGCCTCCCCATCCTCCGTATCGCTTCTCACGATGTCTGAAACACAAGATTCCGCGATTTCTGCAGAAACTTCCCGAAAACCTACCCCTCCGGAGCTTTCCATCCCAGATTCTTCGGGTGATTCAGGTTCTGAGCACTTCTGGAGTCGACGCGATCAAAAGCAGAAGAGGTGGCAATGAGAAGAGCGGCGGCAAGCAGAAATACAATGAAAGAGTTCATGATGGCAAGAAGTGTTTGATTTTGATATTTCAAGTCAAGACCCCCCGCTCTTTTATACAATCACTCTTATTTTGCCTCCCTATTTTGATTCGCCTTCCAAAATGACCAAATTTGCTGAAAAAGCGGAAAAGTTCGGCCAATCCAAAAAGGAAGAAAGCCGGTTTTAATGTGTCTGTCTTCTGTTCGATTTGCACTTTTCTCTCTCTCTCTCTCTCTTTCTTTCGATGATTCAGTAGTAAGAGTAAGAGTAAAAGTGTACGAAAAACAAAGTGTTCTGTTGAGGAAACACGTGCCCGGACGAGGAAATCATTCTCGTCATTATCGTTGTTTCGCTTTTTCAGATTTCTACAGTTCGACAACGTCTTTTCACAGAAAACGCTCTCCAGGATTCCCAACTTTTTCACAGTCTTCTTCGCATCTACATTCAATTGCGCCCTCTTTACAAAACACAATAGTGAAGATGCTGGAGTTGAGGTCACTCTTGGAAGGGGTGTCACTGGAACTATTATAGGGGCACCGGACAGAAAGGGCGCGCTGTTCGCAATCTGGACGAATTTCTAGGCCGCTAAATAATTTTTCACTGAAAACGTGGCCTAACTTTTCAAACTCGGCCCCGAGGTCGCTCAATTTGCACTGCAAAAAGAGTTTCTCAACAGAGCGCCATTTCTGTGCGGTGCCCCTATAATAAGACGGTTTCTTTGCAAATGACTTCATTCAAATCCGAATGATTTTCAGTTGGACGTTCATTTTCGAAGCGTGACTAATCATTTTCCGACAGATGGAACAAATCACAGGGTGTTGAAACTGTATGCTATAGTTCTGAGCATTATTTTTTCGCTGGGACACTTTGAGACTTTGTGAATCTAGGGCGATGAATCACATCACGATTCCATCAATTTTCCGGTCCAATCCAAGCAAAAATTCAAAAATTTCCTGCCGAAGAAGCCAAATTTTACGGTTTCACAACTCTCACAACATTGCGGACTCGATGTACTACAGTGTTGCGATGGAGTCCCAAGCTGCTTCGAAACACCTTCCCTTCATATCAGATCTGGCCTAATGGGGTTATTCAGGCTGTGAAAAAAATGATTGCTTTCCGTTTTTTACGTCAAAAAATCCAATTCAGCGATGTAAAAAAACGAAAAACAAACATACGCTGAATATCCCCATAAGAAAACTCTGTTCGATCTGATGACAATCGGGGAAAAAGTGAAGAAAAATCAAAAAGCCATACTGTCCGAAAAGTCGAGTCTGCAAGTTTATGCTATTTGTAAAACAGTAATATTTTACTATTGTACTCGATCATTCCCAGAGTCGGAACTAAAATTTTCGGTTTCAACATCTCGTAATTTCTTTCATCGACTACAAAAGTGCATTATCGGAGTTGTTGCAAGGAAACCGTCCCAGTTGCAGTGACCCCCCTTCCCAGACGGACCTCAGCTCCAAATTATCTCCACCTGGTTCCCAAAGTCGAGCGATGCGTTCGCGCTGCGTACTGAATGCGCTCACAGAGCAGTCCGTTCCTCGATTCATTCCACCCATTCCGTCTTCAAGACATCCCCTTTACCTCTCTCTTCTCCGTCTTTCCTTCTGTACTTATTATAATGGAGTCTGCTCTCGTCGCTACCGTCCAAATCACCACGGAAGGACAACGTCGTCTCCTCCTCGAGAGCTACATCGACCAGATCACCCAAATGCTCGACGACCACAGAAGTGTGCTCACCGAATCGACGATCGCCAGACTTCGTGCGAAGCGAGCCGAGCTCCTGAGAGAGCTGAACCGCAAAGTGAGTTTTCGAGAAACCTATTAAAAGCAATATAAATTGATGAATTTCAGGAGAAAAAGGAAAAGAAACCGGTGGACGTCGACCAGAAGACGATGCAACTGGAGAAGAAAAACGGAGCCAAGGAGCCGAAGACGCAGCTCCGCGCCAACGACAAAGTCGAGAAGTTCCACAGGTGCTGATCGATTGCCAATTTTTTTGTTGATTTTTTTGGAAAAAATTAATAAATTTTTTGCACTTTCTATACCTACTTAACAGAAATACAAGAAACCGAACAAATGTGACAAGAATTGAATGGTACATGTTGAATCCACTTAACCAAACGAGAATTTCGATGAAGAATTCGAATTCTTTGGTGACGGCGATTCGCTGCAAGTAAATTGACGTTATTTTTGTGGAGATGTGCTGAAAATGTACTCGAATGGGTTGTAATTGGAGGTGCTCGGGCCGTATGGCAATGGAAAGTCTTCGGAAGGAGTCGTCCGTTTCCGAGCGTTCAGTTTGGCGCAATACTGCGAAAAAGTCGGGAATTCTGGAGATTTGTCGGGTGTTCTTGGCGAAAAGACGTTGTCAAACTGTAAAAATCTTATAATTTATCAGTAACTCTGTATAAAGTGGCTTACAAAGTCCTCTTGACTGTCCGATTGGTCCCTTTCCGCAAGATCTTTGAAGACGTCCAAGTCCTGCTCCTTCTCTTCTTTTTCCCGCGGATCCTTCGGTCTCTCGTACGTCGGAATGTTCGTCAGCTCCATTTCCTGTTCGTATTCCTCAACATCACTGAAAAAATCAGGAAATTCCAAACATTTCTAAAGGACCACCTGGAAATGTCTTCTCTCGAAAAGAACGGATCATCGGGCGGATAGTCCTCCTCGTCGTTCATTTCTTCGTTGAACATGAGCCAATCGGAGCGTTCTAGCAGCAATTCGTACACCGGAAACGCTTTCGGCGGCTCTCCCGAGTCCTAAAACACTGAAATTCCAGAACTTTCTACTTTTTTGCGGGCCGAACCAAACGGGCCAACGCGACCGCCACCACCGCCCTCTCAACCGTTCCCATCGTCGTTTTTGTGTGATTCTGGAGCGGAATTCGCGGCAAAAGCTTTTTCTTATCGAATCTTTTTGAAAATCTCTCTATTGATTTCTCAAATCCCAGTGGTTTTTTCTCGATTTCCCTCGGCGTTTGCTCAGTTTCCTCTTGCGAGTCCAACTTTCGAAGCCACGGCAAAATCGGTCTTTTTGGAGGATTTTCTGTGAAGTAGAAGATATGCTTTGAGCGGAAAAATCGAGAAAAACCTGCAGAAATTGTCGGTATTCCCTGTTTTTCATCATCCGAATTGTACCTTTGGACCTCGGGGACACTGGGCCTCCGAGTGGACTCAATTGTCGGCTGCTGCTGAAACTTATCTGAAACTCTAACTTTTTATTTGAAATTCGAAGAATTTTCACCTCTTCCATCTGAAATGTCACTGAAATCCCATCCATTTTGAGCGCGAGCACCTTGGCGCGGGAAATTTGAAAATTTAGTAATTTTTATCGGCGCCGGAGCATCGTCTTCGCGGTTTTGATCGAATTTCTGAAAAATCAGAGAGTTGTGTTGGGCTTTTTCATGTTTCTTACCGGAAAAGTGTAGCTGGAGCAGGTCGGGAGGGAGCTCTTGGCGGCTGCGAACATTCCGGTGATTCCGTGAGGCTTTTGACGTCTCTGAAACAACGGTCACGTGTTATCAGAGTTTGAAGAAAAAAGAGCGAAAATTGGTTTATTTCTCGCAACTAACTACTGAAAACTGTTCACAACAACTACTAATCATTAATGGTGTAAGCTATTCGGACATTTTCTAACCTTTACTGGTCTGTCCTGAAGGGATCCGGCTGAAAATTGTTGGTAACCTGCAAAAAACTTTTATTTTCCTTGTTCTTTCTGCAAACATGTCAGACTTGAGCTCAGTTGCTTGAACGCTGTCGGTTTCGGCTGTGCATCCGTTTTTAGACTGCTTCCGAGCTTAGGATGCCAATTTCTGCCGACTGGTTGCATTTTTCGAGTCAAAAACTGGTTTTTTGGTCTGCAAATCACTAAAGAAGAAATTGCCAGCTGAAATTTACAGTAACTTCTTCTAAACTATGCGCTGCTTGCAGCCTGCGCGTAATCGTGGTGAGACCTGCAAAATTTGGTGCTGCGCCTTTAACAAATTACAGTACTTTGACTTATTTTTGATTGAAAACTAGACGAAAATCATTTCTCAGCTGGAGCAATCTCTTTTTTATAGGTTATAAATTATTCAATAAGCCCATTTAATACCAGATATTTTTGTTTTTTCGTGATTTTCTGGAAAGGTTTCCACTCGCTGTCAAATGCAAAGTGTTGCAAACGCGCTCCACCGAACCTCCATTTTCCGCCTTTTCTCGGCGGAAAATTTGAATTGTCCCCGCCGTTTTGCCCATTTTCTCGCTAATCCCGTTCCTAACGTCGCAGTTTTCAGCAATTTTCGACTCCACAACATGAATCACAGAGGGAGAACGCCCGGAAGTGCCGGCAGAACAGTAAGATCCTCAACTCAGCAGCAAAATGTACAATTTTCACGGTGATGTCCTCGAGCAACTATTTTTGCAGGGTTTGTCGATGCGAAAACGAGACATGACGCCCACAAGAAACCAAAACCTGATGCCAAACGCGACGTTCGTCGGCGATCGGTTTCTCGGCGTCCGGCTCGATCAGGACGAGCTGGACCACGCTAACCATCTGATGACGTCGAAGTTGTACGGAAACGTCCGTTTTTGTCATTGATTCCTTCTAAAAATGTGTTTTTCTTTCCAGAAGGAGAATCTGAATCAGTCGATTTCGGAGCCGAACAGTCCGGAGAAGGCGGTGGAGGCGGAGACGTCGAAGATGATCCGGCACAAGTCGGCCGGAGTGCTCACCGACGCCGAAGAGGGAGATCGGATTCTCTGTTATAAGAAGAGTCTCGCTCCGCCCCCAGCCATCGGCTACATCAACCAGGCAAAAGTAGATCCGAGAGAGGAGAATCTGAACATTTGGAGGGAATTTTTCAATTTCAGGTGCTCTACAGCACGAACAGCGTCATCAACCCGGCGTCTTCTGTGAAGAAGTCGACGAGGTACGTCAAGGAGAGCGCCTCAAAGGTCCTCGACGGCCCTGGAATGACAAGTACGGCATTCTAACGCTATTTTCTTGTAATTTACCAAAATTTGCCTTCAGAGGATCTCTACTCGCGTCATCTAGACTGGGGATGTCACAACTGGGTCGCCGTGGCTCTTGGATACGAGTTGTACCTGTGGAACACTGAAACTTGCGTCATCAAGGTTTGATTTTGTGTAGTTTTCGTAACCATTCTCGCTTTTGTCAGAATCTCTTCGAAGACAACGCGCCGACAAACGAAGGAATGATTACTTCGGTGCGATGGAGCCAGGAAGGCCGATACATTTCGCTCGGATACGCTTCCGGAGCCGTCAAGGTGATTCTGAAGTGTCTTTTCCAATCTTCAAATGTTTCTACAGATCTATGACCCGAACCGCCCGAAGACGACGCAATATGTGCGAGAGCTGAGAACCCTCAGAGTTGGAGGAGCCTCCAGATGCGGTACCACCCCTTTTCTCCGCAGAAATCATCAGAATTTCACAATTTCCAGCCTCGATCGCGTGGCGAAAGCAAGGAGTGATGACGTGCGGCTACAAATCGGGCGACATCGTCAACCACGACGTCCGAATCGCGCAGCACGTCATCAGTTCATGGGGCGGCGACAACGGACACTGCAGAGATGTGACCGCCCTCGAATGGTCGCCCGACGAGCAGATGTGCGTGTCCGGATCGTCGGATCGCACCGCCAAAGTGTGGGATGCGCGGCACGTGCGAGGAGCCGAAGTCATACAGGATCCGGTAGGCAATGGATTTTTAATTGATCGAGAGAGCGATCCTCTTCCTTGGTTCTCGCGGAAGTAGCAAGTGTGCCATTGGTACGGGAAGTTTGAGAAACGCCAAAACATTTTCGAATTGAAATTTCCGAACCAGCGGCAACCATAAGACCCCCCCCTGGTAAAGTCGGAAATGTCCAGATTGCTGCCCCTTAGGGTCAGTCCAGCAATCTGAACATTTCCGACTCTTGTGCTCGTACCAAGTGTTCGATCATAGCCAGAGTGAGAGCAGTGGGGAAGAGCACCGTCTTGAATCATAGGGAAAGAATACATAAACGGTCCGATTTAACATTTTCTCTTCGATTTCTCATTTTCGCTTTCAGGAGCCGCTGTTCACTATCGACGAGCATACGGGCCAAATCCGGAGCGCGCAATTCTGCAACTTCCGCGACGGAATCCTAGCGACGGGCGGCGGAATCAACGACGGAACGGTGAAGCTGTGGGACGTGAAGCGGCAGTGCCAGAAGATCCGGGAGCTGTCGGTGTGCGAGACGGGCGGCGTCGGCGGCATCGTCTTCAACCGCGCGTACTCGGAGATGCTAACCGCCTCGGACGACGGCTTCATGCGCATCTACCGATTCAACGCGAACTATAAGCTGTCGCACGAGATCCAGGCGTCGAACGAACCGATCATGGACCTGGTGGCGTCGCCGTACGACGAGGTGCTCATCGGAGATATGGAGGAGACGTTGAAGGTGTTCCAGCTGTTCGCCGTCGATAAAAGCACGAATATTCTCGACAGAACCGGTCCGAAGAACGTTGGATTTAACGTTCGATAAAGCAAAATACATTTTATTCAATTTTCGATCTAATATTACTTATTTGACTTATTTTCACACCTTGTCACTTCTTCACACAAAATCGTAAGATTTTTTCTAAAAATTGATCTTTTCAGAGAATTTTCCTGCTGTAAATGATTCTTTATACCTTTTTCCCGCCTCTTGTAATCAATCGTATTTTCTCTATTCTCGCGCCGAAATAAAAGCGTTTTTTGGTAATCACACAAAACCTGAAAAGTGGGTCTTTGGCCTTATCATCTTATCAGTTGCCAATTGATACTATCGACGAAGAACACTTCGATTTTTCTTTTCGGTTTCCAACAAAAATGCGATTTTCCTTGCGGAAATTGGCTGAAAACCTGGAAAAATGTCCGTTTTCGGCGGCGGAGGCAACAAAAGCGCCACGTGGATTCGCGGAAATTCCCGGTCCGCGCGATATTCCGATATTTGGAAGCGCCGACAATTTAAAATTCGCTCTTAAATCAGGTTTGACAGATGTTTGCCTTTTTGCAAATTCCCCCGACAATTTCAGACGCGAAAACGATAGAAAAATATCAGGAGCACGTGGCGGACATGTACAAAAAGTACGGAAAAATAGTGAGAGAAAATCTGGGATTCGGACGGAAATATGTCGTTCATTTGTTCGATCCAGGTCCTTATTTTTAATGGAAATTGAATAAAAAGCAATTATTGTTTGCAGCGGACGCGCAAAAAGTGTTCGCCGCCGACGGAAAGACGCCGTTCATCGTGCCGCTGCAGGAGACGACGCAAAAGTATCGGGAGATGAAGGGAATGAATCCGGGACTCGGCAATTTGTAAGCAAACTGACTTACCCACAAGACTTCGATACAATTACATGCAAACTGCGAAACATGCGCTCAAATTTAACAAATTCCCTTCAGAAACGGCCCGGAATGGTATCGGCTGCGCTCCTCAATTCAGCACGCAATGATGCGTCCGCAATCCGTCCAAACGTCAGTTTTCATCTCAATTCATGGAAAAACGTTTTTCAGATACCTCCCATTTTCCCAAAAAGTGTCCGACGACCTGATCCGCCACGTGGCGCACGAGCAATCCCGATTCGGCCACGTAGACATGCAGAAGGTGGCGGGACGCTGGTCCCTCGAGTCCGCCGGACAGATTCTCTTCGAAAAGTCGCTCGGATCGATGGGCGAGCACGTGGAGTGGGCCGACGGGCTCATCGAGCTCAATAAACGGATATTTCAGTTGTCGGCCAAGTGAGAAAATGGAATTGAGACGCCTAAAAACTGTATTTAGAATGCGCCTTGGGCCTCCGATTTTTCGCCTGTTTTCCACTCCGTCTTGGCGGAAAATGGTCGAATTGGAGGATAAATTCTATGCGGAAGTGGATCGGTTGATGGACGACGCGCTCGATAAATTGAAGATTAACGAGACTGACAAGTTTGAAATTTCTAGCAAAAACTAAGGAAATGTAATGCTTTTCTAGCCAAAATCTGCGATTTGCGAGCTATTTAATCAATCGAAAAGAGTTGAATCGACGCGATGTGAAAGTGATCCTTCTCTCCATGTTTTCCGATGGATTGAGCACAGTAAGAAGCTCAACTTCAATTTCCCCCCAGAAAGTCGATATTTCAGACGGCGCCAATGCTCATCTACAACCTCTTTAACATTGCGTCGCATCCAGACGCGCAACGACAAATTCAGAAGGAAATCCGAGAGGACTCACTGAAATTGCCGTATCTCCGTGCGTGCATCAAAGAGACGTTCCGAATGTTTCCGATCGGAACCGAAGTTTCGCGGATCACTCAGAAGGATCTCGTGCTTTCCGGATTCCACGTTCCAGCCGGCACCGCCGTCGATATAAACACAAATGTGCTTATGAGGTTGACAGAAACCGGAAATTTTCTCCATATTTCCCGTTCCAGAAGCGAGGTGCTCTTCACGGACGAGCCCCATCAGTTCAAACCGGACCGCTGGCTGGACAAGTCGAAAGAAGTCCATCCGTTCGCATTTTTGCCGTTCGGATTCGGTCCCAGAATGTGCGCGGGCCGTCGATTCGCCGAGCAGGACCTTCTGACGTCACTCGCCAAACTTTGCGCCAACTTTGAGATCCGCCACGACGGAGAACCAATTACACAGATCTACGAGACGCTTCTGCTGCCGCGTGGCAATTGTAAATTCGAATTTGCCAAATTGTGATACAGTTTTTTGCCTATTTTTACGACCAATTGTGATTTTAAAAGCTTGTGATCACTTCCGTCTTGATCCCTCTTCTCTACGGTAACGAAAACCCACAGAAAATAATTTTATTGTACTATCAAAAACGAAAGGAAACCCATTTTCTGGGTATAAACTGTGGTCTTCTGCTTAATTGTTCGAAAGACGAAAAATTTTGCGAAAGTTCATTGAAAGGAACGGACAAAATGCTCATATAAATACAGTGCGTTTCAAAAGTATAGGGCCACCCCTGAAAATCACCGACACGTCTTCCCCATGTTGTATCATGCCTCCGCACCTTGAAAATCGAATTCAGCATGAAAAGTTACCCCTGGAAAACAATTTTGGGGCCAGTACATTGGGTGCTGAGGCCATGCTGCTGGAAAATCTGAAAAAGTGGCTTCTGCAGGCGTTTCATAAGTATAGGGACACCCCTTAAATGTGTGGCAGGAGCCTGTATCGGGTCGTACAAGAAGGTAAGGTGGTCAGAAATGAACTCAGCATCAAAAATAACCGCGGGTGACCAGGTCTGGCCTCATGGCAAGAGGTTCTGGGTCAGTTATGCTGAAAAGTGCGGCTAAGTCTGAAAATCAGCATTCTAAAACGTAGATTGGCTGAAATCGAGAATTAAATTTTATTCGTGACCTCGACAAGTTGCCAGCATCACGCTTGGAATGAGGAAAACCATTATCTTAACCATGCCTCGTGGCAAGCACCTCTCGGATGCGGAGCAAGTCGAAATCAGCGCTTTCAAAACTGCCGGATGGTCCAATCGAGCAATCGCCAAGCATCTCAAGACATCGAAGATGTCGTCAAGCTTCCAATACCATGAAAACGTGCAATGCGATCAAACGGGGTTTGAACCTCAACGTCTCGAAGACGACAGTCTGGAGAGTCATTGATCAGGATCCGAACATCAAAAGACAAGTCATGAGGCCGTGCCCACGTCTGGGGAGCCACCACAAGACTCGACGGCTGGATTTTGCTCGAAGCAACATGGCTACCGATTGGAAGACGGTGAATTGGAGACACTGCGTATGAGAACTGGCTATCTTTTTTCAGTTGATCTTTTCGGACAAGAAGAAGTTTAACCTCGATGGGCCGGACGGTTACAAACATTACTGGCACGATCTGCGGAAAGACCGGCTTCGTTTCTCCAAACGAAACTACGGCGGCGGAAGTGTTATGTGCTGGGGTGCTTTTTCGTCCGACGGTTTCTTGGAAATCTTCTTCGTCGATGGTCGTCTGGATTCGGCCCGTTATCAAGATCTTCTCCGGACCCAACTGCTTCCGTTCAAACGTCGTTTCAACCGCCGTCGCTTTGTCTTCCAGCAGGACAACGCGCCTTGCCATGCGAGTCGGTCGACCATGGATTGGCTCCAGTCTAAGAACATCGACACTCTTCCTTGGCCGGCTTGCAGCCCAGACCTGAATCCTATGGAAAATGTGTGGGGAGCGCTCGTGCGTCGTGTGTATTCGCAAAGAATGCAGTATCAGTCGGTCGGAGCACTCAAGGCCGATATACTTTTGGCCCTATACTTTTGAAACGCACTGTACACAAAAACAGTTCAATTATGTCGCGGTTCTATTATGTCGCGTTTCTATTCTGCCCAGTTCTATTATGTTGGACCGCCTGGAAATCAGAAGTTCATTGCGATTTTTACATTGAAATGGCCGAGATGGCCTAGAATTCTCCGCTTCTTTTTTCTAGTCCCCTAGCATTTTTTCGTCAAATTTTTGAATAAAATTCGCATTTACGCTGTTTTTGACTCAATTTTGCGTTCATTTCACGTAATTCAGATGCACATCAGTCAACTCATCGAAAATTTAACCGAAAAAGCGGTGATCACGCCTCTGACGCCGTCCAGTGTCATTGTATTCGACAAAAACGAGCTCAAAGTCTATTTGGGCTTCACAAATAACCGAGGAACGGTGGAGTACGCGAAAGAAGTGGTGAGAAGCCGAAAAAACGGTCTATTTTATAAAAACGACTTCAGATTCTGCTTTTGTCGACGCCGATCCAACCGAAAGCCGAAATTCGTCAAGTAGTCGTGTCAAAAAATGGTTTTCAAGACATTACTTAGTTTTCAAAAAAATTCGACTATTTTGCAGGCGATTACGCGATTCTCGAAGGCTCCAGAAGTGTATACGTTGTTAGAATCGGCACTGAAATTCTGGTTTCGAAGCCGGATCGGCTGCCGAACGAATGTTTCTGCGAGTGCTACCCACTTCACGACAGCTTCCTCCTCCAGAATTCTTCGCTTTCAGTCGTCCAAACAAGGATTTTATCACAGAAATGCGACGAGAAAACGATCGCCGCCATTTTGTACTCTGACAATTGCATTCGGTCCGTGTTTTCTCGAAGATTTTCCGTCAAATATTGCTGAAATTGCAGATTCTACAACATCTACCGCAAAAGTGAAGCTCTTCTGCTCACCATTGATTTCCGTCACCACCTCCATCAAAGCCACGACGAGAGCGTCTCAAACAACACGTTTGGACTTCAAAAAGCACTCGGTTTGCCGGAAAGCAAAGAGAATTCCTCAAATAATTTAAACATTTCAGTTTCGTTCGACATGATTCCGCCGCAGCCGAAAACCTCGTACCTCTCATTGATTGTCGTCGATTCGGACGCCGAGTTTTTCGCCTCTTTTGTCTATTTTTCATGTATTTATTGACTTTTTCAACAGAATCATAATTTTTGTATATTCAGGCTTCAAGGAGGGGATTTCACCGCGAATTCACCGTCTGGAGACTGTCGACAGTCTTCCGTGCGATCCGCTGGCTTTGCACTATCTGGAGACGTCGAATCCGAGGATTTCGTCCGTGTTCGCACTGGTCTCCGGCGGCGGCGTCCTCAGCCATCTCGTCGTGTTCCCCAACGAGTTCGGAGAGTTTCAGTAAGTTTTTCCATCTAAAATTTGAAGTTTTCTTGTTTTCCAGGTTGCTCGTCAACGATCAGCTGCGTCTTCCGGATTGCAACGGAGATCCGCGGATTGTGCCGAATCAGATCCGAAAACTGAACCGAAATCGCTACGAAATCGCCACTTCCACGTGTCTTTTCTCGGTCAACATCTCCCCGTGGTTCGACAATATCCTATCCGGGTAAGCAGACCTCTCAATCCCTTCAAAAACCTGAAATGTTCAGTTCTTCCGACCCGAAAACCCAAGAAACCCGAGTCTGTGAGCTCGTGAACGTCGTCACCGACTCCGCGGAACTCTCCGTTTCCTCCAAGAAGCCTTACACCGGCGCACGTGCGCTCCGAGCCGTTTCAGTGCTTTTGGCACGTCATCTGGAGCAAGAAGAAGACGAAAACGATGTGAACGCCGAGCCCGAAGTGCTGCATTTGGTGATTTTAAGCACAACGGATGGCGAGCCGACTCTTGTCTTTTCAGTTTCCACGTAAGCCATCAAGTTTCAGCTCAAATCGGATTATAAACACTTTTAGATTTGACAATCATTTCGGAGGTAAAACTGGTGCTCATGCCGCTAGAAGCAGTGATCCCGCTCCGGCGACGACAGTGAAAAGTTCGAGTACTCTGGAGCAGCAGCTCGCGGAGCTCAAGCCACTTCCAGCGTGTGTGTAAGTGCTCACAGCCTTCTTCTCCCGGCATTTCCCTCTCTTCAGAATCTCTGACAGAATCTCTCCAGAAGAGGCCATCGCGGCAGCCCTTAAATTCGTCGATTCTGTCGACGAGCGCCTCAAGAAGCACGGGGAACTGGCGAACGCAGTCGTCGAGCGGTGTCTGGGTCTCGCCGCCACTTCGCAGTTGCTCGACGAGAAGCAGCAAAGTGTCGACGAGCGTCTCATCGCTGAAACGACGGCCGCCGAGGAGCTGAAGGTGCGGATGCACGAGCTGAAGGCGCGGATGGACGCGACGCGCAAGGCGGCCAACGTGCTCTTCCACCGCGTCGACGAGAACGTTCCGTTGAGCGACAACGAGGTGCGCATCTATGAACGGCTCAAGGAGCACCAGAAGATGCTCTCCGACATGAGCATCTACGTGCCCAAGATGACACTCGACTCGAACGAACTGCACCGGATGGCCGAGGTTGTGGAGAAGCGGCGCGGCGGCGAGGAGCCCAGCAAATTTGCGAATATTGAGAAAAAGTAGATTCGTATTTACAAAACTTGTAAATTTCGTTATTTTTCAGCGCCATCGACATTGAAAATCTGGAGAAACGGGAGATCAAGCTCAATTCGGGCATTTCGGAATTCGCCGTTTAATCTGTTCTACTCTGTTTTTATATCGAATTTCCCCTCCCCGTTATTGTTGAATGAACTCCGCGCTACATATAATATTATATTCATTCTTGTTTCTAAACACAAGATTTTCAAGAAAGGCACACGAGGGGAAAACGGAAAAGGGCAGGGAAGCTTTAACATTCTAACCGTTGACGTCTTCTTCAGAAGAAGCTAGATATGAGTTGGGGAAGTGAAGGGGGCAGGCAGTAATAAAACATCTAGTTTGGGGGGTGAAGAAAAATGAATAACAATTATTATTGACTCGAGAAAACGAGTGCTCGTTTCGCGCTGGGACCCGTCGACGAGAGAGACGTCTGGAAAGGAGTTCATTTTTCAAATTTTCGTGTCGGGACCGCGAACCTCTTCGCTATCCTGCGGTGGAGATCTCTTGCGGGGCGTCAAAAACGAAAGCGACTCGGCGGCGCTCGGAAGAGCCGCCCGGATGCGATCCTTGTCCGATTGCGGCTGATTTCGGTCGCCCATCACGAAAATCTCCCATTTCGTTGCCATTTTCGGGCAGTTTGTGTGGACCTGCAAAAACGTTGTTTTTTGCTTGAAATTTTAAGTGTGAAACTGTTAATTTTCCGAAATTCAAACTGTATTTTCTACTGACATAATCCTCGTCGACGTAGCATCCGATCATCGGCTCTCCCTCGTTCTCGCACGGCTTTCCGTCGTAGAACACCTGACGCTGAATCGGATGCGTTTTTTCGTCGAGTCCACGGCCGAGAACAGAATGCTGAGAGAGGCAAAAAAGAGATTATCAATATAGCGCACTTCCACTCACCATGACCCGATACTTTCCGGCGAGCTCTCCTTTCAGGTGCCGATCCATCGCGTCCTGTACCATTTTGACGACCTCGTTCGCGCCGATCTCGTTGTTGGTCACTCCGTGATGGTTGGCTCTGTCCGGGCTCATTTCGAAAGAGCCCAATTTGCAGCCAATCTCCCGATGCTTCACTTTTCGCAGCTCGCTCTGAGCGTGCAACATTCGCGGATCGGTGGACGTGGAATTCAAAATCTGAAGGTTTTGGTTTCTGATAGACAAGAAGAGCCTTGGGACGAACCTCGGCCTCCACAAAGTCCGACGTCTTCAGAAAGGCCTCGACGTCTTCGGTGACCATCGTCAGCGGGAGCATCTGACCGTCGGAGCCCTTGTAGAGCAGCAGCTCACCGGCACTGATCAACGCCTCCACCACCATGTTCTCTATGAATCGGACCGTCTTGTGCTGGTACACCTTCGAGTGCAGCTCCTGACGCGACTCTCCGATCGATTTGATGTCTCCGTCGCACTTTTTTGAGTATCCGATTCGCCGCAGTCCGCTGTTCGGGTCAATTACGACGCGGACGTGGTCGAGCAGGCGGTTCAGGCTCGTCTGAAGTGGAAATGTGCGAATTTCCGAAAAGATTGATGAAAAATTAGAGTTTTTCCGCAAGCAAACGAAAAAAAACCCAGAGAAAGAGCTGAAATGTACCATGCTGAAAGTGATGCTGACTCCGGAAGCGATGGCATCTCTGAGCAAATAGTCCATTTTGTCGACGTCATGTCCGCAGTAGGCGTTCGAGACGATGTCGTAGAGGAACGACTTTTTGACGCCACGGCCCTCGACGACGGCTGCCCATTCTTGCTCGAGTCGCTGAATGTTCGATAGAGCATACTTGCTTATCATTTCCCTTATTTACCTTTTCTCTCTCCTCCGGACTCAACGCGTTCAAATCTATTCCGTCGAGGAAGTCCTGCAATATTTTGTCTAAATTTCATCAAAAATTTGATTAAAACCAACAGTCGGCCGCGAGCTGATCTGTTCCTGAATGAACTTGATGCTCTGATCGTAATCCTCGCCGGCGCCGGCACCAATGATCGGCTCGAAAGCGGCGCGGATTTCGGGTTTTCGCATGATTCTGTCAATGAGTTTCACGGACATCTCCTCGTGTTTGAACGATCTTCCGCATCGTTTCGCGAATTCGCCGTCGAAAAGATGCGAGAACGGGCCGTGTCCGACGTCGTGGAGCAGCGCGGCGATGGCCGTGCAGCAGTGTTCAGCCGACGTGATTCCGAGCGATTGCTGACTGTGACGCAATTTGTCGACGAGGTTGAACGCCAGTGAAAATGTGCTGAAAAGCGGTTTCTGCTGAAAACGGACTGCCCAAATGAGGATTACCCCAAAGAATGCACGAATCGGGACTGTTCACAATTGGGGTACACCAGGTAGACGAGACCGGTCTGTTTGAGATTTCTAAGGCGCTGGAACTCTTCCGTGTCGATGATCTTGTCGATCGGCGACGGAATTCGCACCGTACCGTACACGACGTCGTTGATTCGATGTTTGGGCGCGTGTGCGGGCCAGTTCATGCTGAAAATCGGACTTTTTAGCGTGGAAATTTGAAATTTCAGAAGAAAATAGACGAGAAGCTGCTCGTCCGAAAGGACTAGACAGCAAGATTTCTAGGCCACGCCTCAAAAATGCCCGCCGGCAGTTCAAATTTCGTACTTTTTCAGATCAGAAAGACGTTAAAAATTCGAAAAAGCTGTCGAGCGCGTAGTTCAAACAAAGGGGAACAACGTGCGCGCGCCGTCAGAACGAAGATTAATGAGAATAGTGCGAAAACGACAGAGATCTTTTGAATTCAGAATTCACCGTGATTCGTATCTCAATCGACAATGTTTAAAATAACATTGTGACACGGTGCGGGCTTCTGCAATTACCGAAAAAGATCGTATCGAGAGATAGAACAATGTGAAATCAAGATTAGAAGAGGTGAAAGGTGAGAAGTTTTTTTTAGTTTCGAAAAAATGCGTCATTGTTCTCGTTCCAGAAAGTCACTCACGAGTGGGCGGATCTCGGAAACGACCAGAAAGAACGACGAAAAACGGTTGCCAACATTTTTTGTCGAGTTGAAACGAACTGATAAGAAGACTATCAAAAATGAGCGAAATGCGCCAAAATTAAATATTAAACTGTGGTCAGACGTTTCTCGGCCTGAGTCAACACGTTTTGCACTTTACTGTTAGCCTCCGAAACACCAAAGAGACGGAGGAGGAGAAGCAGAAGCCGTCGGCGAGGGAATGTGGGAAGTGAGGAGGCGCAGAGAGCGGACGGACAGCTGAGCACCGCCGTTGTTTTGAAGGAATGTTTCGTTTTTACTCTACACATTAATCAGTAAACCAATGGGTAGCTATCGCTGAATTACGAGAGGTAAAGCAAAAATTTCGATAAACTCTCCTACAGTTTGCTACCATTCATAGGGCGGTCTTATGTGAATACAGTTCTGAACAGCTTTCCCTAGTTTCGTGCCGATTGACCAAGTGTCGGCTGCGTAAATTTGAACTACCGCCAACACGTTCAACTGAATATAATTTTGAATACAGATTTATTATAGGGGCACCGAACAGAAATGGCGCTCTGTTGAGAAACTCTTTTTGCAGTGCAAATTGAGCGACCTCGGGGCCGAGTTTGAAAAGTTAGGCCACGTTTTCAGTGGAAAATTACTTCGCGGCCTAGAAATTCTGCCAGATTGCGAACAGCGCGCTCTTTCTGTCCGGTGCCCCTATAATAACACAATCGATCGAGTTGGAACTGATGAATAATAGCAAAAGTCAAAACTCAGACACCGGCCGACACTGACGAAACTCGATGCAAATAGCCTTTTTCAGTGTTTCACATACGTCGTTAAAAAAAAGAAAGAAACACACAGAGAATATATTTTGAGAACTTGAGAGAGAGAATGTTTCTGGAAAAATGGAAGACAGTTTGCAAGCGGGAAATTATAGCGAATACTCACTATCTCAACATGATAAGAACGTTAAAAACAGGTGACTCCAGGCTATTCTCCAGTTTAAATAACGAAAACTTTTGATTGACGTAAATCGATCCGGAAAAATGAAATCAGAAATCGGGACGGGATGCGGGAATTACTTAAGAGTGAGCAAGCTCTCACGAGCCGATGGCTTTTGATTGGCACTGGGCCGACAGCAGAGTTGAGCGGAAATGGAATTTAGAAATCCGGAAGACGGCAGACGGCAGACGGAAGAAAATTTTTTTTACGGAACACGGCAGACGGAAGACGGAAAAAAACTTTTTTCCCGGAAGACGGCAGACGGAAGACGGAACAAAAAAATCGTCAATGCAGAACCTTTTTTTCCGGTTTTTTTTTTAAATAACTAAAGCAACAAAAAATTTGGATCTGGGTCACTGCCCGTGGAAATTCGCGTTCTTCGGGGCTAGTAAATGGCTTCTGAAAAGCTATTACTCTTTTACGGTAAGAAGAAAAAATTCCGGAAGACGGCAGACGGAAGACAGAACAAAACTTTTTTCCCGGAAGACGGCAGACGGAAGACGGAACAAAAAAATCCACGGAAGACGGAAGACGGAAGACGGCAGACGGAATTCCGCTCAACTCTGGCCGACAGTGAGGCGATAATCGAGTAAAATTGGAAAAATGACGCGATTCTTCAAAACTGTCAGTATTATAAAATACACGTGGACGTTGCCATGCTTGTGCACTCACTTTCGCTCGTTGTTCTCCAATTCGATGACCGTCATGCTTCCGAACCGACGTCGTACCTTCGGAATCAAAGGTGCGTAATGGAACGCCATGGAATGGTCTGCAATGAAAACTTTAACAATCAACAGGTGATTTTTATTGGCAATGTGTCACAAATGAACGCCCAAAACACGATTATCAGGTCGTTGTAGGTAAGTGTTGCCTTCTTGACTATGATTAAGAAAACAAAAAGCGTCTGATTGAGGGGCGGAGCTTCGGGATCACGAGCCCAGCACAATATTCAAACAAAAGAAAAGTAGAAGCTTGTGAGCGCAACCTAGCAGCTTTGAAGTGAAGCTTTTTTCTAATGCAACGTGTAAGATCTCAATTAAATGGGACCACCCCCAGCCGGGAGCCGGAGCCCGCAGAGAGCCAGAGCAGAAAAAGATCAAGAGAAATGGAGAGAGCTCTTTTGAAATGAAAGTGGTCCCCGGGGAGTGTTCATTCCAGTGATATCACCGTCCAAATTTTGTGATGAGGAAGAGCGGGGAGGGTGAAAACAAAAATAAGAAAGAACCCGAAACAAGGTGAACTAACCACTATTTGATGCACTTTCTGGTGTTGAGAAGTGATGAATGGACAGATGGCAGAAGGTCTGCCATGCTTTTAAGCGAACTCAATGTGTGCTTATCAGTAGAGGGCGCCACCGTCTGACTTTTTTTAAAGAATGACAAATTACGAATGACAATAAATACAAGCACTCGAACCGCGAAAACTACCGAAAAGCAACTGAAATGGACGCAGTTTTAGCCAAAAACCTTCAAACGGATAAATTTGATTTGCGACTTGACCAAATTTAACGCTCTAGCGCTTAAAAAATTCGTAATAGCCTATACAATCGGTCTATTGAGAGACAAATGAGTAATTATCGGTTTTTCGTGGCTAATCTGGCAAAAAACCCAAATTTTGCTGTTAAAATTTGAATCTCGCGCCAATGTATCGCTCTATTGGGCGGGGCGCACTTGCGCGCCCATTGTAACTTTATGTAATCGACCATGCTGAATCCAATGAACAACTCCATTTCACGTGAAAACGTACCGTTTTCTTGAAAAAACGCGAAAACGAAAATGGAAGTCAGTCTGAGAACCTGAGTTCGAGAAAAAAATTGGGAGCGTGCTCATATAGAGTAGGAGAACACATTCCATCAAAAATTTTATGGAAATTCGGAGTTTTGCGAAACCTGTTGCGGTCCCTACTTATCAGTCGATGTCCGAAAATTCAGAAGTTACATTTTCTTCACATTTTCCAGTCCCCGTAGACTTTGCCGAGGATGGCAAGTCTCCAGATTATCCAACGCCTTTTCAATACGTTCATTCGCAACCCCCGTTCGTCCTCCTCCGTACATCTGATCTGCGAACGGAAAACAAAGCGACGGCCCACGGCCCGTCAGTGTATTCCCGTGTTGTCCTTCCCGTCGCCTCATTCATTTGCATAGTCTATGCGTTCGCCCCCGCGGGTAATTCGGCGCGTTTGCGCATCGATCGGTTTTGCTTGTCGCTCGTAGTGTGTCATTCTACCATTTTCAGAACGATAATGAGCGAGAGCTTCGTGGACTTGACTTCGAAATTGTCGATGAGCGGTGACAGCAACAGCGAGAGCGGAAGTGACAGCGATGTCTCGTTTGTGGATGATTTGAAGGTACACAATCGTATAAATTTCCACGTTGGGACGGCAAATTGTAGATCTCCATGAGTTTTATCATTCAAGTAGCATGTAAGACGCCGTCAAGGCGCCTAACTGGAAACTGATTGTACAAAAAAAACATAACTTTTTGCCTTTCCTGTATAGAATTCATCGATATCTACAACTGCCCGATGACAACTATGTATACAATAGTTTTGCAGATAACCAATGACCATTTTCAGACTCCAATCCTTCAAAATCAAAAAAAGCTGGAAGCGGTGCCGGCTGAAGACTTTCCGAAAGCGAAAATAATTGAAGGACACCGAGTGGAGCAGATCTGCCAGACTCTGTGCGAAACTCTGCCAGAGCTCCACAAAGTTCTGCCGGATTTTCTCACTCTTCTGCCCGATCTTTCGCACGTTCTGTTCGAACTGAAACCACTGGTGGCGGACCTTCAGACCGCGTTTTCGATCCTCAACGAGAAGATTCCGGAGCTCATGAAGGTTCTTCCGGATCCGACGGCCCAGAATGAGACTGTGGAGGACCAGGAGCCCGTTTCGCTTCCTCCTTCTTCTCCTTCCGGCCTTTCGGTTAGTTCTGAACATCCCACAGCTCATCCACACATTTGATTTCCTTTCAGATTGTTCTCAAAATGGTCCAACAACTGCGTCTGGAAGTGGATGTTATGAGAACGACTGGAGACGATAAAAGAGCGGAGAAAAAGGAGATCAAACACTTGTGGAGAACTGTTGAGAAACTGCAAAACGAGCAAACTGACCTCAAATCCCAACTGAGCCAACCGGTCCATTTTGCTCTGATTTCGGGCAAACTCATCGTCGAATCGATTCTCGGCGAGTGGCAAATGGTCTCGTCGAACAATCTGGACGAGTACCTCAGAGTGAACGTTTCGAATTACACGGAGCGAGTGTTCTGGAAGTACGGAAACCGTTGTTTCGAACGGAACAAGCAAATGATGACGGTCTACGGCCGTCTGGACGGCAATCCGTTCGAGCGGGGAACTCACAAGCTCGGGCGGTGGGAGGAGTGCGACGACGGAACCGACATGGTCATTTATGTGGACGGCGAGAAGCTGATCATGCTGGGAGCGGTCAGAAAGACCGGCGAGCTCATTTGGAGACTCGAGCACTCGATCACGGACGGAAAACTGAGGATTGAGGCCAGACGGAACCAATGTGCCTGCGAGCGATTCTACGAGAAAATCTAATCTAATTTCTCCTCTACCCAGCTGCCGGGAGAGACACATATTATCAATTCACAACTTTTCATACCTCTAGCGTATTCTATCACTCTTTAACTCCACGCTCACTGTATTCATTCATTCACTCAGGGCCATATATCTCAGCTGCCATGAGAGCTATCTGTGCACATTTATTGATATCTCTAACATTTTCTTTCACTCCTTACCCCTACCTCTTCTCGAAAATCAATATGATCGAATAAATTAATTCCTCCCAATGCGCTCTAAGACACTGTGTTAAGAGAGAATACAGAGGGAGAAGAGCACAGAAGAGGGATATAAAAGGGCAGGTCAACCCTAATTATCCTCATTCTTATTCCGCTCTCCCCCTACCTTCTCCCAATAATTCCTCTCGTTTGCAGGTCTATCCTTCCGAACCAATGCCCTCCGAAATGACGAACACCGAGCTTGTCAACTACATCCTCGATTACCTTGAGCCCGTGATGAGGGTGGATCTAGAGAATAGACAAGATGCGCCCGAGTACATGAATCTGCTCGAATCGGCCGTTTGCAAGCACGTCCAACGCTTGTACGACATGGTTCAGAAGCCCGAAGGAGCAGAACTCGGCCGAGTGGAGGATGAAATCCAGAAACTCAAACGTGTGCTCGCATCTAATAACGCGAAAGGCGTCCCTCTCGTCACGAGACCCAAGAAACTCGACAAGTTCTGGATGGCGTACATGAAATGGATGGACAGAAGAATCATGTTCGTAATGTCGATGAAATCGATATCTGACGAGGTGAACGAGTTCATGAAGACCGAATCGGCTGCAAGGAAATCTCTGGAACCATTGAAAGAGTTCCTCGAAAACCCGAATTATCATTGGAACGACTCCATGCTCCACGCCAGACCGCACCCGGTCTTCCAGTGTCCCGGCCGACTCCCGGTCCAGGACGAAATTCTGCTCGACCAAGTTGCTCTGGTTTTCATCCAAGGAAGCGCCGCATTCGAATTCGATCACTTTCTCGGCTCGTTCACCCCGTACCTTACATCCCTTGTGAAGATAGGAAGACACTACGCACAGCTATTGCAGACCAGTTTGAGAGGTGAGCGAGAGACGATCTGCCGGTTGACTAATAATAATAATAACTCTTGTTTTCAGAACTCAATCACAAGGATGCGTTGGCGTTGATGACGAGCATCATGTCGGAGGCCGAGGCTTATTCGTTCAAAAAGCACGAGCCGGATTCAGATTCCCATGAGTTTCAACGAGTTTGCAAAGAAAACGAAGCGCTCCGATCGTGTCTCACCATTTTCACTGCCGACAGTGATTGCAAAATCGAACAACTCCGCTCGGAAATCTGCGTTTTGCGATCCGAAAACGACCGAATGCGGAAGGTGTGTGCTCAGAAGGTGGTTCCGATTCGAACGGAAATCGCCGGCGGATGGCGAATGGTCTCTTCGTCGAATCTCGATGAATTTCTGGAAAAGTTCCGACTCAACGCTCTGCACGAGATCCTTTTCCTATTGGGTCGACCGCACTTTGCGTTCGACGACGACAAAGTGGTCATGTACGAAGACCTGGCCGGAGTCAAGTTCCAGGAGAGGGCCGGGACGCTCGGAACGGAGATTCCAATCGATAACGGTCATTGCATGGCCGTGATCGAGGACAATCAGCTCAAGTGTCGGGCCGTGGACTACGAGGGCCAGGAGGTGGCCTCGGAGATTCACTTCATCCAGGATGGACAGCTTCATGTTCACTACGTGTGGCGGGATATGTGCTGCACGCGAGTCTACGAGAAGATTGAAGACGGAGAAGAAGTCGAGGAGGCTCCGTCAAAGTCCGTGCTCTCGCTCATCGAGGGCGAATGGAAGCCCGTTTCGTCGAAGAACACGGCCGACTACATAAAGAACTTTGTTCACGGCATTTTCGAGCGTCTGGAGTTTAAGCACGCGATCATGTGCTTCCAAGTTCAGAATTCCACGATCACCGAGTTTTCTCGCTTGTACGACGAGGAATCTGAGAATAAGCACCGGAAGCTGAACGTCTGGAAGCCCGACGGAACCGGAAAGAGTGAGATCACCGTTGTGCTCGACGACAAGATCGTCACGGCAGAAATCGACTTGCACACCAGTTCGCAGGTCCGGCAAACGAAAATGTTCATCAAGGACGGCTGCCTGACTATTGCCAATCTGCGCGACGGCGTCTTTTGTGAGCGTGTCTACGAGAAGATCTCCAACTGATTAAATTAAATTCAACTTGTTTTTCTTAAATATTTTCCATTCATGTTGAAATTGAATAAATTGCTGATTATGCCCAACTAGACTAGTCAATTTTTCATTCGAAAGTACGAAATATGTGAGATCAAGTAATAACAATACAATTTGTGTCCTTTTCTTACTCGTCTTTCAGCGGCATCTCCTTTCTTTTCCTTTTCCGGCTCGACGAATTCTCCGTCTTCCGCTTCTCGAACTCCTCCTTCAGCTCCGCACATCTTCTGCGCCATTTGACGCTGTCGACGCACTTCAAGTACCAAATCGAAGCCCGCAGGAGCGATTCCTGGCCATGCCACGTTCCGCCGCCGCTCACTCTTGATGATTCGTCATTCTCCATACCTAAAAGAAACGCATCGTTTTGAAAATCAATTTTTCCACGCTTTTTCTTGGCCATGGCCACAACTTTGACTGCGTGTTGTTTCGTTTATAAGAATTTCTGTAACACGGTTGTGCCCATTGTTAGCTCTAGACGCAGTGATATTTGAAAAATAATAATTGGAAATTTCAGTACTAAAACTCGGGCTGGTCGGGGCGGAGGGGAATCCCCATCGGCCTGGCCTGCGACAATTCTCTTGTCCTCTCACCGAGAATCCAGTAGAGGCATTCGAGATCCAAGCCCAATTCCTTTCGAAATTTTTCGATTAGCGCAATCTGATGAGTCGCATTTCCGTCGCGATCTTTGACCATGAAATCCATGAGCTTCTCTCGATTGAGGTCTCGCAGAAACTCCGAGACACGTGGATTCTGTTGCAGATCGGAAAGACGCCGCACAACGTCCGTTCTGGTGTCAACGCGAGGATTCTCGTCGCTTTTGACTACTTCCCGTTTCGGACAGTTCGTTTTTTGGATCCATCCGAATGTCTTTCCTTCGTGCGTCATCGGCGAGAACTTTCCCGGATCGAGAGGCACGTGAACTGCAAACAAAAACTCAAAAAAAAAATCGATAGTTGGCTTTTCCGCTCACCTGAAGTGTCTCTGATTTCAATGATGATTTTTTCGTGTTCGTGGTGTTTCACAAGCCCGTCGGAATTCGTCTTCAACCATTCGATGAATCGATCTCGGACGGAAAGAACCGACCGATCGGCCATTTGTCTGGAAAAAACAAACGTTTGAGGGGAAAATTATCAGAAAACAAGAGCGAATGAGAGAGGGCAAAAATTCGTATTTGTAATTACGCACGCATATATTTGCAGGATTATGGAAAAGCATTCCCGAATACAGTGAAAAATGGGGAAATTGACAACATTCGTCCCTAATGGGGTTATTCAGGCTGTGAAAAAAATGACTGTTTTCCGTTTTTTTTTTCGTTTTTTTACGTCAAAAAATCCAATTCAGCGATGTAAAAAAACGAAAAAAACGGAAAACAAACATACGCTGAATAGCCCCATAATCGATGATTCAGATGAATTCAGAGCATGACACAGCATCGGACGAGGGGAAACAGATCAGTATGACACTATGAAAGGGGCTTGTGATCACGAGCATTTGTTCCTGGCTTAAAAAATAATAATTTTCAGTCGCCTATCATCCATTCGAGTCGTATAAGTGAACGCAAGCGAAGTCAGAATGATACTGCTGAAAATTGGTTCATTGTTATCCGTTTTCCTCATGTGACGCATCTGTCTGTCATTTTCTAATAAACTCATCAGTACTACAAATATTTCTTGTTATGTATGCACCCTGGATGGTCCCTTGGTTGGTTGGCCCTTTCTCGGACCGCCTTTCTGCTATCGCCCATCTGGCCTTGACCTCTTGCGCATCAGAAACGCACACAAATGAATAGGGAACGTTTCCGTGGCTCACCAGACACAGAAAAGACTGTGGCAGAGGAGAGAGCGCAGAAGCGCAAATTATGGGTGACCTCGGGAGAGCCTACAAGAGTGAGTGGGCCAACTGCCCCGCTCGCATTGGCAATCATTTCTTCTTCCTTTTCTCCTCCACGTTACCTTCTTTACATTATTCGTTACAGAAAGTTTGAAACGATGAGCAACGTGGCATCGATCGAGTCTTCGCTTCTTGAGGAGCTTCGCCAATCGAGCGGAACATCCTCACCGATCCAGGTGATCGTGTCTCTGAAGGAGCTGGAGGAGATGGTGTCGAAAATGGTGCTGGAGCACCAGGATTGTGCTGTGGAACCCGCGCACTCCGACTCAACGACTTTCGACGTCGATGAGATCGGCGAAGTGAATGCGACGCTGGGACGTCTCCGCGCCGAGGTGACCATCTCCAACGAGATAAACCGACGGGAAATCTCGGAACTTCGCGCCGAGAACGCTGCGTTGAAGGCAGAAATTGAGGAGCTCAAGAGGAAAAAGAAGAAGTCTACGGGCGAGTCGATTCGCGCGAAAATCAACGGAGGCTGGAGAATGGTCTCGTCGACGGGCGTGGACCAATTCGTTGACATGCTCACGGAGAAGTTCGTTTGGAGAGATTTCGATTCAGTCATCTTCAAGATGAAGGAGCAGTACTTCAACCTGAAGAAGAATAAGTTTGAAAGCTGGGGAGAGCTTCTCAACAAGAAGTTGAACAGGGTGTCAGCGACACTCGGAGAACCACTGGAGCGTTTTGGCAAGGTGTCAACTACCGTCCTATGGAAGGACACTTTGACGACGGATGTGAGATCGTCGAGTGGAGAAGGGATGCTTCAACTGAAGCACTTCATTCGGGACGATCATCTTCACGTCGTTGCCACCGGACAGGGACTCACTTGCGAGCGAGTCTATGTAAAGATGGAGGATAAAGAAGTCGAGGAGCCAGCGAAGCCAGCGGAGAAACAGGACATTTTCGAGGCAATCGTTGGAAAATGGATTTTGGTCGAGTCGGAAAACTTTGAAGAGTTCATCGCATTGAACATAACAGAGGAGGAAGAAGAGCAGCGCTTGCGGTCGAAATCGCTCACGTACACGAAAGAAGGCGACCGGCTCATAATGGCGACTCCTCTAACGCCCGGCGGCGAGGATTCGCTCTGCAGGGAAGACATCCTCAATCGGTGGATCGATTTGCAAGGAAACTTTTCGCAGTTCGTGTTCGTGGACAACAATCGACTGATCACCATGGAAAAGCTCACCGACACTGACGAAGTGCAGTGGAGATGCATCGAGTGGATCGGAGAGGACGGAAGACTGACGGTCGCCGAGGAGCAGAACGGCATCGTCTGCACGAGAATCTTCAAACGATATTAATTTTTTTTCTCGTTGTTCATTTTTGATATAAATAAAGTCGATTCTTGTAATGAAACGTGTACTGTTGAACCCCGCACTCATGGATATCACGCCAAATGCGTTTGCACTGAAGTTTTTGAGCATTTTTGCGAAAAATCCTAGTTTTTCCACGTTTGAATGATCAGAGACCTTGAATTGTCGGTTTTACAAGAGAGAACGGAAAATTAGTGAGAAATTAGAGAGAGAACACGGCAAAGCTTTTTCTGGAGACAAAAGCGCGAAGAATCGAAAGGAGCGTTCCCGAAAATCGAAAGGAGCGTTCCCGAAAATCGAAAGGAGCGTTCCCGAAAATCAAAAGCTCCGACAATTTTACGGAATCAGCGCTAAAACTTTGGGAAAATGAGAGAAAGATCGGCGGAAAAGCGTGAAAATTATTGGGATTTCTGCATTTCTGCTTTTTAGAAAAGAACACCCGTTGATATCGATCTTGCCGAGACAATTCAAATGCTAGGCTCGTTTTTGGAGTTCTGAGGACCAAATTTTCGACAATAATGAGATTTTTTGTGGAAATAGCAAAAAAATGCGCATAAAAAACAGCTCAAAATTAAGATTACGAGCAGTTTTCCAACGACGTCGCCAGCGGAGATGCGTGAGTAGTTTGACAGAGCGCGCTTGCTTTTACTCACACATTTTGCCCAAGAAAATACGAACTGATGAGAAAATTAACCTTCGGGGTACAGCTTTAGAGCGATTTGACGAACAAAATTAGAATTTTATTAAAAGTGCGGCTTTAACATTTTTTTGTGCAGTTGAAGTAGTGGAGAAAGAATCAATATTCGTCGGGATCGCAACGCTCATAGACACGTTGATACACGAGATTTCCGTTGATGTAGTCGTCCAAATAAAGGTGTCCGTTGACAATCGATCGCTCGATTCGAAATATCAAGTTTTGCTGCCATTCGCAGAAGTCCACCGTAAGGATCTTGTTGTCCGACACAAAAGTTACGCAATTAGAAAACGAATAATCGAACGGGGTCTTCATGTTAAGGTTCAACTTGAACAAGAAGTCGTGGCTCAAGGTGTTGCAGGACTTCTTATATTCGTATGGCGAGATCACAATGTATGGGGGATATCGACCTCGTTGACTACGGACAAAGTCATCTCGGTTTCCTTGGACAATCCGCCAGAAACCAGCAATCGCATTTTCAATCCTTTCTGGCTCTTCTATCAGTTGAAGCTCTCGGACCTTTGTATTCAGTTCTTTATTGACGACTTCCAGGTGGTCTATCTTCCTCTGTAAGTTGCGATGGTCTAGCACTGAGCACGTCGCCCGCTCCTTCTTTAACTCTTCAACGTCCATCCGATTGCTATTCGCATTATCCTTGGTCAACGCGCCCGTCGTCTTCTCATAGATCCGAGTGCACGTGATTCCGAATCTCGTATGGATCATGTGGAGTCTTCCGTCCTTCACATATCTCTTCTCCCTCGAATACTCCTCTCCGTCGGCTTGATTGAAGTAGATTGTAATCATACAGTTCTCCTCGATTACAGTAGTTTGAGTATAGGTATTCGAACAGTTCGGCACTCCGAGTTGGGCCTTGATGTCCGAGTACTTCTTGCTTCCCACGAAAATACATCTCGTCAAATAGGTTCCGTCGAAATCGAAGGACGGCTGTCCCAACTCGAAGACGATATCGTCGATGTCGTCCACTTTCAGATGAGTCCGACGAGCCTCGAGGTACTCCTCCATGTTCACCGACGATGTTATATTCCATCGACCCACGATTGCGCGCAAGATTGCCTGCTCTTCATGTTCCTGCAATGATTGAAATTAACTCGAATCACTTCATCATTAAATTAATTTACCTTCTCGCTGAGAGCAAGTGCAGATAAACTTTCTTCAAATGTAGAGGTGGGGGTCACGCTTCTGGAGTCATCCGTCAATCGGCTGAAACTTGAGGCGATGCTTCGTCCGTCGTCAGACATCTTAGCTTAGCTATAGTATTTTTTATCTGTAAAAGCTCACTACAGTTGATAATAAAAGAAGAAAGATACAAAAGGGGCGAGAAACATTAGAGACGATCATGTGTTGTGTTGTATTCTCACAGCATTGCAGGCAGTCTGCACTCTCGTCGATTTCCCGCTCTTTCCTTTCCGTTGACCTGTCTCTCTTTGTCTGCGTGGTCTCTATTGAATCACTCTCTCGCCTGGAGACCGTGTGTACTCCAGCCGAGGACCTCACAGCTCGGTTGACCTGGCCTGCCGGGACAATAGAGATAATGAGAGTGTGGGTCCGAGCAGATGGGAATAGAGAATGAAAGAAGGAGAATCACATTTGTTAATTCGGAATAATTTATTCGGGAGCTCTATCATAGATCGCGCGCCACGGCGGCCAAAAACGTAGAAAGGGGCGTGGCCTAGCGTGCACGGTTTATCACCATTTTGGCGCGAAATTCGAAATTTAACCTCATTTTTCATGTTTTCGTCAAAAATTACCCAAATTTTGTACGATTTCGACGATGTAATTGCATAACTTTGTTAAACTAATCATCGCGCGCACTTTTTGAGCTTAAAACGAGCAGGTTTCATTCAGAAATGAATCAATTGATGCGATTTTCAAGTTTTGTGCTGAAAATGCGCGAATTTCAGTCATTCGCCGATACTTTTTGCCGTTTGAACGCTTAAAATACTTGTATTAAAGTGCTTAATCACTTCCGACACTCACTTCGTCTCAAAACTATCCAGATCGGTCGGTATGAACATTCCGAAATTGCGGCGGCGATTGGCCGCGGAGGGCGTATTTCTAAATATGCCAAAAACGTCTCAAACGCGGCGTTTTCACGAAAATTTCGATGTTTTCTCTCTTTAATGTCTCTTCTTTCGTCGATATCAAACACAAAAATATCGGAAAAGTGCTGGAATTGCGGCAATTTTCAGAAAACGCGTCTCAGATTAGGCCACGCCCCTTTCTACACTTTTGGTCGCCGTGCGATCGTCTCGCAAGCAGCACCATTCATGCAATTGACAATGTTCAGCCGTCCATTCTCCACAAACTGCTCGATCCTCATGAAATCATGGTCGACAAACGTCCATTTGAGATGAGTATGAACTTATCCTCGTCCTCCACGTCATCCTCATTCATTTCAACCATTTCCGCAAAGAAGTCCAATTGTTTCTCAGCCATTTTAGCCCAGAAAAGCAAACAAGAGGTTGTGTTGCATGAGAAGCGCGAAAATGAGAGCCTGAACTAGAGGGACCAGTCTCGCAGCTCGTGTTGGCATGACCTCGTGTTAGGACGGACCCGTTGGAGTGTGTGGCAATGAAAAGGGTTGTAGCAAAAAAAAAAGAAGTGTTTATTGAAATTGAAGACTATGTCAAGCCAATTGTCCCTATTGCTTCATCTTCCGCACCATGATCGTGATCATTTCCGAGCGCAGCCACTCCACCTCCGCCTGCAACGTCTTCTCCAGTGCCGTCTTCGCCACATCCGTCTTTCCGTGCGCATCCAACCGTTTGTAGATCCTAACCGTGTTGATTCCGAACCGCTTGGTAACTGCTTGAAGCTGTCCGTCGACGACACATTCTTCTTGTCGCATGTACTCCTCTCCATCGCTAATGTCCACGTAGACAAAATGCAAACAGTTGTTCTCGATTTCGACCTTCTCATAGTAAGGTTTGTATAATTTTCGCTCTCCGAGCACCATCACTTCTCGTTGATACGTTTTTCCAGCCAGTTTCGTGTACATTGTCACTTCGTTTCCATTGAATTCGTAAAATTTGTCGCCCATTTGATCGACGAGGTTGTCAATTTCAGAGCCAAACTTGCACTTTTGGTAGAACTCGTCCAGGTTTTTCGAGGAGACCATTCTCCAACCGCCTACAATCGCTTGCTGGATCGGTACTTGTGTCTGAACAAAAGTTGGTGTTTTAGTGAAGAGATGATAAAGAGGTTACCTTAGTCCTGGCCATCGACTCGCTTATTTGAATAAAAAGATCGACGACGGATAAAGCAATTAGGGAATAGAAGAAAAGCAATTTCAATTTGGTGGTGACAGAGACGTTTCTCGATGGAACAATGAAGACCGGAACATCGAACAAATCGGCTTCTTCTAAAAGCACAGAATCCTCAGATTCAATTCTCTCGTCTCCACTGTCTGAAACGTATTCGAAGCTGGACTCGTCGAGAAGGTTGAGCAGAGCCATTTTGGAGAGCAGAAGACACAGTGAAGAATAAGAATATATACGTGGCAGGGGCCACCTTTATGTACCCTTCCCCGATGTCGCCCAAATTGCTCTTGTTTCTAGCGAACCTCTTCAATCGCGCACACACTCTCTCTCTCTCTCTCTCTCTCTCTCTCTCTCTCTCTCTCTCCCTCTTTCCCTCATTCCCTCATTCCCTCTATCTGAGGCATTGGCTGTCAGATTTCCTGGGAAACGATACAACAAAGAGTCATCATTATTTCTGTGCGATCTGTGAAGGATCTGACGGATATTATAGACACAAAACTGCATTTATTGACGGATCCAGAAACTATGCAACTAGAAAAAGGCTATCAATTAGCCAGAACGTTTGAACAGATAGATGAGTACTCGTCTCAAATAATCGATGAACCTGACAATCATGGATTCCTCGACCTTCCGGTACGTGAACTCCATTGCAGCTCCGCTCAAATGTTCCACAACCATAACGAGTTGTCCCTCGTTGTTCACACTTCTCTTGTGAGTCTCCACGATCAGGTCCCCCTTGCTAAACTTCGTGATCACCTCCAACTCCGCGTCAATCTCGATCGTCTTTGACCAACCGTCCTTACAGAACGTGGATCCAATCTCCATTGTGGGCACCGAATGGCTCGCAAGGTGCCAGTAGTAGAAGTAAGTATCGGTGAAGTTGTTTCCGTTGAATTCGATCTTCTGTTGACCGGACAAACTCCTCAATAGACCATTGTTTGAATATTCAGGCGAGTCCAAATGGACTTTGTGGGAGTGCAAAAACTCCCATCTGCCGGACATCCTTGCCTTCAACTTCGCGAGTCTCTCCTGTCTCATCTTCTCGAACACATCACTGTGCTCCGTTTCCATAAGTGTCCGAATCGTATGCTCATTGACGGGCAGGCTTGCCTCTTTCAATCGCTTGATCCACGTGTCCATACTGGGCTCCTCCGTCACTTCCTTCATCTCCTTGATCTCTATGATCTCTGCTGTCTTCGGCTTCTGCATACTCGCCTTGAAGTCCGCGATGGCGTATGAGCCGAGCAGAGCGCCAAGGACGATGAACAGCACGTTCCTGAGCAGCTCCGCTTTCCCGAAAGAGGCGAATGCCCTCTTCATCGGAATCTTGACTTTCTTTTTCGTCTTCAGCCTTCTCTTCTCCAGCTCCTCGTCCAGGCAGTCGTAGCTTGACATATCGAGCTCACCCTCCGACATTTCAATCTGCAAGAAATCTACAATAATGGTGTAGAGAACACAGAAAAGATGCGTATGAGGAAGGAGAACGGAAAGGCCGCACTCGACGAGAAGAGAAGAGACGAGACAAACGAACGAACGAACGAACGAAGGAAAGAGGTCCCGGGAACATTTGGTGTGCCAGGGGGGTCGGCACACCCTTTCTCTTCTCTCTCCTCTCTTCATTTCTCCACTATTTTCCAAACGTTTCCCATCTGTTTGATCAGAATCCGAGCACCCCGCGTGAGGTCACCCACGTTCTCGGCACTCTAATGGCGGCATCGACTTAATAACGTCTTCTCGAGATGAATGGGGTTGGGGTCGCGAGCGAGACGAATTCGGAGTCGTGGGGGATCGGACAGAGCATTATTGTCAACGAGTTCCAAACCAGAGATGTTGGGAATAAAAGCTTTACTCTACGGAACACGGAACACGGAAAACGGAAATTTTTTTTTTACGGAACACGGAACACGGAAAACGGAAAAAACTTATTTCTACGGAACACGGAAATTTTTTTGTTACGGAACACGGAACACGGAAAAAATATTGAAAAAAAACGCGGAACACGGAAAACGGAACACGGAATTCCCAACATCTCTGTTCCAAACCATCCTTTGTGTGTGTGCATAGAGAAATCAAGATCAGGTACTCAACGTACGTGACGAGATGATGATTTGGTTCAGGGAATCAAGAGTGAAGAACAACATTGGAAATCTGGTAAAAAACCTGCAATTCTCCCATCCGTGATGGATAACTAACAAGTATATGGTTCATGTAACATTCCTCACAATCACCATTCTACTCTATTATAGGGGCACCGCACAGAAACGGCGCTCTGTTGAGAAACTCTTTTTGCAGTGCAAATTGAGCGACCTCGGGGCCGAGTTTGAAGAGTTAGGCCACATTTTCAGTGGAAAATTACTTCGCGGCCTAGGAATTCGCCCTTTCTGTCCGGTGCCCCAATAATATATGCATTGTTACATTTCCGCTACTGTTTGTTCAACTAAACAACTGACATTGCATAGTCATTCTTCCCTGTTTGCAAAATCTTAGTGCTCAAAATTGAATTTGTTTTTGGACGATTTCATTTCAGATTTTTTCCTACTGGCGGCCTCGATTTAGGTACAAAACCTGAAAATGCAGTGGTTGCATCGAATTCACCCCTTTTCTTATCAGTACGGGCGAGAGAAGCGACACTGTTATCAGACGTCGAATATATGTATTAGGGAATAAAGTAAATATATATTATCGTTGATTTGTTTTAGATATCCCAGAAAAAGCACAGTCAAAGCACGAATCATTGTGATAAAACATATGTGAAAAGTATCAAAGCAAGTTGGGTAAGGATGAAGATGTTAGCAAAGCAGTTCTGATTCCGTCCGTCAGTAGTCTCCTCTCCACTTCATAATCGCCATTTCGCGTTCGAGCATCCTCAGCTCCGCACGAAGCTCGTCGCGTTCCTTCCGAATCTTCAAATTCTCCGCGTTTCTGGCCTTCTCGGCTTGAACCCGCTCGAAGATCCGTTCGCACTTGATGCCGTAGCGCGTGAGCACAATGTGCAACAGTCCGTCCTTCACAAAGCGTGTCTGCCGCGCGTACTCCTCACCGGGCTTCGTGTAGAACACCTCGATCAGAACGTTATTCTCGACGAACGCCTCCGAGGTCCCGACTTTGATCACTCTGCACGAGTACTTCCTGTTGGGCATCTGCTGGTGGTGCGTCAGTTGGCCGGCTCGGTTGTATCCGAAGTGCACGTGGGCCATTTGGAAGATGACGTCGGAGAGGTCGCTCCAGTCGGCGATGTGCTCTCGGCAGCGCGCGAGGTACTGCGGCACGTTCGTCGAAGCGATCATCTTCCACTGCCCGACGATCGCCTTGAGGATCGGAGCTCTGTCGGTTTCCGCCTCCGCATTCTCCTTTCTCGCTGCGTCTTTGTACTGCTGCACGGCCTTTCTTAGTTTCTCGTTCTCTTCAGTGATCCGAGCGTTGATTTCACGAAGTTTGGTGAGCTCAGCTTCCAGTTCGAATGTCTCCTGGAACATTGGCAATAGCTATTGCAATTGAAACAATTGGCGAGCTTACCATTTCTCGATCCTTCATCTGCTTTTCGTGTTCTTTGTCTTCGACTGACAAATCTTCCATTTTCTTGATGGTATTGTTGAGTTCGTCGGTGCTCTCCAGCTCCGAAACAGTCTGAAAAAGTTCGATAAGAACAAATTCGAATAAAAATCAATACTCACGGCGTCTCTAACAGCCAAATACTTTTTGAGAGTTGCTGCCGGCATTTCATGAACACTTGAGACGCTGGAAAAGCTGGAGGCACTAGAAGAGCTGCTCGTGAGCTCGAAATCCGACAGATTGTTGAGCTCCGACACTTCGGAGGCGGAATCGTTCGACATTTCAGAGCCCAAAGTTCTGAAAAAAGAAAAATCGTATAGCTGGTGGTAGATAGAAAAACAAAAGGAATGATCGCACAAAAAGTTGATGGGAAAGAGAAGCGGCCTGTCGATGACTCATTCGGTCTGTGGTCTCTCGAAGGAGCACAGTGTCTAGTCGGTCCTTGCCGGACCCTTATCGACCAGCCGTTTGCGGTCTCTCTCTCTCGCTGCGGAGACGGCTAGAAGGCGCGAGAGTGTGTTTTGCCCGTATCTGGCTGGCAATTGGAGCGCGGATTTGCAAGAACAACGTTGGAAATAGAAAAAATATATCTGAAAAACAGTTTTTCAGCCGTCAAACATCTGTTCTCAAGGTGTTACAGCCAGTGAGCGCCGAAAAAAGTTCAGATATTCAATTCGGAACTCGGAAGAATCCGTTTTACACATACACAACAAGAAGATCTTTTTCCCAGGTTTTATTTTAAAAAGCAAATAAGATGAACACAATTATTCGGAAACCTTCTCGTAGATGCGCTTGCAAGTGATTCCCTTCTCCAAGTTCAGCACTCTGAGCACGCCGTCCTTTATGAACATCTTGCTTCTCGACACCTCCTCCTCGAGAACATCGAACACGATGCTCACCACACTTTCTCCCTCGATGTAGGTCAAGATGGTCCGATTGCAGCCGTCCGAGATTCGAGTTCCGAGGATCTGGGTGCGGCTGACCTGTTTGACGCCGGTGATCGAGGTGAACTGATCGTCCTCCAGCATGTACTTGACGGTCTTGTGCTTCCAATCGAGCGCTTGCTCTTTGTCCGGCACGTTTACGCTCAGAAACTCGTCAAGGTTGATCGATGCGACCATCTTCCACTCGCCGACAATCTGCGTTCTGATATTTTCCTTTCCCTTTGGCTGTTTTTCGGAAAGTTTCCAATCGGGAAGCGTGAAGAAGTCGTGCAACGGAGGGCAACCTAAACCTGATAAATAGACGGACAACTCGACCGTTTTCAACGTACCAAGATCGCTGAACAATTTTCGTTGCTCCATCTCGCTCTCCAGATACTCATTCTTCGTTTGCATCTCTTCCAGTTGCTCGGTCAGACTCGCCACTTTCTTCTTCAACAAATCCACTTCCTCGTTGTCATTTCTCTTGTAAATTCTGGTGCAATTCATGCCGAATCGTTTGTGGATTACATGAAGAAGTCCTCCTTTTACGAATCGCTTCTCTCGCATGAACTCTTCCCCATTCGAACTGAAGAAGAAGACGGTCTTGAGGCAGTTGTTCTCGATGCGCGAAACATGATAGTATCCGTTCAGTTCGAAGCGTTTTCCCAGTGTGATCGTGTCATTGCGGCATTCCTGGCGGCATTCCTTGCTCTGCACCACTTCTATGATCTTTATGCGGTCTCCGATGACTTCAAATTGCGGCTCTCCCATCAGGAACATGATTCGTTCCTTGATAGTCGGGTTCGGACGTCTTGCCAAGTACTCGTTCACGTTCACCGACTCCACAAGCTTCCACTTTCCGTTAATCGACTTTTGAATCGGAACTTCTGCACGTTTCTCCACGTGCTTTTGTTGATTTTCCGATTGAGATTTCACATCACTCTCGAGTTGCAACAACGTCTAAATGATGTGCTCATTGGAAAGTCACTGATGGATTCTTACATATGCCTGAGCGTTGCTCGTCATTTTGACCTCCGAGAGTTTAATGTTGATTTCCAACAATTGTTGCTTGATATCTTCGATCTCGCTGACGGTGTTCTGAAGAGAAATGTATATTATAAAGCTGAAAAGCTGAAAAGAGCTCACCTTTTCAAGTCCTCCGGAGACCACTTCTTCTTTGTAGCACATGTCGAAGCTCGAAACTGATCCAAGATCGTCGTCCGACATTGGAGCGTCTGAAAATTGGAAAATTGAGAGTCGAAATCGAAAACACGGCTGTAGAAGAACGACTGATAAGCGCGCGCGATGCCGTCTCTCCGTCTGTCGTCTCCCGAAAAAGCCCAGTGTCTTTTTCTCTTTTGAAGCTGGGGGTGTCATGTGTACAAATATATATATATATGGGAATGCCGAAAACCCTCCCTTTTCTTTTTGCTAACACGAATGCTACGGGGGTTGTTGGTCAGGTGATTAGAGGGTGATAAGAGAATTATATTATAGAGAAGGTTACAAAGTGTATTTTCAAAATTACTGGGTCCGAAAATGTACTCTATTCACTCCGTATTGACTTTGCGCAGTTGCAGCGCAGCCAATTCAGACGAGCGACTTTGACGCAAAATTTAAACTTCGGTTCAGAACGCCGTGTCAACTTCAGTGTGCCTACATTAGGAGCCGGTTATTCACAGATTCGTACCAGTTTTTGAACATGTGTAAACCGGTTAGCCAAGCAAATTTTACCGGTTAAGAACACAGAACACGTGCGTGGAATGATCGTGGAGCGCCTGGAAAATTGAGTGGAACCAGCTGCCGTCGACGGAGTCGTTGGCGGCGAGAAAAAGAGGACGAAGAGTGACGGCGCCGCGTGTTTCTCTGAAAAAATGCTTTCTTTCAGGAGGGAAAAGCTACGAAAGTGGCCTAGTCTCTGTGTTTGCCCAGGAAAACTGCACGAAAACTGATAAAAGAGCGACAAAATATCAAAAAACCCATCAAAAAGTGCAACTGTCGTGGTTTTCCAAGGAAAACACAAACAAAAATTGCAGATATTAGTGATTCCTTAATAAAAAACTTTTTCCGGGGAAGAAAAACGTGCCGAAGTGATAAAGTCAACCGGATTTATGAGAGACACCGAAAACAAACTGGTCGGAAATTGATTGATAGCCGAAACGCCATAAAAAGTCGGTTTTCACAGTTCTTCCGGAAAATCATGGAAGTCAAAAAATTACCACTTCTGGCACAAATCACTTGCAGAAGTGCAAAAGGTCTATCGGAGAACAAATTCCGAAAAAAAATCGGGGAAATCGAGCGGGTACAAGCGCCGAGCAGCACTCCGGGCACAGGATTTTCATTGAGTTTCCGCCGAGGCCCGAAGAAGTCGTTGTCTCGTCGTTCGAATTGCCTGTAAAACGAAAAAGACTTACTTTGCCTTTTCTGGGGGTCTTGTCCGTCGATAAATTCCACATTTCGCCTAAAAATTCCGTCGTTTTCCGCACTGTCAACGAGGCAAAAAGCGCCGGGATCGGGAAAAAGAGGGGGAGGGATTACGCCGTCTGCGCCTCTCTCTCGCCGGACAAAAAGGAGCGTCGTCCCGAACGGGCGCCGCGCGCGAGTCAGAAGCTAGTAGATCGTCTGACTCGTCTTTTTCCAAATGCTCTCATTGAGCGAAAACCGATAAAGGCCCCTAACAAACTCCCCAAGTACGTTGTGGTCCTTCGACGAAGGTTCTTGCCACCAATGGACCCCAGGCTCGCCGATGTCTCTTGCAGATTTTCAGACCGACGCTCAACTCGACAATATTCACTCATAGTTAAGTTCACAAACTTGTATACAACTTTATTAGAAAGATAATTTGGTATTTGGAATACAGAAACAAAAGGAAACAACGAGATCACAAAAAAAACAGGGTACAACAATACACGTGTTCAGAAAGCGACTTTCTCGTAGAACCGCACGCAGCTGATCGATCCTCTCTTATGGGTCACCTCCAGATTTCCCATCGCATTCACGCGCATCTCGCATCGGAAAACTTCGGCGCCGGTGGCAGTGTACGTCTGTTTGGTGACGAGTTTGTTGTCCTGGATGAAGACGAGCGAGGTGGTTCCGTCTTTGAAATCGTGAAGTTTCTCCAGGACTTGCTTGAAGTCGGATTTGAACAAGTGACAAGGTGTGGCGCTGAACACGTCTCCGTCGAATTTGTAGGATTTGGTGTAGTTGGAGCAGACATGCGGATCGGCGGGGCACGTGTAGTCCGTGTAGACGAACTTGAGTCTCCAGGTGCCCGTGATCGCCGCTTTCACTCGATTCTTCCGTTCGAGAATGGAAGGATTGGGGAGAAGTGGAATGTGACACACTTTCAATCGCATCTTCTCCAGTTGCGCCGACATACTGATCACCTTCGCCCGCAGCTCATTTCTCTCCTTCACCACGTCCTTCGTGTTCAGATCCACTCGCTCATAAATCCGTGTGCACGTGATTCCGAACCTCTGGTCGACCACGAAAAGCCGTCCGTCCCGCACAAACTTCTCGGCTCTCGAGTACTCCTCGCCGCTCGTCTTGTTCAGAAAAACCGTCTTGAGACGGTTCTCCTCGATCCTTGTCACCTCTTGGTAGATCATCTGATCCAGAGTCTTTCCGATTTCGATCGTCTGTCGGTGGTAGATCTTGTCGGCCACTTGGGTGTAGCCGGTCAGGACGTTCCCGTCGAATCGGAAGTGGAGTTGTCCCATCTGGAAGACGATGTCGTCCAGGTCCCCGCAGTTGAGATGCTCTCGACGTTTCTGCGCGTACTCCTCCGAATTGATCGACGAAACTATCTTCCAGACTCCGCAGATGGCCTCCGTGATGGGTTTCTCTGGCTCCGAACTGAATCGGCGCATTTTCAAGCCCTCATTCTCGACCGTCAGGTCCGAGATCTTTTGAGTAAGCCGCGCGACTTGTCTTTGAGCTGACGAGATGATCTGCAAATATAGATTATTTACAATTAGTTGTTGGTAATTCAAATTTACCTCCAGACTCATCGACTTCTCACGATTCAGCTTTCTAACCAGATTTGCGGCGGCCTCCAACATGCTTTCAAGGGAAAGTTTCTGAAAAAAGTACAATATTAATGAGTTGGAAGAGAAGAGAAGAGAAGAAAGAAAAGAAGAAGAAGAAAGACTGAACGAATGAGCAGAGGGAACCGTGTGTTCTCTTCTCTTCCAACCTCGTCATAATTCGTCGGCGCGCTAACCTGAACGCAAACGTGGCAGTCTGCGTCTCCGAGAAGAGCATGCTGTCTCGGCAGAGTGCCTCTTTGGGAAACTGCCTGGCCAGACAAGATAGGATAGGGAAGATCGATATAGGGCACTGAGAATTGGAACAGAGTATCGGGACACAACAGACATAGTGGATAACGTGGCAGAAGTCAGAGCCGGAGCACCAAAGCTCAACTTATTACGTTCGATGCAGAACTGTCAAAACTTCCTTCTCACTGATATCGTAGTCGGGTTTGGAAAAGGAAGGCATGGACCGAGAGAACCGCGTGTCCAATCTTTTCCAGAGGGATTTAGTAAGTCAACGCTCTGATTGGGTTTCAAAAACACTTTATGGTTATTGAACAGTTACTTAACAGAAGGAAAATGAGGGATATAAAAGCAACTCACAGGAACAATAGACTGGGTGAAGATTGTCAAATTATCAGATGAATCAGTTACCGAGTGACGATGTCAGCATCTTCGTCCTCGTCGACAGCGACAACAGACGGATTTAGGATGGACGGAGCAAAGACTGGGAAAGCAGGAAGAGCAAGAGTCGGCAGCATTGGGAACGTCCACGGAGCAATGAGTGGGAAGATGAACGGGAGCATCATCGGTACAAGTGGCAGTGATCCGATCGGTGCAGCAATGGGTGGAGTGGAGGTTGGAGGAGAAGAAGAAGAAGAAGAAGAGGAAGTGGTCCCATTGTCGGATGAGACGCTGGCCGGTGTGGAAGTGGCACGGAGATGTTCGCAGGTGATTCGGAGAACGGTCAGACGCTCTAGTTTCCGCCTGAAACACATTACGGTCTCAATGGGAATGCATAAGTATACACTTACCGTTGTTGGTTCGTTCCCAACTTATTCTCCAGAATGAACGCTTTCAGAGCATCCATCCCGAGACCGAGTTTATCCCGACGCAATTGTTCCTTCTTGGCATTCGACAGCTTCCTGTCTTGCTTGATCGGCCCAACTTCATCAGAGGTCGCCGCAGACGAGAGGACCGGGTTGAACGGTTTTCCCGTCACTGTCTCCACTGCTCGGGCCACGGTGTCTTCCATTCTGAAAACGAGAAATGAAATTGGAAATATAAAAGTTAAAACTTACGACATGCGATCCGTGCACTTCATAATATACCGCATCTCTTCATAGAGAGAGTTGGCTTCTTCTCTCCTTTTACTTTCCAGAATAGACTTGGAAGAGGTTGAGTATGCTGTTGGAGGTGGCATGATAATAGTTAGAATCGAATTAAAAAAGAGTTAAAAGATGAATTAGTTGAGAAGAAGACGTGAGCCACCTTCTGCGACGACGACAAATCGTTGAATGACTGTACTCCGTTCCGACTCCACCTCCTCTTCCAAATTCCACGAAACACCATGGGAAAATGCTCGGATCGTGCATTTCAGACGGTCTCCCACGCTTACAACCGCTCCTCCCAAGAAGTTCTCACGGTCCTCTCGCACGCGGGGACCGTCTACACCTCCCGGCGGACCATCCTGGGAAAATGAGAGGCGGGAGGTTGACTCAAAATATAACTCGTAGTCGAGGGAACGGAGATCATTTTGGTATCAGTGAACTGCTTTCTCTTATCACTTTCTAAACGTTTACATATACAGGGTGGTCCACCGTTACCCGTACAAAATAAAAGTTGTGTAATTCCAAAACAAGACGTCAGAAAGACATGAGACTTAACACAACGTTTATTAAGGTGTTTGACGATATTTTAGAAGCACCGGCCAGCGTCGTATTCTATTTGTTCCGTGAGTTTAGAAGCTGATAATTTCAAACCGTTTCAAAATGATCTCCCTTGCTTCCACTACGAGTTATATTTTGAGTCAACCTCCCCCCTCTCATTTTCCCAGGATGGTCCGCCGGGAGGTGTAGACGGTCCCCGCGTGCGAGAGGACCGTGAGAACTTCTTGGGAGGAGCGGTTGTAAGCGTGGGAGACCGTCTGAAATGCACGATCCGAGCATTTTCCCATGGTGTTTCGTGGAATTTGGAAGAGGAGGTGGAGTCGGAACGGAGTACAGTCATTCAACGATTTGTCGTCGTCGCAGAAGGTGGCTCACGTCTTCTTCTCAACTAATTCATCTTTTAACTCTTTTTTAATTCGATTCTAACTATTATCATGCCACCTCCAACTGCATACTCCACATCTGCCAAGTCCATTCTGGAGAGTAAAAGGAGAGAAGAAGCCAATGCTCTCTATGAAGAGATGCGGTATTTAATGAAGTGCACGGATCGCATGTCGTAAGTTTTAACATTTATAATTCCAATTTAATTTCTCGTTTTCAGAATGGAAGACACCGTGGCCCGAGCAGTGGAGACAGTGACGGGAAAACCGTTCAACCCGGCCCTCTCTTCTGCGACGACCTCTGATGAAGTTGGGCCTATCAAACAGGACAGGAAGCTGTCGAATTCCAGGAAGGAGCAACTGCGTCGGGATAAACTCGGTCTCGGGATGGATGCTCTCAAAGCGTTCATTCTGGAGAATAAGTTGGGAACGAACCAACAACGGTAAGTGTATACTTATGCATTCCCATTGAGACCGTATTGTGTTTCAGGCGGAAACTAGAGCGTCTGACCGTTCTCCGAATCACTTGTGAATGCCTCCGTGCCACTTCCACACCGGCCAGCGTCTCATCCGACAATGGGACCACTTCCTCTTCTTCTTCTTCTTCTTCTCCTCCAACCTCCACTCCACCCATTGCTGCACCGATCGGATCACTGCCACTTGTACCGATGATGCTCCCGTTCATCTTCCCACTCATTGCTCCGTGGACGTTCCCAATGCTGCCGACTCTTGCTCTTCCTGCTTTCCCAGTCTCTGCTCCGTCCATCGTAGATCCGTCTGTTGTCGCTGTCGACGAGGACGAAGATGCTGACATCGTCACTCGGTAACTGATTCCGGATCCTAATTCATCTGATAATTTGACAATCTTAACCCAGTCTATTGTTCCTGTGAGTTGCTTCCCTCATTTTCCTTCTGTTAAGTAACTGTTCAATAGTCATAAAGTTTTTTTGCAAACCGAATCAGAGCGTTGACTTACTAAATTCCTCTGGGAACGATTGGTTTTCTTGACCATCCCTTCCTTTTCCAAACTCGTCTACGATGTCAGTGAGAAGGAAGTTTTGACAGTTCTGCATCGAACGTAATAAGTGGGGCTTTGGGGCTCCGGCTCTGACTTCTGCTACATTATCCGCTATGTCTGTTGTGTCCCGATACTCTGTTCCAATTCTCAGCGCCTCCTATTATTCCGGCGGACTACCATGGGAAAATGAAGGGGATGGGGGTCGATGGCTCGAAGCAAGGGAGATCATTTTGGTATCAATAAACAGTTTGAACTAATCCGCTTCTAAACTTGTATTCTATTTGTTCCGTGAAGCATATTTAACGTTTAGCAGAAGATGGCTACTTATGTAATTGATTATTATTATTATTATTATTTATTTACGTTTTTAACGTGAAGATTATTAGAGAAGAGAGAGAATGTGGAGAGAGAAGAAGTTGTGTCTTAGTTTAGATTTTGGAGTCTTCCATCGGTAAACTATAGACGGATTCGGGAAGGTGTCGAAGTTTTTTTGAAGCTTCGAACACTTCAATGGGACCACAAAGTGATGGCACAGAGTTCACTGACTTTCTAGAAGAATCCTCTGCTTCACTTTGCGCTTAAATCGAGTGATCCTACAACAAGGTCACATGTTGATGCTCTTTAAACAGAAAGTAAGTTAAGAATTCATAAAAGCACATTAACCACGACGATCCACTTGCAGAATTCTGAAGTCGGCCTCTCTGTACTCGACGATGTACACATCCGCCAGGTCTTTCTCTCCGTCCTCTTCCGTTCCGATCTCCACTCGAATTCGGACTCCTTCGACGCGCCGCTCCTCCACAAAAGACGCTTCGAGAACACGTTCAATGATCCATTTGTTGGCAATCTCGAGGACCGCTTCCACTGAAATGGATATTGTCGAACATAAGATAACGTGAACTGAACTAACAGTTGCTCAACTCTCGGCTCTCTCCATTGGCCCGATAGAGAACGGTTCCCCAGAAGAAATCGCCGATTTCCTCCAGATTCTGGTTGTTGACCGCTTCTTGGAGGAGTTTGATAAAGTCCTCGGCGACCTGGATGAGATGCTCCGCCGAAATTGGAACTATGAGAATACAGAGAAAGAGTAGGAGTAGAAGAAGAAGGGAACGCATTCGTTTTTATTATTTGAAGTTTAACAGACAATATTGTTGATTTGGGGGACACGTGGAACAAGTGAAAACAAGAAGAGGGAGTGACATGTGTTCGGAGAAATGTTTTCGATAATAAAGCACTTTGGCGAGATCGTTTGCGTTTGCATAATCGCTATTGAGCAAATGTGTTTCAGATTCTGTTCTTCTTTGATAGTTTTTCCAGACAAAACTGATAATTAATGGAGATGCGGTCAGCAATTGGATGCAAAATGAGAAAAGCGAGCAGGTGGAGCGAACAATCGGATGATGATATTAGTCTAGAGGGAGAACCGGAATCTACTGGGTGCACAGAAAAAGTGAAGGAAAAACTTGTCTGGAGAAAAAGGGCTATTCAGTGAACTATTCCATCAAGGAGACGATTTCATCGAAGCGCCGGCGATCGGATTTCTTCACGACGTTCTCCTTCGACAACTGCACAACCCTCTGTTCGGAGGCGTCGTCCACGTCTTCCGAAAACCGCTGAAAAAACATCGTTTTGCAAGTCAGAAGTGCGAAAACTCACAATCTCGGGCCTGAAGGACGGCATAACCTGATGGAAGTTGATTCCATGCCAGTCGCAGCCTTTGAAATACTCTTCGTTCTTGATCTCCTCGGCTCCTCTGTTTCCGTACCCCAATCGATCTTTCGGATCCTCGGCGAGCAGCTGAAAAATGAAGCCGATTGGGTTTAGAGTGCGGTTTCACTCACCTTCGTGATCAGATCGAAAGCAGCATCGGAAACTGGGGTTTCCTCCTCCGTCGCCCTCGCCCCGGTTAACATTTGCTTGATCAACACCCCGAGAGACCACCAATCGACCGCTCGGGTGTGAGGATACCCTTTCATAATTTCCGCTGTAAAAATGAACTCATTTTCTTGGAAATTATAGCAAAGAAACTAACGAGCGACGTCCTTCGTATTCTCGGGAACCGATGTTGTACTGTCGAATGCTCCCATTCCCTCGACACAATTCCCCAAGCCTCCGATCTTTGCGTAACCATTTAGGTCCAGGAAAACGGCCTCCAACTTCAAATTATTGTGGCAGATCTTCAGATCGTGAAGGAATTGGACTCCCATCAGGACACAGGCACCATAAAATCGGGCCGAATCTGACCGGATCGGACCTTTTTCGAGACGGAGCTTGAGGAACTCGGAGGTGTATTCCATGTTGAACACAATGCTTTGAGGAGTCTCAAAACAACTGAAGATGTGGACGAGGAACGAGGCATCCGACCACGGCAACACTTCGAACATCCGCTTCTCTGTCATCGCCTCCTCTCCTTTCTTCATCACTTTGAACGTGTGGAAGCGCATCGTGGAAGAGATCTGCGCCAGAATCGATCTTCCGAACTCTCCACGTCCGATCACTTCGATGAGACGGCACATTTCGGCCGGCTCTCCGACGAGTTTTTCGCTCAACCACTGAAAACACAAGGTCTTTTTTTTAATTGGTCGATTTCAGACATGTACTCACTCGGAACGGCTTCGTGATCCCACTTGCGACGGATCTGAGCGTGATCGGTTGGTTCGAATTGTGCGCAGTAGACATCTGAAACAGAAAAAGGTAGTTTGAGTCGATTGAATAGAGAGTGGATTGGAGTTACGAAAAAGAAGTGAATCATCTGGATATTCTAGCTAGGGAAAAGAAAAAGTAAAGATGGAAATGAGTATTATCAATTCCGAAAAGCCGGCGGAACTTCTCAGATAACCCAATGCAATTGTTAGGGACCGTAGCCTAGGGAGAAACGGATATTTCGTCAATGTTGTGTAAAAAAATTGGAGAAGCTAAAACAAAGTGACGCATAGAGGTGCTAAGGGGGAACCTCGGCCGCTATTCCCCGCGTCTTACGAAACGGTAAGGCCGCCTCGCTCGAAACCAAAACATGACTCACTTTTTCGTAACTTTCTTTATCGATTCCATTTAGCTTCCTTCCTTATCCAATTTCCTCCATTTCCAACTCGAAAACAGTCCGTTCAGGTGCTCCAATGTCTTCCGATAACTGCGCTCCTGAACCGTCAATGCTCAGAGCGATAGGAACGCCGTACAGAGTGAGTATTGTGATCGTTCTTAAAATTTCAATGAAATAATTCATTCACTCAGTTTTCAGTGGCTCAAAAGAAAAATGTTCAAGGAGAGAGAGACCGGGAGCTCAGATTCTCCGAGCACGACGCCCAAGCCTGAACCCACCTCGATCAGCCAAGGAAAACAGTTCCGGCTTGATCAATTCCGTCTGGTCAGTGTCCTTGGCAGTGGCGGATACGGCAAAGTCTTGCTTTCTGAGCACACACCGTCCAAAGCCTATGTAGCGCTGAAGTTCGTTGAGAAAAGCAATATGCTGGAAAACAAAGAGTTCTTCGGACATTTGAAGATGGAGCAACGGGCGCTCCGAACTGTGGCTCACGAAAAACATCCGTTTCTGATGAACTATCACGGATGTTTCCAAACTCCGGACCACGTCATCTTCTGTCTGGAGTACTGCGGCGGCGGAGATCTGTGGCAGCGCCTCCGAAACGGTCCGATGAAGGAGAAGGACGTGCGGTTCTACGCGGCGTGCGTAACCCTCGGGTTGCAGTTCCTCCACGAGCACGGCTTCACTCATCGGGACCTCAAAAAAGAGAATATACTTCTGGACCGTCGTGGATTCGCCAAAATCTGCGATTTCGGACTGTGTGAGTATCGACCCTTTGCAAAATCCGTAATGACTTTCATCTGCGGAACACGCTGCTACATGGCTCGTAAGTTTCTTTGCGTTTTATAAAGTCTGCAAGAGAATAAGTTTCTTTTTCAGCCGAACTTCACAAAAAACAGCCGTACACTCGCGCCGTTGACTGGTGGGCCATGGGAATTCTAATTTACGAGATGATTTTCGGGAGGGCAGCATTCGGAGGGCTCAATGTGAAGGAATCGATCATCTACGACAATGTCACTTTTCCCAGAGAAGCGTACGCTTCGGAAGCAGCTTGGTTCATCATTCGAAAGGTTCGCAACTGAACAGGACCGCCAAGATCAACGGGACCGCTTTGTTTTTCAGTTGCTCACAAAAAACCCGGAAGATCGTTTGGGATACGGCGAGCGTGGAGCAGAGATGGTCAAAAATGCCGATTTCTTTCTCGATATCAAGTGGGATCAACTGCTGAACCGCACGGTCCGCCCTCCTTTCGTGCCAAAGATAGTGAGTTTGTATACTTTTAGTTCTGGAATAGAGTTGTTTCTCAGAGTGCTCCTGACGACGTGAGAAATTTCGACTCAAAGTACACTCGCCGGAGCGTCTATTTCACAGCTAAACGACAAATTCCAGAAAGTTCGCAGCACATTTATCGCCGTTTTGTTGACACTTTGGAATAATTTGTTGCTCAAACTCAAACTTTCCTGTTTCAATGTTTCCATTTCAAATCTTCCCAGTTCTTGTTGTATTCCATCTCAAACATAGGTTTTACAGTATGTCCCAGTCCAATTCTACTTTCGCATAGTCTGTCTCCTCAAACCAACTCAACGTTTCTGTCTGTCTAACTCATTCATTGTATACCCTTTCCTTCCCAGTTTCTGTTTTTACACCGGTTTACAGCCCCTTTCCCCCTAATCCCTTTTCTGAAATGTGCAGACTGGGTGGCCGCCATTGCCAGTCGTAAAATTCGCGAAAATGCCCGATTACATAGGCATCACATTTGTGCGGGGGTCAATGGGCGTGGTCTGTGCTCTTTCGAGTCGCGCACAGAGCTCATTCATTCCGTTTCCAGTCGTTTCTCTTCATTTCGCTCTTGTTCTCTATCTGAAATGATGCCAATTTCATCAATTTTCTTGCTCTTTTCTCATTCTCCATTCAATTCTCTATTCATTCTGTACCACTGAAGTCTCTAAGGACCGTCATGTACCTCTTACTATGTCCTTTCATGATTCCATATTACTTAACGTTTCCATCACATGTCAAAATGTCTTGAGACTACTTTCAAACATTTCCACATAAGGTGATTTACCAATTTTGTCAAACTTTTACGGTTTTCTCGAAACAGAAAGACGTGGCTTTCAGGGAATCGTAACAAATGAGAACTTTGATAAGTGAAGGAGATTTACGTTTTACTTTTCCACCAAATTCTATCACAAAAAGTGGCCTACCGTTTGAGAACGATTGCTCCCTGTATACCACTCCTTCCCAAACTCTATCTTCGCCTCTTCCTTTTCCGGTTTACAGCCTCTTTCCCCTTACCCCCTTTTCTGAAATGTGCAGACTGGGTGGCCGTCATTGCCAGTCGTAAAATTCGCGGAAATGCCCGAATAGTCTTCACATTTGTGCGGGGGTCAGTGGGCGTGGTCTGTGCTCTTTCGAGTCGCATACAGAGCTCATTCATTCGGCGTTTCTCTTCATTTCGCTCTTGTTCTCTATCTGAAATGATGACATTTCAATCGATTTTCTTCCTCTTCCCTCATTCTGCATTCTTGCTGAAGTCCGTTACCTCCGACTAGTCCTTTCATGATTCCATATCATTCTTGTCGGCTTTTACACCTTTTCTATCAATTTCCATTCGATTTTCGATATAACTGCGTCGTCAAACTCGTGAATCCGTCATGTACATCTGTAATCATGCACTTTTATGATCATGTACCTCTGCAACTTTGTATAACATGAATTTGAAACATTGATTTCAAAGTGTTCCTTCCAGAACAGTCAGCGAGGGACTAATCGTGAACAACAACGAGAACACCGGTCAGCAAGGACGGAAATTTTGAATTGTTCTTGTTATTGGGTGGTCACTGATTGACCGCTAAAGGTTGATGATTTGAGTGTCTAGGAATCATTTCAAATTATCAAAAAACCAAAACTTTTCTTTCGCTCTCTGAACTGTATTTCCGAACGACACTTCAAGTGTGAATCATTTTCAGTCAGACACGGCAAAACCAAACTAGAATAGCATTATTAGTCACAAAACTGTTTGATGAAACACGTTTTTGATGGGAAATGTGAACTTTTCACGTTCATTTCAGGTTTTTTGCAGTTCGAAACTTGCAGTTCGAAACTTACTCATTTCAAGCGGAATTGTTCCAGATGTTGTGTTACAGCTCTCGAAGTGATTGTCATCTCGTGTCTGATCATTTCCTCGCCTGGTTGTGTCATCAAATCATCGGGAAATGCTCTGAAATTAGGTTTTTCTGAGTTTTGGCTTTATAAATACGTTCGGTCACTCTGTTTTCATAAAACCTCGGCTTCTTCTTAGATTTCCTAACTTTTCTCCTCTTCTTCTCTTTCTGTTCCTCTCTTTCTTCCTCTCTTTATCACTATAATCAAATACTCAACTACTGTTTTTCAGATTCATCTTATCTCCTCAACAACAATTGCAATTATGTCTGCTTCCAGCTCTACCACCCAGGTCTTCGGAATCTCCCAGGCGATTAGTGTGGCCAAGCCAACCGCTCAGGATCTGAAGCTCACGAAAATGATGGTGAAGACGTTGGAAGACATGAAGAGCTTCGAGCCGAAAGAAGAAACAAAGAAGAGACAGGAGGTGATGGGCAAGCTGAATGGACTCGTGAAGAAGTGGATCGGTGCCCTGGCCGAGGTACGAATGCCGTCGGAAGAAGGATTCGTGCCAGGAGGTAAGCTTCTTGCATTCGGGTCTTTCAGACTGGGAGTGCACAGCAGTGGCGGGGACATTGACACGGTCCTGGTCGCGCCGAGTTTCGTGACCAGGGCCGATTTTTTCAGCTCATTCAAGAAGATGCTCAAGGAGGATTCGGAAGTGACGGATCTCAACGCTGTGGTGGACGCATTCGTCCCGATCATGACGCTGAAGTGCATGGGAGTGGAGGTGGACCTCCTGTTCGCCCGTCTGATGCTGAAGGAAGTGCCAGAATCCCTGGATCTTTCTGATGACGCACTGCTGGCGAACATGGACGTGAAGTGCATTCGATCGCTGAATGGAAGTCGGGTCGCTGAAAAGATTCTCAGGTTAGTTCCAAATCAACACACTTTCTGCACTGCTCTTCGTGCAATCAAAATGTGGGCCAAAAACCATGGGGTCTACTCGAATTCCCTGGGCTTCCTGGGTGGGATCACTTGGGCTATAATGGTGGCCCGTACCTGCCAGCTCTACCCCAACGCGGCGCCATCCAAAATCATCGAGAAGACGTTCTTCGTCTTCTCCACGTGGAACTGGCCGGCTCCGGTCGTTCTGGACCGTATGAGCACGGCGGCCTTTCCGTCCGTGGCTCGATTGGTCTGGAATCCGAGCGTCAACCACGCCGACTCTTACCACTTGATGCCGGTGTTGACTCCGGCGTTCCCGGAGCAAAATTCAACTTTTAATGTGTCTAAAAGCACCTTGACGGTGATTCAGGAGGAAATGAAGGCAGCTATGGCTGTCTGCACGGAGATTCAGAAAGGTAAGGCCCAGTGGGAAGAGTTGTTTGCGCCGGTGAACTTCTTCTGCCGGTACAAGCACTTCATGGTGCTTGTCATGGCGGCGGAGACTGAGGAAGAGGAGCTCACTTACTTGGGCTTCTTCGAATCGCGTCTCCGTCAGATTGTGCAGCAGTTGGAGCGGAACCCGGCGGTGACACTGGCTCACATCCATGCCCGGCAGTACAACCCGAACAAGTCGGCCAAATTTGGAGTGAGGGAGGAGAACAACCGTCGGACGTGCTGGTTTGTTGGACTTCAACTGGCTGAAAACGTCAAGTAAGTTAATAACTCTTCATATTTTTAGTAAACTTATCTCATTTTCAGATCGTTGGATTTGACGCAGGAGACGGAGCGATTCAAGAAGAACGTGGAAAAACAGGCGACGTTCGGGAAGGCGATTGGAGAGATGAATCGAGTGGAAATCGCCGCGGTCTACACGAAGAGGTCGGCTTTGGTTCAATTCGTGGCGGCAAAGGAATTGACGGTCGGGATGGATGGGAGCAAAAAGAAGAAGAGACCGCTGGGAGAGACAGCGGCCGACGGGACCGGCGGAAAGAAACCGCGTTAAAACTAATTAATAATATGTGTATTTTCTAATTTATTTTTATCGATCTCAATAAATAAGTGATTAAAAAGTTCTAGTTTCTAATCTAAGATCACAAACTGAAAGAGAGAAAAAACAAAGGAATACTAACGGAAGACCTCGCCAACTGTCTAGTACTTGGGGCGGGGGTCTTTCCCAGGGGCAGCCAATAGGATCGCACCTTCTCGGACCAGGTGTTAGACTTCAATGTAGTCTGATCAACACCCAAATGTCGATCGACCCAAACGGACTATAGAAAGAACTTCTAGAAACTTCCAGATCAGACCGGCTTCAATTTGTTTTGATTTAGAGTACTTTATACCTTTCCCATAATTCATTTGGCATTAACAGTACAATTCAAACACATTTTCTCAATTCCTACACAGATTCCCAAGAGTACACGAATTCCTGTTCCAAATTTCCTTCAAAAATCGTCGGCGACTGGGCTACGTCTCCATTCTGATTTGGTTGTTCAAAGAACTCGTCGAACAGATTCGTTGCCTGCAATTTATGCCTTTCCAGAATCTTCCGACCGCATCGCGTACCTCTTCATTTCCAACTTGACTGTAATTCCAGTTATATCCATGATTTTCAGGCGCCTCCAAGATCATTGGAAAGTGGAAAGAGCTCGGAGCTGCCGGCGGAGCATGCGTCAGCATCGGATGAAACGTTTGCGCATGATGCTGACAATCGGAATATTATAATCTCTTGTACTTTGTCTTCAACTCACCTCAAGCCGTTTGCTAGTCGAGAAAAGTCGTTTACATACTTTGCATTTCTTCTGGTCCTCTTTCCGATGGATTTTGAACACGTGGTTCCAGAGGCCGGATGAACTTTTGCACTTGAAAGGGCACTGCTGAAATAAAGAATGTTCCGGCTGGATTTGCCTAAAAACTAACCTTACAGCGAAGCGGTCTTGCTTCACACTGACCGAAGTGAACATCCTGCTCACTCTTGGTCCCAAACAGCTCATTGCAGTCTTTGCATTGATATCGTAGCTTTCCAGAATGATACTGCTTTATATGACGCTTCAAGTTGGCGTCCGTCACGAATGAGCCGGTGCAGAACTGAAAATGAACGTATTCTCAATCTATTGTATATATCCAGAGACTCACCGAACAACAAACTTTGACTCCACAATGTTTCGTCGCATCATGAGCATTCAAATCGCCGATTTTTTTGTAGCTCTTCTCGCATTTCGAGCACTGGAAGCGTCGAGTTTCGGCCATTGAATGATTGTCCTCCGGCATATCGATATGTAAATCATAAATCATCTCAAACTCGTAAAATACGTGGAGGGAGAGGGAACGAGCGGCCGTACATCATAAAAACGGTGCCAAGGCCGAACAGTACACAAACTTGGAAATCATTCATTCAGATTCAGATTCACATGTGCTACTTTTCAAAGTAATCGGCAATATCAGTAGTGGACGATTCTGTCGATGGTCCCAAGACGTGTGCATACGAAACGAACATCTTCCTCCCGGTGTTTTCATCCCTCACGGAGAGCCAGTTTGGCGGGATGGGTACTTCATCCGATAGCCATTTCTCCTCGGGTGGTCTCTGAAAAAGGGGCATAGATTTGATGGTCCCTGACGGTTACCTGAGCATCATTCTTCCGAGCGGGAGCATCTCGAGCAACATCCAATATAGTCACTCTTTCAACTTCCTTTTGCTTCCTCTTCCTCTCAATTTCCTTCGAGTGGTACTGACTTTGATGAATCTAAATTACTATTTTCACTCACTTTCATGCTTGCAGTGAAGATACCTCCAAAGTGATTCGAGTTTTGAACAACGCCGTGCAATAGTTGCATTCGATCGTCTTCTTCGTCACGTGCGTTTTCATGTGGCTCACCAGTCCGCATCTTTGCAGTGCTGTGAAACCGCACATCTGAATAGAAAAAGGGTCGCAGCGGACAAATGAAACTTCCTTAAATCACCTACATTACACTTCAAAACCTTTCGAGCACACAGTTGAGTCACATGATATTCCAAATCATTCTTTCGTCGAAACTTGTTGTGGCACAAAGAGCAGGTAACCGGCGGTTCCTGGGACATTAGACACACGCAATTGCAGACTGGCCGTTGCGCGTATGATAATTCGCATGCTGACAAAGTGGGCTTGTGTGTAATAAAAAGTTTATTGAAAGCAGCACGGACGGGGACGGGGAGAGAATAGAGGAGAAGAAGGGGTTAGGCGTGGGGAGAAGAAATCCTACTGTAATATTTGCAATATATTAATTAAGTAAATATTTGGAAAAGAGAGTTGTCGGATGTTTGAAACTGAAAACTTTACTAAAAAAATGGGTAAAGGTCTATTAGAGGGTAGTCACAGATAAATCGCGGCGGATCCATTAGGGATTGTCTATGGGTCCGTTGTGCGCCCCATTTCGCGCCCACGTGGGTCCACAACGGTGAGAATTTCACCCACACGGATCGCGCGTGGAAGTCATAGCTCATAATGGCCTCGGTTGGAATTATGGATTACTTTCAGTTTACAACTCCCATGGCATCCTTGTGCTCTCTGGAGCCAACTCCAATTCGTTGGATACAAAAGTTTTGGCATGATTTTGAGGAATATCCTGAAATTAGTTCATTTCAGAACGATCCAATTCCAAACGCCTACTTTAGGTAACGTTTTGCCATCCGTAGGCTCGGAGCAACCAGATGGACAGCGAATTTGTTCAGGAGCACGCTTGGAGACAACGGTGCACGTGAAAGTTCTCTGAAATGTTGGAAATTTTGATTTGAACCTTGTTTGCAGACGCCTACCACTTCCAATGCTGGTTTTGATGAAGGTTTCTCACAATCAGTGGAGAAATAATCGGAAATGTCATAGTGTGGGGAGGAATGAGCACACGTGCGCACCTGGAAATGTTCAATAATGCAACAATAACCTAAAGATATTCTAAAGACACCTTGATTGTCCCTAGCGAGTTAGGTTTTGCTCAAAAGTACCTTAAATGTTTTCACTCGGACTATAGTCTCATCGGGCGAAGAATAACTTGTCACTGGTGGGCTGAACACTTTCTGAGAACTTTCTGGAACTATTTGTTGCTGAGATTCGACCTGAAAAAGACTGATTTTGACTTTAGGCACCCAAAATATTGGTAATTCTAGACAACATATCTCAATTGCCATTAGAGATATCGAAACACTGTCGACTGATAAAATGTTTATCAAGACATTGTGCACATTCTATCAGTTAACAACTTTGAGATATTTTCACCGGCAACTGAGATGCATTGCATTGAATGGGCGGTATTGTCTTACCGTCTGTTGATCGAAGAAAAAAGACTCTTGTCTTTCAGCAGGTCTTTCAGCAGGTTTAAAATGGAATTTGTGCATATGTATCTGTGAATTCAACCGAATCAAATCGAAATAAGTGAATATTCAGTTACCTGAATGCACCTGTAGGTGCCCGAATTGATGCCACAAAACTTGCAAGTGACGAGCAAGTCATAACGGTTCTGGTGCGCTTTCAGACTGTTCCGGCTGTTGAACGTCTTTTCGCAGATCTGTAAAATTGCCTTCAAAAGTGTCAGAGCGTGAGCCTACCATGCACTGATATTGTTTTGTTTGTGTGTGTCTGAGCAGGACATGAGGTTTCAAACAGTGCAAACCGTGCAGGATTTCGCCGCATTCGCAACACGTGAGCTCTTTTTGAAGGGCATTGATGGGCACATTGATTCTACACCCGGTCCCACACGTCTGAAGCTTCTTTTCATGAAAAAAGGTCCTTAAAAATGGATAGCACACCTCGCATTCGGAGGGTTCAATTTTAAAATGGACCCTCAGATGAGCTTCCAGACAGTTCTCGGAATAGAGCAGTGCCTGACACTCTGTGCACTTTAGTAGTTTGTACATTTCGAAGAAGTTGTTGAGATGAAAAGGTAAACTAAACTGCTTTCACGCACACTAACGAGAAGGGGACCGCACGAGGTGATCAGCTGATGATGGCAGTCCCTAGGGGGGTAAAAGGGTAAGAGGAGGGGAAAGAGCAGATATTGTGGAGTTCATAGTTCATTCAGATCAATAAATACGAGAACATTTCATTTTGAGTTTCACTGAATTCATCGTAGAACGGATAGTGTGCAGTGTCCCAGATGTTAAAGTTGGAGGCGTCACTCTGAAAGTTAAATGTGTTTTTGAGGTGTACTTGGACTTGTTCAGGTCACCTGTGAGCTAGGAACAGGCTCCAGAGACTGATAAGTGGCTTCTGCAGCTGAACCGGCTCTTTCACTGGAAGAGCTTCCAGACAAGGACACCATCTGCAATAAGTTAGACATATCTCAGCTACCTTTGGAGATAACAAAATGTGTTCAACTAATAAAATGTATAACGTTTCTTAGTGATAATTTTATTAGTTGGCCACTTTTTTATATCTCCGCCGACAGCTGAAATAAACCGTTTTGAATGCGAGCCTCACCTCATCGCCACCACTCTTCTCTCTATGATTGCTCATGTGCTTCTCGAGCTCCCACGTCGATTGCACAGTCTTCTTGCACACCGGGCATTCGACAGATTTCAGTGGAATATCCGAATGGAACACTCTCATGTGCTCCTTGAAGCATTTGAAAGTTCTCGCGGACACATTGCAGTGCGAGCACTTGAATCCGTCGGTGTTGCCACGTGCAAAACTGTGCGATTGTAACGATGCGGTCGAGTTGAAACTTCTGTCGCAGATCTGAAAGTATCTGTGAATTGCAGTCTTAAACAGAACTTTACCTCGCATCGAATAGATTTCGCGTGTAATTTCATGTGATTCGTCAGGTTCTGTTTGTTTCGGTACGACGTTTTACACTTGTCACACCTGTATTCCCCGTACTCGGTATGCGTCTTTTTGTGAGACCAGAGACCTTGACTATTTCGAAATGTGCGTTTGCAAAACTGAAAAAGAAGGGTAATCCACTAGTGTCCATTCAAAGCAATGTATCTCAATTGTCTATAGAGATATCAGAATGTTGTCAACTGATAAAATGTGCACAATATCTTTGTGAACATTTTGTTAGTTGACAATATTTGGCTATCTCCACCTGCAGCCGAGATACATTGCTTTAAACGTAGAACTCACCTCACATTGATGCGGTTTCACATCCAAATGGATATTCATGTGACCGTACAGCTGAGCCTTCGAACAAAGCCGTTTGTCACAGATTGGACACCGATGTTCTTCTGGTGCGAACATTTTGTGGAAATCGCTGAATGAAAGTGTTGCTCTGTGCGATTAGCGCGGTTGGGGGAAGGTGAACGGCAGATGGCGTATGACTTACGGGGATATTACGCTAATGTTGGGTTTCGAGTGTAGACCTGCATTTTGGAACCAACTCACAATATTAATCAGTTTACCAATATCAAGTTGATTAACAGAACCTTCACTGCGGTTCCTCTCTCTTTTGTTTTGAGAAAGGAGAACACCGCAGTGGAGACAGTGATCGGAAGACTGTTCGATCCAATACTTTCATCTGATGTGAGACGACTTCTGACTAAATCGGGCGGAAACGAGCAACTCACAGTCCGTTTCCGACAAATAACTGTGTGGTGGTCATTTCCAAATCATTTTCAATGAACATTTCATAATAGGTGTCATCGTGGAATAGCCATTAGTACTGGAGCTCTCTGGTTATTCTCCTCACATTAGTATCATTCCAGACTACAACATCGAGTAGACAAGTCATGATTTCGATTTGAAATTTCATTTTGACTTAGTTCCAACTATTTTCATCAAGTTACAATACTTTGCAGACAAGAAAACAGGTCAATAAATGGGCAACACTGTCCAGAACTGATTGTGAAACAAAACTTGAGAATATCGGCTATCCGAATGGCGGTCCTCTGGGGTTTTGAAGGAAATGCTGTTGAGGTAACAACAAATTCGGGGGAACAGAAATGAGATTGGGATGGATGAAAGGTTGTGTGATAGTAAGTGGAAGTTGTGGGAGAACACTCAAAGTGGTATAGTTCAGAGGTGGCGGTGGCATCAGATTGAGTTGGGGAACAAAAGGAACTGACGGAAGGTGAAAGTCAGGGGACAAATGGGGAATTTCAAATGATGCTGGCTGGTTGAGAGGAGGAAGAAGTTGAGGGGCTTCAGAGTTAGGTTCATCTATAGGAATTGATGATAGTTGTTGTTGGAACCAAGACAGATGGGGTGAATCCGTCAAGACGACATATTCTTTGTCTAATTGCTCCTTTACAACATGCTTTTGACTGTGCTCCTAAAAGTTTAGAGTTCATTTTCATGTTTCTAGGGCACTATGGACCTCTAGACAACTCGCATTAGTTGTAGACATTCCGCACACCTTGCACCTCATCTTTACACGACATCCAGGCACATTCGAGTGATCGTAGAGTAAACGGGCACTTCGAAAACTCGTATCGCACATCTAAACTCTTTTTCTATGCCTTTTAAATGATTTCTAACCAACCACACAATAGTAATCGGGCCTTGTGTGGACCTTTCTATGCATCCGCAGCTCACTCTTGTCCTGGAACTCGGCGTCGCACAATTTACATACGTATTCCGGCGATGGCTCTTCTCTGTGCCTCTTCTGATGTATCGAGAAAGTTTGGGAGGAGTTCATGGTTTTGTCACAAGTCTAAAAAGTTGTAAGTATTGGAACGGAATATGTACTTGACGTTACCTTGCAGTAATACAACTTCATGTCAGAGTGACTGGCCGAGTGGAATCGCAGTTTCGCTTTGGAATCGAACACTTTTTCGCAGGTTTTGCAGGAGAACATTTCGAAACATTCGGAAGATTATGTCTGGACTAAGGATACCCAAATGTCAGTGGGCGGCGCTTAGCCGAGTGATCATCGAGACACTCGCTGACTCAAAGGTCCCCTAGGAGATTTTGAGTTGAGGTGACAGATTTTAGTAATTTGCATACGTACGAAAACGAGAAAACGACAATATCACATTAGTTTCTGGGCCGATCGAGGAAGTCCGTGAGGCCAGGAGTGTGGCAGACATAGCATCGTCCAATGTTTCCGTGTCTGCACACTGGAATCCGATAATACCACTCGGTAGGAGGTGCATTCTGACTGGCAGGGACCATGTTCACTTCAGATGCATCGTGGAATGTTTGTGCCGGCTGAAACTAGACGTTGAATCAACGTTTACAAGAAATTTGACAAACCTGAATGGATGGGCCAGGCTGAGGTTGAGGACCAGCACCAATATTGATCAAATTGAAGGCAGGATGTGTTGGAGGTCGTTGTTGAGGGTTCGGAATGTATCCAGGTGGAAGTTGGACTGGCGGGAACGGGTAGTTGGAAGGGATCATTGGTGGGCCGGAGGAAGAAGAAGAAGCGGTGCTGGATGAATAGGGGGGAAGGTCCCAACTGAAGATTTTGTTGAAGTCGACTTTCTGGAAGATTCGGTTCAGGTCCTAGGCCGTTAGAAACTAATAATTATCAAGGAAAAACCAGAAGAGAAAGAAGAAGACCTCCCTCTGCACAAATAAAGAGAGCCCGTGCGGGAGATAAGAGAATTGTGTTGCAAATAAGGAATGAAGATAAGACAATGCCGATGCGTACTCACTTCTGACACCACTTCTCTTTTCATTTTACTATTCGCGTACTGTTTTCGACGCTCCTGAAACATTGACTGATTATTTGAAAAATGCTAGTGCTCCCTGACCTTGCAAGGGATTTTCTTTTTGTGTGAGAGCAAGTGGCTCTTGAATAATTGCTCGTCTGTACAGATTTGCGGGCAATACGGACATCTCATCACATCTGGGTTGAGTTTCTGAAACAAAAATGGCTTGACAATGAATAAGATCCATACAAACTCACCGAAGAAATGAAATAATTGGGTTGAAGGCTAGATCCATTGAAGATCGAATCCTTGTGATGTAAATTTTGATGTTTCTGGAAAATCAATGTGCTTCACAACTTCCGGGACCATTCACCAACCTTAATACAAACTTGCCGGACCGCCGTGACTCCGCAAAGATCACAAACGAACAGAGATTCTATGGAGGAGGGCTTCTGATGCTGGCGCAACTGGTTGGACACCGCGAATCCACTGCCACAGATTTCGCAAGTGAAATGTATTCTCGGACCGTACGAGTGGGCTTTCAGATGTAAAGGTAGCTCTTTTGTCTGACTCACATCAGAAGACGTCGAAGATTCCTTTTGACATTTCGCGATAAGATGCATTAGAAAGTCGGAATTGCTGGTACACGTGTAGCCGCACGTTTTACACGCGTACTCGTGGGGACCAGCGCTCATTTTCACAAATGAGGATACACAAGCTTGAGTCAGGCGGTCACTAATTGCTCGGCTGATAGGGACGTACCTATCGGTGTCGGATTAACGTGGAGGTGGGCAGGTGGCAAAGCTGTTGCTTCGAAACCGCTAATTTGGATGAATTCGGAATGGAGAAGGCGAAAAGCTCATGGGGGGAGGGTTAGTGAGTCAACTCTCTGATTCGGTTTGCAAAAAAACTTTATGACTATTGAACAGATACTTAACAGAAGGAAAATGAGGGATATATAAGCAACTCACAGGAACAATAGACTGGGTTAAGATTGTAAAATTATCAGATGAATTAGGATCCGGAATCAGTTACCGAGGGACGATGTCAGCATCTTCGTCCTCGTCGACAGCGACAACTGACGGATCTACGATGGACGGAGCAGAGACTGGGAAAGCAGGAAGAGCAAGAGTCGGCAGCATTGGGAACGTCCACGGAGCAATGAGTGGGAAGATGAACGGGAGCATCATCGGTACAAGTGGCAGTGATCCGATCGGTGCAGCAATGGGTGGAGTGGAGGTTGGAGGAGAAGAAGAAGAAGAAGAAGAGGAAGTGGCCCCATTGCCGGATGAGACGCTGGCCGGTGTGGAAGTGGCACGGAGATGTTCGCAGGTGATTCGGAGAACGGTTAGACGCTCTAGTTTCCGCCTGAAACACAATACGGTCTCAATGGGAATGCATAAGTATACACTTACCGTTGTTGGTTCGTTCCCAACTTATTCTCCACAATGAACGCTTTCAGAGCATCCATCCCGAGACTAAGCTTGTCCCGACGCAGTTGCTCCTTCCTGGCATTCGACAGCTTCCTGTCTTGCTTGATAGGCCCAACTTCATCAGAGGTCGCCGCAGATGACAGGACCGGGTTGAACGGTTTTCCCGTCACTGTCTCCACTGCTCGGGCCACGGTGTCTTCCATTCTGAAAACGAGAAATGAAATTGGAAATATAAAAGTTAAAACTTACGACATGCGATCCGTGCACTTCATTAAATACCGCATCTCTTCATAGAGAGAATTGGCTTCTTCTCTCCTTTTACTCTCCAGAATGGACTTGGCAGAGTTGGAGTATGCGGTTGGAGGTGGCATTATAGCAGTTAGAATCAAATCAAAAAAGAGTTAAAAGATGAATTCGTAGAGAAGAAGACGTGAGTCACCTTCTGCGACGACGACAAATCGTTGAATGACTGTACTCCGTTCCGACTCCACCTCCTCTTCCAAATTCCACGAAACACCATGGGAAAATGCTCGGATCGTGCATTTCAGACGGTCTCCCACGCTTACAACCGCTCCTCCCAAGAAGTTCTCACGGTCCTCTCGCACGCGGGGACCGTCTACACCTCCCGGCGGACCATCCTGGGAAAATGAGAGGGGGGAGGTTGGCTCAAAATATAACTCGTAGTCGAGGGAACGGAGATCATCTTGGTATTAGTGAACTGCTTTCTATTATCACTTTCTAAACGTTTACATATACAGGGTGGTCCACCGTTACCCGTACAAAATAAAAGTTGTGTAATTCCAAAACAAGACGTCAGAAAGACGTGAGACTTAACAAAGCGTTTATTAAGGTGTTTAACAATATTTATAAGTTAATAGTGTTGCACCCGACCTCCTTTCCTAACAATGACAGCCCGAAGACTTCCGATTTTTTTTAAAAACTTAGCCTGTTGACGTCTCATCTACATAACGTACTTTTCTGATTTTTTCACCATGATCGATGAAAACGCGTTGAGATTGGCATGTTCAGCTGATGGGACAAGAAATCATGACACGGACTCAGCTTGCATTTTAGAGTGATTTACACGGATATTGGACTCATTTTCACATCACATTTCATGATGGTTTGTCTGCTCACCCCTCAGTGAAAAATCGTACTATGGGAACGGGGTGCAGACTAATCGGTGCTATTTGGCTGAAACAAATCCGTTTGGTCTGAGACTTGGCCAAATAGTTTGGAACATGATAATATACAAAATTTTGAATTAGGTCCACACCAGAATTGCGTCAGTACCTACGCGCGCCGCGTGAAACTTTTGTACGGGTAACGGTGGACCACCCTGTACATACGACTGTCCGTTTTTTCAATTTATCTCCAGAAATCGAACATAGGGACCTCTGTGTTTTTGATAAAAGTTCAATGTATTATGTACTTCTAAATGAGCCAGTTTAGAGATAAATGTAAGGTTTCTGGGAGAAGTTACAGCTTCACAATTTCCAGTCCTCCGTATGTTTTGCCGGCCCGTGCCCCCGGTCTTCGAGGAAACATTGCATCAATAAATAAGTATTATATAGACACAGCTGAGATAAAAAGAGAATCAACCTGCAGAGACCTCGGATTTCTGATCTCCTCAAATTTAGATTTTTGCTGGCCATTGGAAGAAGACCATTTAAAAAAAGCAAACATAATGACAGTGAACCTTTTCAAGTTTTTTTACATTTAGATAAGAAGTTTTTCAATCAAATTGTTAGCTAACAAAGTGGACATCAATCCAGATGACTTCTTCCTACACTCAAACTCTATAAGTACTAGACGGAGTCACGTTTACCGATGGAAGACTCCAAAAATCTAAACTAAGACACAACTTCTTCACTCACAGAGTCTTATCTAAAAATGAATCCGGCACAGGCATCTGTGAAATGATGATCTCTTTTCTTTTGCGTTGGCAAGTAGCTGAAGATTCCCCATTTATGATTATTATCCCCCTCATCCCCCTCCATTTTCTCTCTCTCTCTCTCCACATTCTCTCTCTTCTCTAATAATCTTCACGTTGAAAACGTAAATAAATAATAACAATAATAATCAATTGCATAAGTAGCCATCTTCTGCTAAACTTTAAATATGCTTCACGGAACAAATAGAATACAAGTTTAGAAGCGGATAATTTCAAACTGTTTCAAAATGATCTCCGTTCCCTCGACTACGAGTTATATTTTGAGCCAACCTCCCCTCTCATTTTTCCCAGGATGGTCCGCCGGGAGGTGTAGACGGTCCCCGCGTGCGAGAGGACCGTGAGAACTTCTTGGGAGGAGCGGTTGTAAGCGTGGGAGACCGTCTGAAATGCACGATCCGAGCATTTTTCCCATGGTGTTTCGTGGAATTTGGAAGAGGAGGTGGAGTCGGAACGGAGTACAGTCATTCAACGATTTGTCGTCGTCGCAGAAGGTGACTCACGTCTTCTTCTCAACTAATTCCTATTTTTAACTCTTTTTTTAATTCGATTCTAACTATTATAATGCCACCTCCAACCGCATACTCCAACTCTGCCAAGTCCATTCTGGAGAGTAAAAGGAGAGAAGAAGCCAATTCTCTCTATGAAGAGATGCGGTATTTAATGAAGTGCACGGATCGCACGTCGTAAGTTGTTTTTTTGCTGTTTTTTATATTTCCAATTTCATTTCTCGTTTTCAGAATGGAAGACACCGTGGTCCGAGCCGTAGAAACAGTGACGGGAAAACCGTTCAACCCGGTCCTTTCATCTGCGGCGACCTCTGATGAAGTTGGGCCGATCAAGCAAGACAGGAAGCTGTCGAATGCCAAGAAGGAACAATTGCGTCGGGACAAGCTCAGTCTCGGGATGGATGCTCTGAAAGCGTTCATTCTGGAGAATAAGTTGGGAACGAACCAACAACGGTAAGTGTATACTTATGCATTCCCATTGAGACCGTATTGTGTTTCAGGAGGAAACTAGAGCGTCTGACCGTTCTCCGAATCACCTGCGAACATCTCCGTGCCACTTCCACACCGGCCAGCGTCTCATCCGACAATGGGACCACTTCCTCTTCTTCTTCTTCTTCTTCTCCTCCAACCTCCACTCCACCCATTGCTGCACCGATCGGATCACTGCCACTTGTACCGATGATGCTCCCGTTCATCTTCCCACTCATTGCTCCGTGGACGTTCCCAATGCTGCCGACTCTTGCTCTTCCTGCTTTCCCAGTCTCTGCTCCGTCCATCCTAAATCCGTCTGTTGTCGCTGTCGACGAGGACGAAGATGTTGACATCGTCACTCGGTAACTGATTCCGGATCCTAATTCATCTGATAATTTGACAATCTTAACCCAGTCTATTGTTCCTGTGAGTTGCTTATATATCCCTCATTCTCCTTCTGTTAAGTAACTGTTCAATAGTCATAAAGTTTTTTTGCAAACCGAATCAGAGAGTTGACTCACTAACCCTCCCCCCATGAGCTTTTCGCCTTCTCCATTCCGAATTCATCCAAATTAGCGGTTTCGAAGCAACAGCTTTGCCACCTGCCCACCTCCACGTTAATCCGACACCGATAGGTACGTCCCTATCAGCCGAGCAATTAGTGACCGACTGACTCAAGCTTGTGTATCCTCATTTGTGAAAATGAGCGCTGGTCCCCACGAGTACGCGTGTAAAACGTGCGGCTACACGTGTACCAGCAATTCCGACTTTCTAATGCATCTTATCGCGAAATGTCAAAAGGAATCTTCGACGTCTTCTGATGTGAGTCAGACAAAAGAGCTACCTTTACATCTGAAAGCGCACTCGTACGGTCCGAGAATACATTTCACTTGCGAAATCTGTGGCAGTGGATTCGCGGTGTCCAACCAGTTGCGCCAGCATCAGAAACCCTCCTCCATAGAATCTCTGTTCGTTTGTGATCTTTGCGGAGTCACGGCGGTCCGGCAAGTTTGTATTAAGGTTGGTGAATGGTCCCGGAAGTTGTGAAGCACATTGATTTTCCAGAAACATCAAAATTTACATCACAAGGATTCGATCTTCAATGGATCTAGCCTTCAACCCAATTATTTCATTTCTTCGGTGAGTTTGTATGGATCTTATTCATTGTCAAGCCATTTTTGTTTCAGAAACTCAACCCAGATGTGATGAGATGTCCGTATTGCCCGCAAATCTGTACAGACGAGCAATTATTCAAGAGCCACTTGCTCTCACACAAAAAGAAAATCCCTTGCAAGGTCAGGGAGCACTAGCATTTTTCAAATAATCAGTCAATGTTTCAGGAGCGTCGAAAACAGTACGCGAATAGTAAAATGAAAAGAGAAGTGGTGTCAGAAGTGAGTACGCATCGGCATTGTCTTATCTTCATTCCTTATTTGCAACGCAATTCTCTTATCTCCCGCACGGGCTCTCTTTATTTGTGCAGGGGGAGGTCTTCTTCTTTCTCTTCTGGTTTTTCCTTGATAATTATTAGTTTCTAACGGCCTAGGACCTGAACCGAATCTTCCAGAGTGTCAACTTCAACAAGATCTTCAGTTGGGACCTTCCCCCCTATTCATCCAGCACCGCTTCTTCTTCTTCCTCCGGCTCACCCATGATCCCTTCCAACTACCCGTTCCCGCCAGTCCAACTTCCACCTGGATACATTCCGAACCCTCAACAACGACCTCCAACACATCCTGCCTTCAATTTGATCAATATTGGTGCTGGTCCTCAACCTCAACCTGGCTCATCCATTCAGGTTTGTCAAATTTCTTGTAAACTTTGATTCAACTTCTAGTTTCAGCCGGCACAAACATTCCACGATGCATCTGAAGTGAACATGGTCCCTGCCAGTCAGAATGCACCTCCTACCGAGTGGTATTATCGGATTCCAGTGTGCAGACACGGAAACATTGGACGATGCTATGTCTGCCACACTCCTGGCCTCACGGACTTTCTCGATCGGCCCAGAAACTAATGTGATATTGTCGTTTTCTCGTTTTCGTACGTATGTAAATTACTAATAAATCTGTCACCTCAACTCAAAATCTCCCAGGGGACCTTTGAGTCAGCGAGTGTCTCGATGATCACTCGGCTAAGCGCCGCCCACTGACATTTGGGTATCTTTAGTCCAAACATAATCTTCCGAATGTTTCGAAATGTTCTCCTGCAAAACCTGCGAAAAAGTGTTCGATTCCAAAGCGAAACTGCGATTCCACTCGGCCAGTCACTCTGACATGAAGTTGTATTACTGCAAGGTAACGTCAAGTACATATCCCGTTCCAATACTTACAACTTTTTAGACTTGTGACAAAACCATGAACTCCTTCCAAACTTTCTCGATACATCAGAAGAGGCACAGAGAAGAGCCATCGCCGGAATACGTATGTAAAATGTGCGACGCCGAGTTCCAGGAAAAGAGTGAGCTGCGGATGCATAGAAAGGTCCACACAAGGCCCGATTACTATTGTGTGGTTGGTTAGAAATCATTTAAAAGGCATAGAAAAAGAGTTTAGATGTGCGATACGAGTTTTCGAAGTGCTCGTTTGCTCTACGATCACTCGAATGTGCCTGGATGTCGTGTAAAGATGAGGTGCAAGGTGTGCGGAATGTCTACAACTAATGCGAGTTGCCTAGAGGTTCATAGAATCCTAGAAACGTGATATTATGACTTTTAATTTTTAGGAGCACAGTCAAAAGCATGTTGTAAAGGAGCAATTGGACAAAGAATATGTCGTCTTGACGGATTCACCCCATCTGTCTTGGTTCCAACAACAACTATCATCAATTCCTATAGATGAACCTCACTCTGAAGCCCCTCAACTTCTTCCTCCTCTCAACCAGCCAGCATCATTTGAAATTCCCCATTTGTACCCTGACTTTCACCTTCCGTCAGTTCCTTTTGTTCCCCAACTCAATCTGATGCCACAGCCACCTCTGAACTATACAACTTTGAGTGTTCTCCCACAACTTCCACTTACTATCACACAACCTTTCATCCATCCCAATCTCATTTCTGTTCCCCCGAATTTGTTGTTACCTCAACAGCATTTCCTTCAAAACCCCAGAGGACCGCCATTCGGATAGCCGATATTCTCAAGTTTTGTTTCACAATCAGTTCTGGACAGTGTTGCCCATTTATTGACCTGTTTTCTTGTCTGCAAAGTATTGTAACTTGATGAAAATAGTTGGAACTAAGTCAAAATGAAATTTCAAATCGAAATCATGACTTGTCTACTCGATGTTGTAGTCTGGAATGATACTAATGTGAGGAGAATAACCAGAGAGCTCCAGTACTAATGGCTATTCCACGATGACACCTATTATGAAATGTTCATTGAAAATGATTTGGAAATGACCACCACACAGTTATTTGTCGGAAACGGACTGTGAGTTGCTCGTTTCCGCCCGATTTAGTCAGAAGTCGTCTCACATCAGATGAAAGTATTGGATCGAACAGTCTTCCGATCACTGTCTCCACTGCGGTGTTCTCCTTTCTCAAAACAAAAGAGAGAGGAATCGTAGTGAAGGTTCTGTTAATCAACTTGATATTGGTAAACTGATTAATATTATGAATTTGTTCCTAAAAGCAGGTCTACACTCGAAACCCAACATTAGCGTAATATCCCCGTAAGTCATACGCCATCTGCCGTTCACCTTCCCCCCAGCCGCGCTAATCGCACAGAGCAACACTTTCATTCAGCGATTTCGACGAAATGTTCGCACCAGAAGAACATCGGTGTCCAATCTGTGACAAACGGCTTTGTTCGAAGGCTCAGCTGTACGGTCACATGAATATCCATTTGGATGTGAAACCGCATCAATGTGAGGTGAGTTCTACGTTTAAAGCAGTGTATCTCGGCTGCCGGTGGAGATAGCCAAACATTGTCAACTAACAAAATGTTCACAAAGATATTGCGCACATTTTATGAGTTGACAACATTCTGATATCTCTACAAACAACTGAGATACATTGCTTTGAATGGACACTAGTGGATTACCCTTCTTTTTCAGTTTTGCAAACGCACATTTCGAAATAGTCAAGGTCTCTGGTCGCACAAAAAGACACATACCGAGTACGGGGAGTACAGGTGTGACAAGTGTAAAACGTCGTACCGAAACAAACAGAATCTGACGAATCACATGAAACTACACGCGAAATCTATTCGATGCGAGGTAAAGTTCTGTTTAAGACTGCAATTCACAGATACTTTCAGATCTGTGACAGAAGTTTCAACTCGACCGCATCGTTACAATCGCACAGTTTTGCACGTGGCAACACCGACGGATTCAAGTGCTCGCACTGCAATGTGCCCGCGAGAACTTTCAAATGCTTCAAGGAGCACATGAGAGTGTTCCATTCGGATATTCCACTGAAATCTGTCGAATGCCCGGTGTGCAAGAAGACTGTGCAATCGACGTGGGAGCTCGAGAAACACATGAGCAATCATAGAGAGAAGAGTGGTGGCGATGAGGTGAGGCTCGCATTCAAAACGGTTTATCTCAGCTGCCGGCGGAGATATCAAAAAGTGGCCAACTAATAAAATTATCACTAAGAAACGGTATACATTTTATTAGTTGAACACATTTTGTTATCTCCAAAGGTAGCTGAGATATGTCTAACTTATTTCAGATGGTGTCCTTGTCTGGAAGCTCTTCCAGTGAAAGAGCCGGTTCAGCTGCAGAAGCCACTTATCAGTCTCTGGAGCCTGTTCCTAGCTCACAGGTAAACTAAACAAGTCCAAGTACACCTCAAAAACACAATTAACTTTCAGAGTGACGCCTCCAACTTTAACATCTGGGACACTGCACACTATCCGTTCTACGATGAATTCAGTGAAACTCAAAATGAAATGTTCTCGTATTTATTGATCTGAATGAACTATGAACTCCACAATATCTGCTCTTTCCCCTCCTTTTACCCTTTTACCCCCTAGGGACTGCCATCATCAGCTGATCACCTCGTGCGGTCCCCTTCTCGTTAGTGTGCGTGAAAGCAATTTAGTTTACCTTTTCATCTCAACAACTTCTTCGAAATGTACAAACTACTAAAGTGCACAGAGTGTCAGGCCCTGCTCTATTCCGAGAACTGTCTGGAAGCTCATCTGAGGGACCATTTTAAGATTGAACCCTCCGAATGCGAAGTATGTTATTCATTTTTGAGGACCTTTTTTCATGAAAAGAAGCTTCAGACCTGTGGGACCGGGTGTAGAATCAATGTGCCCATCAATGCCCTTCAAAAAAAGCTCACGTGTTGCGAATGCGGCGAAATCCTGCACGGTTTGCACTGTTTGAAACCTCATGTCCTGCTCAGACACACACAAACAAAACAATATCAGTGCATGGTAGGCTCACGTTTTGACACTTTTGAAGGCAATTTTACAGATCTGCGAAAAGACGTTCAACAGCCGGAACAGTCTGAAAGCGCACCAGAACCGTTATGACTTGCTCGTCACTTGCAAGTTTTGCGGCATCAATTCGGGCACCTACAGGTGTATTCAGGTAACTGAACATTCACTTATTTCGATTTGATTTGGTTGAATTCACAGATACATATGCACAAATTCCATTCTAAACCTGCTGAAAGACCTGCTGAAAGACATGAGTGCTCTCTTTTCTTTGATCAACAGACGGTAAGACAATACCGCCCATTCAAAGCAATGCATCTCAGTTGCCGGTGAAGATATCTCAAAGTTGTTAACTGATAGAATGTGCACAATGACTTGATAAACATTTCATCAGTTGACAGCGTTTTGATATCTTCAACGGCAATTGAGATATGTTGTCTAGAATGACCAATATTTGGGTGCCTAAAGTCAAAGTCAGTCTTTTTCAGGTGGAATCTCAGCAACAAATAGTTCCAGAAAGTTCTCAGAAAGTGTTCAGCCCACCAGTGACAAGTTATTCTTCGCCCGATGAGACAATAGTCCGAGTGAAAACATTTAAGGTACTTTTGAGCAAAACCTAACTCGCTAGGTACAATCAAGGTGTCTTAAGAATATCTTTAGATTATTGCTGCATTATTAAACATTCCAGGTGCGCACGCGTGCTCATTCCTCCCCACACTATGACATTTCCGATTATTTCTCCACTGATTGTGAGAAACCTTCATCGAAACCAGCATTGGAAGTGGTAGGCGTTTGCAAACAAGGTTCAAATCAAAATTTCCAACATTTCAGAGAACTTTCACGTGCACCGTTGTCTCCAAGCGTGCTCCTGAACAAATTCGCTGTCCATCTGGTCGCTCCGAGCCTACAGATGACAAAACGTTACCTAAAGTAGGCGTTTGGAATTGGATCGTTCTGAAATGGACTAATTTCAGGATATTCCTCTAAATCATGCCAAAACGCTTGTATCCTACCAATTGGAGTCGGCTCCGGAGAGCACAAAGATGCCATAAACTGAAAGTCATCCATAATTGCAACCGAGGCCATTATGAGCTATGACTTCCACGCGCGATCACGGACGGGGACGGGGAGAGAATAGAGGAGAAGAAGGGGTTAGGCGGGGGGAGAAGAAATCCTACTGTAGTAAATATCTGGAAAAGAGAGTTGTCGGATGTTTGAAACTGAAAACTTTACTAAAAAAATGGGTAAAAGGTCTATTAGAGGGTAGTCACAGATAAATCGCGGCGGATCCATTAGGGATTGTCTATGGGTCCGTTGTGCGCCCCATTTCGCGCCCACGTGGGTCCACAACGGTGAGAATTTCACCCACACGGATCGCGCGTTGAAGTCATAGCTCATAATGGCCTCGGTTGCATCTTTGAAATGATGATCTCTTTTCTTTTGCGTTGGCAAGTAGCTGAAGATTCTTCATTTATGATTATTATCCCCCTTATACTTAAAATATGCTTCACGGAACAAATATAATACAAGTTTAGAAGCGGATAATTTCAAACTGTTTATTGATACCAAAATGATCTCCCTTGCTTCAACTACCATTTATATTTGAGCCATTGACCCCCACCCTCCTCATTTTCCCATGGTGGTCAGCCGGAATGATAGGGGACACTGAGAATTGGAACAGAGTATCAGGACACAACAGACATAGTGGATAATGTAGCAGAAGTCAGAGCCGGAGCCCAGCTTAGTTGGCTCGATGTAGAACTGTCAAAACTTCCTTCTCACTGATATCGTAGTCGGGTTTGGAAAAGGAAGGGATGGTCAAGAAAACCAATCTTTTCCAGAGGGATTTAGTAAGCCAATTGGGTTTCAAAAAAACTTTATGACTATTGAACAGTTACTTAACAGAAGGAAAATGAGGGATATATAAGCAACTCACAGGAACAATAGACTGGGTTAAGATTGTCAAATTATCAGATGAATTAGGATCCGGAGTCAGTTACCGAGTGACGATGTCAGCATCTTCGTCCTCGTCGACAGCGACAACAGACGGATTTAGGATGGACGGAGCAGAGACTGGGAAAGCAGGAAGAGCAAGAGTCGGCAGCATTGGGAACGTCCACGGAGCAATGAGTGGGAAGATGAACGGGAGCATCATCGGTACAAGTGGCAGTGATCCGATCGGTGCAGCAATGGGTGGAGTGGAGGTTGGAGGAGAAGAAGAAGAAGAAGAAGAAGAGGAAGTGGTCCCATTGTCGGATGAGACGCTGGCCGGTGTGGAAGTGGCACGGAGATGTTCGCAGGTGATTCGGAGAACGGTCAGACGCTCTAGTTTCCGCCTGAAACACAATACGGTCTCAATGGGAATGCATAAGTATATACTTACCGTTGTTGGTTCGTTCCCAACGTATTCTCCAGAATGAACGCTTTGAGAGCATCCATCCCGAGACTAAGCTTGTCCCGACGCAATTGTTCCTTCTTGGCATTCGACAGCTTCCTGTCTTGCTTGATCGGCCCAACTTCATCAGAGGTCGTCGCAGACGAGAGGGCCGGGTTGAACGGTTTTCCCGTCACTGTCTCCACTGCTCGGGCCACGGTGTCTTCCATTCTGAAAACGAGAAATGAAATTGGAATTATAAAAGCTCAAACTTACGACATGCGATCCGTGCACTTCATTAAATACCGCATCTCTTCATAAAGAGCATTGGCCTCTTCTCTCCTTTTACTCTCCAGAACAGACTTGGCAGAGTTGGAGTATGCAGTTGGCGGTGGCATTATAATAGTTAGAATAAAATAAAAAAAGAGTTAAAAGATGAATTAGTTGAGAAGAAGACGTGAGTCACCTTCTGCGACGACGACAAATCGTTGAATGACTGTACTCCGTTCCGACTCCACCTCCTCTTCCAAATTCCACGAAACACCATGGGAAAATGCTCGGATCGTGCATTTCAGACGGTCTCCCACGCTTACAACCGCTCCTCAAAAGAAGTTCTCACGGTCCTCTCGCACGCGGGGACCGTCTACACCTCCCGGCGGACCATCCTGGGAAAATGAGAGGGGGAGGTTGGCTCAAAATATAACTCGTAGTCGAGGGAACGGAGATCATCTTGGTATCAGTGGACTGTTATCTGTTATCACTTTGTAAACGTTTACATATATGCTCCACACTTTGTACAGATTGAACTCCCCCGGTCTTCGAGGAAACATTGCATCAATTACATAAGTAGCCATCTTCTGCTAAACTTGAAATATGCTTCACGGAACAAATAGAATACAAGTTTAGAAGCTGATAATTTCAAACTGTTTATTGATACAAAGATGATCTCCGTTCCCTCGACTACCAGTTATATTTTGAGCCAACCTCCCCCCTCTCATTTTCCCAGGATGGTCCGCCGGGAGGTGTAGACGGTCCCCGCGTGCGAGAGGACCGTGAGAACTTCTTGGGAGGAGCGGTTGTAAGCGTGGGAGACCGTCTGAAATGCACGATCCGAGCATTTTCCCATGGTGTTTCGTGGAATTTGGAAGAGGAGGTGGAGTCGGAACGGAGTACAGTCATTCAACGATTTGTCGTCGTCGCAGAAGGTGACTCACGTCTTCTTCTCAACTAATTCATCTTTTAACTCTTTTTTTATTTTATTCTAACTATTATAATGCCACCGCCAACTGCATACTCCAACTCTGCCAAGTCTGTTCTGGAGAGTAAAAGGAGAGAAGAGGCCAATGCTCTTTATGAAGAGATGCGGTATTTAATGAAGTGCACGGATCGCATGTCGTAAGTTTGAGCTTTTATAATTCCAATTTCATTTCTCGTTTTCAGAATGGAAGACACCGTGGCCCGAGCAGTGGAGACAGTGACGGGAAAACCGTTCAACCCGGCCCTCTCGTCTGCGACGACCTCTGATGAAGTTGGGCCGATCAAGCAAGACAGGAAGCTGTCGAATGCCAAGAAGGAACAATTGCGTCGGGACAAGCTTAGTCTCGGGATGGATGCTCTCAAAGCGTTCATTCTGGAGAATACGTTGGGAACGAACCAACAACGGTAAGTATATACTTATGCATTCCCATTGAGACCGTATTGTGTTTCAGGAGGAAACTAGAGCGTCTGACCGTTCTCCGAATCACCTGCGAACATCTCCGTGCCACTTCCACACCGGCCAGCGTCTCATCCGACAATGGGACCACTTCCTCTTCTTCTTCTTCTTCTTCTCCTCCAACCTCCACTCCACCCATTGCTGCACCGATCGGATCACTGCCACTTGTACCGATGATGCTCCCGTTCATCTTCCCACTCATTGCTCCGTGGACGTTCCCAATGCTGCCGACTCTTGCTCTTCCTGCTTTCCCATTCTCTGCTCCGTCCATCCTAAATCCGTCTGTTGTCGCTGTCGACGAGGACGAAGATGCTGACATCGTCACTCGGTAACTGACTCCGGATCCTAATTCATCTGATAATTTGACAATCTTAACCCAGTCTATTGTTCCTGTGAGTTGCTTATATATCCCTCATTTTCCTTCTGTTAAGTAACTGTTCAATAGTCATAAAGTTTTTTTGAAACCCAATTGGCTTACTAAATCCCTCTGGAAAAGATTGGTTTTCTTGACCATCCCTTCCTTTTCCAAACCCGACTACGATATCAGTGAGAAGGAAGTTTTGACAGTTCTACATCGAGCCAACTAAGCTGGGCTCCGGCTCTGACTTCTGCTACATTATCCACTATGTCTGTTGTGTCCTGATACTCTGTTCCAATTCTCAGTGTCCCCTATCATTCCGGCTGACCACCATGGGAAAATGAGGAGGGTGGGGGTCAATGGCTCAAATATAAATGGTAGTTGAAGCAAGGGAGATCATTTTGGTATCAATAAACAGTTTGAAATTATCCGCTTCTAAACTTGTATTATATTTGTTCCGTGAAGCATATTTTAAGTATAAGGTTGATAATAATCATAAATGGGGAATCTTCAGCTACTTGCCAACGCAAAAGAAAAGAGATCATCATTTCAAAGATGCAACCGAGGCCATTATGAGCTATGACTTCAACGCGCGATCCGTGTGGATGAAATTCTCACCGTTGTGGACCCACGTGGGCGCGAAATGGGGCGCACAACGGACCCATAGACAATCCCTAATGGATCCGCCGCGATTTATCTGTGACTACCCTCTAATAGACCTTTTACCCATTTTTTTAGTAAAGTTTTCAGTTTCAAACATCCGACAACTCTCTTTTCCAAATAATTACTTAATTAATATATTACAAATATTACAGTAGGATTTCTTCTCCCCACGCCTAACCCCTTCTTCTCCTCTATTCTCTCCCCGTCCCCGTCCGTGCTGCTTTCAATAAACTTTTTATTACACACAAGCCCACTTTGTCAGCATGCGAATTATCATACGCGCAACGGCCAGTCTGCAATTGCGTGTGTCTAATGTCCCAGGAACCGCCGGTTACCTGCTCTTTGTGCCACAACAAGTTTCGACGAAAGAATGATTTGGAATATCATGTGACTCAACTGTGTGCTCGAAAGGTTTTGAAGTGTAATGTAGGTGATTTAAGGAAGTTTCGTTTGTCCGCTGCGAGCCTTTTTCTATTCAGATCTGCGGTTTCACAGCACTGCAAAGATGCGGACTGGTGAGCCACATGAAAACGCACGTGACGAAGAAGACGATAGAATGCAACTATTGCACGGCGTTGTTCAAAACTCGAATCACTTTGGAGGTATCTTCACTGCGAGCATGAAAGTGAGTGAAAATTGTGATTTAGATTCATCAAAGTCAGTACCACTCGAAGGAAATTGAGAGGAAGAGGAAGCAGAAGGAAGTTGAAAGAGTGACTATATTGGATGTTGCTCAAGATGCTCCCGCTCGGAAGAATGATGCTCAGGTAACCGTCAGGGACCATCAAATCTATGCCCCTTCTTCAGAGACCACCCGATGAGAAATGGCTATCGGATGAAGTACCCATCCCGCCAAACTGGCTCTCCCTGAGGGATGAAAAGACCGGGCGAAAGATGTACGTTTCGTATGCACACGTCTTGGGACCATCGACAGAATCGTCCAGTACTGATATTGCCGATTACTTTGAAAAGTAGCACATGTGAATCTGAATCTGAATGAATGATTTCCAAGTTTGTGTACTGTTGGGCCTTGGCACCGTTTTTATGATGTACGGCCGCCCGTTCCCACTCCCTCCACGTATTTTACGAGTTTGAGATGATTTATGATTTACATATCGATATGCCGGAGGACAATCATTCAATGGCCGAAACTCGACGCTTCCAGTGCTCGAAATGCGAGAAGAGCTACAAAAAAATCGGCGATTTGAATGCTCATGATGCGACGAAACATTGTGGAGTCAAAGTTTGTTGTTCGGTGAGTCTGGATATACACAATAGATTGAGAATACGTTCATTTTCAGTTCTGCACCGGCTCATTCGTGACGGACGCCAACTTGAAGCGTCATATAAAGCAGTATCATTCTGGAAAGCTACGATATCAATGCAAAGACTGCAATGAGCTGTTTGGGACCAAGAGTGAGCAGGATGTTCACTTCGGTCAGTGTGAAGCAAGACCGCTTCGTTGTAAGGTTAGTTTCTAGGGAACTCCAGCCGGAACATTCTTTATTTCAGCAGTGCCCTTTCAAGTGCAAAAGTTCATCCGGCCTCTGGAACCACGTGTTCAAAATCCATCGGAAAGAGGACCAGAAGAAATGCAAAGTATGTAAACGACTTTTCTCGACTAGCAAACGGCTTGAGGTGAGTTGAAGACAAAGTACAAGGGATTGTCAGCATCCGATTGTCAGCATCATGCGCAAACGTTTCATCCGATGCTGACGCATGCTCCGCCGGCAGCTCCGAGCTCTTTCCACTTTCCAATGATCTTGGAGGCGCCTGAAAATCATGGATATAACTGGAATTACAATCAATTTGGAAATGAAGAGGTACGCGATGCGGTCGGAAGATTCTGGAAAGGCATAAATTGCAGGCAACGAATCTGTTCGACGAGTTCTTTGAACAACCAAATCAGAATGGAGACGTAGCCCAGTCGCCGACGATTTCTGAAGGAAATGTGGAACAGGAATTCGTGTACTCTTGGGAATCTGTGTAGGAATTGAGTAAATGTGTTTGAATTGTAGTGTCAATGCCAAATGAATTATGGGAAAGGTATAAAGTACACTAAATCAAAACATCTTGAAGCCGGTCTGATCTGGAAGTTTCTGGAAGTTCTTTCTATAGTCCGTTTGGGTCGATCGACATTTGGGTGTTGATCAGACTACATTGAAGTCGAACACCTGGTCCGAGAAGGTGCGATCCTATTGGCTGCCCCTGGGAAAGACCCCCGCCCTCCAAGTACTAGACAATTCAGTTGAGGTCCTTTGTTTTTTCTCTCTTTCAGTTCGTGAGCTTAGAAACTAGAACTTTTTAATCACTTGTTTATTGAGACCGATTATTATTAAAGTAGGTCAATTAGTTTTTACGCGGTTTCTTTCCTCCGTCGGCCGCGGTCTCTCCCAGCGGTCTCTTCTTCTTTTTGCTCCCATCCATCCCGACCGTCAGTTCCTTTGCCGCCACGAATTGAACCAAGGCCGATCGTTTCGTGTAGACCGCGTTGATTTCGACTCGATTCATCTCTCCAATCGCCTTCCCGAACGTCGCCTGTTTTTCCACGTTCTTCTTGAATCGCTCGGCCTCCTGCGTCAAATCCAGTGATCTGAAAATGAGATAAGTTTACTAAAAATATGAAGAGTTATTAACTTACTTGACATTTTCAGCCAATTGAAGTCCAATAAACCAGCACGTCCGACGGCCGTTCTCCTCCCTCACTCCGAATTTGGCCGACTTGCTCGGCTTGTACTGCCGGGCATGGATGTGAGCCAGTGTCACCGCCGGGTTCCGCTCCAACTGCTGCACAATCTGACGGAGACGCGATTCGAAGAAGCCCAAGTAAGTGAGCTCCTCTTCCTCAGTCTCCGCCGCCATGACAAGCACCATGAAGTGCTTGTACCGGCAGAAGAAGTTCACCGGCGCAAACAACTCTTCCCACTGGGCCTTACCTTTCTGAATCTCCGTGCAGACAGCCATAGCTGCCTTCATTTCCTCCTGAATCACCGTCAAGGTGCTTTTTAGACACATTAAAAGTTGAATTTTTGCTCCGGGAACGCCGGAGTCAACACCGGCATCAAGTGGTATGAGTCGGCGTGGTTGACGCTCGGATTCCAGACCAATCGAGCCACGGACGGAAAGGCCGCCGTGCTCATACGGTCCAGAACGACCGGAGCCGGCCAGTTCCACGTGGAGAAGACGAAGAACGTCTTCTCGATGATTTTGGATGGCGCCGCGTTGGGGTAGAGCTGGCAGGTACGGGCCACCATTATAGCCCAAGTGATCCCACCCAGGAAGCCCAGGGAATTCGAGTAGACCCCATGGTTTTTAGCCCACATTTTGATTGCACGAAGGGCAGTGCAGAAAGTGTTTTGATTTGGAACTAACCTGAGAATCTTTTCAGCGACCCGACTTCCATTCAGCGATCGAATGCACTTCACGTCCATGTTCGCCAGCAGTGCGTCATCAGAAAGATCCAGGCATTCTGGCACTTCCTTCAGCATCAGACGGGCGAACAGGAGGTCCACCTCCACTCCCATGCACTTCAGCGTCATGATCGGCACGAATGCGTCCACCACTGCGTTGAGCTCCGTCACTTCCGAATCCTCCATGAGCATCTTCTTGAATGAGCTGAAAAAATCGGCCCTGGTCACGAAACTCGGCGCGACCAGGACCGTGTCAATGTCCCCGCCACTGCTGTGCACTCCCAGTCTGAAAGACCCGAATGCAAGAAGCTTACCTCCTGGCACGAATCCTTCTTCCGACGGCATTCGTACCTCGGCCAGGGCACCGATCCACTTCTTCACGAGTCCATTCAGCTTGCCCATCACCTCCTGTCTCTTCTTTGTTTCTTCTTTCGGCTCGAAGCTCTTCATGTCTTCCAACGTCTTCACCATCATTTTCGTGAGCTTCAGATCCTGAGCGGTTGGCTTGGCCACACTAATCGCCTGGGAGATTCCGAAGACCTGGGTGGTAGAGCTGGAAGCAGACATTATTGCAATTGTTGTTGAGGAGATAAGATGAATCTGAAACACAGTAGTTGAGTATTTGATTATAGTGATAAAGAGAGGAAGAAAGAGAGGAACAGAAAGAGAAAAAGAGGAGAAAAGTTGGAAAATCAAAGAAGAAGCCGAAGTTTTATGAAAACAGAGTGACCGAACGCATTCATGAAGCCGAATTTCAGAAATCCCTATTGCTGAGCCCATTTCATTCAGATCATTCATTCCAAATGACATTTTCAGCAGTTCATCACAGTCCACTGACATTTTCGGTTCCGTCAGGTGAGTAGTGTAATGAAGAACAATTGTTAGACCAGAAAAATCTAATTTCAGAGCATTTCCCCATGATTCACCGCACAAGGCGAGGAAATGATCAGACACGAGATGACAATCACTTCGAGGACTGGAACACAACATCTGAAACAATTCCGTCGACTTCAAGTCTTCTTGACTTTAAATGAGTAAGTTTCGAACATTCCCCTACAAAAAACCTGAAATGAACGTGGAAAGTTCACATTTCCCATCAAAAACGTGTTTCATCAAACAGTTTTGTGGCAAAGAAGTGTCTATCACATTCATTAGCAACAAATCATGATGGTGGTCGCTGATTACCGCCTAAAACTATCTCGGAAAGGTTTTTGAGGTCAATAAGTTCGAAATAATGCTCTTCTAATAGTTCAGTTTTGCAGTGTTTGACCGAGAATGATTCACAAAAAGATCTTGAAGTTGGTAGAGACCGAAAGAAAAGTTTCTTGGTAACAACCAGAAAGTTTTGGTTTTTTGATAATTTGAAATGATTCCTCATCAACCTTTAGCGGTCAATCAGCGACCACCCAATAACAAGAACAATTCAACATTTCCGTCCTTGCTGACCGATGTTCTCGTTGTTGTTCACGATTAGTCCCTCGCTGACTGCCCTGGAAGGAACATTTTGAAATCAACGTTTCAAATTCATGTCATACAAAGTTGCAGAGGTACATGATCATAAAAGTGCATGATTACAGATGTACATGACGGATTCACGAGTTTGACGACGCAGTTATATCGAAAATCGAATGGAAATCGATAGAGAAGGTGTAAAAGCCGACAAGAATGATATGGAATCGTGAAAAGACTAGTCGGAGGTAACGGACTTCAGCAAGAATGCAGAATGAGAAAAGAGCAAGAAAATCGATTGAAATGTCATCATTTCAGATAGAGAACAAGAGCGAAATAATGAGAAACGACTGGAAACGGAATGAATGAGCTCTGTGTGCGACTCGAAAGAGCACGGACCACGCCCACCGACCCCCGCACAAATTTGAAGACTATTCGGACATTTCCGCGAGTTTTACGACTGGCAATGACGGCCACCCAGTCTGCACATTTCAGAAAAGGGGGTAAGGGGAAAGGGGCTGTAAACCGGAAAAGGAAGATGCGAAGATAGAGTTTGGGAAGGAGTGGTATACAGGGAGCAATCGTTCTCAAACGGAAGGCCACTTTTGTGATAGAATTTGGTGGAAAAGTAAAACGTAAAGCTCCTTCACTTATCAAAGTTCTCATTTGTTACGATTCCCTGAAAGCCACGTCTTTCTGTTTCGAGAAAACCGTAAAAGTTTGACAAAATTGGTGAATCACCTTATGTGGAAATGTTTGAAAGTACCCAGTCACAAGACATTTTGACAAGTGATGGAAACGTTAAATAATATGGAATCATGAAAAGACATAGTAAGAGGTACATGACAGTCCTTAGAGACTTCAGTGGTACAGAATGAATAAAGAATTGAATGGAGAATGAGAAAAGAGCAAGAAAATTGATGAAATTGGCATCATTTCAGATAGAGAACAAGAGCGAAATGAAGAGAAACGACTGGAAACGGAATGAATGAGCTCTGTGCGCGACTCGAAAGAGCACAGACCACGCCCACTGACCCCCCAAATATGTCATGACTAATCCGCGAATTTTACGACTGGCAATGGCGGCCACCCAGTCTGCACATTTCAGAAAAGGGGGTAGGGGGAAAGGGGTTGTAAACCGGTGTAAAAACGGAAACTGGGAAGGAAAGGTATACAATGAATGAGTTAGACAGACAGAAACGTTGAGTTGGTTTGAGGAGAAAGACTATGCGAAAGTAGAATTGGACTGGGACATACTGTAAAACCTATGTTTGAGATGGAATACAACAAGAACTGGGAAGATTTGAAATGGAAACATTGAAACAGGAAAGTTTGAGTTTGAGCAACAAATTATTCCAAAGTGTCAACAAAACTGCGATAAATGTGCTGCGAACTTTCTGGAATTTGTCGTTTAGCTGTGAAATAGACGCTCCGGCGAGTGTACTTTGAGTCGAAGTTTCTCACGTCGTCAGGAGCACTCTCAAAAACAACTCTATTCCAGAACTAAAAGTATAAAAACGCACTATCTTTGGCACGAAAGGAGGGCGGACCGTGCGGTTCAGCAGTTGATCCCACTTGATATCGAGAAAGAAATCGGCATTTTTGACCATCTCTGCTCCACGCTCGCCGTATCCCAAACGATCTTCCGGGTTTTTTGTGAGCAACTGAAAAACAAAGCGGTCCCGTTGATCTTGGCGGTCCTGTTCAGTTGCGAACCTTTCGAATGATGAACCAAGCTGCTTCCGAAGCGTACGCTTCTCTGGGAAAAGTGACATTGTCGTAGATGATCGATTCCTTCACATTGAGCCCTCCGAATGCTGCCCTCCCGAAAATCATCTCGTAAATTAGAATTCCCATGGCCCACCAGTCAACGGCGCGAGTGTACGGCTGTTTTTTGTGAAGTTCGGCTGAAAAAGAAACTTATTCTCTTGCAGACTTTATAAAACGCAAAGAAACTTACGAGCCATGTAGCAGCGTGTTCCGCAGATGAAAGTCATTACGGATTTTGCAAAGGGTCGATACTCACACAGTCCGAAATCGCAGATTTTGGCGAATCCACGACGGTCCAGAAGTATATTCTCTTTTTTGAGGTCCCGATGAGTGAAGCCGTGCTCGTGGAGGAACTGCAACCCGAGGGTTACGCACGCCGCGTAGAACCGCACGTCCTTCTCCTTCATCGGACCGTTTCGGAGGCGCTGCCACAGATCTCCGCCGCCGCAGTACTCCAGACAGAAGATGACGTGATCCGGAGTTTGGAAACATCCGTGATAGTTCATCAGAAACGGATGTTTTTCGTGAGCCACAGTTCGGAGCGCCCGTTGCTCCATCTTTAAATGTCCGAAGAACTCTTTGTTTTCCAGCATATTGCTTTTCTCAACGAACTTCAGCGCTACATAGGCTTTGGACGGTGTGTGCTCAGAAAGCAAGACTTTGCCGTATCCGCCACTGCCAAGGACACTGACCAGACGGAACTGATCAAGCCGGAACTGTTTTCCTTGGCTGATCGAGGTGGGTTCAGGCTTGGGCGTCGTTCTCGGAGATTCTGAGCTCCCGGTCTCTCTCTCCTTGAACACTTTTCTTTTGATCCACTGAAAACTGAGTAAATGAATTATTTCATTGAAATTTTTTAGAACGGTCACAATACTCACTCGGAACGGAGTTCCTATCGCTCTGAGCATTGACGGTTCTGGAGCGCAGTTATCGGAAGACATTGGAGCACCTGAACGGACTGTTTTCGAGTTGGAAATGGAGGAAATTGGTAAGGAAAGAAGCTAAATGGAATCGGTAAAGAAAGTGACGAAAAAGTGAGTCATGTTTTGGTTTCGAGCGAGGCGGCCTTACCGTTTCGTAAGACGCGGGGAATAGCGGCCGAGGTTCCCCCTTAGCACCTCTATGCGTCACTTTGTTTTAGCTTCTCCAATTTTTTTACACAACATTGACGAAATATCCCTTTCTCTCTAGGCTACGGTCCCTAACAATTGCATTGGGTTATCTGAGAAGTTCCGCCGGCTTTTCGGAATTGATAATACTTATTTCCATCCTTACTTTTTCTTTTCCCTAGCCAAAAACCTCGGAATATCCAGATGATTCACTTTTTTTTCGTAACTCCAATCCACTCTCTATTCAATCGACTCAAACTACCTTTTTCTGTTTCAGATGTCTACTGCGCACAATTCGAACCAACCGATCACGCTCAGATCCGTCGCAAATCAGATCACGAAACCGTTCCGAGTGAGTACATGTCTGAAATCGACCAATTGAAAAAAGACCTTGTGTTTTCAGTGGTTGAACAGGAAACTCGTCGGAGAGCCGGCCGAAATGTGCCGTCTCATCGAAGTGATCGGACGTGGAGAGTTCGGAAGATCGATTCTGGCGCAGAGCTCTTCCACGATGCGCTTCCACACGTTCAAAGTGATGAAGAAAGGAGAGGAGGCGATGACGGAGAAGCGGATGTTCGAAGTGTTGCCGTGGTCGGATTCCTCGTTGCTCGTCCACGTCTTCAGTTGTTTTGAGACTCCTCAAAGCATTGTGTTCAACATGGAATACACCTCCGAGTTCCTCAAGCTCCGTCTCGAAAAAGGTCCGATCCGGTCAGATTCGGCCCGATTTTATGGTGCCTGTGTCCTGATGGGAGTCCAGTTCCTTCACGATCTGAAGATCTGCCACAATAATTTGAAGTTAGAGGCCATTTTCCTGGACCTAAATGGTTACGCAAAGATCGGAGGCTTGGGGAATTGTGTCGAGAGAATGGGAGCATTCGACAGTACAACGTCGGTTCCCGAGAATTCGAAGGACGTCGCTCGTTAGTTTCTTTGCTATAATTTCCAAGAAAATGAGTTCATTTTTACAGCGGAAATTATAAAAGGGTATCCCCACACCCGAGCGGTCGATTGGTGGTCTCTCGGGGTGCTGATCAAGCAAATGTTAACCGGGGCGAGGGCGACGGAGGAGGAAACCGCAGTTTCCGATGCTGCTTTCGATCTGATCACGAAAGTGAGTGAAACCGCACTCTAAACACAATCGGCTTCATTTTTCACGTTTCAGCTGCTCGCCGAGGATCCGAAAGATCGCTTGGGGTACGGAAACAGAGGAGCCGAGGAGATCAAGAACGAAGAGTATTTCAAAGGCTGCGACTGGCATGGAATCAACTTCCATCAGGTTATGCCGTCCTTCAGGCCCGAGATTGTGAGTTTTCGCACTTTTGACTTGTAAGACGATGCTTTTTTAGCGGTTTTCGGAAGACGTGGACGATGCCTCCGAACAGAAGGGTGTGCAGTTGTCGAAGGAGAACGTCGTGAAGAAGTCCGATCGCCGGCGCTTCGATGAAATCGTCTCCTTGATGGAATAGTTCACTGAATATCCCTTTTTCTCCAGACAAGTTTTTCCTTCACTTTTTCTGTGCACCCAGTAGATTCCGGTTCTCCCTCTAGACTAATATCATCATCCGATTTTCGCTCCTCCCGCTCGCTCTCCTCATTTTGCATCCAATTTCTGAGCGTATTTCCACCGGTTATCACTTTTGTCTGGAAAAACTATCAAAGAAGAACAGAATCTGAAACACATTTGCTCAATAGCGATTATGCAAACGCAAACGATCTCGCCAAAGTGCTTTATTATCGAAAACATTTCTCCGAACACATGTCACCCCCTCTTCTTGTTTTCACTTGTTCCACGTGTCCCCCAAATCAACAATATTGTCCGCTCAACTTTAAATAATAAAAACGAATGCCTTCCCTTCTTCTTCTACTCCTACTCTTTCTCTGTATTCTCATAGTTCCAATTTCGGCGGAGCATCTCATCCAGGTCGCCGAGGACTTTATCAAACTCCTCCAAGAAGCGGTCAACAACCAGAATCTGGAGGAAATCGGCGATTTCTTCTGGGGAACCGTTCTCTATCGGTCCAATGGAGAGAGCCGAGAGTTGAGCAACTGTTAGTTCAGTTCACGTTATCTTATATTCGACAATATCCATTTCAGTGGAAGCGGTTCTCGAGATTGCCAACAAATGGATCATTGAACGTGTTCTCGAAGCATCTTTTGTGGAGGAGCGGCGCGTCGAAGGAGTCCGAATTCGAGTGGAGATCGGAATGGAAGAGGACGGAGAGAAAGACCTGGCGGATGTGTACATCGTCGAGTACAGAGAGGCCGACTTTAGAATTCTGCAAGTGGATCGTCGTGGTTAATGTGGTTTTATGAACTCTTAACTTACTTTCTGTTTAAAGAGCATCAACATATGACCTTGATTAACGCAGCAGTTTTGAATGGAGACCGTTCCGTTTTGTTGTAGGATCACTCGATTTAAGCGCAAAGTGAAGCAGAGGATTCTTCTAGAAAGTCAGTGAATTCTGTGCCATCACTTTGTGGTCCCATTGAAGTGTTCGAAGCTTCCAAAAAACTTCGACACCTTCCCGAATCCGTCTATAGTCCTTCTTCTTCTTCTTCTTCTGAATCCATCAACCCATCGTCGTGCACTCCACAATTACGACGCGATGGAAGGTGACGGTGAGCAAAAAACGGGGAGAGAGTGAGCAAAGCGGGCAGTGGTTAGAGAAACGAGAGAAAAAAGAGACGGTTTGCGGGCAGGGGTATAAAAGAGAGTTCTGTACGTGGAACGACATCATTCATTCGTTTCCTCCTTTTTTTTCTTCCATCCTATCCTTTCCTATCCTTTCCTCCTTTTCTTCCATTTCTTACCTAAAATGGCCTCTCCTTCGTTGAAACGTTCGTCCAGCTCTTCGAGCATCGCCTCCGACTTTGAGATCCTCAACCTCTCGGACACCGAACCAGAGCAAGGGACCGCTGAAGACGTGTTCGTCGAGGTGCCCATTAAACTTGCGTTAACCGGAGAGTGGAAGTTGATCTCGATGGAGGATAAGGACAAGATGAATTCTATGGTTAAATTGCTGTGCAAAGAGCTTCAACGGCCACTCCAACACTTTCAGTTCCTCGGGAATGTGATGAAAAGATCGGTGCCGAAGGACGGAAGGCTCACCGAATCCTTGTACTCGACGCTGGACAAGAAGGTGGAGCAGGGAGCGTTCACTTACTCCATGTTCATCGAGGACAATCGTTTGATCAGCGAGAAAGTGTGCTCTCCGACTGGGCAACTGGCCGTTCGCACCAAGATCTTCGTGGTCGAAGGGCTTCTCTACAACGAGACCTCATTCTCGGGCCGCACGTTCACAACGGTCTTCGAGAAGATGCCCGAAGACAAGCGGATTCAGTCGACGATCGTCGGAGAATGGAAGATGGTCTCTGCGTCTCCCAACTTCGAACGGTGGCACGAGGAGAGAGGAGAGACGAGCGACGACATCCAGCTCCACAAGTTCGGAGCCCTTTGCTACGAGACCGATGGCGCCGACACGTTCACCAACTACTATCGGACTGACGGAGAGATCCTCGATATGGACACGGAGGTTCTGCACAAGGAGGAGCTCATCGAAGGTTTGTTGTGGTGCACGAGAGTGGATCGCAACCGACTGATCGCCGTGGGAATGGACGAGAAGACGCGGCAGCAGAAGCATTGCATCGAAAGATTCATCGTCGACGGACAGCTTCATATCGTCGAGACCGGAGAGAATGAGGACATGGTTTCGACTGTCTACAAACGAGTTTGAGCCAAGCGCTTACTGTTTTTCGTTTATTTCCTAGTGTGCCTACCTGGGATAAGAACTGCTACAAATTGGCTCTCCGCCAGTTCTTGTACCACCCTGTTTTGTTGGTTTTTCGTCTTTATCTGAATAAATGCGCAATCGAATGTTTTTTTCCTTCTCTCTACCACATCTACATGATGATTCATCGCAGTCGTCGTGGCAAACCCCTTGACTTGACCTCTTCCAATGCGAACGCACTCTGTCTTCTCTGTTCCCTCTCCATTTCCTCACTATTTCCTCGCTATTAGCCCACGAGCGAGCAGTCAGTCAGTCTACCCCTCCTCCTCCCTTCTTCCCATTCTGTCGTCCGTTCATTCGTTCGCCTTACGTCTTCTTTCTTCCTCCTCTTAACGTTTCTCACTTCTTACTGTAACTCTCTCCAATTTCCAGAATCGATTCAAGAATGTCGGCTCATAGCTCAATGTCGGATTTCTCGATCATCTCGGATTTCGAGTCTGAAGCGTTCCGCTCGGAGAGCTCGGCTAGCGACGTGAGTGCCGATCTGGTGGCCTATCGATCGGGACTAAACTCGCCGGCGCAGTCTGAACACGGTTGGAGCGCGACGATGTCTCGATGGGACGCCTACAGCACTGAGGTCGCCCCATCGGAGTCTGAAGCAGATCGTCCGAAGTCGGCGGCGCTCTGGGATGTCAACAGAAGCCCAAGTCCAGCTGGTTCTGTTGCTCTTGACGCCGCTCATCTGGAATCCGAAAGAGAGGAAAGACCTGAATCGTGTGCATCTTCCGATGATGATGATGATGACTGTATCATCATAGCAAGAAAACCGTCGGGAGTCACCAGTTTTATCATTGATTTCTCTGATCCTTACGAAGATGATGATGATGATGATGAACAATTGAACGCCGATCTTTGGGGTGTGTATGCCACTGATCTCCCCAAGCACGATCCCGTTGAGTCCAGTCGTCCGGCCTCCGTCGCGCTCTGGGACATTGAGGAACCGGCTCGTCCGGCCTCCGTCGCGCTCTGGGACATTGAAGAGCATCTGAACCTGAAACCGACGGACCAATCCGCTGAAATCAAAGAGCTGCAAGAGAGAAACAGTGTGCTGATGAAAAATTTGATGGAGCTGAAAGAGGTGATGCGGTTCAATCAGAAGATTATCAGTAATTTGGTGAGGCACCAGCCGTCGCCGGAACTTCCTACTGAACAAAGAGTCGTTCAAGCATCGGTAAGTCTAAACTCTCAACTGATCGGGCATCAGCCGGACGTTTTTCTTTCCAGGAAGCCAATCCCATCGAGACCGAGATCGTCGGTGAATGGAAGCTGCTCTCGACGAGCAACTCCCACGAGTACCTGAGCGCACTCCACAAGAACGGCGGCGATGGACTCGATGCGGCGCTGTTCTCGCTCGGAAGGCCGTGCTTCGAGATGTGCGAATCCGGCGCGTTCACTTCCTACGTGCACTACGAGAATCAGTCCTTTGAAAAGTACACCGGACGTCTGGGAGAGTCCTTCGAACGCAATGGATGCATCCGCAAGTCGTACGTCGAGGACAACCGTCTCGTCATCGTGCACAGAAGAGAAGTCGATGGAGAAGTGCTTTTTGAGCAAGCCCGCGAGACGATGCACATCGAGGACGGCAAACTGCACATCAAGACGACGAGATTCGGTGTGTCCTGCTCGAGAACCTACGAAAAGATGGTTTCGAGCGGTGAAAATGATCAGGGGGATCTCTTGATCACCGAGAAGAATCATGCGATTTTGGTGGGAGAATGGCGCGTGCTCGACATGCACTGCAGCACGGAACTGGAGCCGATGGTCCGAACCTCGTTGGCTCAAGGATTCGACGCCTTCAGGCACGGCAACCGTCTTTACGCCCTGAAGGACGACAACGCGCTCAGTGAGAAAGTGGTGCTCAACAATAAGACGTTCGAGTGCGTCCGCCATGAGCCACGGACAAAAATGACGAGACTGATCCGCGACGGACTGCTCCACGAGAAGCTCGTCAACGAAAGTGGATCGATAACTGTCGTCTACGAAAGAGTTTGAGCCACGTGTCTTTCCAATTTAATTGATCTCCTGTCCTCGTTTCATTTCGTTTTTTTCTTCGCATGCTTCAAAGTTTTCATAATAAATTTGTCAGGAATCAAACACGGGGATGCATCTTTCAAGTCCTCATTTCAGTCTTCTGAAGATCTTTACTTTGCACATTTTGTGTCAATTTTTTCTGTTTCACTTTGTACACATCAGGGAAACTGATGTCAGCGACCTAATCTAGAGCTGATGGACTTGAATTCCCATGCAAAACGTTATATCCTCCTCAATCACGTCGTCTTTGGCAACTTTGTCTGCCCGCGGAGGCCATCTTGACTACAAAAAGCGAAGTATTATCGAGGAACACCTAGGTACCGCAACGGGTTTCACGAAACTCGGAATTTCTATAAAATTCTTGTTGGAATGTGTTCCCCTACTCTATATGAGTACGCTCCCAATTTTTTTTTCGAAAATTTTCGGTACATCCCGAGTTACACCACTCCAAAGTCGCCCTGTTTTCTCTCAGGTCGGCGGCCGAGGAGGGGGCGGAGTCTCACTAGCAAGTTTGCCGCACGCGTTTTTTATCCTTGTCTGGTGGACCAAACCAAAGAATCAACATTTTGAATGAACAGAAATGATGTTCTAAGAAAGCAAAATAACTTTCGAGGTCAAAATTTTCGAACCCGGCACCTTTAGATTGCCGAGTGAGCACTTTCCCACTGCGCCAGCCAGGCGAAGGCGCGCCGGCCGCCAATGGCATAGAAAAGCTGGCTGCGCGCGGTCCACTTCTAGGTGTCAAATTAGTGTTTTTGCGTGCTCAAATCCAAAACTGTTACACTTTACAGTCACTTTTCAAAAAACGGAAACTAGATAGATGGAAAAGTTCGGCATGGATCGGTCGGAAATTTGATGCTGAATCCGATTTTGGGAAAATTAGCCGCGTGTAAGGTACCTGTGACCCTCAAAACCCCCAAAAACTACAATTTCGGCCAAACTGGCTCTACTAAAATGAACACAAATCTGGTCCTAGACTGTCTAGAGCTCTGAAAATTTATATTTGGGTTCTCAGAGAGTTTATCTATGGATTCCAAACATAAAAAAGTATGGTCATCGCTGAAATTTTTTCACAATTTTTTGTGCCAGTTTGAGGACCTGTAAAAAAAATCGGAAACTAGATTGTCTGATTCTGACTTAAAAAACGGATTCCCCATCCCTTAAACTGTTAGAATCACTTGAAAGTAGGCGCGTGTAGCCATAAATGTGGCCACACGGGCTCTCAGACTGACTTCCATTCTCGTTTTCGCCTTTTTTTGAGAAAATGGTGGGTTTTCGTGGGAAACGGAGTTGTTTATTAGATTCAGCATGGTCGATTACATAAAGTAAAACATTACGAGTATGGTACTTGGTCTGGGGACCTCGGTACAGGTCCTCAAACATGCGCGCGCGGAAATCAAGAGAAAATTCGTCAGGCCACGCCCCCTCCTTTGCGCCCCCTAGGTACACCCTCGTCTCATGACTCCAAAGATAAACTTGACAAACAAAATGTGTGTTGCTAGGTAATGCCGCTAATCCGCACGTGGCCGCCACTTCCGACAACAATCGGAAAAGGAAGAGACGGAGGTCTATCCGTGCTTTCTCTTTCTCTCGCTCTCCCTTCTTTTCAGAGTATTGCTCCTCTTTTTCTTTTTCGAAACTGTTATTGTTTGTCCCACATGACGTACCTCCTTCTTTTTATGGGCGCTTTTGTTTATTTGTTCTTCCAAGGCGCCTCTCCTCTCAAACTATGCTGACAAAATAGTTGCTCTCTTTTCTTCTTTCCCATTCCTCAAATTGAAATCCGGCCGAACTGACATCAAATTAGCCGCAACAAGAGTCGGAATACACATGCGAGGACGAATGAACTATTATTATCCGTCTCCTAGTCCAGCTGGCCCCAGCCATTCTTGTCTCCTTCTTCTCCTTCTCCTTCTTCTTCTCTCTGTCTCTTCTCGTCCGTCCTTGTCGTTTCCGTCTCTTTCGCCGCCTATCTCTCCCGCGTATTCCGCCGTTCTGCTGCCCTCCTTCGCGCATTCTCTCCCATTTTATGCCCTTCTTCGTTCGATTTCTCTTTATTTTGCGAGTTTCAGCGTTTCAAAATGCCCCATCCGTGGGGATTCGGTCAAGCACCGTCATCGCCACAACAAGGCACCGGCGATTGGATGCCGAGCGGTTCCTGGCCGATCGGACATGACGGTCCCACGCAGGAAATGTGAGTTTTCTCACTTCGATATTGTTGTTTGCGTCTCAGAGAAGCGCAGACATTTTATGGGAGAACGAAAAAGGTCAACAACAGCCATTCTCTCTCTCTCTCTCTCTCAATTTTTATCTCTTCCCCTCCGCGGGGGACTGCTTTTTCCACGTCATGATTCGTGAAAAATCGCCTTTCAGATATCATCAACAAAGCATTTCGGATACGCATTTTCCGGACAACCACTACGGTCAATCGACAAGCGAATCGGCTTCTGCCCTCGTGATGACGTCACCGTACGATTCGGAAGATCCGAAACATGCTCGGTGAGTTGGAATGCTCTCTCCGATATCGACGAAAAAGTCTCAGAGTTTCTGAATGTTTTTCCTCGAAATTGAATGGGAATTAGCAAAAACCGCGCGACGGAACGCAAAAAGGAACAATAAACCGGGGGTTTTCCAGTTTCTTCGGTGAAAAACCGGTTATCTACCAAATTTTCCCGCTGTTTACGGTCTTCAGAGCTGACAATATGAGCGTGGCCTTGGCAGCCAAATGGCGTTTTCATGAATTGAGCACGTTTTCTCTGATTTTTGTGGTCAACGGCGATGAAAAATGATTGTTCGACATGAAAATACACTAATTCTCAGAATTAATGACGTTTTGGCGCATTTTTCGCGGACTTTGCTTTTTTGCCTTCGCCGCCGAAACCGCACTTCTCATTTTGCGCTTTCTTGACTGTTTTCGGACAGAATTGGTTTTGAGAATGATAAATCACGTAAATACAAGCATTTTGAGCGCTCGAACCGCGAAAGCTACCGAAAAGCAACTGAAATTCACGCAATTTTAGCCAAAAACCTTCAAACGGATAAATGTAATTGGCGACTTGACCAAATTTAACGCTCTTGCGCTTAAAAAATTATTAATGACCTATACAATCGGTCTATTGAGAGACAAATGTGAAATTATCGGTTTTTCGTGGCTAATCTGGCAAGAAACACTAATTTTGCTGTTAAAATTTGAATTTCGCGCCAATGTATCATAGGGGCACCGCACAGAAACGGCGCTCTGTTGAGAAACTCTTTTTGCAGTGCAAATTGAGCGACCTCGGGGCCGAGTTTGAAAAGTGAGGCCACGTTTTAAGTGGAAAATTACTTCGCGGCCTAGAAATTCGGCTAGTTTGCGAACAGCGCGCCCTTTCTGTCCGGTGCCCCAATAATATCGCTCTATTGGGCGGGGCGCACTTGCGCGCCCATTGTCAGCTCTGGAGACCGTGCGCTGCATCGGTGCTTTTTTTTAATAAAAAACACATGTCTGTCAACTGTAGACCAATGGAACTTTTCAGATACCTGAGCCAATTCCGTGTCAATCCCTGCCAGCTCTTCGCGAACCGTCAGTGCCAAAAGCACCGTCCGTTCAGCTGCTTCAACTACCATTACGCGAATCAGCGCAGACGAAGGTACCATTTTATCTGGAAATATTAAAGCCATTCGACTTCTTGTTTCAGACCATACCGCCCGGACGGAACGTTCGCCTACTCCCCTGAACTCTACTGCGAACTCTACGACGACAGTACGGGACGATGTCCGAAAGGCGACAAGTGAGCAAAATGCTTTCGTTCCATAGAAATCTCTCATTTCTAGTTGTCAATATCTGCACCGGGTCGCCGGAGACGTCGAGAGACGCTATCATCCGAGGTACTACAAGACGGCGCAGTGCTCTCATCCGAACGATGAGCACGGCGATTGCATCAAGGTATCTCACTTTTCTATGAATCGCTCATCTTCAATGCTCTCTTTCAGAACGGTGTTCACTGTGCTTACGCGCACACGAACGATGAGAAACGACCGATTCCGCAGAACGTGGACATGAATTTGAATCCGAACGGTCGGCAGCCGGGATTCGTAAAGACCGCCGAGGAGTGGTTGAGCCCGGACTACGTGTTGTCCCACTACAAAACCACGCTCTGCCAGGTCGCGTCGCTGTCTTGCCGTCAGGGATACGCGTGTTCCGGCTTCCACAACTCGAAGGATCGTCGTCGTTCTCCGGCTCAATTCTTCTACAAGTGAGCTCAATTTCTGGCAACAATCTCACCGATCCCACTCAGATCGACACCATGTCCGGCCGCGCGTGGCTACAACGAATGGCTGAGTCCGGAGTCGTGCAAAGCCGGCGACACGTGTCCGTACTGTCACACGAGAACCGAGCAACAGTTCCATCCGGACGTGTACAAGTCGTCCAAGTGCACCGACTTTCTTGAGGTTCGAGAACTTTTGATCCGATCCCATCTGATTCTACTTCAGCATGGCTTCTGCCCTCGCGCAATGTTCTGCGCGTTCGCGCACCACGAAACAGAGCTCAGCAAGATGTGGAACCCGTTTGTTCCCAAGATTGTCGACGAATTGACCGCAGATCTGGGTCAGTTGAGCCTAGTACATGCGGAAGAACCGCATGCGCAGCCCGGATGGGATAGCAGAAGAAGCTCGGAGAGCGTTCCACTTGGGACCGACCATGACACCTACGAACCGCCGCTTGTCGTTCATGAGCCCGTTGCACAACACCAGACGGTCGAGGACCTTCTCGCCGCTGTCGATGAAGCCGCCGAGTTTGTGGAGAACATGAGGGAGGAAGATTTGGGTGTCGAGGTCGAGTTGAGCGGAAGATCGGAGGCCTACGCACGACTGTTCATCAAGCATCTGGAGACTCGGAAGATCATGGAGAACATGGTCGAGATCATGCGATCCTCCATGATTCTGTACAGACAGGCTTTGATGAGCAAGACGGCGATGGAGAAGCAGGTGGAATCGCTCCAACAGCAACTTCTCGAAGCCACGCACCCGCTGCTCACTCTCGCTTCTCCGCTTTCACTCGTCATTCCGCAGCAAGGACCGTCCTCTTCAAGACCACAATTCAGCCCGCCCGTCGATGTGCTCGGCGTATGTTCCCAAAAGATTCGGAACCTTCTGTAGCCTTTATTCTCTTTTTCAGATCGGTGTTCTCTCGGCGCCGGCGTGCCCTCGTTGTGGCCGTGATTTCGTGCAAACCGGAGCGAACGGACCGTCGTCCTGCCCGATTTGCCCAAAATAAATTTGCATTTACCTTATCACTTTTCTATGTTCATCGATGTATGCAACACTTTTAGCTCCATTTCAATTGCATAATCCTTTTCCCTTATTGTCGCTCGAACGAACGAGCTTCCTATTCATTTCATTTTCAAACCCCGCACACACATTTCTGTTTCTGTCCGTTACAAGTAGTTCTCCTCGAGTTTTCACCATTCTACACCTTGACCCGTTTGCCAAACTCTCCCATTATACAGCATTTCGCATAGTTTTACACATATTTTGTCTGGTTCTATAAATAAAAACAAATTGGAAAAAGAGATTCGTGACCGTGGATGTTCAAACTTTCTTCATGTTTTTCCGCATTCCTGGTTCATTTCAGCTCTAATGGTCGGTTCTTTTTTCCGTTTTCCAGACTTTTAATCGCATTTTCAGCATCTTTTGACACTTTTTTACCTACTAATAACTCTTCATTTCTGCTTCTCCGCATCCGTAAAGATCGTCGGAAAGTTCGTGTGTAATGGGAATCCGTGGGTCGATGAGACTGTGTCGATTTACGAGTCAAACTACGGTAAGCTTTCAAGAAACAGTACAGGTTACTGTAGGTACGGTAGTTTCAGTACTGCCGGACAGTCTGCTCAACCAAAACGTCACCGATCAAAATGGAGAGTTCGTCGTGAACGCTTCTGGAGACGATGTGGCTTGGACTTTCAATATCCGATCTTCAAAATTGCTCATTTTCAGGTGTACCCCATCCGTCCGTACGTCTATCTGCCCAACTATTGCAATGCGGAAGTGGTACTATCCGAAAGTTCACCGAACATCTTCCCCAACTTTACAAGTAATTCCAGTTTCTCGGCAAGGAATGGGCGACGTACTTGCGCATCAGAGTGCCCGAGTTCTACGTGGATCGAGCCACCGACGAGGCTAGATTCTTTATGAATTTAGGCACGATCGAGTTGAACGGAGTGAGCACGGAGCAGATGGGATTCCAAAAGTTCACGGACTACATCAGGAACTTTGCGGAGAGCCGATCGGTCAAGGAAAAGGTCGAGAAGAAGCTGAAAATGTCTGAAATGTGAATGAATAAAGCATTTTTATGGTCCACTAGAGCGCGTTTTCTTCTCGTCTGAACGTTTCACAATAGTTGGCCTTCATCGAAGGTAAATTTCATAAAGATTCCGGTTCCGGCGTCTGAAATTCAAGAAATCGCCTCAAGAAATTCACATTCGAATCATGTAAGTCCGGTGCCAAAAGACCAACTCTTTTGTAATCATTCGCTAGCGCCTCCCATTGCAACTGTTTGCCTATCCTATCCTCCCTCTCTCTCTCACATTTTTCTCTGTCACAACATCGTCTAGTAGCTTTTCCATTTCACTTTTACCCCGTCGACATCCTTTTTGTTGCTCCTTCCGATTGCGTCAACCGCTCACAACTCTTCAGTTTCAGTTAGTTCCCCTACAAAATGTACAAATGCTCGAAGTGTTCTCGCAAATTCGAGAATTTCTTGGAGATGGAAATGCATAAGAAGACGCACGCGATGTTAACGTGTCCGGTTTGTGCTTTCAATCAATTTTGAAACAATTTTTGTGAAATATATATATTTTAGGTGTGTCCGAGTGAGTACAGTCATCGTAGCAGTCTGCTTAAACACAAGAATAAAAAGCATCCGGAGCTGAAGGCACAGAAAAATGAGTTTATTTGTGATGTAAGTTCAAAACGTTTTGAAACTCCAGTTCAAGTCTTTCTTTCTCCAGTTATGCTACAAAGACGTCGGTTCCAAAGATGGGCTCATCTCTCACAAACGCGCGCACATTGCCGAGGATGTATGCAAAGATTGTGGCCGATTTTTCACCGACAAACGTGAACTCAATGTGAGCCGAATAGGAGAAAAGTCGAAATGTTATATGGTTTCAGGAACATCTCGCCCGTCCGCATGCCAACAAATCCGGAGAGTACACGATTCAATTCAAGGCCCTTGTCGAAAGTTTCAAAAGCGGATAATACTCTGACTCTCCAGTTTGGTGAGTCGGAACGTTTAGAAACAAGAGTACAAGTCCATGTTACAGCCACTGAACCACAATCCCTCCAATTCCGGCGCACACCTCGAATAGCCCTAAATCAACTTTAAAACGTCGTCTTTGTTGTTTTTCCCCTCCTCATAAACTATTTACCTTGGATAGATTCACTCTAGTTGCATCAATACCCAGAAAAAAGGAGGAGGCTGTTTTCGAAACATGCTTCGAAAATACACTAGTTTGTACGCGAATGAGTCACAGAGTTCACAGAGTACGCACTCCGCGGTTCCAATAAAAAAAAAAAGAGAAGAGCGCTGAAAGTATGTATGCGTAGGTGGAATTGGCTGCGTAGCGACTCGACTTGTGTTGGTTGGCACAGTCGATACGCAGTCTATTTTTTCTTCAGATTTCTCACGTTCCCATTCGACGCGTCCCCTCACAAATGCACAGAAATGGTACGGCCCGAAGCGCAAGCATGAGTCACACTTGTTTACGCGATTTTCCCCCTACCATCAGCCCGGTCCAACTGGATCGATCTGGCGCCTCTGCTCCCGCTTTCCTCTCTCTCTCACCCTCCACGGCGCAAGAAACGAGGGGGCAAGACACCTTTTCCCTTCGTTTTTCCACGCTGACAGAAGCCGTTTTAAGCATACAAAGAACTCTCGTCAGGCGCCCATCCATCTGACACTTTTCTAGAGAAAAATTAATCTTCAAAAGCCTTCCGCCCACATATCACCGTGGGAGACTTGAGACAAAAAGGAGATACCAATCAAACTGATTATCCCAGAGATTACCCCTCCTTCACCTTTGTCACCGTTAATTAAAGGGATGGGGGGCGGAGCATGATGGTGAAGCACAGTGGACGTGAATTCACTCTAGCTATATAAACCGAGTAGAACACTCATTATCACCGACGTTATTACTATGCAGAGATTAATTAATCCCTGGAACGAGCTTCAGCTTTAATAATTTTTGATACTGAACCTGGAACGACGAGCGATATGAAAGTTGTTTGTATTTGGAAGTACTGAAAATGTGTTGATTTCAGCCACAGCCTCATTCATTCACGGATTGAGAATCCATCCTAACAACCGCGCGCCGTGAGACCATTTCTACGAACACGCTACCGACGAGAAAATTAGCCCCGCCCCCTTGCGCCCGCGTGATTGGTCGGCAAGCGGGAGACGCGGCGGTAAACAAGTTGTGTTGCGCGGCGGCCGAAGTGGGAGGCGCTAGGCCGTGTACTCCTTCTGGACAAGTATTGTCAGCATAACATTTATTGGAAATGGTTGTCGAATCGGCAATTACGATGACGTGGCTCCGATATTGTGAATCTTGCGGATCTTTTTCTGAAAAAAAGGCAATTCTAGGCCAGTCGAATAGTTGAAAAATCGCTGACCAGCATCTGTGTGTACTCCGCAAACAGTTTGGCCGATGGCTGCTCGTTGGGGTGGTCTGAAACGACGGAATGTTTTATGAGGCCGGAGACATGCGACAAAACGTGTGTTTCGCCACTTTTTCGTATCGGAATGCGATTTTATACAGTGACGACTCTAAAATAACCGGGAACGCGTCGATCGAATTTCGTGTTTCACATAAAATCAGAAAATTTCAATGTGTCTCACCTCTAACAAACTTTCCGAGCGCCGTGAAGAACTTGATCTCTCCGTACAGTCCGTTCCGACGCATACGATCGTACGACCACTTGGAGATCTGCAAATTTTAGACTTTTTATAAGTTTAGGACCCAAAATTAGAAAATCTATTTCTTGAGAGCCTGACGTACCTGAGTATAGGTGATTCCCCACTTGTCCATAATCTCGCGTCGTCCCATGGGTTCGATGTATCCTTTGCCGGCTTCGAACCATTGGAGCAACAATTTCACCAGCCCTCTCGGATGGCGCATTCTGCACGTTGAACGATTGGGAGGGAACGGAGAGGAAACGAGCATGGGCGCAACATTGCATTAACATTTTTGACGACGAACAAATTGTGTTTATTAAAGGAAAGCGAGAGAATTCACCGAAATAGAGATATTTGAAAAACGGGGAGAAAGGTGAGAAAGAAGAAGAAGAAGAAGAAGCAGAAGGGGGAAGTGAAAAATGTCAAGATTACTTAGTTAGCATTGTTGTTGTTGCGATCAACGGCTAATTGCGGAATCTGATGTGCGGCCGCCTCCCAACCATTCATACGAATTATACGATTCTGAAATGCCACGTCACCACAAGACAAAACACTTTCGGATGACTCACCATGATCTCTTCGAGTTCCGCGTACATTTCGTCGGTTGGCGATTCGTTTGGATGCACTGAAAAGCGAATTTGTTCCGGGAAAGGCAAAAATGCGCCCTTACAAGCCATATGACGCTTGAGTCTTTTGATGAACCGAAGTTCGTTGTAGATTCCGCAACGACGGAGACGATCCTGGAACCATTGGTGGATCTGAAAGGGAACACTTGAATGGATCCTACTGGTTACTGGCGTCTACCTGACGACTAGTCAAATGAGTGCGACGATAAATATCCGTCTTCGCTGCATAGCTGAGTTTCCCTTTTCCGAGCTCGAACCATTTGATGAGTATGGCAATGGTCTCTTCCGGATAACGCCGCATTGTCGAAATGCAGCGGCCAACCGAAAAAAAAACAGAAAGTGAAGAAGACGAGAAGAACAGTCGAGAGGCAGCCAGGAGAAGGAAAGGCGAGCGAGGGGATCAAACGGCGAGTTGGGCTAATTGGGAAAGGGGATCAGGCTACAGGGTAGCTTCGGTTGGTAGACGGGGTTCCCATGAGACATAACAGAGGATAAGCTAGCATTTAATCAAAATTAACCGAGGTTTAGAGTAACGGCTCCCCGACATTGAACGTCGCGGTCTACCGAAAATTTGCATCACTGCTAACAATGAAAGCTGTGTGACAGATGCAAAACGTTCAACTTGGCCTCGCTGTTTTTCAATATTTGTGCGCTGGTGGGCCTAAAAAATACGACGCAATTGGCAGAAAGTTTCTTGGCGAGCACACGCTGCTGCCGACCACAATCCCTCCCAATCACACACTCTGCGTCACTGCATCTGCCCTCTGCCTCGCGCCATTGTTTGTTTAGATACCGTAGGCGGAAGGGGAACCACTTTTTATGAGATGAATGCATTAACAGGGAGAGAAAAGGAGGAGAACATTTGAGAAGGGACGTAATCGAGTGAATCATTGCTTGTCGTATCCGTTCATTTCGATAATCTTGTTGAGAACGGTCTGAAACTCCTGGAACATTTCGTCGGACGGATCCTCGTCCGGGTGCGCCTGCACGTATCTGCTCAGTTTCCGAATGAACTTGAGCTCTCCGTACAGCCCGTGACGACGCTTCCGATCGTTCGTCCACGCGGAGATCTGAACGACACAAAGAGTTGCAGAGGTTTGCCGCCCTAATAACTCTTATCCGAACCTGTCGATACGTCAGATTGTGTTCCCTGGAGATTTCGGCGCGAGAGTCGCGGTTGATGTGACCTTGACCCGCTTCGAAGGCCTTGAGAAGTGCGTCCACGGTCGCCGGCGGGTACAGTGGCGACTTGTTCTTTTTCGGCGTTTTGTCCTGCATAGAGTTCTCTGTTTGGGAGGATTCTGAAGAGAAGAGAACTGACCGCTTTCATGTCTCGCAGAGAGGATTGCTGGAACTGATTACGTGACGGATATTATCGGAGCGAAAGTTTCGATCCACGTCGGAAAAGGTCATGCTGGCAACTTGTTTCATAGGATGTTCACGGCAAAATTGATAGTATTTGAATACCCGCCGAATGAGCGCACTAGCCGCACTATTTTAGGATTTTCTGTTCCCGCTGCTCTTGACGGTAGTGAAACGTTCTGCTCGCGGCGAGTCCCGTACCCACATTTGATTCATCGAAGAGTGTCAAGTCACAATTTCTTCTTTCGTACCTTCAACCTTCAACAGACAACACTCTGCGCTTTTCGTTCAACTGACGCCAACGCCTACACATGCAACTTTCTCTCCTTCCCTCATTTCTCTTGTTTCTCGTCTCCATTCCCATTGGATCCTTGAAGTCTCTTTTCTTATTCGTCACAAGTTCATGTGCCCTCTCTCGTCGCTCCATACAGAACGGGCTACAGAAAAGCATCTGCCTCCGCCGAGCGCTCGGCCGGCCGCCCGACCATCACCCACATTATTGCCCTTCCAAACCTCGAACTCTCACTCTCCTGTACACTCTTTTTTGTCTCTGACACCCTCCGAGCCCTTCTGCTCCTTCTCGCTTTGCCGACCGTTCTCGGCCGACTTTTTTTGCATCATGATATCAAAACCCTCAAGAAGTCGTTTCCCTTTGACTTTTCCACTTTCAGGTAGGTGGAAAATGGACTTCGGAGGAAGTTCATCGAAGCCAAAGAACAACAAAATCTACATCGCTTCTGTGCCAAAGGAGGGTCACTGGGCGTTCAAATATATTCAGAATGGGTAAGGATTTATCTTTTTCCCTTTCTCTATGTTGTAAGGCTTGTCGATTACATCCAAAAGCCATTTTTGGGAATTATTATTATTATTATTTATTTATTTACGTTTATTTTAACGTGGAGAAGAGAGAGAGAGAGAGAAAAAAAGAAGGGGAGGGATGTGGGGGAGTTGGGGGGAATAAATGGGGAATCTTCAGCTACTTGCCCGCGCAAAAGGAAAGAGATGATCATTTAACAGATGCCTGTGCCAGATTCATCTTTGATAAGACTCTGTGTATAAAAAAGTTGTGTCTTAGCTTCGATTTTGGAGTCTTCCATCGGTAAACGTCACTCCGTCTAGTCCGTGTAGTGTTTAAGCGTAAGAAAAAGTCATCCGGATTGATGTCGACTTTGTTAGCTAACAATTTGATTAAAAACTTCTTATGAATGAACATGAATGAACATTTAGAAAAGTTGCACCCAAATTAACTTGCAGAACCTGTCGGGCGGAAGATATTCCCCTCAGAGTGGCTCCGAAGTCAGCCAGGAAGCCGCCGGCGGTGAACGTTCATCCGGAGGAACCGTACCATCAGGAGCAGCTGCACCGTCCACCAATCTGGTATCGACCAGACGAGCCGTCGCAGTACCAGGAGCAGTTGGGCGCGAAGAACCATCTGAATGGTCCTAGTAACGCAGCATTTGGCCAGGAAGATCAGGAGCAGCAGTTGCGCTCACCGATTTGGTACAGACCGGAGGAGCCGTGGCGTTCAAATCTATATCAGGATCAGTTCGGCGCAGTGAACCAGCAGAATGGTCCGAGTAGCTCAGCATTCGGACAAGTGGAGCCGGAGCAGCCGTGGCGTCCAGGACAATTGTGGCAGCAGTTCTACGGCGCTCCGAGAAATCAGGATGGACCCAGTACCTCAGCAGTCCGCCAGGAGGATCCGGCTGGCTTTCAGTACCGCCAGGAACTGTCAGCTCTCGGCCACGAGCAGCTCTACGGCTCTGCTCGCTTCGAGTACCGCCAAACGGTCCCCTACAGCTCACGCTCGAACTCGCCGTCTGCTCTCGCGCCGGACTACTGCTGCTACGACGAGCTCGTTTTTGAGGACAGAGAATACCAGCCGCCGGGACCGGACAACGAGAAAAGAAGACGCAAACGGTCAGTGAACGTTTTCATTCCTTCAATAACTATTCTATCTTTTCAGACATGCGCAAAACGAGAGAAAGAAGGCGTGGAAAGAGGCGCTGCGCAACGAGGATCCGGAAGTGACGGCCGCCCGTTATGCGGCTCACGTCGGAGATTGGGGAGACGAAAAGTGGGAGGAAGGGGAAGCCGATTGGATCATGGACATGTGAGGAGTGAATGATAATATATACCGTTTTCTTTTCGTTCCTATAAACATCATGGATTCCCACAGCTTTCAACAATTCTGTATTCAGGATAAGAGTTAGTTAAGAACAAACAAAGCACTATTTACTGGTAAAATGAGGGTACAACCAGCGCTAATCACTGGGGACCGTCAGTTTCCAGGTCGGTGCCGTTCTGCTCGGAATTCATCTGCATCTGCTGCATTTGTTGAGCCAAATACAACAGCTCGAGCAGTTTGAGCCAGTTCGGGTCGATCATGGGAATGATCGGAATGATCGGAAGTGGTGGAAGCATGTTGAGGCCCTGATTGTTGGCAGGCGGCGTCTGGAATCATTGAATTTCTCTATGAAGCCGGGGCTATCTGTCTGATTCGTCTCCTATTCAAAGTTGTGGCTGTCTTTTAGTTTTTCGAACTCACATCCTTATTTCCGTTCATTCTGATGCACTGGATGGTCAACGACAGCACATCGAGCTTCTTCCTGAAAATAATCCATGGTGAGCTGAAGCGTAAGCGCGGCAATATTGAGTTGGCTGGCACAGTGCCAGTTTACAAAGGCGATACAATACGCGTTGCTCTCATCAGTGAACTCACAAGAATCTCACAGTGACGCCCTTCTCCCTGATGATGTCTCTCAACTTGTCGACCTCCTTTCTCTCGAGTTCTCTTCTAAAGTTGTTCTTCTCCTGAACACTCGCTCCTTCCAACACGTACTTTCCGGGCGGAGCACGTCCGGTGAGCAAGTTCACGGCTCCCATCATAACTGTGAGCTCGCTGAAAACGAAAACGCTTCGAAACACTATTGACAGACGCAATCTGACGTCATCTTCTCTCCGCTCGGGTTCGGCACCAGTTTCGCCAGCTCGCACATTTTCTCCCTCAACTCACGACGATCTCTTCTCGCCTGCAAGCCGTTGTACCGCTCCTTTTTATGAACGACACCTTCCATTCTAAAAGAGACGTTTCAAAAAGTCGTCGGTGGGTAGAAGGAAAAGGGGAAAAAGTGGTCGCCTGTTGCATAGCTCGGAATAATGGGTTTGTTTTTTTAATGTAATTTGCGAACAAAACCCATTACAGTACTTGTTAGAGGAAAACTATAACGTCAACATGTTACGGGACGAAAGCGCACAATGTTGTGAAAAGTGTGTGACCATGTTTTGCTGCGAGTCACGATTGTTGAGTTGTGAAGTGTCAAACTCTTCGGCACCAGGGCCAGATGTGTGGCACGTGCGGTTTCATGGCACCTGTCATGGATTTCATTGATCCACCCCCCAAATGTTCAGAAGGCACGTATAAGGAAGCATGTATTCATTAGAAAACTCTACTATCGGATGCCCCCGATAGCATAAACAATCTTAATTGAATCCGACAACATCAACGTGGATGTCTTCCTCTTCCGGCTCGCTTTTCTCCTCCTTCTTACTCTTCTGAACGACTTTTGGGCTCTTCTGACTCTGCTGCTCCTCCTGCTGTGGCTGCTGACCATTAAGAAGCACCTGATAGGCCTGGCATATGAGCGCGAGTTGTTGGAAGAACAGGTTCGGATCGACAGGCGGCACGGCGAGCACTGGTGGAGCAGCGGTGGGTGCGGGCGGCGGCGGTGGCGGCGGCGATGGAGTTGGAGTCGCCGGCTTCTTCATTTCCTTGATGTAGTTGATGGCGATGGTAAGAATCGACATGCGATCGAGGTTCTCTCTGCAAAAACAACAAGAATAAAAACGGTTCTCGAGCACTGTGAACCCACCGTTTGTATCCCCTTCCGATGTATCCCTTCTTAATGACAATCGCGCGGAGGGCCTCGAACGCCCCGTGATGCCGATCCCTCCGGTTCTTCTCTCGCAATCTCCGCAGCTCTTTCGTGTTCTCCACCTTCTTCTCCAACTTGGAAACGTCCAGAAACGTGGAAGCGGCTTCTGTCGCGTTCGGATCGTTTTCATCCGAGATCAGGTTGATCGTAGCGATCAGGAGATCGTTTTGTCTGGAAATAATTAAAAGCCTTTTATGACAATGCTCAAAATGCGTTAAACTTACGAGAGCTTCTTGCCGTTGGGTCCCTGCACGACTTCTTGCAGTTCCTCCCACTTGGTATTCACTTTCTCTCTTCTCTTCTTATCACTTGAAACTTTTTTGTATGGGCTTTTCGATTGGGGATCCATCTGAAATCAGAAAAGAGTATGAGGATGAGAGAAAAGTGTAAGATCACAAAGAGCAGAACGGCCGAACGAATGAATGAATGAATGAATTGGCGAACCTACCGACCGACGAACCGCCCAAATGCGATATGTTCGCAATGATCCGCGACCGTCTTCGTCCGCGGTTTCCCACTCTTGTTCCTCGGCGAGCCGCGTACTTTTCAGAGACGTTCTCATTCACCTTCAAGTCCTAGCTGCCTCTTTTCTCACGAACTCCTCAAAAGGAGGCGAATATGGAGACACTGTGCGAGGGAGAAAGGTGACAGGACGGCGTGAGAAACTAAAGAAAGGGGGGGAGAGGAAAGGAGTACGACCGTCGGGCGGTGGTTGAGGTGGTTGAGGATCATAAACTTCTATCAGTAGCTGATATAGTGATATGTGAACACTTTTGGACAGTGCGAACAAATGTGTTCCAAAAAGGACTAAAAGTACTGCTTATGTAACTTATACCATCGAATAGAGCGTCAAAAGTTGTACAGAACTGCTAGAGATCATGATAATACAAGAGTTTGTTCCTTATTTTTGAACCACTATATCTTGAGAGCCAATAATTATTTCACAACATGGTGAACTGGAAAGTTGTTGCAAATCTTAAGCTGAACTACTTGGTAATTGAACCTTAAGCTCTAAATTTCGGCCATTCTTGAGTTATGCTTCTGTTCACAAAAGCGCCCAAAAAACGACAAAACGAATAACGTACGTTTCCCAAGTACCAAATTTATTGTGAAAGAAGGTGAAAAAACGTCCTTAGAATAACAAAAACATGTTTTTCTTAAGAATCCGATACCATGTGCCCAAGTGTTGTCCCAAGAAGTCAGTCGAAAATTCTGAAATCAAACATTTGAACTACAAGAGAAACGCGAAAATCGCCTACTTCCAGCTGAGCATTTTGCCGTTCAAGTCCAGGTTGTCGGCTCCGTGAAGGAGAGTGATCGGCGAGCCCTCGAATGCATTGTAGTTGTAATGAATCGGGGAAAAGCCGGTGGTGTTGAGCACGTTTACCGTGAACTTGCGCTGGACAGTCTTCTGGAAGCACACTGCTATACATAATTAGACTCGGTAAAAGTCCGCAACTTTTACGCAAACCTGACGCTTGCGTGACCTACCGAATTTACCGAATAGTCACGGCACGGCGCCCAGAAGTGAAAAAGAGGGCGTGGTCGGCGCTGAGACGCGATTTTACAACACTTTATCGGATGAACTTCGAAAAAATAGATATTTGATTGAAATTTTTGTGGGAACACAACTTTCGAGACGTTTTCGCAGCTCGTCCGGCCAAGCTGAACAGATTTCAGGCAGGACCAGTACAAAGCTAAAAATCCAATTCAATTGTTAATTTTCTGAATAAAATCTGCTTGTTTTAGGTGTAAAATGTGCGCAATAATTGCGAGCACGTTAGTGCAAACTTTTAGTTTTGTTTGACAAAAGAAAACATTCGCGCCAGCCAGACCACGCCCCCTTTTTTTCTAATTTTTAAGTTTCAAGCATACGTTTTGGTCGCGCATTGCCCAGAGATTTGTGGATTTCAAAGTGAACGGATCGCCCTTCAACGGTTCAATTGCGCACTTTTTCAGGCACACGAAGATTTGCTTCTGAAATTGAAGGACTTTTTGCTTTTGGAACAAAAACAAAACATGAACGAAACGCACCGTCTGCGTTTGGAGATGCTGCCCCACCAAGAGTTTGTAGCAGTGAATGCGTAGATGCCACGGCACTTGCCTCCATAAAATTTCCGTTTTCTTGCCGTCCAAAGATTGTTTGACGTGGAACGGCATGAGCACGAGCGGAGGCACAAAGTGGTGCATTGTGGCTGAAATGTTGAAATGTTGAGGAATGAGGCCCGCGGACGTGGCTCTTTCCCATTTTACGAGGCGGCACTGTCCCGATCAATGTTCGGCCGCTCTCTCGCTTTTACGCACTCTTTCTTCCGAACGCACGACGACGACGGAAAGAGAGCGAGAGAAGGGCGCTACAACAATATCACAAATGATGATATTCCTCTCTTTTCTCATTCCTTTTTGATGCATGTTGATTTCCCGACTCCCACGCACAATTGATGCAAGAAGAGAGCAAATATGGGGTGCTTTGTTTTTGCGTGTCACCCCGAATCTTTGATGAATTCACGTCAATCTCCGAGTTTAGCACTCATTTCAGCAAATTACTTGCCGTGCCGAAATCTTGAGTGAGCTTTCCACGTTTTCGCTCATTCGATTTCGGTAATTTTCAGTAATGGCAGTCGCGAAGCAGCCGCCTGGCGTGCAAGCCCCTCCCGAGGGAATGTCTCGCGGAATCCGAGCGATTTTTGTCGGGCCGCCCGGATCCGGAAAGGGAACTCAGGCGCCCGCTTTCGCGCAGAAATACTTCTCCTGCCACCTGGCGACCGGCGATTTGCTCCGCGCGGAAGTCGCATCGGGCTCCGAGTTCGGAAAAGAGTTGAAGGCGACGATGGATGCGGGCAAACTGGTCAGCGACGACGTCGTCTGCAAGCTGATTGAGCAGAAGCTGGACAAGCCCGAGTGCAAGTACGGGTTTATTCTCGACGGGTTTCCGCGCACGACCGGTCAGGCCGAGAAACTCGATCAGATTCTGAAGCGCCGGAACACGCCGTTGGACACGGTCATCGAGTTCAACATCGCCGACGATCTGCTCGTCCGTCGCATCACCGGCCGCCTCTTCCACATCGCTTCCGGTCGCAGTTACCATTTGGAATTTCAGCCGCCGAAAGTGCCGATGAAGGACGACGTGACCGGAGAGCCGTTGATCCGCCGTTCCGATGATAACGAGGAGACTCTTCGCAAGCGTCTCGTTCAGTATCATCAAATGGTGATTACTCACCATTCTCGTTTTCTGTAAAAGGCATTTTATTTTTTCAGACCGTCCCGCTAATTGATTACTACAAAAAGAGTGGAGTGCACGTGGCTGTCGACGCGTCGAAGCCGATGAATGAAGTGAAAGGGCACATCGAGCAAGTGTTCGCCAAGTACACTCAGAAAAAAAGATAGCGCCGCCGACACCATCAAAATCCGCCAAGATCGCTGAATTCTCTCGCATGTGTTCATAAATTCTTTGTCATCTTTTCTGAGGCTTTTTCACATTAGTACGAAGCGCACTAACGGCAATGTTGCTTTTTATCCACTCGGATAACTCACAACATTTATTCAGAACAAAACGAAAAAGAAAAAATTTAGAATCGCAGCTTGCTGAAGAACCACTTGTTCTTTCCGGTCTTGTAGCGCTCCTCGAACTTGGACTTGACTTCGACCAACGCTCTTCTCTTCTTCGACGGGTTGCTGATGGATTCCTAGAAAGACCAATATTTTTACTTCATATTTTGCTGGCATACCTTGTTGATGACAGACTTGTCAAAGGGCACGTCGAGAGAGTAACGGGTCGGGAGCAAGTGAGTGTAGGAGACGACCTTGAGGAAGGCCTTCAGGCGGTTTCGTCTAGCGATCTTCTTTTTACCCATGGATTGGTTCACCTGAAAAAAATGGAAATTGGAATGAAACCTGTAGCACTTTGATTACCTTCAGCGGGTATCTGTCGATTCCGGCAATGACGGCGTGCGGATAGGTTCTGTCCGACGCTCCGTCATCGTGAGCCTTGACAACGACAGCCTTGCGTCCAGCGAATCTACCTCGGAGCACGAGGCAGACCTTTCCAGGCTTCATGATTTTGGCCATTCTGACTGTGAAAATACACGTTTTCAAATGCATCACGCGGAAGAATAAATAGAAACAATTAACGGAAAATTAACAGCGTAACAAACACAAATATGAACGCGATAGGAGAAAGGAAATTTATTGAGAAAATATTTCAAAAAAGCAAAACAGGGCCCAAAACTTAAAATTACAGGGGAACAAAACCAAAATTAGAGCGAGAATGTCAAAAAACAAATCGGAGCAGCAACAAACGGCATTTTGAGAGTGTTTTTTGACAAAATTCGAGAAATTTAGGAGAAAACAAGAGAAAAACGAAATGAAATCGGGATATTTCGCGGCAAAAACTGAAATCGTGGTGAGACCCAGCTTTTCCGAGAGAAATACACGGCTCCAATCTGCAATCACTTCGACGCACTTTTTGCGGAAAGCACAGAATTCACGCGCGGAGAACATACTTTGAAAATGCTCAGAAAAGCAGTGATCACGTTCAGTTTCAGAATTGAGCTTGAAACTTCAGAAAAAGCCCAAACAATTCAGTAAAACCTTTGAAAATCATGAAAAAAAATCTTTTTGAAGAAGAAATTTAACAAAATTCATTTTCGCTCGAAAAATCCGCAAAATTAGCAACGATTCAGTTTTTGGAAGAGGAACTGGGATCTGCGGTGTTCGCCTGAGCATTCCCTTCGCCAGAAACGGCCGGAAGAGGATTTCCGTTGCCGTCCACATGGAAATAGTCAGCAAGTGTGAGTCCTTTCGCCTCTTGTTCCGCCTTGATCTTGAGCACCATCTCGTGAATCTCCCTGCAATTTTCGATAATTAAATGCCCAAAAAAAAAAATCACTTTAGAACGTCGTTTCTCGACATTTTCTGAGGCGGGCGTGGCGGCAAAAAAGCCATCAGTTGCTGGATTTCATCGTCGATTTCAGATTGTCTCTGGCGTTCAATTCTGACAAAGAGAAATGGATTTCTGCTCATTCACAAAAGGATCTTACCGATTTCTCTCGGCCGCCGATTGCCCCTTCTTCTTCTTCGCACCTTTGTCAGTCGTCGGTTTCTTGTTCATTGCGAAGCGAAATTGCCGAGAATTTGCCTTTTTCTCGAGTGGAATCTGCTGCGAGTTCTAGAATAAAGTGGGCGGGGCATGCGCCCTCTCGCTGTCGGCTTCATCAAAACGTCGCAGATGTTTGTGGAAGAAAGGGGCACCGCCGGGGGGAGGCGAGGGCTTCAAGGTCGTCTCGACGATGTTTTTATTTTATAATAAAAAGGGACCGTCTGGGGCATGGTATTCAGAGACCGAGATAAAATTTGACAATTTCTGGTCGGTTACTGACACTTACTGTGTGAAAAACGCCGACCGATTTTCGGACATTTTTCCGAGAGAGAAAAAGGTTTACCTCAGATTTAGCAATATATTCATGTTCAGAAAGGTGGGACTTTAATTTGTGCACAAGCTGGATTTGATGGGTGAAAAATTGGCCAAGAACAGAGACCTTAATTTGCCGTAGTTGTTTAAAGGCGCAGGGTCTAGTCAGCTACTAACCAGCTTCTGAAGCTTCTGGAAGCTACGGCTAGTATTGCTATCACCAACTTCGACAGCCCAGGGTATACATTACAACCGTGCAGAGTCGTAAATATGAGACTAGCACGGGTATACCCGTGTACTTTCAGAAATTTAGTGCTCCAGGTCATGGTGTACTTTCAGCCGATTGCTCCGCCCCCACCCCCGGCTCGTTCTGTGCTCGGATCCCATTCAGTCCGTTCCGAAGACGATGCCAACCTCTTCCGCTCTCTGTGCTCCGATCCACGTCGAACTGCTCAATTCGGACAGTTTTTGGCGGCTCCGCGCTCTTGGAAATGAGCAAGTGGTGGCCCCGGCTGGACGGTGTTTCTTCCCGGTCCCCGAGTTCAGTGTGTCCAATTTGGACAAAACGTCCAAGTACAAAATCGGAATGTTCTTCCGTGGAATCGTCGACAAGGAAGGTGTTTCGCCGCAAGACTCGAAAACCTTCCACCCCTTTCAGAATTCTGTGGAATCTGGAAACTTTTGGATGAAGAATCCGTTCGCGGTCAACGTCAAAACGACGAATAACGAAGCGTCGACGGATGAGAGTTCGGTGAGTTCGGTTTAAAGAGAACAATAATTCATGTTTCATTTCCAGGTGTACCTCCCGAGTCAATGCAATTACGTGCCCGTTCTCAAGGTCCAGAAGGTGGAACACGATGAGGATGGATTGCTCGTTCCGATCGGAGAGCCCGAGGAGTTCGCATTCGACTGTGCTGAGTTCCGGACCGTCACCAAGTACAAGGTAAGTGCTAATAGTAGGAACTTTATAAAGTTTACAAAGCTTTTCATTTCAGAACAAAGAAGTGGCCGCGTTGAAGACAAGGATCAACAAGTATGCTACGAACTGCAGGCTGACGGGTCGGAAAAATAAAAAAGCGCTCAAGACAGCGACAGGAGAGCAAGTTGGAGCCACGACTGGCCCTTCAGCTCCAGTTCCATATCAGCTCAATTTGATGACTATTCCGGTCCCGCATCTCTACTCTCCACAAGTTCCGTACTATGTACATGCACAATATCCGATCGTCAGCTGGGGAAATGTCAACGGAGGAGTCTATCCGCACAACTATCCAATGTTTTAGCGCATTTTTTATTGAATAAACAAATAAGTGAGTATTTTTGAGCCTTTGAATGCGTTTGACCATGTACGTTTTGATACTTTTTCAAACAGCCGAGCAGAGTTGAGCGGAAGAACTCAACGGAAGAACACGGAAGAATTTTTATCTTTTTTAGAAATGTTTTTCATGAAATGTGATCAACTGACGAAATGTATAGCAAAGTGAACTCTGCTCATAGAAAAATAATTGTAAATTTAGCTCTTCATACAAAAAAGCAGACTTGCCAAATCCCGGGCCGGGCCAGCAAATCGTCGGCCCGGCCCGGCCCGGTCGGCCCGGCTCCCCCCTCTCTTGAGAAAATTTTCGTAATTTTTGTGAAAATTTTGCGACTTTAAACAGCAATTTCTATTTTTTAACAGGTTTTTATGCTATAACATTGCCTTTTTTTAAGTCTATAAAATTTTTAAGTCTATAAAATTATGTTCGTTTCGAAGTTCTAGTTCGCTTTGAATTTTTTTAGGTGCATCCTCCCGGGCCGACCGGGCCGGGCCGGGCTGGGCCGGGCCGGAAAATTTCCAATTTTGGCCCGGCCCGGCCCGGCCCGTTGCAAGTCTGCAAAAAAGTTAGGGCTAACGGAAGACGGAAGGGCATTTTCACGGAACAACTCGAATAACTTTTTTGTATGAAATGTTAAATTTACAATTATTTTTTTATGAACAGAATTCACTTTGCTATACATTTCGTCAGTTGATCACATTCCATGAAAGCATTTTCTAAAAAAGATAAAAATTCTTGCGTGTTCTTCCGTTGAGTTCTTCCGCTCAACTCTGCAGCCGAGATACACTGTCTTAAATAGACAGTATTGGGATAGGAGTGTACTCTAAACGTGTGAACATTGATGCAATAAAACAGAATGCTGGAAACTTTATCGGCATACAATCAATCCTTTTCGATCCCAATGATCAGAACTGGACCACTGACAGCCACGAACCCGGTCGGAGTCTCCTTCTTGATCATCTCCTGAACCAACCCCTATCACTCCTTCATTCTAATCACTTTCCCATACATTCGGATGCTTCTCGTACGATCCCACGTCGGCTTCTCCGAACTTCTTGATGATCAGATCCCCATCTCTGATCTCGTAGTTTGTCGATTCAATTTCTTCTCCGTCTCCGTCCGTGAACTTTCCCTTGTGCTCTCCTTCGAAATGGAAGATTTGCACCCCCGCCGGCACTTTTCTTTTGAGCTCTTTTGCTCCGGAAAACGAGACTGGCACGGCTTCGCCCTCCTAAAGTTTTATTTTATTTTATAGGATCTGAACATCGAACTCACTTTCACCAAAAGTCTGGCAAGAGACGCGTCGGTTTGAAGGACTAGAAAGGTGGCAATGAGAAAGAAAATACAGTATTTCTTCATTTTTGGAAGAAGTGAAAAGTGAAACAAAGAAGAAGGGAAGGGCGTTGTTTTATAACATTTTGGACAATGGGAAAGAGAAGAGAGTCTCATGGGAAGGGTTGGGAACGTGATTGAAAAAAGAAGACGTTCTTTGAACATTATTGATCGTCGAGAGCCTTCAAACTCTCGGTAATAAAACAATAGTCGCCGAACTTCAACTTGATCCGCGTCTACATGTCTCCGGATCTATCCACGAGCACTTTCAGAGCAACACCGCTCATCTTCTGGCTCCACGAACCTCAACAATAGGAGGCTGTTGAGCCGGAAAACTCAGCTGGTTCCGCAAAAGGTCCGCCTGCTCCATTTCTGACTGGAGAGCCGGGAATTGCAACTTTCATGGCGCGATCTTCTTTTTACCCATGGATTGGTTCACCTGAAAAAAAATGGAAATTGGAATGAAACCTGAAAAATGACTTTGATTACCTTCAGCGGGTTTCTGTCGATTCCGGCAATGACGGCGTGCGGATAGGTTCTGTCCGACGCTCCGTCATCGTGAGCCTTGATAACGACAGCCTTGCGTCCAGCGAATCTACCTCGGAGCACGAGGCAGACCTTTCCAGGCTTCATGATTTTGGCCATTCTGACTGTAAAAATACACGTTTTCAAATGCATCACGCGGCAGAATAAATAAAAACAATTAACGGGAAATTAACAGCGTAACAAACACAAATATGAACGCGATAGGAGAAAAGACATTTATTGCGAAAAAATTTCAAAAAAGCAAATCAGGGCCCAAAACTTACGGGGGAACAAAACCAAAATTAGGGGGAGAATGTCAGGAGAACAAATCGGAGCAGCAACAAACGGCATTTTGAGAGTACTTTTCGACAAATTTCGAGAAATTGAGGAGAAAACAAGAGAAAACGAAAGTCTAATCGGGATATTTCGCGACAAAAACTGAAATCGTTGCGAGTCCCAGCTTTTCCGAGAGAAGTACACGGCTCCAATCTGCAATCACTTCGACGCACTTTTTGCGGAAAGCACAGAATTCACGCGCGTTTCAAGAGCATTTCGCTTTATTTTACAGAATTTTCGAAATATCAATATCCATTGTAGCTATTCTCGACTGTAAACAAGTACTTCTGAATGTGGTGAAAGTCTCCGTATTTCAGTCCGATGTCCTTCCACACTCGTTCTCCTTTCAGAAACTTTTTCAGCACGTCTCCATCGATCTTCTCCTCGCTGAGCACTTCGACGGCCTCCTCGGGAAGGAAGTTGCGCGCCCAGGCGGTCACTTGTTGCGCCTGCAAATATTGTCGATTTGTATTGGAATTGGAGCGCAGTGCATGTTTTGGAACTTTTTCTACGGATGCCTGGATGGTCGAACCGAGTGATTAATTGTAAAGTGAATACTCACCGACCAACTCCGCCAATTGTTGTTTCCGTTCGGTGGAAGGAAGAGGTAGTCGTGTCCATCCTGAAAACTTTTTATAAGATCTGAAAGACCCCAAAATCTTCAAAGCGCACCTCGATGAAAGGCGGTTTAATGAAAACCGGTTGCTTCGGTTTCTCCTTCTCCACAGCTACAACCGAAGGCTCCCGAGTGACGACGGCAGAAACTGGCTTCATGTAAACCTCGACAGACGGCTCGAGCTGAAAGAACAAAACATTTCTTAATGCTCCGTTCAATTCTTGCTCACCTTGATTGGAGTCGAAAGGAGCTGTGATTGTTGCTTGTGCTCCAAGCACGTGATGCTCGGTTGATAGTCAACCATTTCATCAACATCGTACACCGGCTCTTGTGAATTTGCCTTCCCCGTCACATTTGCAGAGCTTGAACTCGAGCTCTCACGATTCCGCTCGTCTTGATCGCCGTCCATGTAGTAATCTTGCGAAGGCTGTCCCTCCGAGTTGCCTTCCCCGTACCCATAGTACTCCATATCATTGTAGTTCACCTCTTCCACTTCCTCCTCCTCCGTCGCGTCCGTTCCCTTCTTCTGTCCGTCCGCCATCCGCAATCTCTGCCGCGACTTTCGTTTGTTGTTCGTCGCTCTCGCCCATATCGCCGCTTTTCCCGTCGGCTCCGGAACCCGTTTTCCCTTGCGAATGTCGGCCGCACGAGCCCTTGTGAACCATCCCCTGATCTGTAAGAAAGGATGAGATAAACTGAAAGCTACTGATACAACTTACAAAGTGTCTTGGAAACTGCGACTGCAATTCGAGCTCGTCTATCTGATCTTCACAATAGAAATCATTTGCGTACGCCCGCTGAAGGACCTTCAATCCCGCCGAATTCTCCTTTCTGGTCACGTTTCTTCTGCCTTCAAACCAACGATCAACCTGAAAAGATGTCTGTAATCGGATAATATTCAAAGGCGAACTCACGCGGTTCACATCCAGTCCCAGGTACTGGGCGATCTTCTCTTTCCGTTCCGCACTAGGGTACTTTTCCGATTCATAGATCCTCTGTAGACTTTCATGGATTTCCGGAGCAAGATTGTTCCACGTTTTCCCTTTGGTTCCTCCATATTGTACTCTTGTTGTCGGCGACATTTGCAAAAGAATTAGTTTTTAGGCAAAAGCGAAGGGAAAACGATCGATGAACAGGGAGACATGAGGTGGAAAGGGGGTCTAGTGAGACACACACACTCGTTTCTCTCGCTTCTCTCCCACTTGCGCACTTTTTCGTTTGCGTTTGATGGCGGACACCGAGAAAGAGACGCAAAAAGAGAGACGGAGACATTCGGAGTGGACAGATGTGAGACACTTCATGCCTATGTCTTATGGGATGACTGAGAGAAAGTCTGTGAAAGCCTTTGACGGCAATCGCCAGAGGAGGGCGGAAGTGAAAACAAACCGAAGTTAACAGCAAGACTTTCCCTGTCTCGGACCACTCAATAGTGACAAATACGACACTAACCAAATTGCAGAAGAGAGAAGCAGCAATCACAGAATTGCACAAGTTGAGCACAACTTTTAGGTAGCTTGTGCAAAAATAGCAAAGTTTGTCAGTTTCGTCCGACTCTTTATGCTTTCGATATCTCTCGCTGGTCATAAATGTCGAGGACACTCGAAGTATTAAAAGGAACAAGTTTGATTGTACCAAGATTTATTAAAGGAACCAATAAAACAGAGAGTGATGATACATGCTTATCAGAATGGAAAGATGATCAATAAGGAGCGAATCTCTTTCCGCGGGCCCCTCTTCCTCCGCGCGCCGGTCCGTTCACATACACATACTTGACGATGACGGCGTTGTGTCCCTTGTGAAATCCTCGCACTGCTCCTCCTCCTCCTCCTCCTCTTCCAAAGTGTCCGCCACGAGCAGCCATCCCCGGCTTGTTCGTCCTCTTCGCCTCCACTTTCACGATCCGATCTCTCATCTCGGCTCCGGACATCTTCAGCGCGTTCTGCTGTCCTTCGACGCTCGCGAACTCGACGTACGCGAGTCCCTTGGCTCTTCCCGTGTGGCGGCACTTGGGCAGCGTGATGCGGACGATGGCTCCGCACCCGTGGAACAGCTTCTCCAAGTCGGCGCTCGTCGAATCCCAGTCCACGTTGCTCACGTACACCGATCTCGCGTCGATCTCCTCCTGCTCGGCCGGCGCGATCGGCTTCTTCGCCACCGGAAGATTCATCTTCTTCTCGAGTGATGCTTGAATATTTTGGAAGATGGCCGTCTCGTTCGCAATCTCAACCTCCATTTCTTCATCGGTTTGTGGAGCCATATTGATAGGATAGTTCTGGAAGAAAAGAAACTATCGATTGGAAAACGAAGGAAAAGTAAAAAAAAAAAAGTCCACTTTAGAGGACATGTAGGTGAAGACGTTTCATTGGCAGAGATACGCTGACCTCTGGTTAGAAGCGGGAGCAACGCGAAGGAAGTGTTGGGAAAGGGTACCACGGAGAGGGGGGACACAGAAAAACACCGACGGGAAGCACAAGTTCAGAGTTCTCCCGGCTTATCATTTGAAAGTGCTTTTTTGTATGAAAATGAACGTGCAAGAACCTAAGCACACTCAGGGCACAATGAATGGGAACAGATATGGTCGACAAGTGATATGCACCTAAAGTGTGCTCATTTTAATGTGATTCGCTGTGTCAATCTTCAAAGCCAAACGAAGAGAGGTCTTAATCTGTGTGACATGCAGCATTTACCTAAATAAGTTTTGTAAAGTTGAGGTCCAACATCTTTGTGATACTAGCCCATTTCAAACTGTTTCGACGTTCCTAAAACCCATAAAACCATACATTAAACACCCTTTTCAGAAACTCGTGACGAAAAGCAATAGTCCCCCGGCGAAAGATCATATCAAAATCACACGTTTTGCATATCCAAACACAACACTCGCTCTGCTGCCACTTCTGACATTTCAACATCACGATTGAGCCAACCACCAAACGCTGATAAGGACCGAGGACGGACAATACCACTACAATCCAAGGGTGAGCTTTGTGAGGTGATAGACGAGAAACTTGGGACCTCCCAGACACGGAAAGACGAATTGTAAACGGCACCTACCGTATTCCCAATCGGCCGAACCTGTCTTCTTCTTCCCCGCCGCCAACGGAGATCAAACCCGTTACAAATCATCAATCGATTCTGAATTGTATCTAAAAGTGATCTTAGTTTTCTCACCTTTTGTTGTTTACTTTTTAGAATCCAGGAAAACATTCAGAATCATATTCAGCTATTGTATTTCCGCGCGATCTGCAAAATAAGCGATTTTAAGACAAACGTTCCGTTTGATGATCCATAAAACATCGAAACCAATGATGTTGATGTCAGATCGTGGAAGGGCTCGTAAAACTCCCGTGCGGAGGTGTTATATAGCTGCGAAACCGCTCGCATTTCCGCTTCCTCGCCACACTCCGAGCCCCGACCTGTATTTTAGAAATGCAGCACGCGATCAACAAGAAGACGATTGTTCCGGATGCGAATGGAAATCTGCAATATGAACCCGAGGCGAGTTGACTGAAGAGAGAAACTGAACTAATATTGCATCTTCAGGCTCGACGGACAAAACTATCACCACACGAGTCCAGCATTATGGATCACCTGTTCGAGATGACGTACGAGAAGGGAAATCTGGGAAGAATGTTCAAAATGCTCAGAATCTTCGAAAGGACGGGTCTTAGAATCGGACAGGTTGGAGGACTTGTTTTCAAGTTGAAACGAAGACGATAGTGGTTCAGGTCGTTCATCAGATGAGAAAAAGATCAAATATTCTGAATGGAAGAGGTCGGAATTGGAGGGAAAAAAGGACGCTGAAGATAGACCCGAAAGCTCTGGCAGCGCAGAGAGAGCGGGCGAGGATCAAGAAGGAGAGACGGAGTGAGAACCTGGAGAAGCGGATGAAGAAGCAAGAGGAGACGATTGTCATTTTGGTACGTTTCCAGAGTAGTCTCATGAGAGTCCTAGAAGTTATATTTTCAGCCGGAGAGCTTCAGGTTCGAACCATGGCACACCGCAATGTTCGAAAAGTTTTATGAGAGCAATAAGCGATGCATATGCGAAGACATGAAACGGATGGTGGCGGCGACGGGCGTCCGTTCCTCGGCGGTAAGTCAGATCTTCTCCCAACTTGACCTCTGTCTATATATCAGATAAACTATTGGTTCGAGTGGCGGAGAAACAGCGACCGCCCGTACGTAGACCCCTCTCTGCTGCCGCCTAAGCAAAAGCGGATCCATTACCCGGAAGAAGTGCGGGACGTGCTGGTCACCTTCTACAAGAAGCAAAAGTACGCGAACGCGGAGGAGTACGAAGAGCTTGTGGCGGCCACCGGATTGACGAAGACGCAGGTGATCGAGTGGTTCTCGGGGCGACGGAAGTACGAGAAGAGGGCCATCAACAACTACTACGTGAAGCACGGACTGCCAAAGAAGTACAAAATACGACGTCCGCTGGGCGAAGACGCTCAAACTCTCAAGGCGTTCTACGAGAAGAGCCCATATCCGACGATGGATCAGAAGGAGCGGGTGGCGGCACGGATGAAAGAGTTGACGAGGAAGCAGGTTCGGATGGGCTTCAGATGAAGAAGCACAGTCAAACTGAAATGGTTTCAGGTGATGCAGTGGTTCCAAGACAGGAAACGACGCATGCGGGATGCCCAGAAGAAGGCGAGAGAATTGGAGAAGGAACAAAAGAGACCTTCAGTTCCAGGTCCATCGAAAAGACCGTGTGCCCGTATGGAAGGTACAGAACAAAAACAGACTTGACTTGTCACAACCACCCAAATGTTCCAGATGTTCCAGTGATTCAATTTCTTCCGGCACCATCTTTTAGAATTCCGAAGAAGCCGAAAGCATCGGCAGGATCGGCACCGCCTCCAGGACACGTTCAAAAGGAGAATGAAAAGAGTGAGTTGTGTGTTGTACTATATTCCCACAAACCGATGAAATTTTTCAGAGGTGGCCAGAAACCAGTCGCCCTCCGTCACACCGCCGGCACCTCACGTTCGGATTCAAAAAAGAAAGAGATCACCATGTCCTCTACCAAGAGAGGAAGATAATCAGGGAAAGCGGAAGGCGGAATCGTCATCCTCGTCCAACACACCTCCAAAACCGGCACCCAGACCCGATCCTCGGTCGTCCAATTCCACGAAAGGCACCTCATCGTGTCGGAAAGGTTCAGAAACCACAGAATTTCCTTACCACAACCTCCAGATGTTTCAGATGATAAATGTACAGTTCAAGAAGCAAGAAATGAGTCGAGAAGGAAGAGACTGTTCGGACAGCCAGAAGCGGCAGTTGGAGACGATTCCAGAGAGAATCGGACGATTACTGAAAACAGTTTGTGAACAGTTTGTTATCTGGTTGAGTATGATTACGTTCAGGTGCTACAAAAGCATTCGCGCAATGGTTCCAAGACGGGAAGAGACGAAATCGGGATGACCAGAAGAAGGAGAGAGAATCGGAGCAGGAACAGAGGAGACTGCCTGGACGTTCAGTTCCAGGACCGTTCAGTTCTCCGGCAGGAACCTCATCGTGTCGGAAAGGTACAGACACAGAATACAGAATACAGAATTACCTTACCACAACCTCCAGATGTTTCAGATGATAAATGTCCAGTTCAAGAAGCAAGAAATGAGAGACTGTCCGAACAATCAGAAGCGGCAGTTGGAGAAGGTTCTAGAGACGAACGGAAAAAGAAAAAGATCCCCTCCGTCACACCGGCGACTTCTTCTCCGAACTTCCTTCCATCGCTTCCTGTCTCGAAGGACACACTTCTGGCACCTCTTCACCACATTCAGAAAAGAAAAAGAGAAGAAGAAGTACAGAGTAAACTGGTAAAAGATGGAGAGAAGACGGTGACAAAGGATGTTGAAAAGCCAAAAAGTGCGTTGTTCATTTCAAAATACTGCAAAATGTTTCTGAAAAGATTGCTATCGGATACAATATGATGATTTTCAGGTCCTCCGAGTCGCCCGCCCACTTCTTCTCCTTCTCCTGAAGCACCCGCATCTTCTTCGTCGACTCAAAGTTTTCGAATTCCAAAGCCGGCAGAACCTCCAGATGCTCCAGTGATTAAATTTCTTCCGGCATCATTTTTTAAAATCCCAATTAAACCGAATGCATCGGCGAAATCTGCACCACCTCAAGGACATGTTCAAGCCGGGAATGCAGAGAGTTTGTTGTGTTTATTTATTATGTTTTCCCACTGAAATATTTCAGACGTGGCCAGAAACCAGGTCCCTTACGTCACACCACCGGCACCTCCCGTTCAGATTCAGAAAAGGAAGACAGAACATTCTCCACCACCACGAGAGGAAGATGATCAGAGAAAGCGGAAGACGGAGCCGTCATCCTCGTCCAGAACGCCTTCAGAAAATGTTCAAATTGAAAAAGCGAAATGTAAGTCAAAACTGTTTGAGACAACATTGTTATCAGGTTCATAATAAAGAGGTTCAGGCGCTCCAGCACCCAGACCCGATCCCCGTACCTCCAGTTCCTCGAAAGGACTGTGTCCCAGTCCGGAAGGTACATAACAAAAGTAAAGTTGACTTATCACACGTCCCAGATGTTCCAGATGATCAGGTCATCACACCGGTCCCGTCGCCGGTCTTCCGGATTCCAAAGAAACCGAGTGCCTCGACAGAATCGGTAGCTGAAGCAAAGAGTGAGTCGTCTATTCTGGAAACAAACATTGTTATATTATCCCGCAAACTACTAGCATTTTTCAGACGTGGCCAGAAACAAGATCCCCTCCGTCACACCGCCGACTTCTTCTCCGCATTCAACTCCAAAGCTTCCCGTATCGAAGGCAAAAGAAGTACAGAGTAAACTGGTGAAAGATGGAGAGAAGACAATGGAAAAGGATGTTGAAAAGCCAAAAAGTGCGTTGTGTTTTCTTCATTTCAAAATACTGCAAAATGTTTCTGAATAGATTGCTATCGGGTACAATATGATGATTTTCAGGTCGTCCGAGTCGACCGCCCACTTCCACCCCTTCTCCTGAAGCACCCGCATCTTCTTCGTCGACTCAAAGTTTTCGAATACCGAAGAAGGCGCGCACGCCGGCAGAACCGACAAAACCAGCGGCAAAGAGTGAGTTTTGTGCTCTTGCAACGAACACTGTTCTGCAAAGTATGAAATGTTACAGATGTGCCGAGAAAACATGCACATTTGCGAGTGAAAGTTCCCGCACTTGTGGTCCCAAAAGGAACTCCCTACTTCCTTCCGTTCGGAGCTTCGGCCGATTATCTTCGTTGGACAGTGAGTTGAATATCCTCTTTTCATCCCGAAATCCCTCATTTCAGGTTCAAGAAGTCCGTCAATGGGCTCAGTTCATCGGAGTGAGCAACCCATTGACTCTGAAGGTGATTGAAGAGAAGGGAATCGATGGGAAGAGGCTGCAAGGGATTGTCGAGAAGGGGAACGGAGCGATGCACGAGATGGGCATCCCATTCGGGCCGTTCGACACGATCAAGAATCATTTGTGCGTGGTTGTTAACAAAATGAATGGATACTAGTTATTTAGAATTTTATCACGATTTATTAAAGGAACCAATAAAACAGGAAACAGTGATACAAGCTTATCAGAATGGAAAGATGATCAATAGGGAGCGAATCTCTTTCCGCGGGCTCCTCTTCCTCCGCGCGCCGGTCCGTTCACATATACATACTTGACGATGACGGCGTCTGAACTATCTGATTCAACTATCTGATATCCACTATCTGATATCTACTGCTGATTTCTGATAACAAAATGTTGAAACTGGTAACATAGATTGGAACCTACGACGCCACAATTCCACATAACGCCTCTGATAAAAATTGTTGAAACCGGAGAACAATAAACATTTCAGAACGTTCAGTTACACAAACTGAGATGGGAATGGGAACGGCAGAGAAGAAAAGGGAGCGGGAAGAATGACGGTCTGGATCCCCATCTTTTATTGGCCAAGCGAGGCGGTCGTTTGGTTGACAAGGCTAGATTCTGTAAAAATCTGAAAGTGAATCCAACTATTTTCTGCTGCAGAGTTTTTATATGAGATTGCGGTAGAGCGACATTGCCATGTTACTCTTTCGTCCACTTTTTTGCATGTTTTATTTCTCACCAACGCTTCCAACCAGAGTTGAGCGGAATTCCGTCTTCCGCCTTCCGCTTTCCGCCTTTTCAAAAAGTCGATTACGCTGAACTCTGTTCCGAACGTCTGTTTGCGAGGATGTCTCTGTGAGGGAGGCAGTGTGACCTCCCCCCTCTCTCCCTCGCCCACTCTCATTCCTCCTCATTCACTATTGATTTTTCGTGCCTTGTTTTTCGTCACCCCTCTCTCCCCGTTCCCCTAACGTTTTTCCGTTTTAGATGAGCCTTACCGGGAGAATTCTGAAAACGCTGAAGCAAATAATAGCGGATGAAGTGACTCTGAGCACGGAAAGACTGAACGAAGTGGCCGACGAACTTGGATTGAACCCTGGGACGGTAAAAAAAACCAGCAATTTGTCGTTTATTTTCGAATAATTTCAGCTGCAAAGATGGTATCGGAACTATGTGAGTCGATTGAGAGGCACTCCGGAATGTCACGGGATCATCGAGAAGGCGTACTCGGAGAATCAGTACTGTGAGACGATAATGCAAGACCTGAAAGAGAGGCTGAAAGAATTTGCGGTATCGGAAATATTCGTACGTTTTATTGTTCAATTCTATTAGATACTATGAAGATTGTGTGCAATTTTACAGATAGTACGATGGTTCCGTAGCAGAAGACACAAAGATCGGCAAAACGGAATACCGATCAGAGAGCCAGTCGGAGAGGAAGCGGTGAATGAAAAGAACGCGGTGAAATGGAAAGGAAAACGAGAGAAGAGGAAGCTGAGAGCCCGTTCGGCACTGCTCAAGAATCAGGCGAAAGGAGTTCACGAGACGGAAACTCGGCAGAATCCGAAAAGAAAGTCGGCGTGCAACATGAGCTACACTTTCGATTTGAGTGACGATGAAATGGAAGAAGACGAGGAGGAGGAGGAGGAGGAGGAGCGCAGTTTCCACGATCATCGGAATTGGAACGACGTCGAAGCGCCGCAGAGCAAGAAGCCGAAGAGTTCGGGAGAACGGAAGTCGGCGTCTTGGCAGATTGAATCACTTGAAGATCTGAGAGAACCGAAAGAAGAAGGAGAGAAGGGACCGTTATGGGACTTCCCATTGGCCCACTATGAGAATTTGGGAGGAGAACCCGGAGAGCTGCAGTTTCCGCCTCTCCAATCAGAAATGGAGCAAGTTGATCGAGCCCTTCAAGTACCAATCAGACCGATTATTTCGAAGGTTTGTATGCGCTTTTCAGCATCAAAAGTAGCAAGCACACTTTTCAGGAAGGAAACAGTACTCCAGCTCTACCGCGGAATGGATCGAAAGACTGGAGAAAATGGACGGTAAGACAACCTGTGAGGATGCTTTTTCTATGCGAAATGAAACCTGTTCAGAATGAACAAGTGATCGAGTGGGCGGAGCAAATATTCGAGGAAAAGAAGCCGGTGGACATCCTTCGCAACGAGGACATTTATGGCGAAGCGCTCGAGGATCTGCTCAAAGGATCCATCGAAACGTGGCGAATGCTCGGGATTACGTTCGGCAACTTCACCCGAATCCGCAAGAATCTGGAAGAACTTGATAAAATGTAATAGTTCTGATCTTCTAGTCTGCAATGAAATTCACTTGTCTTTCTTATTTTTTGTTTAATCGCTTTAAATTAGTCCCTATAGTTCAATATGACATTTCAAACCCTGAATGGAAACGGGGGCAACTGTGGAAACGAGAGAGCATTCCAGGGATAGAAGACAGATTCTAAAAGATGCCATGGTGACGATCAAAAACAATTTTGTTAGATCAGAGACTTTATTCGGTCACTCGGTAGGCAGTTTCATGGGTTGTACTCGATTGGGAGATTCTTGCGACGGACCATTCCGTCTCCCTGGAACCACTCGCGACGGAACTGCTTGGCGGCTCCGTCGGGAGTGTTCGTCCACTCGATCGTGATGCGGTCGTTGTTCGTGTCCTCCTGTCCGAAGGCGAACGCGTCGCACGAGACGGCGAGCAGCACGGCTTCCTTGGGATCGAGCACTCCGCACGGCGGGTCCACTCCGAGACGCTTCATGTTCGTCGTCTTGATGCCGTAGCCGATGCGGCGCGCCGACGAGTTGATCACCTTGATGTGGTAGGTGTGCTTGTCGTCGTACGGCGCGTTGAACACGATCTTCGCGTTCGGCTGCGTGGCGATGTCTCCTGGGGGCACGGATTGGGCCATGGTGGTTGTTGAAGGAGTTGTTGTAGAACTCTATGGAGGAACTCACTCTTTTCACTCCCTTTTGTACACTTTCCTTATCAGATCGTTCCAGAAACCTCTTAAGATGACAACAGAAAAAAATGAGAACACGGGGAGTCACTTTCCAATCGCTTCTTTGCTCCATTTCTCGATATTTTTGACGTCAATTTCAGTTTTTTGTACAACAAGATTTGGACAACAATTCGTTGCAGAGACACGATTAATGAGAAGAAGTGAGAACACGTAAAACTGAATGGGATTCATTTCATTGTTCTCATCAGCTGGGTTATTCGGTAATATACAAAAACAGTTGGTGTTGATGGAAACCCCTTCAAGCGCTCTTCTCATTGTTCAGAAGGGCGGACGGTGCGGCGAAGGCGCGTGGAGCATCCTCCTTGTTCTTGTTCGATCCCCAAGCCCAGACGGACGGATAGGCGGCGGCGGCGACGTACGGAGAGTAGACGGACGGGTATGCGTAGGCGGAAGGGACGTAGGCGGCCGAGTAGGCAGGCACCACCACTTGCTGATGCGATCCGACGATCATGGCGCAGAGGAGGACGGCGGCGAAGCTGAAATAAAGAAGAAGATTCAGATGAAAAGGGGAGAAGGAGACTTACCACTTGGCGAACATGTTGAATTGAATGGGAATGGAACTTGGAAGTTGCAATGTCTTTCTGCCTGATACTCTGCTCTTTTATACCAAGACAGAACACCAAAAAACTCGGTGCGTCGAGCCAGTTCCTCCCTCCGCGCGGTCGTTTTTGCTTCTATATTTATTCAAGTAGTTGGCACATGCGTCGGCTCGGTTAAAAAGTAATAGGTACTAGCAAATATTGACGCTTCTCTGCATTTTGCTCCATGCAAACGAGCAAGAAGGGTCTGAACGATTCGAACACTGATCAGTGATATTATCGGAACTCGAACGCGTTGTCCGCCGTTCCCATGCCCTCCCTTATGGATACTAAATCATTGAATGTATGTGTTCCCCTGTTTTCATCATGCGAAAACAAACATGAGCTTCATGTGGAATCAGAAGAAAGTCAAATGATTATTCGATGTTCCTGGCTCGTCGTGCGACAGAACCACGTGTCCTCTGCTCTTGAAGATGTTGCCACTGCTTAAATATAACTTTATTTCCATAATTTCCAAAATCTTGTTTGATGCTCACCGTTGGCGCCACGTCAACTTCAAAACGACGTTTGTCTGAGTCGAAGCGTCTTTGAAACGGGGTCCCGCAGCTTCTGCGGCCCTGATAATCTCGCTGAGTTGCTGGCGGGTCCCCAGGAAAGTGTTGATCTGTTTCTCGAGCTTTTTCATTTGCTCCACCTGAAAATAGAGAGTCCTTAAGGTTTTCCGGATGCATACAAACTCACAGTGACTTGCGAGAAGTCAATTCTCGTCATGCACTCGTCCAATTTCTTCCCATACAGCTCCAAGAGTTTCATGTCTTCCTGAAAGCGTTTGTCCATTCAGATATTGTAGAATTCCGGCTCAACTCACCGGATTTGTCTGTTTCTTGATGTGAGCCAGACTCAGAGACGCGCATTTCTCGGCCAAAAACGACGCTTTTTCAATGTCGGTGCTCTTTTTTGTCGATGTCATCGCCTGAAAGTATACGAAAAGAGGAGAAGAATGTGATAAGTGAGATGGGAACGGGAGGGAAAGAGGCTGTAAAAATGATTCGACGGCGGGAATATGGAAATCTGTAGAGAGAGGGAAAAATGTTTTTGTTTCTTGAGAAATGTTTTTTTTTCGATGATTCATACACATTGGGCCCACTTTGTCAATATACGAATTTCATCAGAATGGTAGGCTCCAGAAAAACGGCGTTTCTCAATCAAATGTCATTCATCCAACATCAAAAGAAAGTGATTTGAAAAAGTAAAAGATATGACCAAAAAGCTTTACATTTTGAAGTTGGTTTAACCATCGAATAATCGAACAAATAAAATCAAATGGAGGAGTTAAAAAAATAGTGGCTACGTAAAGCCACCATTAGAGCAGTTAGACATTTGAAATTTCATGGACATGTATATGGGGGCTAGTGTGACCCATATGCACAATATTGAGTGTCAGCTCTGGGCTACTGTAGTACGGTAGGTGCTCAAAGGTGCACAACTAGAATTTTTCGAAAAAAATCGTAGCGAGCTGAAATTTTCTGGGCATTCAGTACATGTGTAGTGTATACTTCTACTTACACGGCCACCATTTTTTTTAAATCTCCACCATTTTTTTTAAATCTCCACCATTTTTTTAAATCTCCACCATTTTATAATATTTTAGGCGGCCACCATTTTTTTTTAGCTCTCCACCATTTTTTAAATTCTCCACCATTTTTTTTCAGCTCTCCACCATTTTTTAAAATCTCCACCATTTTTTAAAATCTCCACCGTTTTATTTAGCTCTCCACCATTTTTTAAAATCTCCACCATTTTTAAAAATCTCCACCATTTTTTTTTAGCTCTCCACCATTTTTTTTTAGCTCTCCACCATTTTTTAAAATCTCCACCATTGTTAAAAAAATCTCCACCATTTTTTTAAATCTCCACCATTTTTTTAAATCTCCACCATTTTTTTAAATCTCCACCATTTTTATAATATTTTTAGGCGGCCACCATTTTTTAGCTCTCCACCATTTTTTTAAAATCTCCACCGTTTTATTTAGCTCTCCACCATTTTTTAAAATCTCCACCATTTTTTAAAATCTCCACCGTTTTATTTAGCTCTCCACCATTTTTTAAAATCTCCACCATTTTTTTAAAAAAATCTCCACCATTTTTTTAGCTCTCCACCATTTTTAGCTCTCCACCATTTTTTTAAAATCTCCACCGTTTTTTTAGCTCTCCACCATTTTTTTGAAAATCTCCACCCTTTTTTTAAAATCTCCACCATTTTTTTCAGCTCTCCACCATTTTTTAAAATCTCCCCCATTTTTAAAAATCTCCACCATTTTTTTTAGCTCTCCACCATTTTTTAAAATCTCCACCATTTTTTAAAATCTCCACCATTTTTTTTCAGCTCTCCACCATTTTTTAAAATCTCCACCATTTTTAAAAATCTCCACCATTTTTTTTAGCTCTCCACCATTTTTTAAAATCTCCATCATTCGCTGATGACTTGAAAATTTTCGGAGATAACCCAAAAACGCTTCAAGAAAGTGCAAACATTGTCGCATCATGGTGCGAAACCTGGCAACTAAAGCTAGCAGAAAATAAATCCGCAGTTCTCCACTTTGGAAAGAAAAATCCCAAAACCAGATATCTCCTGAATGGCATCGAAATCGAATCAAAAGATTCCGTTAAGGACCTCGGCATCTGGATAGACGACAAGCTCAAATTCGATAAGCATATCACAATAGTTAGCAATACCGCCCTCTTGAAATGCAAACAAATTCTGAAAGCCTTTCGCTCCTCGAACCCCAGTCTCTACTTTAAACTTTTCAACGTTTACGTCAGACCCATTCTCGAGTACGGCTGTGAACTTTTCCATCCCTCATCGACATCCCTCTCCAGCAAATTAGAGTCTCCCCTTAGATTTTTCAGTAGAAGAGTCTTCCAAAGATGTAACATGCGGTTCTCCTCCTATAGCGACCGTCTCAGTCAATCTAATTCAAAATCGATACTCCACAGAAGGGTTCTTCTTATTCTCAGAACATTCCACAACATAATCTCGCACAAGTACCATTTCCCCTCCCTAAGCATGTTCCTCAAACCCGGCGTCTCCCCCCGTCACCCGTACCTTCTATCCTCCCTTGGCCTACCCCATGACTCTTTCTTACATACCCATCTTGCCCTTTGGAACCGAGTGGCCAAGTTGTTTCCCGAAAGACTGTCCTCTGAGGCCTTCGCGGCGCGCATCGAGAAGATCCCCCTAGCTTTTTTTGTATTCTAACTGACCTCTGGCTACTGCCGGCCAATGGTCATGTCAAGCCATTGTTCCTTCCCCCACCCACATTCCCCCTCTTTTTTTTCTCTTCTTTCTTTTTGTTGTAATTTTATTCCTAGGTGGCTGAAGAGAATAAATGTGTTATTATTATTTTTTAAAATCTCCACCATTTTTTTTAGCTCTCCACTATTTTTTAAAATCTCCATCATTTTTTTAAAATCTCCACCATTTTTTTCAGCTCTCCACCATTTTTTTAAAATCTCCACCATTTTTTTAGCTCTCCACCATTTTTTTAAAATCTCCACCATTTTTTTAAAATCTCCACCATTTTTTTAAAATCTCCACCATTTTTTTAGCTCTCCACCATTTTTTTAAAATCTCCACCATTTTTTTAAAATCTCCACTATTTTTTTAAAAAAATCTCCACCATTTTTTTAGCTCTCCTCCATTTTTTTAAAATCTCCACCATTTTTTAGCTCTCCTCCATTTTTTTAAAATCTCCACCATTTTTTTAGCTCTCCTCCATTTTTTAAAATCTCCACCATTTTTTTTAGCTCTCCACCATTTTTTTAAATCTCCACCATTTTTTAAAATCTCCACCATTTTTCAAAATCTCCACCATTTTTTTTAGCTCTCCACCATTTTTTTATTATAGGGGCACCGCACAGAAATGGCGCTCTGTTGAGAAACTCTTTTTGCAGTGCAAATTGAGCGACCTCGGGGCCGAGTTTGAAAAGTTAGGCCACGTTTTCAGTGGAAAATTACATCGCGGCCTAGAAATTCTGCCAGATTGCGAACAGCGCGCCCTTTCTGTCCGGTGCCCCTATAATAAATCTCCACCATTTTTTTTTAGCTCTCCACCATTTTTTAAAATCTCCACCATTTTTTTAAAATCTCCACTATTTTTTTAGCTCTCCACCATTTTTTTAAAATCTCCACCATTTTTTTAAAATCTCCACCATTTTTTTAAAATCTCCACCATTTTTTTAAAATCTCCACCATTTTTTTAAAATCTCCACCATTTTTTTAGCTCTCCACCATTTTTTTAAAAATCTCCACCATTTTTTTAAAAATCTCCACCATTTTTTTAGCTCTCCACCATTTTTTTAAAAATCTCCACCATTTTTTTAGCTCTCCACCATTTTTTTAAAATCTCCACCATTTTTTTAAAAATCTCCACCATTTTTTTAAAAATCTCCACCATTTTTTTAAAATCTCCACCATTTTTTTAAAATCTCCACCATTTTTTTAAAATCTCCACCATTTTTTTAATAATCTCCACCATTTTTTTAGCTCTCCACCATTTTTTTAAAAATCTCCACCATTTTTTTAGCTCTCCACCATTTTTTTAAAATCTCCACCATTTTTTATAATCTCCACCATTTTTTTTAGCTCTCCACCATTTTTTAAAATCTCCACCATTTTTTTTAGCTCTCCACCATTTTTTAAAATCTCCACCATTTTTTATAATCTCCACCATTTTTTTTAGCTCTCCACCATTTTTTAAAATCTCCACCATTTTTTAAAATCTCCACCATTTTTTAAAATCTCCACCATTTTTTATAGCTCTCCACCATTTTTTTTAGCTCTCAACCATTTTTTAAAATCTCCACCATTTTTTAAAATCTCCACCATTTTTTCAATTCTCTTTCTTTTTCGTTTGATTTTTCATCTGTTGAAATCCGACAGACTTGTTACTTATTTTTCTTCATTTTGCCACTCTAAAATTGATCTACTCAAGCTCGCGTGGCATTAATGCGCAATTTCCCCGCTAATATTTTGAAAATCGTAATGTTCTAGAATGTTCTGGATCATCTCTCATTTTGTTGATTTTCTCTTCTCTTGTGTAACAAGTTGTGTTCATTGAAATTCGTTTTGAAGTCTAAATTTGAAAATCCGCGCTCACCTTGTGCGGTGGAGTGCACTTGCATTGTCGGAATGGGGTTTCTCTGAATATCTCTTAATTAATGTTTCACAATTTTTCAATTTTCAGAATGGCATCGGATGACGTCGACGTTGCGTTATCCTTCCAGCAGCTTTTGGCATCCGACATCAAAGTCAGAGTCTCCCTCCCGGACAGACATGCGTTCATTATGTCCGTCGCCGAAATGAGCGCCATCCGCAACGCTCAGATCATTCCGAGAGTTCCGGAGCTCAACGAAGACGCGCAGAAGCTGATCTACACAATGTCTTGGGTCGCGATGCACATGATCGACGTCATTTATGCGGTTATCAATTTGAACATCGGCCCCTCGTTGAAGATGAGCAACGGAAAACTGTCAGTATTGAATTTTAACGCATTTTTCCCCCGAAGAACTTTATTTTTTCAGCATGCCCATTTCCTGGGCGGCGTTTGTGACAGAGGACGATGCCAAATGGAGAGAAATCGTGAAAGAACTCACGCAGCTCGGGCTCACCAACACGGACTATCTCGGTCTTCGGTCCGCGGTCTTCCACGATCCGAAGACGCGAACTCTGCTGCCGCAATCTGACGCCGCCTACGCGTCGATGCGAAATCGGTGGGCAGAATCGAGAACGGAAGAGGAGATTCAGCAGTTGGAGAAATTGAGCGAGGAGATTGCGAAGCTCGCCGATTCCGCATTTTCCGTTCTTTTCGATATTCGCCGATATTCGCGCCTCGGGAATGCTGACAATTTACGGCTTCGAGCATCTTGAGGGAATCTTGAGTGCTCTCGAAGAGTTCTATCACTTGGTATCTTCATCGGATCTTCAGTTCATGCCCACTTACGATGTTTTTTACTACTCGCGCCCGCATTATCCTGGTAACCGGACGGATAGCACCAAAGATGTTCAGTTCGTGGCCGAGCAGTCGTGCAAAAGCGTTTACAGATACGCGCTATACGATGCGAATGATGATCAAGAACCTTCCGATCAACGCACTCAATGCCGGTTCCTGTCTGTTCCTGAGTGACTTGTTCGAAACGACGAAGCGTGCGATGCGTGTGCCGAATCCACTACTGCGGCCGGCGGATCCCCTTCCGATCGACTTATTTTTGCTGGGCATCGACCAGGCGATGAGCCAGGCGACGTGCGTCGAAACGTTCGTCAAACATATGATTGTCACAAATATGAACAATCGTTACAACGAATACTGCGATGGATACGTCGGTCGCAATGCAGACGTGAGAAGTTCTGCGCAGGATGCTCATAAAGTACGGATTTCAGAAAAACGTTTCTCAGGAACTGTTCCGATACACTTTCTGTCTGATTCATCTGATTGACGCCGTCTGGGTGATGAGTTCGAAAGAATTGGATACTATTGAGGATTGGATACACCTCAAGAAGAATCGTGACGTGTAAGTCAGGACTGGACCCATTCCAGACCCGCAAAGCCTAATCAGATTGGGCTTTTAGTCCAGTTTGAACGAATAAACAATCCATTTTGCAGAAGTCCACAGCTGAAAGACGTGCTTCTCATTGGCGAAACGCGCGAAGCTCACGAATCACTCGCCAGTATCGCCACGGAGCTCAGCTCGCTCAACGTCTCCGAGCTGAACTACCGGCACATGCGAACGGTGGCCTTGTACGACATTACGGAAATCCGGAACCCGTATGTCGTCCGTGCTCGTTCCCTCGCATTCATACAGTGGAATTTTGAAGAACCTATCAAATCGAACATTCTTACGTTGCTCGGAATGGCTGAGAAGTTCAGGTTGGTTAACTGTCTCAGCCGATGCACTTCTGGTTACCCTTTTCCAGGAAATCGGCGCTCATGTGGAAAAGTGTACGAAAGAGACGATTGGCAGAGTGATTATGTGCGAGACGCTCGAACCTTCCACCAACAAAAGTGTAGCCAGTTTTTGCTATTTTTAATAATCTAATTTATTCTTGAATTTGCCTTGTACCCGCTCTTGTACCCTTGTAATACAACTACTAAATCATGCAACTAATTATAAACATCAATGACTCACCGTGCCTCTATTATTCCGCCTTCGAAGGTCTGATAACCTGAAATATTGTTGCCTTGTCCTGATTTTCCACTTTTTATTGTCAGCAACCCCTGTTCCAGCAATGGCCGGATCTTCTGCTGCCACTGGCTCTCGCCAATCGCCCGTTCATCATGACAAGCGCCCGTTGATCGTCGTTATCGGAATGGCAGGGTCGGGGAAGACCACGTTCGTTCAAAATATGGCCGCCAGTTTGAATGCTCAGCGAGCTGCTCCATTCGTTGTGAACCTGGTGTATGATAAGACAGATGAGGTTGGCGTCGAGATTGAGAAGCTGAAATGAAATGGCCGTTTGCAGTTGATCAGCAGGATGAATGAGCAGACTTACAACTCCGTTATCGTGGACACTCCTGGAAGCATCGAAGCATTCGCAGAAGGCAGTCCGGGACTCAAATTCATTCAATCTCTTTCGAAAAGTCACTCCGCCGTCCTCGTCTACTGCCTCAACTCCCAAATGGTCAAAACGCCAACTTCGTTCCTCACCAACATGTTGTACGCTTGCTCGGTGCTCACGCATGCAAAACTCCCCGTAGTCATTCTGTTCAACAAGGTGAATTATTCGTCTCTCATTTTAACGCTTATCATCCACCTTTCAGGCTGATCTTTTCGTCCCATCGTACGCAATTGAATGGATGGAGGATTACGCCTTGATGGGCAGAAATCTGGAAGACGTGAGAAATTCGGAGAGATTGGTCGAGTTTTCGAGCAGAGCACTTGGCGAAGCCCTGTCTCAGTTGCCGAGTGGGTGCAAAATGGCGTATGCGAGTTCCAGGCAAGGAACAGGATTCGCTGAAGTGTTCAAAGCGATCGAAGAAGCGGCTAGCGATCACGAGCACCTGTTCGTTCCGAATCAGTTGAAGGCCGAAGAGAGCGAAGTGAAGGAGGGGTCGACAAGAAAGGCGGCGAAGCCAGCATTCCGCATTTACTCGGACAAAGAAGACGCTTTCCTGCTCCGTCGATTACAAGAAGTGTCGGAAAAGGGCAAAAAGATAAACATCATGTCCTTCTGCAGAAACCTAAAGTCGGAAGGTTTCAATCGTGAGCCAGACTCGATTAAAAGACGGTACGATTGTGTGAAGACTTGAAGCGTGACTAAATGTAATGATTTTCCAGACTGGCCGACTATCTCCGAGATAAAATTGAAAATAATGGTTCTCTGGATCTGGCTACGAAATGCAGAATGATGTACGCGGCGTCGCTCCCGATCTCGGACGATTTGAGAGCGGAGCTCGAGGAGCACGGCACGTTGAAGCACGACGACGAGAAAAAAACGATTCAGTCGTACAATGGACTCGGCCTGGATCTGGTGGCGAACACGAAACGGCGCAATGTGAACGACGACTCGTCGATGGGTGATGAGAAGAGAAGCCGCTATTGTTGAGTCGCCCTGTCCACTTCATTTTTTATTTCTTCTTCTAATCTTCCCCTCTCGACACTCCGATCCCCAGCTCATTATGAATATTACGAATGTTTTCTAACATGTTTTGTGAATCAAACAATGTAACAATAAAATTTATTGCATTAAGCGATGAACTATGCAAATTTTCACGATCTTGGACCATCTCAATTTCTGATATGTCAAGGAGCTCGAGGAGATTCTGCGTCGAATTGACAATATCAAACTGCAATGACTGTTTGTGCAAATGAAGACAGGCTCTTTGAAAGCTTCATAATATTTATTAGGAAAAGGCTGTAGAAATACATTAAAAAGTTGAAGTCGGATTGAGAGAAGTTGGCAAGGAGAACTGAAGGAATGATTAGAGATACTGTACAGTTATTTGACAAATGGATGGAGTAATGAAGAGTTCGGTACTTACAGGAAATGGGAAATTATCATATTAGTCGCCGACGACATCGATCTCTTCCTCTTTATTTTGGAACATCGGACTAGCTGCCAGAAGCGCAAAGAACTGGGCCGGCTGGAAGTATGCGAGATATTGGAGTATCTTGGCATATTCGAAAAGAAGTGGCGGCAATTGGGGAGAGAGAGACGGAGCGGGAGGGACGGAAGCGGCCGGAGCAGGAGAAGCAGTTGCACGCGAGCGGAGGAAGTTGCAGATGATCTCGAGAGTCACAAGGTTCTCCAACTTGTTTCTGAAATGAGAGATAATGTTCGAAATGGGCCTTGAGTTCCTTAACCCTTACCTCTGCTCACTGGTTCCCAGTTCGTTTTCTATGATGAACGACTTGAGAACGTCCATCGCGGCCTTCTCCTTGTCCCGTCGAATCTGCTCCTTCTCGGCCGCCAATCTTCCCTTACGTTCTCTGCGGACTGGTCCTGGCGCGGAGGCGGTGCATGGATGTTCCGGCAAGATCGGAGCGAACTCCTGGCCAGTGATCGCTTCGACCGCTTTGAACAGGGTCTTTTCTTTGCTGAAATGAACAAATATTATCAATGTTGCAATAGCAGATTATAAGACTTACGAGAGGCTCGGCTGCACTTTTAGAAGCGAGCGGAGATCGATGAATAGAGCGTCTCTATCCTGCCGCTGCTTCTTTTCCTTTCTCGACTTCGCAGAGGAACTGTATGCTGTCGGAGCAGGCATTTCAGTCACTTTCTACGACGAGAGCAGAATAGGGAATGACTGTTGTCGTTCGGATTCGGACGGCTCGACAAATGGGCGGAGTCTCTTGGAGAAAGTATACTTTTCCCACGATTCCGATTTTCCCATGGAAAGCAATATACCCGACTGACTGTCTTCACGTTCCAGACGACCACCGTGGGTCCCTCTCCGTTCGAGCCGTGGGAGAGAGAGGACCGCCCCTCTGGGAAGAATGGGAACGGAACCCATATCATATCAACCCTATCTTTTATGGTATTCAGCAAGATATTGGATGTAAAAGTAATCGGTTTTAGAGCTGTAGTATACCAACTGTAAAGTGTACTTTGTCATCATTGAGGACCAATTCGTTGAGTTGTCATCAACGGTATACCTCCTCATAAACCGCAATATGAGCGCCTATTCTAACTCGTTTTCTTTCTTTTTTTCTATATCCAGAGGACTTTTGAACAAGCTCACAGTTCGTTTACTCTAGAGTTCCATTCGTCCGTTCCAACCCGTTGCTCTTTCCTTTACTCCCACGCTCTTCACCGAATAGGACTCATCTCCGCTCAGCTGTGGAGCACCGCTGAACGAGGTGGATGAGAACGTTTTTGTGCGAGACCGACAGGCGTGGGAGAGTGCTCCCAACCTACGGAATTCTGAGGGGAATTCGTGCTTTTGGTCTAAATTGGGTCTTCAATTCTTTTGTGCTCTTTTGTGCAAATCCGAACGAAATAGGGTTTCAGATGAAGTTTTCTGAAGTTTCTGTTGATTTTTTGCTTGAAAACATGATTTGATCTATTCCCGTTTCTCCACTTGTTTCCAGCAACAAACAATACTGGAAGGTAGATCAAATAGTGTTTCTTCGACCCGAAAACAACAATCGACCCCGCATTTCTTTTCTCTTTTTCTCTCTCACCTTTTTCTGTATTCCGCAGCATTTCACGATGATATTAACTCAATTCAGTTCGAATCCACACAATGCCTCAACCATCATACCGCCAATCGAAGGTAGTACAGGAAAAGCGTCGAAGAGACGAGATCAACGAGAAGTTGGAGACACTTCGCAGCCTACTTCAGCTGAAAAGCAAAAAGTAGGAGTTAGGGGACTGTACCCGGATGTAAATGGAACGTTTTCAGGCAAGAGGACATACTTTGCAAAGTGATCGGCATGCTCGGAGGCCCAGAACTTCCGCCCGCCTCGCCATCGGCCGCCGATCACTCTTCGAGCGGATCGATCAAGAAGAGTTTGAATGATATGAAAGCGGAAAGAGAAAGAAAGCGTCGCAGAAGACTCATCGTCGCCAACGACGCCCTCACAACGATCATCCGAGAGAAGAAACTGGGGACGGAGCAGCAGAGAGCCAAGTTGGAGAGAGCGACGGTCCTCGACATTCTCATCCAGCACTTTGAGAAGCCTTCTCCTGTCACCCAGCCGTCGATTCCACTCTTTCCGCTCTTCCAGCCGTTGCTCGCCAACCCACTCCTTCTGAATCTTCTTCTCAATGCCAGTCAGAAGCCACATGACACTTCTAGTGAGAAATTGAACGAAGACGAGTCCTTCATCGACATTATCAACTGATCTCTATGCTTTTTCTGTACGTTCATCTTTCCGTATGTTCTCATCTTATCCGGGTGATTTCTCTGTTTCTGTTCTACTCTTTCTGTCAATGTTATATACGTAATATTATTTAGTTGTTACCCAAATGAACGATCATATTAATATGGCCGTCCTGACAGTTCTGTTCACAGTGTTTCACGGGATTTTTCATGGCAATTGGACGCGGAGGTCCCAAGTGTTCACATAGTACGCTCCAAAAGATTGTGCTCTTGCTGAATATCATAAATGATATGGTTGATATGATATGGGTTCCGTTCCCATTCTTCCCAGAGGGGCGGTCCTCTCTCTCTCTCTCTCTCTCTCTCTCGCTCTCCCACGGCTCGAACGGAGAGGGAGGTCCCTTCCTCTGTTACCCACGGTGGTCGTCTAAACGTGAAGACAGTCAGGTATACAACGGATTGCTTTCCATGGGAAAATCGGAATCGTGGGAAAAGTATACTTTCTCCAAGAGACTCCGCCCATTTGTCGAGCTGTTCGAATCCGAACGACAACAGTCATTCCCTATTCTGCTCTCGTCGTAGAAGGTGCCTGAAATGCCTGCTCCGACTGCCTACAGCTCCTCTGCGAAGTCCAGAAAGGAGAAGAAACAGCGGCAGGATAGGGACCTTCTATTCATTGATCTTCGCACGCTTCTCAATGTGCAATCAAATCTCTCGTAAGTTTTCCATCACAATTGCAACATTAATAATATTTATTCATTTCAGCAAAGAAAAGACCCTCTTCAAAGCGGTCGAAGCGATCACTGGCCAGGAGTTTGCTCCGATCTTGCCGGAACATCCATGCACCGCCTCCGCGCCAGGACCAGTCCGCAGAGAACGGAAGGGAAGATTGGCCGAGAAGGAGCAGATTCGACGGGACAAGGAGAAGGCCGCGATGGACGTTCTCAAGTCGTTCATCATAGAAAACGAACTGGGAACCAGTGAGCAGAGGTAAGGGTTAAGGAACTCAAGGCCCATTTCGAACATTATCTCTCATTTCAGAAGCAAGTTGGAGAACCTTGTGACTCTCGAGATCATCTGCAACTTCCTCCGCTCGCGTGCAACTGTTTCTCCTGCTCCGGCCGCTTCCGTCCCTCCCGCTCCGTCTCTCTCTCCCCAATTGCCGCCACTTCTTTTCGAATATGCCAAGATACTCCAATATCTCGCATACTTCCAGCCGGCCCAGTTCTTTGCGCTTGTGGCAGCTAGTCCGATGTTCCAAAATAAAGAGGAAGAGATCGATGTCGTCGGCGACTAATATGATAATTTCCCATTTCCTGTAAGTACAGAACTCTTCATTAATTCCTTCCATTTGTCAAATAACTGTACAGTATCTCTAATCATTCCTTTAGTTCTCCTTGCCGACTTCTCTCAATCCGATTTCAACTTTTTAATGTATTTCTACAGCCTTTTCCTAATAAATATTATGAAACTTTCAAAGAGCCCGTCTTCATTTGCACAAACAGTCATTGCAGTTTGATATTGTCAATTCGACGCAGAATCTCCTCGAGCTCCTTGACATATCAGAAATTGAGATAGTCCAAGTTCGTGAAAATTTGCATAGTTCATCGCTTAATGCAATAAATATTTATTGTTAAATTGTTTGATTCACAAAACATGTTAGCAAACATTCGTAATATTCATAATGAGCTGGGGATCGGAGTGTCGAGAGGGGAAGATTAGAAGAAGAAATAAAAAATGAAGTGGACAGGGCGACTCAGCAATAGCGGCTTCTCTTCTCATCACCAATCGACGAGTCGTCGTTCACATTGCGCCGTTTCGTGTTCGCCACCAGATCCAGGCCGAGTCCATTGTACGACTGAATCGTTTTTTTCTCGTCGTCGTGCTTCAACGTGCCGTGCTCCTCGAGCTCCGCTCTCAAATCGTCCGAGATCGGCGAGTACATCATTCTGCATTTCGTAGCCAGATCCAGAGAACCATTATTTTCAATTTTATCTCGGAGATAGTCGGCCAGTCTGGAAAATTATTACATTTAGTCAAACTTCAAGTATAGTACCTTCTTTTAATCGAGTCTGGCTCACGATTGAAACCTTCCGACTTTAGGTTTCTGCAGAAGGACATGATGTTTATCTTTTTGCCTTTTTCCGACACTTCTTGTAATCGGCGGAGCAGGAAAGCGTCTTCTTTGTCCGAGTAAATGCGGAATGCTGGCTTCGCCGCCTTTCTTGTCGACCCCTCCTTCACTTCGCTCTCTTCGGCCTTCAACTGATTCGGAACGAACAGGTGCTCGTGATCGCTAGCAGCTTCTTCGATCGCTTTGAACACTTCAGCGAATCCTGTTCCTTGCCTGGAACTCGCATACGCCATTTTGCACCCACTCGGCAACTGAGACAGGGCTTCGCCAAGTGCTCTGCTCGAAAACTCGACCAATCTCTCCGAATTTCTCACGTCTTCCAGATTTCTGCCCATCAAGGCGTAATCCTCCATCCATTCAATTGCGTACGATGGGACGAAAAGATCAGCCTGAAAGGTGGATGATAAGCGTTAAAATGAGAGACGAATGATTCACCTTGTTGAACAGAATGACTACGGGGAGTTTTGCATGCGTGAGCACCGAGCAAGCGTACAACATGTTGGTGAGGAACGAAGTTGGCGTTTTGACCATTTGGGAGTTGAGGCAGTAGACGAGGACGGCGGAGTGACTTATCGAAAGAGATTGAATGAATTTGAGTCCCGGACTGCCTTCTGCGAATGCTTCGATGCTTCCAGGAGTGTCCACGATAACGGAGTTGTAAGTCTGCTCATTCATCCTGCTGATCAACTGCAAACGGCCATTTCATTTCAGCTTCTCAATCTTCCCGCCAACCTCATCTGTCTTATCATACACCAGGTTCACAACGAATGGAGCAGCTCGCTGAGCATTCAAACTGGCGGCCATTTTTTGAACGAACGTGGTCTTCCCCGACCCTGCCATTCCGACAACGACGATCAACGGGCGCTTGTCATGATCAACGGGCGCTTGGCGAGAGCCAGTGGCAGCAGAAGATCCGGCCATTGCTGGAAAAGGGGTTGATGACGATAAAAAAGAGAAAACGAAAAAGACAGGAAAAGAGTGCGAAAACTAACGGGAATACTGATGGTTTCTAAGAAGTTGGAGTCGAGATGAAAGTGATGAGGATTACGAGAAATGGTGGAGTTCACGAGAAATGGTGGGCAGCTAGGAAATGATAAAATGATGGATTTCACAAAATCACGATCGGCGCCTCCTCCGCATCGACGAAACCGCTCATTTTGAATAGCAGATAAACGGAAAATCAGGACAAGGCAACAATATTTCAGGTTATCAGACCTTCGAAGGCGGAAAAATAGAGGCACGGTGAGTCATAGATGTTTATAATTAGTTGCATTATTTAATAGCTGTATTACAAGGGTACAAGAGCGGGTACAAGGCAAATTCAAGAATAAATTAGATTATTAAAAATAGCAAAAACTGGTTACACTTTTCTTGGTTGAAGGTTCGTGCGTCTCGCACATCATCACTCTGCTAGTCGTCTCTTTCATACACTCTTCCACGTAAGGCACCAATTTTCTGAAAAAAGAGGATCAGAAATGCATCGGCTGAGACAGTTAACCAACCTGAACTTCTCAGTCATTCCGAGCAACGTAAGAATGTTCGACTTGATCGGTTCATCAAAATTCCACTATATGAATGCGAGGGAACGAGCACGGACGACATACGGGTTCCGGATTTCCGTAATGTCGTACAAGGCCACCGTTCGCATGTGCCGGTAGTTCAGCTCGGAGACGTTGAGCGAATTGAGCTCCGTGGCGATACTGGCGAGTGATTCGCATGTCTGTCCGGGAGGGAGACACCGAGTTTGATGTCGGATGCCAAAAGCTGCTGGAAGGATAACGCAACGTCGATGTCATCCGATGCCATTCTGAAAATTGAAAACATTGTGAAACATTACGCTTTTTTTCTAAAAAATAGTCAGAGGCTTGCTGAGACGTCACTGGAAGCGTATAAAAACGGTAGGGCTATAATCTGGACCGTGTCATGATTTCTTGTCCCATCAGTTTTCGGTGCCAACATGAAAAATACTTAGAAAGATGCGAGAAATCGAATGGCGTTCAGTCTGAGAAGATAGCATTTTTTTGAAATTAGTAAATGTCATGTTTCGACGAGCTTAAATACCTTCGTGGGCCAGGGCAGATCCGTCCTTGTGGGCGAGGCCTGCCTACTCGGGGCTAATGGGGCTATTCAGCGTATGTTTGTTTTCCGTTTTTTTTTTCGTTTTTTTACATCGCTGAATTGGATTTTTTTGACGTAAAAAAACGAAAAAAACGGAAAACAATCATTTTTTTCACAGCCTGAATAACCCCATAAGGTTCCGCATAAGAGTCATTTTAGTAGTCCCCAATAGAGGAACGCATGATGAACCCAACTCAATAAACTCATTTCTCAAAAAAACAGTCAAAGTCACAAAAAAACGAACACAACTCTACAACTCATTGGGCGTCGGTAGTGGTACATTTCGAGTTTGACGTGAACTCTGTTCGAAAATCAATTGTAGCGTTGGAATTTTTCATTAAATCTGTCAGTATTCGT